TTCTTTTCTATAACTTTGAAATATACTTTTATAAAAACACTTAATAAATCTTTCCAGCCTTGTGCTGAGCGAAAACCAATATGATTGTCCATTTGTTTTTACTGCGCACGCGTGTGCCATGTGTAAATCGTCAAAATTACATTTCAAGCGGTGTCAACTTGTTTTCTACATTCTCATCGCGATTTGATGAATATTGACCTCTCAAGCTCGATTATGGGAAGCGCGACATGATGTGAACTGATGCAGTCAACGCCCTACCATATGCAAAGCAGATACAGCTCCTTGCAGTGTAAAGAAAAAGGCGAGCACAGTAACCAGCTCAAGGCAGCTTCTGCTGGGCTTGCTTATTAGGTTAACCTAGCTTTGAATGTAGACTCAATGGTAATGAAAATGCAAACACGGTATGCGTTCTCCTTCACGCGTCGTTGACATTTTGATTCGCGTGATTGGAGCGTTTCGTGGTGAATTAATTGGTCAAAGTCACATGGCTGGAAATCTTCCATTTCGAAAAAAAAGAATTGTTCAACTGACCCACCCACCCCATCCAAAAAGGAAAAAAGAAAGTTGATAGGGTCACCTGTCCATGTAGGCAATGTCAGGTTACACCGACAAGCACACTGGACAATGGGTCTGCCATTTCCCGAGTCATTGGGAATGCAACCACACCGACATTCCCCTTTGCAATGTGCACACGTCAGGCTACACGTACACATTAGTCTCGTCTTTCTACACGGCTCTCATGGAGTGTCTCGACTTGTTAAAGTATAAAAAGACGCGTTTTTTCTTTTACTCGACACTAAAGTTACACAAGGTCTAGGCTATCCAAAACGGGCGCATGAAAATCGGAGCAGTCAAAGATGGCTGCCTCCCATGCAGTTCTTGCGACTGCGGCTACCAGCTATGAACTGTGCAGTATAACAAATGAGCCCCCGGGTTCATGATAGCTCTTCCTGCGAAAACACTTCATTCAATTCGCTAATGTGTGGCATTGTCTTAAGGGAGATCTGCACTGGCAATCGGTGATCCAAGTAGCAGACTTGATTCCTACACGCTTCTCGGCATGTTAAAGATTTTGGAAGGCCTACACTCTTAAATTATAAACCTTGGGCGTTTACGCTCTGAAGTTCAATCAGTAACTTAGATGGCAGACCAAGAGATGCAGTGCTCGTTCTTTTAAATTCTTATCGTTTGGATGATGTTGTGTGTTTGTGCAGATTATGTAAGCCGTCTGTAAGATTGCTCTACTGCTTCTTGAATACAGTATTCTCGACGTCCAGCCTGAGAGCAGCAGAATTCTCTTCACCGCTTTTAACGATGGAAAGTGATCGCGTGCTTCCACATACGCGTTAAAAGCGCGGTCGAGCTGACGCAGCACGATGGAACCGCTATCTTTCTGTTTCTGCTCTTGATGTTCGGCCTGCTGCTGCTGTTGCAGTGGTGATGTTTTAAAGCTACACACACCTGTTTAAATACGTTCGCTGTTACTTGTTTACATCGTAGTGGTGATGCTGCAGCCGCGATTTTTTACTTACGCGAATCCTGCGGTTACTATCATGCATGCTTTCCCGCGTAGCGCAAGGCTAGCACCAAAATGTCAAGCTCGTTTGTGTTACACACACTCTTTTCACACATGCTGTCATTGGCTTTGTATTTTGTAAAGTGACAACGAGAGCTCATGGCTACTTCTTGTGATCGACTATAGATCGACTATATTTGCGTATTGTTGTTGATCTTATCAGAACCAATAGTTTCGGAGAATATCCGCAAAAGACAGTAACCACCCACTGTACTTGTATACTTCTAGATGTGCTTGCCCATGCATGGTTCGCTTTTTATGCTCCTCCTATCAATTTTTGTGTAAGAGAGAATATATAACGTAAGCTGGGGTTATGTGTTGTTTCTTTGTTTGTGGCAGTGAGAGAGATAATAGATATTATCGGTTAAAACGTATATTATGTACTTGAGCAACTTGTCCTCGGGAAGAAAATTAATAATGATCGGTGGATCTAGAAAAGTCGGGTCTATTGATTTTTACACAGTACAAAGTTTACGTTGTATACAACCTCGTTGATACAACAAAAATTCAACATTCATAAGCTGATGATGGTCTATCACTTTTTCTTCATTATCGTTTGCTTCAATCGCTTAGTTGCGATGATCTTGTTGAAGCATCTTCGCAACATTGCGAGGACTTACAGACCACCAAATAATGCAGCTACAGTTATATATTTAAAGTGAAGTATTCCTCGGCTTCGGCTCATACTTAATAGTATCAGTGCAGAAGCCTTAAAATTCTATTTGCGCATTTTTGGCTGATCTTCTCTTTGTCATTCTTTTCGTTTCTTGATGGCTCTGTTGTTAGCACTGCTATTACTGGTTGAAAGATGTTAATTTTACGAGCCAGTAATGATATGTGTGTGAGTGTTTTTGAGCAGGCAGCATTGATCCAAGTGCCATGCGAGCGTCGTCGCATATGGTAAAATACCACGAAAAGTGATGCGCATTTTCAGGGTCCGGCCATTTTTTTAACCCCGCGCCCCTCTATTTTTTCGATCCTTTTTGGCAGGAACCACTGAAAAAGAATTCATGCTGCAAGCAAAGTTGACAGTTCCAACAATAACGACACCAACTCGTCGCCATTTTCTTGTTCATTTAAAAAGGTCATTTCATGCAGCAAATACACTAAAGACACCTCCTCGTAGATCAGCAACCCCTTCTGCTGGTGCTGCAACGGCAGCAACAACACAAAATCGTTGGGGATCATTTCAACGATTAGCCCCTACCTCATTAGCACCGATCGATGTTACAACCTTGTCACGACGACCAGTACCCAACACAATCCTCAAACCTTATTATGCACAGGATGGATCGTCGTCGAAATGGGAACATATTATTCCACTTGTTCCTTCTGACGAGATTTCGCTTTTACGACAAGCAGGCCAGCTTGCCCGAGAAATACTGCAAGTCGGAGGGAAAATGTGCCTGGTAACACTAATCTTTCAATTTCAGGCATACACATACACTGGGTTATTTAAAAGAGGTAACTAACATTAAGGTATTTCTATAGCCTGGTGTTACTACAGATGAAATCGATGCTGTTCTTCATGAGAAGATTACAGAAAGTGGAGCATACCCCTCACCTCTAAATTATTCAGGATTTCCGAAAAGCGTTTGTACATCCGTCAATAATGTCATAGCTCATGGCATCCCAGATAAGTAAGTATTACAGAACTTTTTCTTTTAAAAAAGAGGTAATATTTTGTATCGCCGTGATTCAAAGAGACTGATTTCAAACTGCATCAATAGCCGCGAGCTTCAAGGTGGCGATATCATTAATATCGATGTTACGGTGAGAGTCTATTCATATTCGCCTATGATAATCAGGTAAAATGAAACTAAAGCGACTGATGGAACTTTTTAAGGTCTTTCTGAACGGATACCATGGTGATACATCCGCAACATTCTTAGTTGGCAACGTCGATACCCGTGGCAGAGAATTGGTCACATGCACACAAGAGTGTCTTGAAAAAGCGTTGGCAATATGCGGTCCTGGTGTGCCCCTTTCTGAGATTGGACAAGTGATCTGGTAAAATAGTTATACAGAGAATTTCGTATTGGATGAGTGGGGCCGGTACTTACTATAGCATTTCCGCCTCTTAGTGATCACGCTGATACTGGAGGATTTTCCGTATCTGAAGAATTGTCAGGTCATGGCATTGGCACAGAATTTCATTCTCTTCCTTTGATTTATCACCACCGTATGTAATCATCCACATTAAATCAGAAACAAACGTAGATAAAAGCTATTCATTGACATTTATTGGCTCGGACATAGGCAACGTTGAGGATGAAATAATGACACCGGGAATGGCATTTACGATAGAGGTATATTTTGCAGTATTGAGGTTTCTGTGCTCTTTTGAAACGGGTATTTAACATCAAGTTCTTTATTTTGCTTGTATTAGCCTGTATTATGTCAAGGATCTGCAATGGGTATCATGTGGCCCGATAACTGGACTATTTCTACCGTAGACGGAGGACGAAGCGCACAATTCGAGCATATGGTAAAAATAATCTTACTTGATCTAAACTTTTTCATTTCAAACTTATTTTCTCACACAAAGATAAAATGCGTTTAGGTGATAATCACCAATCATGGTGTTGAAGTTCTAACAAAATAAAAGCAAAGAACCCACAGAACACTTCCTGTGACTTTATAGAGATTATTGTAGATAGGAAAATGATCACTATTATATATCTATATGAACTGTACTAATAATATATATAAGCTTTATAAAAAACACGGCATATAGTACCTCCTTCGTTGCTGCACACATCATTATGTAAAAGTCATAATAGCTGTCGCTATAGTGTAATATAAGCATTACTGTCCAACAATTTGATATCCAATTCCTCCAAAGAGTACAAATCGTCGTCGTAGTCGTCATTCCCTTCCACTCCTTCTAGTCTCTTTTGAGATAATGCTACGGAATCCGCTAGCTGTTCTTGGCGGTCGATAAAGTAATCAGTAGCATAACCGGAGCACCATACCAAACAAGTCAATACAGCGGTGACTATGACCAGCGCTGGATTCGTCGTCAATAATTCTGGTGATGCAAACATTGGTCTATGATGCTTGTGACGGTTTTCGTTGGCACTAGCATTCGACATCCCATTTACTTGTCCTTAAATCGTCGCGTTTTGTCCCACAATTCCACCATAATCGCTCTTAACAGTTTCGTAGTTATTGTGGTTTTCATATGTTTCGTTGTTGTCGTCGTCGTCATCATCACCATGTCGCCGTTTCCCAGCAAAGTTGGCAAGATCATTACTATCCTGGATTGAATACTGCCTGCGTTCCGCTACTTAGTAGTTTACCGAATGGACGCTTTTCGGCTTTCTCTGCCTTGATTGTTGTTCGTTTTTATCTGGCGAAGCGAGCTCATTTTCAGCATATATAACAGGACACGTTATCGTCGTAACGGTAAAGCCAAACCAAAGAAGTATAAGACACTGTTGCATATATTCGTTAGCGTAATAATACCAGAATGGATTGGAATTAGAGGTAGGAAATAAAACAATTATATATGCCGCAGAAAAAATCAGATAAGACACACTAAAACATCACCTGTGTAACATATATAAAACATTATATTAGTATCATAAAAAAGGCCATCTAGCTTTTCCATACTCTCCAATGAGCACCGACAAGGCCGCGCTCGTCCCACACGATTCGATTTTCTCGTATTTCTCTATCGGCAAATAGCAATGCCGCAGCGCCATGAACATATCGCTTGGTCGTGTTGAATATGCCCCGTTGTAGCGTAATTATATCAAAAAACGCTACATCAAAAAGACAAGTTTTCAATTATTTATCCATGTATTTTTCCAGATTATGATTGATCTGCGGTTGATGTCTTGACTACTCTGTGTTATTGTTATAGTTCCTTTCTAACTGTATAATTTCAGCGCTGACAAGTGTTGAAACGACGCAGAACTGCGAACTTGAGGTAAGATAGCTCTAGTACACGATCGATATGGACTGCTGCTTCCAACGAAACATTCGTCATAATGAGCAGGAACATATAGCACAGTTAGTAAGAACTATGGAGTTAACAGAAGAAAAGAGCAAGAAGGGATGTCATCGCTGTTAGCAGCCCGCGCATTTGCACAATCGGATCGGTATTAAGCTGTCACGACACCGATTTGCACTGGTTTTCGCTCTTATCTTACATGTAAGAGCAAGCTTAAGCGTATCCTGCCAGGACACAGAACATTTTCTATATTTCGGATCAGGCGAAAGTTCTTCCGGTTAGATTTTAATTGACAACCATTATGTGTGATTGTGGTCTAGCAATCGTTCGTTTTTGAAAAGGTATACCGTATCATATGTACGTACTCGATACATAGATAAGTACTGAAGACTGTGCATGTAATTGTTGACTTTTTCTCGTTGTTTTGATTGGATTATTGGATATATATACTTCGCCATCCCAACAGCATCATGAGAGAATGGTGTCCTTCACTTTTTCTTTACGCGGGATAAATGGCTTTTGAACGAAATACTCGACCTTTGTACATAATTGAAAAACGTTGTGGTCTTTATGGAATTGTGGCACGATGTAACATATAAAAAAAAACGACAGTTTCTTTTTTACAGTTCAAATAGGAGCCGGTATATACAACAACACTCTGGCTCACCATGCGATTTAAGTGCTTCAAGTGGTTACCTACTACAGCAACAGTAATGCAGTTTAGAGTGAGCTTAAGGTACGATACTATGATAAATGTCCATTTAAAATAATTCGTTTAATTCAATCGGACAAACCAAGAGTTTCACTTTTAAGGTTCAGGATGAGGCCGATACAAAGGACTACGCTGTGCCTTATATGTACCACGGTAGTATCTTACATTCAAAACCGTTATCGTTCATGCAATACACTAAATTTCGCTAGTATATTTAATATGTAGCAGCAATGAACTTGACAAATGCATGCCTTGTTACAATTGGCTTTGGTGAGGAGTAAGAGTCTGTTCAAATATATGACCAGAGATCCTTTCCTAGGGTGAATCTTGTTACCCTGGCAGCCAGCAGTCAGGGGTCATGAGAAAATTCCGGAAACGGACGTACTTTCCTTTTTTTTTTGTATGTATGACAAAACATGATGGTGTGCTTGGTTTATCCAGTGACTCACGATGCTATCTTTCCAAAACGCATATACCCAACGATCACACTCAACCCCTCTTCGTAATGACCTTGAAGACCGTACCCGAGAACCTGCGTCAAACGAGAGGGACTCACCTACCATGACCTCGAATGGCGAATGCACAACTCAATGGCAGCAGCATTCTGAAATGTTGCCCATTCTCGGTACTTGCATATCGGACGTGCTGAGCATCACTCGTGGCTACCGTGATAGGGGAAACAAAACAACAAGATCACATTCTTTACCAGCAAATTCGACATACCGTCCAAGCGAACTTTGCATACCACAATTGAATAGTCAAGTTGACCTTCGAAAGTCTCAATGGATCCATGTTTTGCCGTACGATATCTTGAACCTGATTTTCTGTCAGTTATCGATGCACGATTTCGTTGTTTGTTTGGCCGTTTGCAGGTCATGGCTTTCCTTTATCAAGGATTATCCCTTGTTCGGACAGAACGCATTAAAGGAAATACCATATTTTTCTACTATTCCTACGACCACTGCTGCTTTTGCATCTGTGCCGAGTGGATCGTTTTTTGATTTCATGCTCACACAACAGTCGTCTATGCAAGAAATTCATATGGTCGGACAAACAAAGCAAGCTGGTGCAACCTTCCTCCGATTAATCATGTATTCTGCCAGGAATTTCAAAATTCGATCACTGCGTATGTCATTGCATAATACTTTATACATTAACAATTCCACATCGTATAAACAACCACCTTAATCCATTATCCAGTAAAGGCGTTTGCTAATCATTTTTTCTGCTTGAACCAGACCTGGAAGAATGGGAATACGATGCCACCGGTAGCGAGAGCATACTCTACAGTCTATTAAGATCATTACGTGAGTATGCAATCCTATTGGAACAAGTATCGCTGATTAACGCTGTGGATATACCATCCATTCAATATCTCGGCAACGTTCTTTTCGCGAGCAAGAACGCCAAACGAATCACACTTATCTGTAATCGGTGGCATCGACAGCAGATAGCAACAGCAAAAGGGTGCAGAAAGGCGATGAATGACCACGATGAAGAGAAAGGCATCGAGATAACGCATTGCGTATCTCACGAAGCACTGTATCATATTTCGACAAAATCACTACCCATACTATCCTTGACATATCTCAAGTTATCGCTTCCAGACATGTATAAACACCATTATCCCTTCGGAGGAAAGGCCTTTCCAAACATCTTTCCGTCCTGTCCCAACCTACAACATTTGTATATGGATTCGCTCGATAATATATATCATGCACAGGCTATTTACGAAGCATTCCATTATTGCCGCCAACTTCAGCATGCTATTGTCAGCCCATTCGCTGAAATGCCGTCTGGAATTGAAAAAGATCAAGACAAAGACGACGTTTTCGCCATAAAGTCAGATAACGAGGAGCAACTGCCATTGCGACGTCTGGTGTTCACCCAAGGAAACTGTAGCGGATCTAATCCTTTGCGACGATACGATTTATGTCATTCTGGCTGCCTCCATTCAGACAGCAGACACCTGGTTCCAGTATTAAAACAGTATCGCCATACGCTGGATCTTCTTTATTTACAGTATGACGGCGATGGAAAATCGACCAGTTCGTGCGTCCAACATCTTGGCAAGTGCGGTGGCGCTCCACAGCTACGCGAGCTCCATATTGTTGCTGAAGGAAATATACTAGTGGGTAATAATGGTGACGGTTATGACGATGAAAAGATATACTCCCAAGCATCATTTCTTTTCAGCAATCAGTTGGCTTTACTGGTTTCGCATTGTCCCTCGCTACGTGTTCTCGTAATCACCAGTGCAAACAACGCTTCGGTGTCTATGGCAATTAACGGGCATTTGCTACAAGCTCTCGCGAACAACTGCCCACTGCTTCGCCGTTTGGTTATCCGCGGAAAACATGTTGAAATTTCCGCAGAAGCCCTTTTGGACTTTGCAAAGGCAACATCAGCTTTTTCGTCCTTGGAATATCTTGATGTGAGCTGCTATGTACACGATGATAATATAATTTCTTTGTCCAACATGTTTCCCCTTTTGAAAACACTAAGGCTGCTTAAACCACATATGCTTAAAGGTAGCCTAGGAAATTTTGAATCTACTGTTTAATACACTGAACTTTTGTATACTAGAGCATATTGTACATGTAATAATACTGTAAAGCATAATACCTTTTTAACCTCGACTGCATTTGCCAAGAACGATATGCAAAACATTGCGTGTTGTACATTTAGTAAAAAATAAGATTTGTTGATTGTGACACATCAGTCAAGCGGCAAAAAGAAAAAGACGAACGTATTCATAAAAGAAATAGAAAAGAAATTCATACAGTAACTTTGTTTTGTTTGTCAAAGGGAAATTTAGAGGGGGTGAATAATATAAGGCAAGTATTAAGCTATGGGATACTTAAACAGAAATTGGGGAAGGAATTGGTAAGCAGTGACGGGAAACTTATTTGCCTGGATTCTCTTGATTGGCAATCATCTCAGAGACGTTCTTTTGCAACAAGTGCCAATCATCTTGCTTAGGGTTTGCAATCTACGCAGGTTATAAGGAAAAAGACGGTGAGTATCATGCAACAATCGTGAATTTTCATATAAATTATCGCCATTGAGTGCACCATACCTCTCCAATGTCATATACATATACACGGCCATCACTCGAGCCTATTGCTGTCTTGTTGCCTTCCTTATCCCATGCTAACTTGTTGAGCGCCCGGCCTGATCCAACAGATGTGCTTACAAAGGGTTCCTTCAAGTTTTTAAAGAGAAAGCTTAGTTTGCGTATCATGCCAAGGAAGAAACTCATTGTGCTCATATATCTACCTCCGTATCAGCATTCAAGTTCCACAGATCAAACTGGCCGTTACCATCCACTGATCCAAACAGAGCAGGATGCGAAGGTGACCACTTTACATCGTAGACATAATCATCGGCATGTTCAAACGAGTAAAGAGGTGTGATGTTGGTAGGCTGGGATAATGTTTTAGATGCAGACTAGAAGAAAATGCGCAAAGTCAGTGACTATTATAACTCCTATCCATGCACATATGGCTATGGCGTAGTGTGGATCTGTGTTTCTACCTTTGCGCGCCAGAGTTTGACGGTCCAATCCACCGAGCATGTTAAGAACAGATCCGAGAAATCCACGGACCCAAACAGAGGATGGAAATGCAAGCCAGTGACGGAGCCATAATGACCCTTGTACGTATCAGTTTGATTGATACCAGCCTTACTGTATGATGTTTGTCGTTCCTTGTAAGCAAAGGGCAAAAATTCTGAAAAAAAAATCTATATCTCGCGTTTCTTTACCTTCCGGCTTGATCATATCGACCTGCTTGATACACGTTGCCTTCTTCCGTGCCAGCCCAGAAAGTCGTTGTTTCGTTATCGGGAAATCCAAGGCACGTTACTGAAACCTCGTCGGTTTTGTTGTGTGAAGGATGAAGCAGTTCGAGGTAATCTTGTGGTTGTGCCAGCATATCCAGTTGCCATGAGCAGACAAAACCATCCGTACTACCAGTGATCAAGTTGTGCGCATTCTGGGTGCCCACCATTTCAAGTGAATACACAGGATGAGTATGACCTCCTGCCGACAATGGTGTCTTCAATACGGGTAACGATTTGGCGCGGGTATCCCACAGAACAATTTGTCCCGAATAAGTGCCGCCGATAACATAGTTTGGATGGAATTTGCTAAACATGACGCTCAAGACGTCCGACTACAAGGTATATCACAGATATACAGATTTAGCATTTGCGAGTACTTTGCTTCATACCCGGTCCTTCTAAACAAATTAAAACCTGTCACTCTCTTCACCTGTGAATGGAATACAAATTCGGGTCGGTCTTGTAAGTGAAGGTTCCACACTAATGCTACACCATCAGGCTCGTTGACAGTAGCAGGATTCTTATTATGTGAGGAAACAAGTAATTCTGGATACTTTGTTGACCAGTCGACATCCGTTACGGAGCGGTTTCGGGACCACTTTTCGTCCCAGAAATCGCATATGAATTTGACTCGCTTGCCGGTATTTTCATCGCTAGATAGTAGAAACGGAAGTCGTTCAGTTTTCCAAAGGACATCGTTATCGCCCTTCATGCTTTTAAGGTTACCTGTCAACATCAATGCCTAGGGTATAATCTTTCATGAAATCATAAGTTTCGTTCAGCGCTCTCTCGACAAATTTAGACGATGTATCCACAAAATCCAAGAACTCGGGGGATGTCAGAATCAGTTTCTTTTCTTCCTCCGTCAAGTCTAGTATAAAAATATAATAGGAAATGTTAATGGTGTCGTAATTGTTTTTTTTTTCATTGTGAGTCTGGTTACTTTACCTTGGAATTCCTCCACTTTTTCCAATTCTGCGCGTTTCCGCTCTTCCTCCAGCTGAGCCTGTCGCTGCTTTTCTTGCAGTTCCAGTTCATCAATGATCTCCTGACGGATTTCCTCCTCGCTCCGCTGGGGTGCATCGAACGATCCTTCAGCAGTCTGAATCTCTTTGCTGTACACCACTTGTTCCTAAAAGGGTCAAAAAACAAAAGTCTGTTCTTAATGATCACGTATAACAATGAAAGGAAACAGCATGGTTTTTCTTTGTAAGCTGCTTTACCAGAGGGGGGATATCAGCAACTACTGTTTGATAATCTGTTAACTCTGCAACATATCGAGGTGTTGCTCCGGATACGGGTGTACTCGGTGCTGCCGGTTGAGAAGTGATCGACGACCGATTTCCGTTAGGCCTACAATATAATTTTTTACTGTTAAATATGCGCGTTTGAAATACGGGAAAGCACAGGTTCCGTTGCAAAACCTTACTCGCTAACAGGTGTGCCGGGAACAGAGTAACCGAAATTGCTAGATGCCGGTCTAGATGGTGTGAATTCTGAACCGGTATCCGAACCACGGTCGGAAACTGCACCGGTAGAAGGAGTGGAAGGTCGTTCGCCAAGTACTAGTGCGACGAGATCATCAATGGCCTTTCTATCCTTGTTCGCAGGGCTCTACATAACATTGTGACCAAAGAAGACAGCCGTAGATAGCGAAAGAGAGAGAGAGCCAGATAGAAATGTTAAGTTGCATATATATATATGTAAGAATTTCTTGTCAATGTTGTTGCGGTTTCTGCATGTTTTACCGAGCTGGATGATTGCGTTTGATTCGATTGGGTTTCGAGAACAGCACGACGTTCTTCTCGAGCGCGTCGTAATTCAGCAAGTTTTTGACGCTTCTTCTCCAATTCCTCCTTTCGTCGATCCATTATGTTTTATTATTTGCTGCTGGTTGCAAGCACAAATCCTGCCCGAGAAGTGCTGTCTTCAAAAAAAAAGGAATTGGTGCCTTGAAACTGACGTATCACACACAGCTTTGGCACGTGACCTCCGACAACGCTTCAACGCATGCCAAGCATCCCTCAATTACATTGCCACTTTGCACGTCTCGCAGTTCTTTCTGTTACAAAAAAAACGGATGATCTGCAGAACCGCTACTAAGATTTTGTTGCGATGAAGACCGACACATGTACTTCTAAACGATATCGCCCAATATGACACGATACAGAACATCCGGGTATTTAATTTCATCGAAAAGATCAAAGTTACAGACGTAAACACGATACGACGTCATAGCATTACATTATCATAGTGAAGATGGATCCAGTGCACCCTCATTACGTTATCATATCAAGACGGATCCAGTGCACCATACATTCACAATATGAGGACTATTCTCCATCACAACACTCAAAACAACAGGTACAAACAAGAAACAATTATGATCGACAGCGACTTTTTGAAGAAGAAAAAACCATGCAAAATATATTAAACTAGGCGCACTACAGTGATACCTTGAGCAATTTACTATTTAAGACGAGATATACAACAAAAAAAAGTTAGCGATACTAATACTTAATATCTCTATTAACTTTTCATAATCGAAAAACAGCTTTCTTTAAACTAACCTGTTGCATAGCCTCAGCCTTAGACTTGGAGCGGTCCTTGCGGTCCAAGATAGCCTGACGGCTCTTGTCGATCTTGACCTTGGTGACGACAACGTTCGAGGGGTGGACACCGATGGGGACGGAGGCACCTATATATCCAAATAACCCACTCGTTAGCAAAACCATTATCTTTTTCGAGATAACACCCATCCTAATTATTCATGCCTCCTGCATTTCCCCCACCCTTTTATCTACTATTGCCTCGTGCGTGATACTTTACCATTGACCTTCTCGCGGTTGACACGGTCAATGTGGATGACCCACTTCTTACGGTACACCTGCACAACCTTGCCCTCGCGACCCTTCAAGCTGCCGCGAACGACCAAGACTTCGTCATCCTTGCGAACGGGGATGGAGCGGGTCTATATTATTTAGATTTCAAGTGTATGCGTAAGAAACTGAACTGATATAAATGGCGAATGTGTATATATGTGGCCATGTTGGATATGGTGTAGTCTTACGTTGTACTTTTCACGGAGCTCCTTGGAAAGGGCCGAGCTCATGATCTTGCGGCGAACATCAGAAGGAGCAGTGAAGTGAGCCTTTCTGCTCTTACGGCGCGAAGAGCTAACGTCTAATGGACAAGCCATTTAAGGAATGTCAGCATTTGCATGTAATTTTTTTCTCGACCTCGATATCGAAAGTATCCATCCATTCATCCAGCATTATCTCGCCCATCCATTTGTCATCTATCCATTTGGTGCATTCTCTCGACTATCCTCCCCTTTTTCTATCCATCTCTTCTTTTTCTCTTTCTCTACTTACCAGCACTGAACTTCATGGTTACGTGCTAGGGAGAAGGAAGGACTTTGATTTCTGCGGACGAGTCCCTCAATAGTCTCTCCCGCACGGGGCGGTTTCCAATAAACTCCGTCGTAAAATAGTCGAGCTGTCATTTTGGGATCCATCAGCAAATAATATTCAACGTACTAAAAGCACATACGTATAGTTAGTTACATGAATACATACCTTTACCATACTACGCTACATCATGTAAATGGACAACTTACACAACGTCAAAATAAGCGGACGCAGGTTGCTGATAGTCATTTGTATTTCTCCAACGAGCTTTCACTCTCATGTTTAATTTCTTTAAGACCTTTAAAAATTACGATTTAATATATCATTGTTCATGTTTTTGTTGCCAAGCAAAAGCAGAGTATGCAGTCACCTGCTTACCCACCTATCTTCACATCATGTGTAATGTTTCTAGACGGCTATAGTACGACTCTTGTTTGAAAGATTGAAAAGGAGGTATGCATATATAAAACGCTTTTCTTGCCAGATGTATACGTAGTAGCCTCACATTCTACGCCTATAATACTTATTAGGATGGGCGACAGCAATTTTAATCAGCAAGTCATTTTTGCTATTATCTGCGACAGAATGTACTTCAAGTAGAATGATTATAACAAGGTGTGTAGAAGGAAAAAACAATAAACAGTGGTCCCCTCGTTTAATTTCACGCTCAATAAGATAAACACTCAGTTATTTCAACTTTTTTCTATTACCCCTTTAAGCATATAACATCGCTTGAATCATCCTCGTTTTGTGTCCACTCTCAGTGGTTTCAACACTTTATTGAACCCCTTTGAGGTTGAAATTAGACGGGGAAATTTTGTAAAAATATATGATCATGTAACATTTTTTGTAAGCTACGCACGTTAATTCAATTGTTGACTTCACTATTTGCTCTCTGCAAGAGCATTCTTCTTGTATTCAATGAAGTCCTTGAATACGGGTTGGCGTAATGCCCACCAGAAGGTAGTAATCGGGCCGTTCCACAGGGTGTAAATCTATAATAAATGCAGCTTTAGCATGTGATGACAGCGCGTGAATTCAGTCTTATAAAAAACATATATAGAAAACATTTCACTAGTTATGATATCGCTGAGATATGGCAGCTGACTGACAAAATCAATGGCTCATATATTCTAAATACTCAAATTACCTCTCCTTTGTCATTCATGTACCAAGAGCGGCAGCCTGTCCATAAAATGTTCACAATTGGCATCGCAGGCAGAAATAGAGAATGTGAGTAAACAAAAGAAAAAGAGAGGGTGGAAAGGATTATGCGGGGTACCTGCTTTCCATACAGTGCCTTCGAAACCTTTTTGAACATTAGCTACAAATTCTTCTTGTGCCGCTTTCTTTGGCTCAATAGCAGCTAGGTCGTTCTTCACGAGTCGTTTGACGCATTGTATTGTATAATCGGTTTGTCTATAGTAATACCAGTTACTACCAATACATATAGCAGCACGCTTCTTTGTTTGTATGATACCGCTATGACTTCTTACACTTCAATCACCTAAGAAATGTAGCAACATTTATTCAGCGACCGCTTTTAGTACGTTGCAACTCTGGCTTAACATGGGGAGCAAACAAAGGGAGAGACAAGAAAATGTACCTACTGTCACTATAGAGTTATGGCCCAGCCCAGATGAAGGGCCAAGAAGTAAAAAGAAATTGGGGAATCCGTGTACGGTGACAGACTAATAGAGTACGTTTATCATGTTAGACCGATTCCCTTCATTCTGTCATAGAACTTTTTCCATTCATGAATGTGTATATATCCACCTTGTAGGATTTTGAGTTTTCCTTATCCCATACTTTTTGGAGCAGCACTCCGTTTCTGCCGTAAACTAAACATTTAGATGATACGTCCGTTAGAAGGTAGGGGGGGGGAGCCCCTTATCTTAATTCCCGGGAATGTAGGGCAAAGGATATGACGACTAAAACAACTTACTTTTGAGGTTTCCATTCATATCATTCACATGAAAACCAGTAGCCAGCACCAGAATGTCTACTTCTGTTTCATTTCCATCTTTATCTAGCAACGTTCGGCCGCGAATTTCCTCGATGCCGGAACGTGTGACGGTAACATTCGCTTTTGCTAACGCTTCAAGATAGTGTTCGGATTTCGTGATACGCTTGCATCCAACAGGATAGTCTATCATAGCATACATTTGAGTATTCGATTTAGTATGGATGATACTCCTGTTTTTGTTGTAGTAGTCATTGTTTTTAATGGGGTGTTGGTTGGCAACGGTATAGTGAGTAATAGTGCATGGTTACTTCTACTGCTATCTAACCATGGGTTCTTTTTTTGGATGTACATATTCTACCTGGAACAACGGAGGAAATTAGATCGGCTCGACCAGCAGCAGTGAGACGGGCAACCATGCCTTGAATAAATTTCTTTTTGACAACCTTGCCGAGCAGCTTATGATATCCAAAGTTGACAAACGTCAATTCATGCTAAAAAAAAAATGTTACATTTCAAAATAATCGGTCTTTGAGTATACTCTTTTTTTTTTTTGATATCAGGCGATGATAGAGCGGCTGCACCCAAAAAAGTACTCATGATCTTTTTCTTACCCTAATAAAAATAAGTAGACGATAAAAACGCAAAACAAATGGAACATAACGAAAGATGAACTTCCAAGTACGTGAGTACAAGTATTGATCTAGCATTAAAATCATGCATGCGCAGCAGGAACAATGTCAATGCGTGTTATATAAAGCTTCCGTTTGTGTAGCTTGCATGGTCTTTCCTCGTCTTTCTACAATAGAAAGTAGGTTATTGTCTCACCTCGAGGTAATACCCATGCAGGCGTCCGCTGGTAGCTGTAAACATGGCTCGCTACTTTTTGCAGCTCGGGGATCACTTGAACAGCTCTATCCATGAAATCGTTATCAGCCAGTTACACTTGGATAGCGTAGTCCATCGTATATATATGTCATTTGAGAAGAAAAACAACAGGACGATAGGCTAAGGCTGGTTAGTGCTAGATTTTTCATATGTACTTACGAAGCACCACTTCCAATGACAGCAATCCGCTTATTGGTATAGTCAAGATTTGAGTCCCAAAACGTCGTATGGACTATTGGCCCTTCAAATCCTGAGAACTCTTTTGGTATATTCGGGATCCTCAAAGCACCCACACCGCTCACTCTTTACAAAAAAAAATAGAGTGTCAAAATCAATAGCTTATCCACTGGTTATTCATCGATATCGATCACAGCGTTTTACATTGAGTAGTGTTACCAACTGCAACCACAACTGCTGCGCTTCGAACATGTTGATAAAAAACAGCCATGTACTTACACAACGTCGAAATAAGCAGAAGCAGTTTGCTGATGATCATTTGTATTTCTCCACACGAGACACCATTGCTGCTGTTGTTCTTTCCATTCAGCACGAACAATTTTTGTTTCAAACTTGATACGGTCATAGAGATGATATTTCCTAGCGACCCCTTGCAAATAGGCATAAATTTCTGGCTGACTGCTATAGTTTTTTGACCAATCTGACGAAATATAGGGTCTAAATGTAAGCTTTACAGCAACACTTTGTTCGGGTTACTGTACTTGATCATGGAGGCTGTATACCTGGATTCTGCTCGAAGCTGAAAGAATATAAATGGGATGGAATATCACATTCTGCGCCCGGATAACGGTTGGCAAACCATGTTCCTGCCACGTCTGACCATAATTCGAACACTTGTGCCTTGATACCTAGCTCTTTTTCTAGTTTTATGGCAGCACAGATGCCACTGAAGCTACACACACACACAAGACAGTGCATCATAGAATAATCTCAGTACCGTGGCTATTGTAACGAGAAAGAAACAAGCGTGATTAAACTCCATATACCCTGTGCCAATGACAGCAGCAGTGAGTGGCCTTTTGCTATTATTACTGTTGGTAAAGAATGGCATGGTATTTGTGAAGCAAGTGCGGAAAAAGAAGAGTAGCAAGGGTAATAAAGATGAAAGTAAAGCTCTTTTGTTTCGCCGATGGGTTATATAAGAAGTTTTCTCAAGATTCAACATCCAGCAATAAACTAGATATATGCGTGGGAGTAATCCGCTTGTAAGCGTGAATTTTCCAAAATTGGAAATAAACTCCCGCAAAATGACAAGCTTGCCCACCACTCCCTTTCATAAGCTTTTTCTGACCATTTACGGATTCTTAATGACAAAGTGGTAAATTACGCAATGGTCTGTTTGGTTTTAAACTGGTTATTAAAGAACAAAAGGACTAAAAGTGTAGTGGGATCGATCTTGGGTTGGAGGAGGATAGTAGTTGTAGCGCCTAGTATGCTGTGTCAGATAAAACATATATATAGACCTTGAAGAATTCGCTAAAGCCTCATCTTCTATTGCTTATTCACCTTTGCGTTGTATTCTCTATCCACCCCTCCTTGCTCACAGTCCCTGCCCCTTTGCATCTCCTGTATCGCTTAGTAGTATCCGTTCTGTACTATCTACCATCGGACGCCTCATGTGAACGGCATACTCTTCGCCTAAGGCAGCCTCTGGCTGAAGTCCTGCCTTTGATCGTGTACCTCTGCGACGGGTCAAAAGTGCGCTGGTGGGTCCTTGTGAATTCGAAGAATGAATTGCGTAAGTATTTCACATCGAACGACTGAGTGCCCTTTTTTCATGAGACACATAAGCTATCAATACATCAGATGCGTTCGAAGCGATAGACACGGAAGCACATTAACGAGATCCATAACGCATGATGGGTTTATTGCAACTGTTGCAGCAGTAAAGGACACTCTTTGCAAAAGTCGCAATGAGTAATAACTGGGATGGTATGTAGTGCATAGTAATGCCGGATCACACGAGGACAGAATGGTACAGGTAACAGAAAATGCTATTGATGTGTGATCACTTGACAGAAGACGCTCAATACGTTTATGAATGAGTCGAGGTGCATTTATATAGCAAAGGAGGATGTATGATCGTCCGTTATGATATGAGTGTGCAGCTCGCTCTATATGTTTGCAAATGACAAGTACGTATGGCTAGCGCAAACAAAATAGAGACATCCGGAGCATTGTCAGGTGGGACAACTCGTTCAGCTGATTTGGTATGAATAATATCAGATATGCAAGTCTAAATTTTGTTGTGTTTCGTTATCGGATTCCTCTAAATATTGCGGACACAACTCATAGAAGAGTTAAGCAATGTATGATCTGCTATTTTTTGTTTTGTTTTTATGCACAGCGTCATGTTAAATTTGTAAAAAGTCGCGCAATCGCTAGAGTAGGGGGTGGGAAAGAAAAGTAACAGTATGCAGGAGACAATTAAGCAGTTGGAGTAAGAGAGATAAAATGCAGTGAAGATGGATAAAAAGACTATACAAAAAGGTCAACGAAGGAGGGAATTTGTTTTGAAAGAGAAAAAAGAGAATGAAGGGGGGGGGAAAGAAAGGCGATAAAAAGAAGACAATATACAGGTAAATTTTAGATATCGAAAGTAGAGGAGTGTGTGTGTGGTAGAATTTCGTCAGTTGACGTTGTTGCGTAGGGAACTGGTTGCCTAGAGAGAGGCAGAGATCAGGTTTTCAAGGTGGTACCAAAAACGATATCCCACACTTTGGAAGTAATTCCGTATCCACCTTCATAGTCTTTGTAATGGTGAGCCAGATGATATCGCTTCATCTCGCTAAAGTGAATACGCAATACCTGAGCATGGTGCAGATAGTAATGTATGCAGTCGTAGCAGATGTAGCCAAAGTAAGCACCAGCAACAACGGCGTGGGCCGTGGCGCTGTTAAAGAGCATGTGCATCCCTCGAATCACTGGAAAGCCAATCAGCGCCGCTAGTGCTGGAGGCATGACAAGGCGAAGTCTATATAAAATGTGTGTTAACAAACACCTGTTATCCACCCACTCAAGAAAGAGTGTCACCACACTCTCTATAACCCTCGATCGTCCTCGTCAACTTCATATGAGAAATATATATAGGAAACGTACCGATCCATGGGCATGTGGTGGTGGATACCATGGAGTGTGAAATGGAGCAAAAGCGCCACGGGATGATCTGGCAGCCAATCATCCAGATGGAAAACGAAACGGTGCAGGCCATACTCGAGCAGGGTCCAAAAGAACACGCCACCCGCAAAACCTTCAAATGCTCCGATAGGCGATCCGTGATAGCTATTGACCGATCGCCACAATTGGTAGCTAACAAACGGGATCCAGACGATGGGCACGACGTACCACGGGGTATGCGACAGCATGTCTAGCCAAGGGTGACTAAAGTAAGGGACGTACCATGGCACAAACCGTGGTCGATGCACTTGTTCAAGGTAGTATTCTTTGGACCACGTTGCGTGCCATAGTTGCGGGAAGAGCGGCTTGTGTAGATCGAGAAAAGCCTGGTCTCTTGTTGTTTGGATGGGTTGTTGTTGTTGTTGTTGTCGTCGTTTATTAGTGTCACTGTTGATGATTTCGTCCTTTCGTGTTGCGGTAGGAGGGAACACGCCGTCGTTGTCAACGTCGTCTCCGCTTGGCGTTTTTGTAGTCATTGTTGAAGTCGAAAGGAGCAGGTCGTCATCCACATCGGATGACCCATTGGTTGACAAGGCCGGTGTGCTGGTATTCGAACCATGGGTGTCTTTGTCCGCAAGTTCACCCAGATAGTATTCTTCCAAAAGTTCATAGGCAGCATCGGAATGGGTATGCAACAATGCGTCGCCAAGCACGTGTGTAATGTCGGTTCCTGCATACTCGAGCACAATGTCGCGTCCGCCAGGATGATCTACGACAAAATCTGTAATGTCGTAGACTTTGTCCTTGTATATTATCCAGCAGGACTTGCTGTTTTGATGTTCTAGTACTTGACTCGCAGTAAATGTCGCCATGCTCTTCCTTTTCCCCGAGTCTTAAAAAAAAGAAGGTAGTTTTCTCCAAAAAAAAAAAGGGGGGGGGAGAGAGGAGGTGGAGAAAGTCCAAGACCAAGGTCGGTTATAAGAGGACGGTTTTCGATTGCCGCAACCACAAAAAAAAAAGAAAGAGAGCTCGGACCTCTGGCTAACTTACGTTGCTTCTCTTTGTTTCGACAGGTTTGGGAATACTTCTTCCTTTTTCTCTTTTTTTTTTTTTTTTTGGCTCCTTCAGCACACGCTTCCCTAACCCCACCACCCTCCTCGGTTTTTAAAAATTGTTAAAGGTAACAGGAACAAAGAAAAAGTGAACGCCCCTTTTGACGATTATCCCTTTCATTATTATTTTACTGATCTAATCTGTGGTTTTTTTAAAAAAAAAACAATAGGCCCAGCATGCAGCAAACACAACACGCGGACACGAAAAGCGATGCGAAGGTTGCTTCGCAGGACGTTGGTCTCATCTTTGTACGAGAGTACTATACCTTTCTGAACAAGCAGCCACAACGATTGCATGCATTTTATAACAAGGATTCGTTGTTTTTGCGAGGCGATGAGGGCGAATCGGCCCAGATTTACCGTGGTCAAGAGGTAAAAAAAAAATAGAGTTTCTTTTTGCCCCTTCGCTAGCCTGTTGCTGACTCGTTTGGCGGCGCGGGGTAGAGTAGGCTGCATATATCATGCATGAATGTCTCATAAAAAAAAACTTACAATGGACTTTTTTTTACTATCCAGGAAATCCAAAGCAAGATCGAAGAACTGCAATTTGAAGACTGCAAGGTGCTTGTCACTCAAGTGGACAGCCATTCATCGGCCAACGACGGCATCCTCATCCAGGTGTTGGGTGAAATGTGCAACAAGAATGAACTTTCGCAAAAGTTCAGTCAGACGTTTTTCCTTGCCCCGCAAGCCAATGGTTATTATGTGCTCAATGATATTTTCCGGTTCCTAAAGAATGAGGTCAACATTGACTACTACACCTGTGAGGACGACGAGGCTCAACATGAACAGCAATTGGATCAGCAAAAGGTCAAGGCACAGCAAGAATTGGAACAAAAGAGGGAACAGGAGCAACAGCTACAACAACAGAAGCAGCAACAGCAACAGCAACAAAAGAAGGAATCTACTGTACCTAGTGTAGAAGCATCACCCATTGCTGCTGTTGGTGACATCAAGGAAGAAAAGGAGCAACCCCAACTGCAGCCTGTCGAGCCTGCGGCAGCTGTGGAATCGGTCAAGAAGGAAGAACCCAAGAAGGAACAGGTGGAAGTCAAGGAGGAGGTTGCGGAAAAGAAAGAACCTCAAGTGAATGGTGCATCTACTACCGCGACTGCTGTACCTGCAGCTGAGGCGAATGGCAAGGAAAAACCAAAGGCGATGAAACAAGAATCCGAGAAAAAGCATCAGCAGCAGACAACGACTGCGAAACCATCCAAGCCAAGCGCTGCAAAAACATGGGCTAACTTGGCTGCCAATGACTCGGACAAATGGGCAGATGCCAAGGCACCCGTGACTGGATCATCCGTTGGCCAACAACCCAAGCAACCCGGATCGCCTTTGCAACCTCAGGCACAAGCTCAACAACCACAGCAACAACAACAACAACAGGCGCAACAACAACAGCAGCAGCAGCAGCAGCAGCAGGCGCAACCATCTCCTCAACAACAACAACAACATCATCATCATCATCATCAAGCACCTTCTCATCAGCAGCAACAAGGCCACCCTCACGGTCATGGCCAACGTAGAGGTAAAGAAAAAAGAAAGGAGAGCACAGGAAGGATGGGTTAGCTAACTTGCTACTCTAGAAGAAACACAAATTTTCATCAAGAATGTAAACCAGCATATCAATGAGGACAACCTTCGTGCAGCATTCGCACAGTTTGGCACGGTCAAGGGCGTGAATGTTGTGCATGCCAGGAACTGTGCGTTTTTGGATTTTGCTTCGACCGAATCGGTGCAAAAGGCATTGAGCCAACACAAGGTGCATGTCAATAACCAGATTGTTCTGGCCGAAGAACGTCGTCACAATGGCGGCGGTGCCGGTGGTGGTGGTGGTGGTGGTGGTAGATACCAGCATAATCGCCAGCAGCAGAATGGACGTCCGTATGAACGTCGGTTCCAGCAGGATGGCGGTGGTCATCGTCGTGGTGGCGGTGCGCCACGAGGAGGCAAGTCGCGTGGAGGAGGAGGAGGAGGAGGTGGTGGTGGTGGTGGTGGTGGCAGTGGCACTGGTCCGAAATAAGTTATGTATGGACCACAACAACGATAACGATGACGGGCAAGATGACAGGAGCCGTTCCCTCTCGATCCCACTACTACCTCCTTTCCCCTCCAATTATACATACTACAGTTTGCATTTGTACGAAAAGATAAAAGAACACCCAACTATCCCTACACACCGTATATACTCACTCACTCATTCATTCATTCTCTCTAAAAGGCATGTACACAGCACTTCTTTGCAAAATATTTCCCTCTTCCCCCCCCCACCCCTCGTTTCTCTAAATAAGTAAACATGGTAACCAGCACTTATGAATGGCTGCTTAATACCTCCGATGAGGGTGGAGCAAAAAAATGGCCCATACCATTTAAGGCAATCTATCCAAAAGTATTGAAAGAGATCATCACACACAGCGAAACCAGAGTGTGGTGTCTGCCGGACCCCCCCCCCAACCCAACCCAATTCATACTGTTGCTATAATTGCAGCGTCCGTCGTGTCTCTTCTCGTACTATACACTCCCCTCTTTCCCACTCTTTCTTTTCATCTCGGAACAAGCGGGAACAAGAGGATACCCCACCCTCCCCTCACCCTTTTAACAACTTCACCGGCAATAGCTTGAATCGGGTCTATAACGACAACAAGAATCGACGCAAACGACGGTCGCCCCCCTCCCCCCCTCTTTGTATAACGCTTATTTTCCTCTTCCATCAAACATATTATAAAAAAGTTTAATAATTCGGAGCATCTTTGGTCTCTCTTTCTTTCTTTCTTCCTTTCTTCTATTTCTGTTGGGCCACTCCCCATTGACCAACAACCCCCTCTTTCTTTTTTCAATCCCAATTCCCTCCTCCCTCCTCCATCCCTTTCATCTTTTTTTTTTTCTTGATTCGTAAGTTTGCTTTAAAGATCTCGGATCGCTTTATTGATGATGAACTTGGCTCAACACATGGACTCAATGTTATATATTTATAACAATAATAGAAATCGATCGGTTTGGTCATATATTACAGTTGGGGTTGCCACCTTCTCTTTACCTGTTCATTACACAAGAGCCGTTTATTCACTGTAACGACGGCACACGACGACATTCGTTAATAACAATCTTCTTTTACTCTACACGAGCATCAACGTGTTTCACATCACACCAACTTCCATCGTCATCATCATCATCATCATCATCACCATCATCTGTAATTTGCAACAAACAAAATAATCTTTCTTCCAAAGGTAACTGAATTGTTGTGGGGTTGTACAGAAAAGGATTTTGTACAAGCATATATAGCTGTCTCGTAGGATGTGTATACTGAGGAAAGGGTCAAAGCACAGTCGATTAACCTTAATTTAGCATCACTATAATTTGTCAAGAAACGTATAATGACGCCATCCAATGCTTCCTTAACCACCAGCACTTCCACCATCATGAAACACACTGCCGCAGAACCTGAAGGCACAAAAAAGTCCCGCTTTTCTCCGTCTTACTAGTAAGTCAACACTTTAAGAGCATGTTTGCACATTATGCAGATCTCAGGATGGATAGGATGCTAAAAAAAAAAGAAAACCATTAGCGACGTGTATGCTGGCAACCCACCCCCATCGTCCGCACAAATGATGATGAGCAGCGCTTATTCACCAGGCCCGGGCACATACCATCAGACAACAGCCTCCAATGCCTTTAGTCAATATCCCAGCAGCGCCACTTCGACGTATGCCAACTACCCGACAGGCAATGGCAGCCAACAAGCTGCTGGTCTGAACGGACCACCGACGCCACAATTTGTGCAAAGCACATCCCTGGGTCCACCCTCGCCTGCTGCAGCGCTGGTATCTCCCTTTTCGACGCCACAATTCACCAATGCGACCACTGCTGCTGGCTATTCGCCCCACCATCATCACCATCATCCTCATCATCACCCGCACGCGCATCCGATGCCATCGCCGCAACAACTCTCCTCTGCATCGCACCAGACTGCTCGGACAGTCTATGTGGGCAACATTCCCACCGACACGCCTGTGTCTGAGATTCTCGATCACGTCAAGGCGGGTCATGTCGACTCAATCCGGCCACTTCCGGAAAAGAACTGCGTGTTTATTACGTTTGTGGAAGCCAGTGCGGCAGCCCAGTTCTACCACGAAACCACGACGACCAAGAAGCTGACCGTGAACGGTGCTGAGCTCCGTGTTGGGTGGGGCCGGCCAAGTTCAATCCCGACTCAGATCCACGTGGCATTGCAAAACGGCGCAAGCAGAAACGTCTTTTTGGGCTCGCTCGATGGGACGATCGTCACAGAACAATACCTGGACGATCAGCTGTCACGCTTTGGTCCGATTGAACATATCAAGCTGATCAAGGATAAGAATATCGCCTTTGTCCATTTTCTCAGCACGTCGAGTGCTATCAAGTGTGTCGCCTCGTTGCCCAATGAAAAGGAATGGGGGTCTCGTCGTGTCAATTACGGCCGTGATCGGTGTGCTCCTTCGTCGAAATCTTCCGCGGCGACGTCGAACCATTCTTCTTCGACGACAACAACAACAACAACAACAACAGCAACGGCTGGTGCTGGTGGTGCGACGACAACAACTTCGGCAGCTCAGGCAGCCGCAGCAGCTGCAGCCGCAGTAGGTGCAACGACTTATATGCCCCATCATCATCATCCTCACCCTCATCACCAGGTATATCCCTCTTCGACAAGCTACCCCAATACCTTCCAAGTCCGGTTCCCGTCGACCGTGTCGTATGATCCATATACGGGTGCAGCTGTCGAAACGTATCCAGCATCGCCGGTTGCAGCAGCCAGCGTAGCCGCTGCAGCCGCTGCGGCAGCAGGCAGTCCCTCAGCAACAGCATCTTTGATGGGCGTTGCTAACCGCACCATCTATTTGGGCAACATCCACCCGGACACGACATGCGAAGAAATCTGCAACGTGATCCGCGGAGGGATTCTGAGCCAGATCCGGTACTTGTCGGACAAGCACATTGCCTTTGTGACGTTTGTCGATCCAGCATTGGCACTGCATTTCTACAACCAAGCGCTGTACCATGGACTGGTGATCAAGAACCGGCGTCTCAAGATTGGATGGGGCAAAGCATCGGCCCTGTCGCCGATGGTCATGTCAGCGGTCCAGAACGGTGGATCGCGCAATGTCTATCTCGGCAACATTGATGAGACGATCACGGAGGAAAAGCTCAAGCAGGACTTTTCGGACTATGGCGAGATTGAATTGGTCAACACGCTCAAGGAGAAGAATTGTGCGTTTGTCAATTTCACGAGCATTGCTGCTGCAGCCAGAGCGATTGAAGGGATTCGGTCCAAGGAGGAGTACAAGAAGTTCAGGATCAATTATGGCAAGGATCGGTGTGGTAATCCGCCTCGTATGCATAACAATGGTCGGCACCCACAGCAGAGTCAGGGGGGTGGTGGTCAGAGTCAGCAACAGCAACAGCAGCAGCAGCAGCAGCAGCAAAAGATGGATCCGGCCCTGTTGACGCCGTCATCGGTTACGGCGGACTCAAAGGACGAGCACCAGCAGCTTGAAGGAGAAGAGGACGACCAAGGCCAACATCATTCAACCTGTTCTTCGCAAGATGCCGTTGTGCCAAATGTGGATACGGTCAATAGTGCATTAGAGTCTGTGCTTGTGCCGAATGGGTAAATATTGACACTCTATGTTTGCGCCACGTGTCGATCTACATTTTTTAGTCAGTTACTAACCATTTTTTAACCCTTGAATGTGTGTTATTTTAATATCATAGCATCTAATTATCTACACTGCAGCATAAAAAAAAATATACGACGCTCCTCTAAAATCAAGCAATTACCCACCTTCTTTATTAACACCCGCCTTTGTTTTAAAACTTTACACAATTTGGAAGAGAGCGGGGAAGCGAACAAGTTCCGTTGTGAAATCCCGAGTTGAGAGATTTGTCCCTGTACATTTGCCCTTGTTTATTTGTAATCTCCTCCGCCGCCCCCCCCCCACTCACGCACTCACTGTTATTCAACCACTTTACACATTACCTTTTCTCAAACAACAACAAAAAAGAAATTGACAATGACCCCCATTAAAAAAAAAAAAAGTACGCACAACCCCGCCTTGTTTTCAACCCTAATCTCATCAAAAAACATTTATACACATACTTCATCACCCCATATATATTACAATTTACAAGTATAACAAAAAAAAATAGATCTTTTTTTTTTAAACCGTGTTTTCCATCCAAAATGTCGTCATGTCATTTACCAGCAAGATACTAACTGGGAGCAGCAAAGTCGTAATAAAGTGATTCGATTAGACGTTATGTACCGAGAGAGAAACAACGACTGAGTCTGTTTCGACTTTTGCGAAATCACGATCAGCATCCAAAGCTAATCGATGATCACAGCTCCATATCGTATTTGTTTTGTTATGATACCACAAAAATCAAGGAGTGACGAAAGGCAGCGCTTGACTAATTCTCTTCGACTGCAACATTTCGGCCGATTCAAATCGAGCTAAAATACATGTCATTGATACGTCGTGTTACAAACACGTCAAGAACACACCATGCTTGCTCCCCTGTTACAAGATAAGCAATTCGTTTTTTGATCGGGCGTCTCCTTTTTTTTTTTCGCTTACATGTATAATATCTGTTGGAGATATTATTTTGTTGTTTCCAAACTGCAGATTCCCCCCCCCCACTATATAGTTGCACACGTTTTAGCTTAAATTTCTGTAATAAGCCCCCTGGTTCATGGACTGACAAATGCCAAAATCACAATTCAGTGATGCGACAAAAAAGATCTGTTGCTGCTCGTCGATTTTTGCTTTGCTATCTAGAAAGACGCTACGAGATACGTGAGGGGGCTGACATTGTCGTCGTCGTCGTCGTCTTCTCCCACTGTCACAGTGAGTGTCCTCCTTCTGGGGCTTGTACTAGAAAGCAAGTATGTATGATTGGAGACAAAAGTTATTGCTGCAGTATCTGATCCATCGTATAGAATGGCGCGTCATGTTGAGTACTCAAAAGTGTCGCTGTGCCTTTTCTTTTTATGTACGTGCGTTTGGGTGTTTCATATTTCAACAATTAAAACAAATCGATACATCCGTAGTTGCTTCAATCACTTTGCAATGCCTTCTTGATATTAAAAGATGGTATGCTATCTGGGGCAACTCATTGTTTGACACAAGCACAATGCACGGACCATGTAGCAAAATTGTTGTGACACCCCGTCGCCTAGCTATTATCAGTACATCCTGAGAGTACGTCAGAAAAAATACAGAGCTTGTTGTCTTGGCAACAGCAAGGAATTCTTTTGGACTTGGAACTCGTTGATCAAGTTAAATGTGCTAAACCTGAACTTTCTCACAGAGTACGCACACGATAGGCACATCACTCATAAGTAGAATCGTATTGATGGCTTTTCATCGAATGCTAATACACTTGGATGTGTCCCATTTGGGGCGAATGTACATGTGCCATACCACCCCCTTGAATATATAAATGTCTGTCATCTCTTGAAGCAAAATATACCACATGTCTTTTTGCGCATTTGAAGCCCTAAATGATTTATATGAGCGTCAACCAGTAAGTACTGCACTAACGCTGTACGCTTTCTCGGTAGTTGACCATCTGGGTTACCGGGGGGGGGGGCAACAGGTTTTGTCTACCTTCAAGAAGACGGGGACGTCCCACTTTTATATGTAGCGCGAGGAGACTTTACCAGCCTCAGTAGAACATGGCCGGTATCCAAGTGTTCCAGAGTGGAAAACACGAAATCGCGGTGATTATAGCTCCACTCGGTCAGACTGACACAGAGAGGGAAGTCTGGATGGGTATCCAAAATGAAACCAGCCACTCTCTGTCTGTTAATATAGCAAGAAATATAAATGTCCTTAGAGGGGGGGGTTTCATACATGTTTAAAACAAGCCGTGACCCTCGTCATTGTTTTTTTCTTTCACTTATTGACATATCCCAGTCTAGACAGCTCACACAGACTCTGGTGGCATCCTTTTTACTCCAATCGTCTACATTGACAGCTGTACATTTACTTGTCGAGAGTGCTCTATGGTACCAAACATGTCAAACGTATGATATATGGATGGGTCTTTTTTTTTTTTTTTTTTGCTTGTCAAAGGATGTTTGCACAATCGCATGGAGAAAAAAAAGTAAGGTCTCGTTTCTTTTTTTTTTTTAAATTCAATGCATGGACATCTTTCTTGCATTCCGTGTAAGAGTATAGTGCGACGTGGTACTGGAGTTTTCTTGCACGTTATATTTGTCTTTACAAAAATACATACATATGCCTGACTCTACAAGAAGAATGTTTGCATTGCGGTACACACAGATGACAGTGTAAAGCATGCGTAAACCATCAAGTAGACAGGTCTTGTTGTTGAATTAGGGATATAACTGGGACATACATGGATAGAGTCTTTGGGCTGAGGATGGTGGTACAAGAATGATGCAGATCAATATAGACTTGCCTCTTCTTGTTAAAACCAAAAGCATATTACTGTATCGTTTTTTAAGCTGGGAAAGACTCGACACCAGACTTTTTTTATCTTACTATTTCAAACATAGCAAAGATGTGATGTGCATATCCATACAGGCTACTCAATATTGTAAAAGCATTCTCGTAATGGTGATGATAGAAAGGGTATATAAAGCTGTATATATAGGAATCGTCGCACATATTCAATGCTAAATATCTGCTGTACTACGTTTCCTTGCCATGGTGTTCAGATAGGCTATTATTAAGGTCAAATAGCTGCTCCGGTACTTATGTGATAATGAGCAATGACCCCAAAACAATAACGTTCTTGAAAACAGCATGTCTACAAATAGATATAAAGCGTCCTTTAGTGTGTGTGTGTGTGTCCACTGAGATACAGGCTGTCATTCCACGTTTTGTAGGATGTACGACGATAGAACTTTGAAATCATATGTCAAAAACAAGCATAAAGCTATCACATACTGGACATTAAAACCCTTATGTAATAAACCGATCGTCAATAGTAGGTATAGAGTGGCGGGAACCGACCACAAAATTCCAGATTTGTAAAAAAACATCATGTCGTTCGTACGCGCCTATAGATTTAAGATCATGATGGATGCCCTTTGTCCATCCTTACCGGTGCTATCGGTATGAGGGAGTACAAAGAGAGAGAGAGAGAACTTGTAGCTTCGATTGAAGAAAAGCATCATGTCATTCCATCTTTTTCGCTCCGATGCAAATGCAAAACAAAAAAAGGTCTGAAACGTGATGATTACGCATCTTTTATACAATCCAAAGTTCCCATGAACTGTCCATTTTAGTTGTTATTGTTATTGTTGTACCTGCTGGACCTTTGATGTATAAAAATCCCTGCTCGGCCCGAGCAAACAATAACCTGACAATTCTGCCGGGGTCTGGTTCACTGATCGATTACCAAAAAAAATCTTCTTCTTTGCTGAGAGCGTATGTCATTACAAAAAAAGTAATAAAAAAAAAGTTCCCTGTTGTACGACCGTAAAACGCAAATTCTCTTATGGAATCACTCTCGCTTTATATACAGCGCAGTCAATGTGTCTGAGCGTCTAAAATACGACAGTAAATGCATCGGATCGGGGGGGGGGAGACCACATGCTTTGTTGTTGGAGAGACAGAGAACCTTGGATGTAACAAGTTTCAGAGAGAAGTTCTTGCATTTTTTTTTCACATGCGCGTCATTGCCAAGGACATAAATTATCTTAGAAACGAAAGGATGGGGGGTGGGGTTGGGTTGGGTCTGCTGGGTGTTTTGGGGGGAGGTGAGACAGGTTGCTAAGGAACGAACAAAAAGCATATAAGACAGCCACCCGAAACGTCTTTTTTTCCCGCTCTTTTCCTTTTTCTTCTTCTTCTTTGCCTCTTGTTGTTTTGTACTTTGTGCTTTTTTAACCCAGAAAACCATGACTATCAACTGGACTCTTCCTGTAAGCCTTCTATACAGCAACCGCCCGAATCACACAAAACGCGCCCCATTCAACTTTTTGGCAATGAATTTTTTTGTTAGATTCCCGAGACTCCGTCTCCCAACTACGTCATTGTCAAGAACATTTCGCCTAAATCGTCTGAAAAGACAGGTAAACTTTTTCAGTCTGTTTTGACGCAACAACAAGGCGATTGAGGAGACCAAAACTTTAATCCAAGACCTACTCGCTACTCCGTTTAGTCAAGGAGTTCTTTCTCTTTTGCGGCAAAATCAAAGAGTTTGAAATGGTCAAGTAAGTTAGAGAGAGACTTAAAACGCCGGGTTCATATCATGTGTGTGTGTGTGTGTGTGTGTGTGACAGAGCGAGTGTTGGTTTGCGAAATGTGGGGGATTTGTTGGGGTTACAAGAGAAATAAACAGAACACCTCCCAGGGAAGAAGAACAGCAAACAGCCTTGATCAATTTCGAACGCGAGTCAGCTGCCAAGACTGCCGCCTTGCTTAGCAATGGTAGGGTCTCGTGTGCTTCTTGAAAAGGCGTATCTATCTGTTTATACTTACCAAGGAGTGCCATTTTGGGGCCTTTTTTGACAGCTTTGATCGGTGATCGCCACATTATCGCAGCCCCATATTTTGAGTCGACTGCATCCGGCATCGATGAGCCCGAAAACGATGGCGAAAACAATAATACCCAGGAAACCAAGCCAAAGGCGCGTATTGCTGCTGAGATCTTGGCAAACGGCTACCTGCTCCAAGATCACGTTGTTGCCAAGGGTCTCGAGTATGATACAAAGTACCACCTGTCTACGCGTATGACTAGCTATCTTCAAACCCTTCAAACCAGCAGTAAGTTTTTTCGTCTTTTTGTTTTGTTCTGGATAAAGGTTTAACATGGTGGTTTGTTGTTGTTGTTGTTGTTGTTGTTGCGGGGATCAATCAGTGAAGACGTTTGATGACAAGTATCGCATTTGGGACAAGGCCATGGAATACAATGAAAAGTTCAAGATCCAGGAGAAAGTCAACACCGTTGCTTCGACTGCACAGACCCGTGCTGTGACCGCGTTGCAGACCCCAACAGGTCAAAAGATGCACGACTTTGCCCAACAAACGTTGGCTCAAATTGCTGCTGTCCACTATGAAGCCAAAAAGATCCAGAGCGACAAGCTGATCCAGCAAGCAACAGCAAACACCAACACGGCTGCCCCTGCTGAACCTGAAAAGACCACCACCACCACCACCACCACCACCACCACCACCAGCACTGCTGCTTAAATCATGATAACCACCAACAAAGAAACATACCCTCCTGCCCTCCTTTTTTTTTTTCCTTTCATGAAACCCAACTACTTGTTTTAAAAGGAATCTTGTATTGTTACCCTATTATCTACATCATCATATCCCGCTCTCTCTCTCTCTCTCTCTCTCTTCCTCTTCCTCTTCATAATAATAATCAAAACAAACAGATGATTAAAAGAATGGATATCTTGACCGGTGTCATTGATTTGTAACACCTGGTGAGCCTTCACTAATGTGTGTGTCCAGGATACAGACCATGTCAATCCTGATCCGACGTTTCAACAGCATTCGTTTTCTTTGTATTGATAGGTCTTGACAAGAGAGTGTCTATTTCAATTTTTGTACTGCTTTTTTTACACGATTCTTTTTTTATTTAAATTGGGGCCTGTATGAACGTGTCGCTCATTCCACCCACGCGCACCACCCATTGCGATCGGCGCAAAACACTATCGACGTCTCCTTTGAAGAAACAACGTATGAATCCGACGACAATGTGTCATGCGATAACAAAAGACTTGGACACGACAGCAGGATTAGCCCAACGACTGGTCCATGTCACGACACACATGCATCAGGACACTGAGCCCAGTAACAAAAAAGAAGAACAAGACGACTGCCTACTGGCGCTGGCACGACAAATAGGCTTGTGCAAACGCAGTTTACGGTTCTCTGAAAAGGCGTTTGTGGACATTTGGTTAGATCAGCTGTTGGTATCAACAACCACGCTATCCTCTCCGTTACTTGTGTATCACGCATTGGCACGCGACACGTGTTTGACGCTTGGCACCTTGATAGTTGGAGCCGAGTTACACTGGCTGACGGATCAATGTCAACACTTGATATGCATGGTGCCTCCTTCATTAGCAGCCTATCGAGGTTCGTTCTATTTTGTCTTTTGTGATAGCCTCCCTCCCTCCCCAACAAATATCAATACTCTTTATTTTTTGTGTTGTGTGAAATAGACTATGTCGAGGCAATGATTGTGGAATCAAGATGGGATGCTATCCATGCATTGATTGACGAAGAAATGGAAACCATGCGCTCGGTCTGGTCATCATCGTTAGCGTAAGTGACACACCTGTTCAACCATCAACTTAGGGACCCCCCTTAAAGTAAACTGACATTCTTTTTTCTTGACCCTCCTCCTGATCCTCGTCAGGAACGACAAGAAAGCTTATGCGAAAAGATGTCATCACATGGAACAATTCTTTGTTATCATGCACGATCCACAGCGGCTCAAGATGTTTTCTCAAGATGAACGGCGCAGTATGGTGAAAACACATGTACTAAATCGACTCTTTGCTCCTGACCCAGAGATGGATGGCATGAAAGCAAAACAGCTGCCAGTAGAAGGTAAAACAGGAAGAAAAAAGATTCATCCATTGTGAATGACACTGACAAAAAAAATACATTTCTACATACGCACAAGATGAACGAACCTTGTTGATCCATGGACCTGTATTGCGACACTTGACTGAATGGATCCATCCATCGACATTACTATTACCAGAAACGGCAAGCACAACCAAAATGTTTGTGTAGTAATAATCAAACACCGGGGCTGACCCTTGTTGTTGTTCCATTATAGTCTCTATCATCCATCCACTTGCGGCTCATGCTTGGATTATACATGTGCATATGCCAAGATGTGTCTGAAGCTTATGAAATTGGTAAAGCTACCGATATGCTCCAAGAACTAAACGATGCTGCCACAGCGATTGTCACCAACGGATTTCGAGACAAGGAAAGAATGGCAATCGTCATGACCATGGTTCAGTTCTTGTTACTGCATGCAGGTGAACACATGTTGGGATTACGGTATCCAAAATGGTTTCAGGTATAGAGTCAATGGAAAGAGGATGGATTTTGTGGTTGGGGCATTTCTTTTTCTCTAATATTTAACTATTATGGGGGGAACGTAGCAAATGTTTATTGATCCAGCGTCAACACACCTTCATACCGCCCGCATGGGCCAGCAATTTCTGGAATTCTTGGAATCTCTGGTGAGCAGCGATATACCCGCCGTGTTACAGGTATACGTCTATCTTGCCATTTTCCCCTGCCCCATGTTGACTGACAATCGACCATCCATATGTGATGTTATTTTTTCAAATGTTAAATATATATATATGTATGTATAGATGCATGGCAAAGTATTACAAGGCGATAGGCATTTACCTGTTCAAAAGTTCATATCTGCAGTGAAAACCAGATTGATGGAGCTTGGGGTAAGACATCAGTAGCAGTTTCTATCCTTTTTTAAAGTGTCATCAAGGAGAAAGCGTTGTATATGTAAAATGGGTTGTGCTGACAATGTGCTGCGAAAATAATGATAGCTGGATCAATCTTTACGAACGCATCCAACATCAATATACCAGCCGGTTCAAATCACACAACAACAACAACAACAACAGGACCGCTATCATCATCATCAAGCAGGTACTAATAATCACCACCTCGGCATTGGAGGTAGTAGTAGTAGCGGTATTAGTAAAAATGCTGCTGCAAGCGGTAATGGGAATAGCCATTATGGTGCGGGCAACATGGCAACACAAGAAAAGACGGTGGAAACAATCTTGACGTCATTCCAAAAATCCGGATTGATACCGAAAAGTTTACTGGAAGATGCCATCTTTCGTCCACTGTGGTTCAAAAAGACCTTTTTACCAGCGCTGCTACAGTGGCAAGGCAACAGTGATTTGCTTTTGGCACGGGATCAATTGATGGCGGCTTTAAAAGAGCGCAAAAAGATTTCAGATCAAGTATATAATGACTATCTCAAACAACAACAACAACAACAAATTAAATAAAAAGGGTGGTTTCCCATCTATATAGAACATGACAGCGCAATCAACTACCCACGTTATCCAATTCACCTATCATGCTTGCTCTCTGTTGGTAAGAATATTAGAATATGTATATAACCCGAAAATGCTGGGTTTTTACAAAGTTTCCAGTACAGGCAGTACATACGCAAGTTGATTGGCTGGACACTGTCAAAAGGGACTTCTGGTGCTCCATTATACACACGCCCGGAACCCAGAAGCTTTTTTTCCAGATGGGGTCACTTGTGGAAAGACGCATAAAAAATATCGACTGATCGAACATAGAACGTATAACTGCAAATCTCTATAATTCTTTTCTTCATGCGTTAGATCCATGTGCTTTTACAAGAGAGAAAAGAAGGTATACGCTGTAAATCAGCAAAAGTATATATGCCTTCGTACAGAAAGTATTCCTGAAAAGCATACGACAACAAAAAAAGTGATAAAATAAAGAGATACATTGTAGTTAGATAAATAGAAAGTCTTATCTCTTTGTTTTATATGTAAAATCGAGTTTACGATGAACGAAAGATAGGAGCTGGACAAAACAACGACAAAGACGAATTTCCCGAAGCGGGGAGACAAGCAATAATATAGCGACTACAACCACGCTGCCGGATTATCTATATGAGCCCGCCTATTGGCTGAGGGTCATGTTATACGCTCAATGCAGTTTGTATGTGCGTATAAATAGGGGGCACCCCATCACCTTGGTGGTTTTTTTCGACTTTTTGCTCTTTCCTCTACTTGAATATCATGACTTTCACTATTGAACCTATCAAGCCTACTGCTGCTCAAAGCGGTGTTGACTTTGGTGCCATGATCAACGACTTGGATCTCGAAAAGTTAACAGGTAAAAAAAAAAAAGAAAAGGAAAACCTTTTCCTTATCTTTCTGGTTATTCACACTCCCCATCTTTTTTTGAAATACAATGACCCTATACAGACCACGACTTTGAAAAGTTACAAGAAGCTGTGTACACGCACCAGGTCGTTGTTGTCCGTAACCAATTGCATGTACAGCCCCAAACACAATACAATATCACCAAACGGTTCGAACCCGAGGTCGACACCTACGGCCACGGCAAGCAGCACCGTGCCGAACAATCTGTGATTGCGCGTGATCTGTCCCCCTTGCCCGAGGTGCCTCAAGTCCAATTGCTTGGCCATGGCTTGGTCAAGAACTACCAAGGCGTCGAGGAACGTCAATTGACCCATCCACATCACAAGGTGTTTCACCAGACCGTCATGGCCAAGGAGGATGAAGAGGCTGGCAAAACCCGGTTTTATCGATGGCATATGGATGCTGCGCTTTACAAGTTGAACCCGCCCAAGGTGACGAGCTTGTTTGGCTTTAAGAACCCTGTAAGTAACTCCCGAGAAAGAGTGTGATTAATGGGCGTTTATCATGCATTTGTGTTTATATAAAATGCGAGACAGGTATTGACGTGTTTCCCTTTCTTTGATTAGGAACCCCGACGACAGACTGTTGTATATGACGATGGCACTGATGATACATTGGATGTTCAATTGGGTACCACTGCTTGTAAGTGAACATACACACTTTGGATGCATAAACCCGGGGGGGGGGGAGTGGGGTATTTCGAGAGACGAGGATAGACAGAGGGGGAAAAAAGAGGGGATTCATCGGCTTTGCCCATGGTGGGTTTACTAAAAAAAGAATTGTTTTGATGATGCAGTCATTTCGGGCCAACATGCATTCGAACTGTTGCCACCGGACTTGAAGGAGTTGGCATTCCGTACCAAGGTCAAATACGCACCTCACCCCTACTTGTGGATGTCCAAGGCACGATCTCGATCGACGGGTCTCGGCATGGTCAGTGAAGGCAAAGAATTGTCTCAAGAAGAACTGCCGCCGATTGAAGAAGAAGCCATCAAAATCTACCCCATGCTGTGGAAGAATCCTGTCACGAACAAGATCCATCTGCAAGTGCATCCTGCGGCCGTCCAGGACTTGATCATTGATGGTAAGCCCATGGGTGATCTTGAAAAGGTCCGTGAATTGTTGTACAAGATGCAACGGCCTGCTATTTCTCCGGAAAACGTTTATGCGCATGAATGGCAGGATGGTGATATGGTCTTTTTCCACAACCGGGGCGTCTTGCATTCCGTGGTGGGCTCGTTGAAGGAGACGGATGTCCGTATCTTTCAACAATGCAACATGGCTTCGGCCCAAGACCCTATTCCTGTCACTGAAGAAGACTTTGCTCCTTATCGTAATGCTGCGAGCACCGCTTAAAAGACAAAGAGTTCTCTTTTTCTCCTACTTGCCATGTAAACATGTATATACCTTTCTATTCCTTTTTTTTGCTCTTCACACCGACCCTTTAAGCCAATGAGTTACCCACACTTTGTCGTCTCTCCAAATACAAATATCACACACTATTTTCTATGTGACAGTTTCCTGCATATACTGAGAACATAAAAGAGATGGTATGGAAGCAAGACTATTTACGCATAGTGGATAGCTATAATAGAGAAAGAATTTTATGTTGATATGTATGTATACAGAGCATTATATGCTGACACAATGATGGATAACACTGCTGAGTAAAAAGTATTTAAAAAAGAAAGGGTAATATGCTACTAAATTATAATTGTTTGTACATTTCGGGTTGCGTTTTGAGTGGTGTGCGATTGTTGTTGTTTCTTCAAGTGGAAAATGAGCTGCTATAGAGTGTGAGAAGGCGGTTGTTGATAAAAAATGATAGTATGCAAAATATGGAAAAAAGAAAATGGTTGCACCAAACAATTCATCGAGCTGTCATGGGGTGCGTGTTTGTATCAGTGATATGCAATCCGCGGTAGTTCATCGTTTGGGAGAGTATAGAAAGAGACTTCAGGACCGTCGTTTACAAAGTGATGTCTGTGGTGCCACAAGATTTCTTTTGCGGATGTCGTGCGTGCGGGTGACAATGGTAAGGCATGAAACAATACCTGCCGAGATATATAGTTATCATATTAGATGAGTGGAGATGCATCACAGAGTTTAATTGACTTGGTTTTTAAAACTGCCTTTTTACAAATGAACTTACAAAGGCTATATTGAGTTTGTGTGTTGGAGCAACAACCCGATGTGTGTTTTCGATTAATTAATTACGTATACAGTAAATGTTTCATCATTGTTAGTTCAATCGTTCTATGAACTATTGGACTCTTTGATAATAAAATAAATGCCAGATGTTGTGTGTGTGTGTGGGGTAAACTTACACAGTCGCTAGACTTGTGCTTGGCTTGATTAGGTAATACAAGCATGCAACGTGGGGGCGGGTTTTTATATATATATATATAGAAGCAGTATGTATAACAAATACGTTAGCATCTACTCACGGTTTCCATTCCGGTCAGTAAAATATGTGGAATACAAGAAATGGGGTTTTTTTTGCTTACAGGACCCGCAAAGATAGCAACAAAGCATGGGCGCCGTGGTAGGATTAGAAGCATACATTTTCTCGGATGATGAGGAATAAAAAGGTGTATGGACAAGAGAGAGAGAGAGAGAGAGAGAGAGAAATATATAAGAGAAGAAGAAAGAAAGAGAGAGAAGGGGAAGATGTAAAAAGAAAGGGATTTTTTTTCTCTCTCTCTCTTATTGCTACTATACACGTTCTTGTGTGTGTGGATGGGTCCAGACCCTGGGGAGAGCAGCAGCTGTCACACAGCCCTCTCTCTCACATCATCGTCAGAATTCAACCATCATGCCAGTTACTGTATATCGCTCTTTTTCATGGGCTTGTCTCAATTTGACATTTGGCTCAAATAAGCGATAACATGTCCATCGACGTGGCAAATCTATCTTAAGCTGCTCCTAGAATTTCTTTATGCTCGAACCCTCCATTGTTATTAGATATAAACGGTGACGCCTCTCTCTCTTCTAATGATATGCATCCCCCAATTGTTTAAGACTGTTGTTGCTTTATTGTAACCTTGCATCTAACATTGCTGCGATAAAAACAAGATGATGGTAAAACCCACATCTCCAAAGATAGTGAGAGGCTTTTACTCTTCCTTGAACGCATCCGGATATGTGGAATCACACATGAAAGGGTTTTGGCCACTGTCAATAATAATGATAATAACGATAGTTTACGGAAAAACCATTAATTATAAAGTTAGTGTAAAAGCTGTCATGTTACTAATTACTATTCTTCCCCACCAAACACACACACTAACACACATCTCCTCCTCCTCGTCTCTCTCTCTCTCTCTCTAACTCGAGAGCGAACAATACAGGTTCAAGTTTTGTTTTTTTTCACGCATAAAAGAGAAAGAAGAGTAAACCATTACCACCAAAGCGGCTGAAGTGCTTCAGCTTGAATGCCTCGTTTCACTAATCGGTATCGCCAGTCAAAGATTCGCAACATGGCGTCGCCAAGATCACGCTGCTGTTGGTTCTTATCGCGACGCCCTGACCACATGACCTCTGCCGCGGCTGCGCTCCGTGGCCTAAACAATATCCATAGAACAGTAATTTGTTTTAGTTTTTTTCTCTTTTTTGCATAGAACACTTGAGAACAAACGAAATCCCCAGTAATGCTTTCTTTGGGCAAAAGGGGATGGTTAAAGATGGGAAATATGGGGAAAGCGAGAGAGAGATGTACAGAATATTTTCTTCCTTCTCTCTCTGCTTTTCCTCTCCCATGTGTTAGAACAGGTCGGGCATACACATACCATAAGCGCCCATCAAGACCAACACGATCTGTTTGTTCAGCCCATAACGCGACTTCACCTCCCAATACATTCTTGGCTTCTTCAGGCGTCAGATCAAAAGTCATGTCATAACTGTAGATACGTTGCCAGGTCTTGAACGGACTGCACCAATCACCACCGGATCCTCCCCAGTTAGAAGGTCGGTAATTGTCTGTGAGCTGATGTCTATCCAGTTCTTGGGCAAGTGACTCTGGAATCTTGGGTTGGGTTTGTTCATCATAGGACGTATCGTTGCCACTGTGCGTGAATTTTTTTTTCAGATGTTGTGAGTTTCTTCTACATGTTCTTTCTTCTCTGAACTACTAGGAATTTACAGTGGGACTGCGCATCCCCCGCCCCCCACGTTTCCATTTGACACGTATATACTCACGTCCATCCACCGTGACCGCAGTCCAAATACCAAAAGTTAGCATGCGAAGCAATCACCTTGTAACCCTTTTTAGCTGCTTCAGTCACTGCATTCACCCACACTTGCAGTACCACATCCTTGGGGATGGGCAAGTTGTTATTGGTAACAGAATCTAAAAAAAAAAAAGAGTTATTCAGTTGAGTGAAGAGGGATAACTATTTAGTATGCTCATAGTTGAATAGATGGAAAAGATGAAGCAGATAGTGTGTGTACCTTCCCACAGAATAGCAGTCTTGCTGTTATTGCGAATAAATCCAAGCTCCTTGTCCAAAAACATGTGCAGCAAGTCTTCCCCGGTGGCACCGTGTTCTTGCATGTAGTCACGCACTGACTCTTCTTCTTCCCAACACTTGTAGATCGGCTCATCGCCGCCACCGTGGAACCAAGCATCGGGGAACAATGTCGATACTTCTGTGATTACCTTGTTGACCACTTCATAGGTTTTGTTGGATACTGGATTGAGTTGACCGGTCGTTGGTTCGGCTGCATAGCGGTCACTCCATTTGTTGCTCTTGTCCAAAAAGAATCGACCCAGACATGTTCTATATGTGTGTGTTTCTCAAAAAACGTTGAGCCGAACCACATCCACACAAAGGCATCATCTCAACTTGGCACCGCCCCCTCCAACCGCTCTATTTTTTTTTACATACGTGATATCTTTGTGTGCCATACCCCACGAGCCAGTATGCGCGGGCTAGCAACATTACAATAGCATAGTTCGTTAGTACAAGTTCAAATTAGTGTGTGCACCGTCTCTTTTAGAATCTGTCTGTGCGGTTTTTTCTACACCGCCCCTTTGTTACCATGTCAATCTCGGGAATGACGCGAATACCTCTGGCTCGTGCATATTGTACGATTCGTTTGATATCATTTTTTGTATACACAAATCGTCTATTATTCATGACATAGGCGCCATGCTGTGCGAGTTCTGGTGCACTCTCCAGTCGTAGAGGGAAACTTTGTGAATCGGTAATATGCCAGTGGAAAACCTAGAAATAGACGTATTTTTAAAGATGTGGAATAACAACTACACCTTTTGCCTGTAGAGAAAAAAAGGATGTCCCCTCTTCTTGTTAAACCATCCCTCCCGTACATTCAATTTGTTGTATGCCATAGCATCGAGCGTTCTCAGGATGTCCTTGACGGGGAAATAATTTCTTGACGTGTCTAATAAGTATTTATTTTTGTTTCCAAAAGCGGGAGGTGTGTATAGATTGCACAGTGAGTAAGCAAACAAACAAAGTGAGATGAAATGCAATCAGGCCCTCAAGAGGCCCCAACCGCCACCGTCATTTCCCCCCCCCTCTTTTCTCACTCATGTTATTTTTTTTTTACATACCCAGCATCAATCCACGATGAGAAAACATAGGCGCGTCTTCAATATGGATAGGTGTTTCTGGAATAAACATATCGGCTGCCATAGTGTCATTGGCGATATCATCCTCATCATCGCTATAATCTTGGATCGGCATGTCGTCGTAAGAACGCGCTTGTACAAGTTGAGAAAAGGTCTCGAGACCGCGCAGGGCACCCCATACCGTGGGAGACTGCAGCGTAGCCTTGTTGCCAACACCGTTCACATCCAACACATACGACTCGTCGACACCAAATGCAAGATCCACCGTAGGATCCTTTACAGTGACCTGCAGCGATTTCAAAGTGGATGCAGCGATCTTCACCCTGCGTTGACCGGCAACATATGCTTCCGTGTCCCTATAAGGATCGGGTGTTTGCACCTAAAAGGAGATATGCAGTTGTGGCAAGCATTTAGTTTTACACGAATGATTCTCTTTTTTCTTAAAATGATATACAAGAAAGATACGTACTGGCACCCATCGTTCTTGAGAGATGATTTGAGTATAGCGCGACACAGCTTCGTCCAACTCCTTGGGTGCAAGGATCTTGAAGCTTGGCTATGTTGAAAACCATGCTATTTATATGAGTAGAGTTCAAATACGTACTGCTGTTGCCACCGTGTTGGTTTCAAAAGGGCTGCAGGGAAAAAAGAACAACATACGTCCAAGTTGATATCGATGTTTCCAGATTCGACAGTTTGCGGAATAGGCCACAAGAACGCCCCTTGGAGCGCCCAAGTGATGGATGGTTGGAGTATGGCCACCGCCGCCAAAAGCAACGCTCTTTTTGCGGTCATGGGCGAATTGCTTGTTATAGCTGTTGGAGGGTTGGGAGGTAAAAAGGAAGAAAAAAACAAAGAATGTGAAAAAGCAAGCTTCTATGCGGGCACCTTCCCTTTTATTTTTTTATAATGCAGCGCAGCTAAATTATATTTTTTTCTGTATCGCAATGCCATGCATTGCTCGCCGCCACCTCCAGTCATGTATTGTAGTCAAGCTATATAGACTATTTCCATCTCCCAATATTATGTGAATACCTGCTACAGTTCCATTTGAAAATAGATATAATTTGAATGATATGTTGAGCATTCTACAAAACATAGGAGACCCGGGATGCTCGGTATTTTGCAGTAACGACGGCCTTAAATTTTTTACTCGCAAGATTTTTTTTATTGTTTCGTTTATAAGCTATATTTTGATAAAATGGTTCAACCCATAATCTGCTGTGTGATCAAGTGCTCTGCAGTACCGAACTTTTTTGTAAAAATTGAAAGCATAAAGTCTTTGGCTTCAGACACTTGGCTTTCTATTGGGTGTTGCGATCAAGACTTGCATCGTTCGTTGCTGTCCAATAGGAGGAGTTCCTGGTGATAATGTAGCCCGAAAATTTCAAACATGACGTAGTATGCCATTCTTTGCTTTCTTCTTCACATGAGGGTCTTTTTTTTTTGGCCAGCTTAAACCCCATTCAAGTGGGGCATAGATGTACAGGTGGGCATGTGTAAGCTTTAGCGTATCAGGCTCATACTCCCTCTCTATGTTCTGCGAAGCTTTATAAGCTCTATATGACGATAACTGGCAACTTTAGTCCGTAATATAGGTTGTAAAGGTGACCCAGATTTTGCTTTATCTTGGTACGGATGACGAAAGGCGATCCCGTGGTGTACATTTGATAATGTATCAAAGTAACATTACACAGTGAAATGGTTATTTTGTTTTGATTTTAAATTAAAAATCTCTGTTCCAACAAACATCCCTCTTGACAATACTTATAGTTAAAATCAATCTATGATACTAAATGTATATGTTTATACTAGTAATATTCACGTCATGACTGTACTGTAAATGCTCGATGCTTTATATATTATAAAATACTATGTGTACAGAACCCCGAAACATTTGAAATAGTATAAGCAAATAACCGAGTAGTATTTTCTTGAGACGCGTGGTAGTGATGACGATTTTGAGGTGCACTATGTACAAATGATACTAAATGATACTGGAAAATCAGCTCGATATAATGCTGGGAGGAGCTGAAAAAGATAGCAAGAGGGTGCAATGCAATGATGATGACAGTGCACTTAATATAAGTCGAGTCAAGATGAAGGTATTGCGGTGATAATGATGCTGAAGTTATAGCAGGATGCTGGCTGTGACAATGCGGGGATGCTAGAGTTGTTGAAAATTAAAAAATTGATGAATCAGGCGAATTCTTTTGCGAGTTGTTGGTGCGGGTAAAAAAGTTGTCAAGGTCTGAGGATAGAGCTTTTCCTAATGCCCAGAGGAAGAGAGAATGCCCTAGTGACGATCTTTAAAAAGATCATGGCAAGTAATAACACTTTGGTCTTGGTCAACCTTCTTTTCGACTTGAGCTGAGCCTTTCGCTTAGGTATTGTCTTGTAAAGCTCGATCAAATCAGATACTTTTTTAAGACAATAATTTATTACTTTGTCGTTGGGAAGCGTAATACATGTCCTTTTCTTGCTGTATATTATATACCTTAACTTGGATGGATAGCACGAACATCGGAAGGCATCGCGCAACGAACTGCTTTAGGGCTCAGTGGGATTTCGTATTTGTCAGTTTCCCAAAGTGCGACAGACATGACCCGCAGGACGGTCCATCACCCGTCATTTTCATGCGGCGCCCTACATAAATCATGCCAAAATTGGCGAGCGCTTGTATGTATTTCAAGTAAAGTCATTCTTACCTGTCTCGCTAAAGCAGACAACCTCTATCTCTCTTGTGACATTTCGCGTGATGATTAACTTGATCTGCTGCCAGACGATTTACAGCTTGAAGAGGAGCCGCGATGCTTGTTTCCATATGTGATCCGCCGCCATAGTAAACACAAGAGAGATACGAAAAATGGTGCACCGCCGAAATGGTGCACCGAGACTTGTGACAGCGATGTGACGGTGGTTCGAGGCGCACAAAAAAAGTACACCCATCATTCCTTTCTCTCCTGCGGTTTCTACCGTTCGTATATGCATCCCATACGTTAATTTCTCTTCCAAACTTTACTTTAGGTCTGACACTGTGTAAACCGAAATTTATAATATTTAGTAATATTTAATAAATTCTATTCTGCTGTTTTTATATGACACTTGTGCCAATGTCTATGAAAAATTGTTTCTCGTTTTCGGTCAAGCGTCTTCTATGAAGATACCGCCATGTAGTCTTGTAATCTGCCTTAAGTCCAAGACGATGCCAACCTATCTCATGATAAGGTCTGACGGGCGGCCACTCCATATGTCGTGCTCTGGATGGAGGTCAATTGCGTTGAAGTGATTTGAGCTAAGAAAAAGAGTTACATATTGGCTGCGGTTGTCGATTGGTCCCCTTTGGGATAGTAAAAGGCAAGTACAAAACGCTGTTCCAATCCAAGCGATCATCATATACTGCAATCGGTACAGTATATGCATCTGCAGCAATTTGGGCATCTATTACCGCATTGAACCAATAATCCGAATTGCAAGTGTACTTCTGGTATCGTGCTGTTTCTGGTGTGATACCATATTCCATTCGTTTGATCGCATTTTGTATTATGACCTCACGTCCATTCCATAGAGTATCGCGGTAGAAATCATAGTTCGCAAAATGCTGATCAAGAATTGCTTGTTTGACCTTGATATATTGATCTTGGTCACCATGAAGTTGGAGAGCAAGGGCACGATATCCACACCATCCGTCAGCTTTGATTTGCTTAATTCCAAACGAGCAATCGAGCGGGATCTCTCGATGGACGAAACTATTGTATTAAATTCAGTTATACTGTCAATCGCTCCCAATAATCTATTAAAACTACCATGGTTCTCTTCGAAGACTTTTCCTGTTACTCGGCCATAAGTCCTCAGCTTGATTTTCCGGTTGTTTTCTTTTCTTCTGGTTGTTTTCAGTTTTCTTGTCCATCATTTTCTCTGTTTTCTTCTCCGTCTTCATCTTTTCTTTGGTCTTGCTCATTGCAATTTTCTCCTTCACTTCTTGCTTCTTCTTTTCATTCTTCATCTCGCCACCCATGATATATTGCATCATTTCCTCTGACCCTGTCTCCAAGTTCTCAGCCATTGTCTCAATTTCTTTCAACGTGAACGGATCGACTTTCATATCCAAAAGGTGCAGGGCGCGTTCATCAGTCTTATTCAAGATATCTTGCTGTGATACTGCTTTGATATCCTCTTTCGAAAGTCTTTTGGCGAACGGCATGGTGCTCTTGTTGGTGATTTTTTCTGCTTGTGATAGTGTCTTGCTTTCAGCATGGTCGTCATAAAGAAAATGCTCCAGTGGCTGTTGATCGGTGGTAACATCATTAACAAGTTTACCGAAAACATCCGGAGCACGTCCATCATTGCCAAAGTTTTCTTTGATCGTTTTCGAGCTTGTCGCGGTGCTCTGTTGTATGAAGCAGGCACCGCATTTTCTTCATAGTTTTTCAGTGTCAATTCATCTGAGCGGATATAATTCAACGTTTGTGGAAGCGCTAGAGATATAGGCAAGTTGTGTACAGTATCTCGGTATAAATCTCTATGGAACGCTTCCACTACATTTGTGGTACGATAAGGGTGGCTGCGGAGGGCGTCATTCATGCTGGAGCGATGTCGAAAAATCATGCTGCTTATAGATGGTTGTAGCCACCATTTGAGCCATTTGAAAGTATGCTTGAAATTTGTCACCAGTTCCTTACAACTACGGCAAAATTCAGCAGCATCTTCAGTTGTCCGAATGATGCAGGTCAGTTCACGAAATCGTTCGCTGGATTCGGGTAGAATGATGCTGTGATTGCTGTTGAGACGTTGAACAGATTGCATCCAGTGCATATAGCACCCTTTTAGGAACCGCATGCCGTCATCCTTTCTGGTGTACTGTGTGTAGGCTTGCAGAAATCCATTCCTTTGTGCCAAAGAGAAATCCATCATCATACCGAGAAAGGAATTGTTGCCTTCAAACTTAACGTTGTACTCTGTGAAGAATGCAAAAAAGTATTGGGCAAAGTAGGTTTGTGAAAGGCCATCCAGGACAGCTTGGAATATCACTGTGTGTCTTTTCAGCTCAGGAACATAGATCACTGTTGAGCAGAGATAGTATCCTTTCTCAAATGCTTGAAAGTGACATCGATAACAGCCGGAAAATCTTGAAAGTGAACATATTCTTTAAGAGTCGGTGACCGATACGCCAAAAAGAATGAGCCTGGTAGAACGTGGGCGTAGAGGAAGTACCCAGGGAACTCATTCATAATCTTGCCCAAGCCGCCGAGAAATTCACCTTTTCTTGGAATATCTCGTTCCTCGCGTACTTAGTTGATTTCATACTCGGCTCTGTCCCTCGTGCCAAGAATTGGGTTGATCCTAATGATCGATTCAACGATTTCCCCAGTTCGCTTGTTGTTGCCATGAATTGCTGCCTTGGGTGTCACCGTTGGATCACTTCGAATTCTCTCTGCAAGTGTTTCCTTCTCTACTTCCGATAGATGCTTCGCAGTATATTGTTCGTGGTCATGTGTGCCGATCTGCTTAACAGTGCATTTACTGCCGTCGAAATAGTAGAACGCCTCTGTTTTACAAGTGTCAACGTGCTCTAAATCGCCTCCGCAGCGCATACATCCAAGCTGGCATTGTTTATGAATTTGTTCAAAATCGCAGCGCGGGCGCAAATGTTTGCCATAGAATTTGCAGGCCTCTCTAGTGCAGCGGACGAAACCATTGCATTTCTTCTTGTAGCGATGGCTATTGTGCTTTTGTTTTCGAGGACCATAAACCTTGCGCATAGACCATTCAATGTCCAAATTCAGTTTTACGTACCTGTCAAAAATCGAAAAGTTTTGAGTAAGTTTAATTGAGCGTCGTGAAGGACTAGATGCTTTGTCGAAAATAGTACTTTTCGCTTTTGGAGTCAAAATAGGCGGGAGCCTCCTCTTCATAGGAGTCCTTAAAAAATCTTCTTCGAAAAAAGGTAATGTGTTTGGACATTGTTATATGTGAACAGTAGATTTTGCTTGAAATGTAGTTCAAAGCGTTCTTTTAGGAACCGAAGAGAAAAAGGCACATTTTCCGAGTCACAAATCTCGGTGCACCATTTTTAGTGACACCCCTTATGTATCTGGTCCAGCTCAGAACACGCTTGCGAGGCTTTTTATTTACATGGTGTAAGCGAGCCAATTTTGGTATAGTGAGTATGTGGCGTTGTTGTTGTACCGCGATCAACGCGAAAAGCACCAATTTGCTGCACCGAAGATGGTCCTGAAACACGTACTTTAATATTCTCCTTTTTCAAGTTCGCACTCTTCATTTTTCTTTGACCATCCTCGGTCGAATATCTTATTGCTATTTTACCATGTTTTACAGCGAGTATAAGCATACCGATGATCGGACGACCAATAATGTAGAGACTGTAATTATTGAAGAAGACAACGTATCTTTGAGCTCTTCGTCTCAAAAGTCGCTATTGCTTGCTGGGTCTTCCAAGAGAAAATATGAATCCATTGATATATACGCAGGTGACGACGATGTAAATGATTATGAAGATCGCAAGCGGCGAGAAACCGGAGATGACGAGCACGCCAGAATAGGCGAGTCATCTACGACACTCAAAAGCCTTGGACAGCAGCGAAAAGGACATGATGACAGTGACCGGCTTGGAAATCTTAGTTTGACGGTGCTGACAACATGGTGAGCTCAGTAATACAAATACGATAGCTGTATTATTGTACTTACATATCGTAAACTTGTTTCTCTCAAGTTTGGGCATAGGGGCAGCCCTACCCGGTTTGGATACTTCTATTATATTCACAACGATGACAAAGATCGGAAGCGAATTTCAAAGGTAAGTAGCATTAACTACATGGCTGGTTATGTTTCGAAAAAAGATGGTGACCTCTAGACTGGCGTTTTTTTTACAGTGCACAAATGTCAACATGTTGCACAGCGCATACGCACTCTGTACTCTTATCACGATGCCGGCAGGTAGTAAAGAGTACTATGCACATACAAAATCAAATCATCAAAACGTACAAAAACGTTCTAAACAACAAGCAACCAAATTATAGTTTACATGTAGCGGGTGCGCTGTCAAACGCGTTTGGACGAAAGCCAGTATTGATTACACTCAACATGTTATTTCTGATCGGGTCATTTGGATGTGGGTAAGTTGCGACAGGTTCCTTTCACTGTGTATAGGAAACTTTGCCATAGCAATTGAAATCTCACTACTGGTAGCTTTGCACAATCGTTTGAGCACATTGTTGTAGCCCGAGCAATCGCAGGCTTTGGAGGAGGTGGGATCGCCCTGATGGGTAAAATAATTCTTCATGATATTGTATCTCGAGATCAACTGGGGTCATATCTAGCTTACCTCAGCATGTCTTCAATGGTAAGTTGTGTTTTCTCCGTATATATCAGGCACCTATGTAGTTGGATTATCATTGCTTTATCGTGACAAAGAATCAATATATTGTTTTAGCTCGGGTTCGGCCTTGGTGCACCCATCGGCGGATTTATTACCGACTACTTTGGATGGCGTTATTGCTTTAAGATCAACATTCTACCAATGACGCTCATCCTTTACATATACACTTTTCACTTGAAAAACTACAGCGTATCTCAAAATTAAAAGGCTGTTTTGACAAGGGGAAAGCTGAAAACTGTTGATTTCGGTGGAATATTATTGCTTTCCGGAGCGAACACATCCTTGACCTGCGCACTTTTGCTTGGTGGAACCTCTTACAGTTGGTGTAGCCCTCAAATTATCCTGGCACTAGTCTCAGCTCTGATTGGGTATATACTGTTCTTAATTCATGAGCGGCGATGGGCAGTGTATCCTTTGTTGTCACGCGTAGCTTCACGCGACCGCAATTTCACAACAGCGTGCGTTTGTATCTTTTTACCGGCAGCATGCGAAGGAGCGGCCCTTACTGTTATACCGCAATTTCTCATGGCAAGTATACCTGTTACATTTCATTTGCTTTGTTTAAAGAGGTTAATATGCGGCTTTAATACAAAGATGTATTGCTAATTTTTTTTAGTATATAGGGTGTGCTACATTTCAAGACCTCCAAAGCTGGTTTGTGGGTTATGATGAACGCAGCATCTGTTCCCGTTGGGACATTTATAGCCGGACGCTATATGCACTATACTGGCAAATTCAAGCGCTTTGTAGGTGTGGCCATGACATCCTATCTTGTAGCGGTTGCCATATTCTATAGTTGGGCCGGCGGTAATGTTTCCAAAAGCCTGGGTATCATGGGGATCTTTTTGGAGGGCGCTTCGTATGGATGTATCAGTGTTTGCATTATTGTCGCCTGTACGAGCACTTATCCAAAGAGTGTAAGTACGCATGAGCTATCATCTAAATGTTTACTTCAAAATAATATTCACAAACCAGCTATATGAATCGATAACTGAATTTTCGTCATCGTTTATGTTATTCTATAATTTTTTACGATAGTGGCTGCTATCATACATCTTTATCAATTTGCACACTAGCACGTTTCGTGGGGTATATAATAGGCGCGGCGGTCGTATCTTCAATTATTCAATATACTTTGAGAACAGAGCTGCCAACGCGAATTGATGGTGAAGATGCAGAGAAGGTATACCTACAGATGACGACGGACCTCAACGTAGAAAGCTAAATGCTAGGCACTTTCATTCAACGCTTAAAAAGAGAAGGTTAACCAATGCGCTACGTTCTTTTCGAATTTTATAGCTGATTGAATTTATCATTAAATCGATCCACAAAGTTGATATACTGGCTCCCGAGATCCAACGAATCGTGGCAGAAGTATTGGCTCTTGGAGTGCAGCGTGCAATAGCAGATGGGGGTTTGTGACGTTTGGCTTTGGGGTGCACACGCCCTTCAATGTCCAAGTCAAATTATTGCAAATATTTGTCGCGTCTTCCAAAAATATCAAAAATCTTAAACCAGCGCCGCAGTCGCGTTTCATTCTTTCTCTTTACTTTTATAATATGGGCGATTCCACAGAAAATCATCCTCGCGAATGTACAGGTATAAATTTGTATTTCTTGACTGCTATGCAACACGTACTAAACTTATTAATATAAGTTTGCTAATTCATTTGTGTGTGTCTCTATTAGACCTTATATATTCATTTATTGATAGCAAAGTTAAAATCGGTGTCATTCCCAAATTATCAAACTTTGTACACGATCATTCAACCAGAATTATTAAGCTGGACGAAGAAGTTGTAGCTATAAACGAAATTAAAGAACTATGGACCGAACGGTTCTCATTATGTGTTAAAAAGAGAGGCGTGAAACAGGTAATTCTTTATCCAGTTACTGAACTTAGTCATTATATTAATATTCTTTTTTTTTCTTCTTCGTTAGTTTGAACTTGATGCCAGTGCTACAAATTGGGAAAAAATAGCTGTTGATAAAGCAAAGGTTTTCATGGGAAACTAGAAAACAAGGCATTATTTAGTAATAGTTTTGGCTCATTCTTCTTTTTCTTTTGCTTTAGGTCATGGTTGCGCACGCGAACTTATCTGCTACATTGATCCTGGAGAAAACTGTTGTTAGACAAAATCTTTCTGCAATGCGCTTGCTGGAAAAGAATACACAAGTATGGTATCTATAATAATAAGACACATATCTTTTTCATTCACCACAAAATTATTATATGTGTCGATTTATTAAACACTTGTCCATATATTCATATATACTTTTAGGGAACTACTCATGATACGGGTAGTACATCTGGTATTATTGCAACTGGTGATGGATTAGGTGCTCCAAGCAGTACGAGCACTATTAAAAATGATCATGTTTCCAAAAGAAAGTCGAAAGAAAATCAAAATGATGTATGATAGCATTTTCTTTTTAGATTTACTTATTTACCCCATTGTTTTTACATTAATATTGATGTTTATGATTATAGAAACCAGCCAGTAAAAAAAGTTGCCATATTGGTGCTTCTGAGGAAGTGGAAGAGGACGGCTTCATCATTCCCGGAAAAGCTGATACGTTGGGCACCATTATCAAGAAGGAAGCGCTAAAATTGCATGATCAATTCAAGAAGGGGAAAGTGTTGAGTCCGGCCGATAGAAAAGTGATGAGGTATGAGTAGACACCATGATATTAGTAGCCGTTGTATTATAATAACTCGACATTGATATTCAGGATTAATGGACTCAATCCATTTTTATATGATAGCAACGGGTTGTCGTCAATTGTAGATATGGTGGACGAACGAGCCGATGGGCAGCGACGCTTTCTTACCGTTGAACAGTGGGACTATGTCAAAAATCTATTCAGTCATTTGAAGATCGCTCCTCCGAACAAAGTCGAATCTGCTGTGGACATTTGGAAAATAGTCTATAAAGTAATAATAAAAAGGTTTGAACGGGAAAACTACGTAATGATGGTAATAATTTTTGAAACAATTATGTTATATAGACATGCGAGGCAATTGGATCGGTAAAGGTTGGAGAACAGTATTTGTTTAAAATGAGACAACGAGAGGATAGTAGTGAAGAATCAAGATTGATATGCAAAGCCATGGAACATATGTGAGTATTATTGCAATTGGTTTTAAAGACAGTTATGTATATCTCTTTTGCCTTTACTGATTTGGATGTTGAAATCTCGATATATAGGTTAGAATTAGTCGAAACGAAACAAGATATATTATGCCAAAGAGGAAGCAAATATACGGAAAATGACTATCTTCGCATCGTATGGTCACCTATTCTTGAACGCATATTCTCCTCCCCATTACGGCTGATAAGGTAAAAAAGATAAAGGAGTATAACTTTGAAAAAAATAGTTGTGCTGATACTATATTTTTGTGATTATATAGCGGCGAAAGTATTTTTAAATACACAACCAAGCAAAAACAGCAGTTATATGATGAATCCAATGACGTGAAGGGCTTCAAAATTGATATCAGATATGTTGTGGATAAAAATGGCAAAACGTATGATTTGGGCGCAGCTGAGTTGGGTAAAGATGGTGCAAGTTGCAAGATAATACAAGACGAAGGAAAGCTTACACGGGAAGGCAAAGATGTCGTCGATTCCTTGTTGAAAACGTTACACGAAAGCAACCATCGTCATGTTTTATCTTGGATTATTCAAATTGACGGTATGTATTAAAATGACACTATGATGATAAATAATTGACAATGAGATGTGCTCTAAATATACATATATTTCTATTTACAATTAGCATGTGAAGCTGAAATTTCAACGTTGCACATTGTTGGTAATGGAGTATATGTTGCGTATCCTCAGTTTAAATTTGAACTGCCCACCACCCTTGATAATCTTTCCAAGTTTGAACAAGCGTTACAAGCATTTCTTACTATCAAAGTAAGTATTTTAAGGAAATATAAGAAGAAAGCAGGCAACACTGATGTTAACCGATGTTTTTTTTGTGAACAGGAACACATGATGATGATCCAAAGTCGTCTTTCCACTGAACAACAACGGGAAGGGGTGATCAGCCAAACATTCAACCGTTCTAATCAAGTAAAATCGGATGATATCAGCACATGGACCCGCGCGACTTGGTACACCCCACCAAAACCATCAAAATCAAGGGTGCCTGTGCCATTATTCGGTCAAAAAAGCAAGTTCAACTTTGCAGAACGCCTACTAGTGGCTCGAAATCAGGACCTTATAGAAAGTGAAGAAGAAAAAGAGAACGTGGACATGTTTGGCTGGACTAAACGGAATGGCAAGTTTTACAATATCCATACCCAAAAGTATGCGGACGAACACCCACTTGATAAAGAAAGCCAAGTTATTTTGTAATAATTCGATCTTTTCAAAAACACACATAAACATCATCTAGCATCATTATATCATCATTATATCCATCCCTTTCTTTTTCTTATTTCATCACTAAAACCTTTTAGTAAAAGCCTAAAAAGCTTCATCTTTTATTACTTCACTATTTTTTCTATTACTTATTCTGTTATAACAAATGATGGAACAACTGCATTTGTATATATTGATCGACAAGAATTGTATCTTATTATTATTAAATTGCTAGAATATCATTGGCCGAGCACAACACTATATGCCTGACACTACTGTACCTATCATCAATAAAATAGCTTTGACTTACCTATAATGTCGTGTATTTACAGAATACAGATAAACATTCTCTATTTGTAGATTTTCCATAAATCTCTTACACGTAATAAACATTATTCTTCGGCCTGCACTGAAGCTGATTGTGTATCCAGAGGCAAATCCGTCGAAGCTTGGCCAAGAGCCAGTCTTGTAAAATCCGTGGCTGTTTCACAGGACAAGCGGTAGAAGGTGTCAAATACTGAAGAAGACAACCAGGACGCGTGGATGAGAACGTCGTCGAGACTAGCGCCCCCCTTGGACAGCAGCAGTCGATCCGATTGCCCGAGCTTTGGGTCGACGAGATCCTTCTGGTCGTGGGATCAGATCGAGCAGGTTCTTGATATGATTGCTGATTCGTTCCGCCCCAATTGGCAGAGAATTGTTGTGTACAGAGCGTATCAAGCGATGAACGGTTGTACGAGGGCCATTGTGAACAGGGTAAGCACGAACACATGGAGTACGAGCATACTATGCCTTGTAGTCTTCATACGCTTGTACGGGGCAAAGGAGCGTGTTGGTGTGACGTCGGATGTGAATGACTTTCTCGATCGGTTGCCCTCCACGTTTCTCCTTGGGTCGCGCAATGACAACACGCAACCCTTTTGTTGAAACTATCGTTCGGGAGTCGTCGATTCTCTCGATATCTGATTATCGCAAAAACCCCGTAATTGCAAGCAGAAAGCAGAGCTTGCGAGTGAGGTCGATTGCGCGTATCTGGTTGTTGTTGCCGAGTTTTGTTATATGTTGAATGACCGGTTGAATGTCACAATGAGGACGATCAAATGAACGGACCGTCTGTTCGTTGAGAGCCACAAAAAATTCGCGGTACATAGTGTTGGATGTGAATGTTGTGCGATCTGTGTATAAGTCAAGAATTGTTGAACGATAATTGCAGCAGGTGCTAGTTGACCAACCCATATGCACACGGCCATACGCCAAATAGTTGACCAACTGTACTGGATTGGGTGTTAGTGGATCAATCTGGTGGGAACGTGCCCAGGTGATGTAGCTGCGTTGAATGCGATCAAAGTGGTGCACGCGTTGTTGATTGTGCGTAGGACCCATCATGATAGACTCAGCTTCAGTTGCGATGCCAGCATCTGCTAGGCGGCGCCGTTTATATTCCATGCGACTAAACACCAATGTGGGTTCTTGCTCAGGAGTGACTGATCGTGTTCGGGTGCAGCCATTACTGCTGTTCGTGGTACTCGTTGTGGTTTGCTGCTGCTGAGTTGTTGTAGCGTTGGATACCAAATGGCGCTGGGTTAATGTGGTGTGATGATGGTTGCTTTGATCTGTTCCTGCTGAAGAAGGTTCCACGGTAGACATGCATATATGCGTTTCCATTCCCTCCATGGATGGTGTAGAGCATTGGTCGCTATTGCTTGCGGATCCCATCTCCAGCTCATGAACTGGGGTAGCTTCGTGTTCTGCCGTGTCGCAAAGCAATCGATGTCGTGTGGTCCCCAAGCCATGTTCAACTTGTGAAAGTACTGCGGTTTGATGCTCCATTCCAATTATTGCTGCAACTGCCGCGACGGTGGGTCCGCTGGGTTGAACTGCGACGATACGTAGGACAGCTGAAGTCGAGTGTTGCTCTTGAGACATTCTTGCCAAATCGACGTTGCCAGGTTCATGAGCGCAGGTGACCTCGTCCCACCGAGGTGATTCACGTACGCTATGGTTGTTGTGTTGTCGCAATACACCCGAAGCTTCCTGCCTCGCAAAGTCGGATGTCGTATCGCATGGCGTATTGTCAAAAGTTCTTTGTAGATAACGTGTTGTGTTGCATGCTTTGCTGACCATTTGCCGGCTATCGTCTTGTTGCCAAAGACTAGGCCCCACCCATGATCCGACGAACCGGTGTACACTTCGATGTCCGGTGCCGACGGCATGAAACTCTGTCCGTTCCATTGTTGCAGATGGCTGTACCACCACTGGAGCTCCTGACAAGCTGCTGGACTGATGTTCATCTGATCGTTCCAATCTGAGCCTTGCGCTAGCGTCTGGTTGCGGCATGCAATGAGGTGACGGGTGAATAACCGGGCTGGAAGCACGGCCAATGTTGTTGCTTGTGCCTTCCCAATGAAGGATGACAGATGACGTACAGTGACTGTCGGACGATTGAGAAGTTTGCGCGCTTCGCGTCGTAAGTCGCGCAACTTCGTTGTTGACACTGATAGGCACATCGTTAACGTGTTGATAGTGAAGCCCAGATGTTCGATTTTCTGTGATGGTACTAGTTGAGACTTGGACTCCTTCAGTAGAAAACCAAGGCTGCGTAACTTCGCAATGACTTGTGTCTGAGCCACTGACTGCTGCTGATTTTTGGCCGCGATCAGCAGGTCGTCTTGATAGGCTGATATGGGAATGTTCTGACTGCGAGCCCATCGAAGTACTGGTCGTAGAATTTTCGTGATCATTGGTGACAGTGACAGACCGAACACCAATGTGCGAAAACGATACATGCGATTTCTCCACTGAAACTGCAGAAAACGGCGAGAGTGTGGATGTATCAGAATATGTAAAAACGCATCTTGCACATCTATGCTGGTCAGCCAATCGTTTGGCTGTAACATTCGACATACTTGCGTCATGGTCTCCATCTTGAACGGACGTCGTGGGATGAATTGATTTAACGGGCGCAGGTTTAGTACTGGACGTAGGTCGCCGGTCTTTTTCGGTATCGTGAATAGTGTGGAACGAAAGCCGCTGCGTGTTGTTTCTTCGATGGCGTGTTTCTGCAAAAGCGATCAGACTTCCTTGTCTGTTGCTAGTCGCTGCGGGGTTGTTGCTTGTGATGCGTGCTTGATGACGAGTACGGGGTAAGGTGTGGAAGGGGATTAAAAATCCTTATTGTATGACGCGAAGGATCCAAGGCGATTTGCAAAGGTTCGACTAGGCGGAAGAAAAATATTGCAAACGCCCTCCTACAGGTCGTTGTCGCGTTGTTTTGATTGCTGTCGGTGTTGTGGGATGGTTTGCGGCCGGCATTCTTCCGGCGATGCTGAAAACCCGACTGGCTTCTGTTGGTGGCACCTGGGCGTCGATCATTTGACCGGTCTGATGATCGGGTACGGTGGGAAGACGAATCAGCCGACGGTTGTGTTGTTGTTTCAGAAGCACGTCCACCCGATTGTCTACGAGTGAATTTGCTACGACGAGTGGTAGCTTTGCGGAGCGCTTGTGTGAGATTTGTCTGTTCCAACACAGCGCTTGCATCCAAAAGAGGTGGATTAGCAAGACCGGGTGTTCCAATTGGTGCGGAGGTAAGACCGGTATCACGGCACACGTTGTCACTCTTAATTTGTGTGATGCTTGAAGCTACGTCAGAAATGAGAGCGTGGATTGTTTCCGCGAGCGAAGAGCTGCAGCCACGTCCACAGTATTGGTGCGCAGAGTGTCATGCACAAAAAAATCAATGGGTCGTGTGATGCCTGAAAGTCGATATTGAATGTCCCGGAACTGCTTGTCGATGCGTTGCGTTCGAGCACTTGTGTCGATGTTGTTGAGCGGTGGAGGAAGATACTGGCGCGCCGTGTTGCGAGGACACGCATGTAGAAATGTGCGCCAAGTATCATCGTCCATGATGTTGCGGAAAAAATCCTTGCCCAAGCTGGGTAACGCCGCCATGAACTCAGGATACGGTGTGAGCAGTGTGGTTGGTGCTTGTTCACTGACGTGTGGGTCGTCCGAATCTGACGACGTGTTATCGTCGTTGGTGTCGGCGTCCATGGGTGATTCGTTGCGTAGACGCTCGAGGACAGCAAGACGATCGGTGATGGTTTGCAAGGCGGCATGAATATCAAATGGCTCATCGGACATGATCAAGTCTACTTCGACGGATGTGTTCCCGGAGCGAAAGAAAAAATGATAGCTCTCATTTGATGTATCGCTATCCCTTTTTATCTCTGTATTTTCGCCAATAAAGAAAAAAATGATGACACAATCAGCTTCAGTGCAGGCCGAAGAATAATGTTTATTACGTGTAAGAGATTTATGGAAAATCTACAAATAGAGAATGTTTATCTGTATTCTGTAAATACACGACATTATAGGTAAGTCAAAGCTATTTTATTGATGATAGGTACAGTAGTGTCAGGCATATAGTGTTGTGCTCGGCCAATGATATTCTAGCAATTTAATAATAATAAGATACAATTCTTGTCGATCAATATATACAAATGCAGTTGTTCCATCATTTGTTATAACAGAATAAGTAATAGAAAAAATAGTGAAGTAATAAAAGATGAAGCTTTTTAGGCTTTTACTAAAAGGTTTTAGTGATGAAATAAGAAAAAGAAAGGGATGGATATAATGATGATATAATGATGCTAGATGATGTTTATGTGTGTTTTTGAAAAGATCGAATTATTACAAAATAACTTGGCTTTCTTTATCAAGTGGGTGTTCGTCCGCATACTTTTGGGTATGGATATTGTAAAACTTGCCATTCCGTTTAGTCCAGCCAAACATGTCCACGTTCTCTTTTTCTTCTTCACTTTCTATAAGGTCCTGATTTCGAGCCACTAGTAGGCGTTCTGCAAAGTTGAACTTGCTTTTTTGACCGAATAATGGCACAGGCACCCTTGATTTTGATGGTTTTGGTGGGGTGTACCAAGTCGCGCGGGTCCATGTGCTGATATCATCCGATTTTACTTGATTAGAACGGTTGAATGTTTGGCTGATCACCCCTTCCCGTTGTTGTTCAGTGGAAAGACGACTTTGGATCATCATCATGTGTTCCTGTTCACAAAAAAAACATCGGTTAACATCAGTGTTGCCTGCTTTCTTCTTATATTTCCTTAAAATACTTACTTTGATAGTAAGAAATGCTTGTAACGCTTGTTCAAACTTGGAAAGATTATCAAGGGTGGTGGGCAGTTCAAATTTAAACTGAGGATACGCAACATATACTCCATTACCAACAATGTGCAACGTTGAAATTTCAGCTTCACATGCTAATTGTAAATAGAAATATATGTATATTTAGAGCACATCTCATTGTCAATTATTTATCATCATAGTGTCATTTTAATACATACCGTCAATTTGAATAATCCAAGATAAAACATGACGATGGTTGCTTTCGTGTAACGTTTTCAACAAGGAATCGACGACATCTTTGCCTTCCCGTGTAAGCTTTCCTTCGTCTTGTATTATCTTGCAACTTGCACCATCTTTACCCAACTCAGCTGCGCCCAAATCATACGTTTTGCCATTTTTATCCACAACATATCTGATATCAATTTTGAAGCCCTTCACGTCATTGGATTCATCATATAACTGCTGTTTTTGCTTGGTTGTGTATTTAAAAATACTTTCGCCGCTATATAATCACAAAAATATAGTATCAGCACAACTATTTTTTTCAAAGTTATACTCCTTTATCTTTTTTACCTTATCAGCCGTAATGGGGAGGAGAATATGCGTTCAAGAATAGGTGACCATACGATGCGAAGATAGTCATTTTCCGTATATTTGCTTCCTCTTTGGCATAATATATCTTGTTTCGTTTCGACTAATTCTAACCTATATATCGAGATTTCAACATCCAAATCAGTAAAGGCAAAAGAGATATACATAACTGTCTTTAAAACCAATTGCAATAATACTCACATATGTTCCATGGCTTTGCATATCAATCTTGATTCTTCACTACTATCCTCTCGTTGTCTCATTTTAAACAAATACTGTTCTCCAACCTTTACCGATCCAATTGCCTCGCATGTCTATATAACATAATTGTTTCAAAAATTATTACCATCATTACGTAGTTTTCCCGTTCAAACCTTTTTATTATTACTTTATAGACTATTTTCCAAATGTCCACAGCAGATTCGACTTTGTTCGGAGGAGCGATCTTCAAATGACTGAATAGATTTTTGACATAGTCCCACTGTTCAACGGTAAGAAAGCGTCGCTGCCCATCGGCTCGTTCGTCCACCATATCTACAATTGACGACAACCCGTTGCTATCATATAAAAATGGATTGAGTCCATTAATCCTGAATATCAATGTCGAGTTATTATAATACAACGGCTACTAATATCATGGTGTCTACTCATACCTCATCACTTTTCTATCGGCCGGACTCAACACTTTCCCCTTCTTGAATTGATCATGCAATTTTAGCGCTTCCTTCTTGATAATGGTGCCCAACGTATCAGCTTTTCCGGGAATGATGAAGCCGTCCTCTTCCACTTCCTCAGAAGCACCAATATGGCAACTTTTTTTACTGGCTGGTTTCTATAATCATAAACATCAATATTAATGTAAAAACAATGGGGTAAATAAGTAAATCTAAAAAGAAAATGCTATCATACATCATTTTGATTTTCTTTCGACTTTCTTTTGGAAACATGATCATTTTTAATAGTGCTCGTACTGCTTGGAGCACCTAATCCATCACCAGTTGCAATAATACCAGATGTACTACCCGTATCATGAGTAGTTCCCTAAAAGTATATATGAATATATGGACAAGTGTTTAATAAATCGACACATATAATAATTTTGTGGTGAATGAAAAAGATATGTGTCTTATTATTATAGATACCATACTTGTGTATTCTTTTCCAGCAAGCGCATTGCAGAAAGATTTTGTCTAACAACAGTTTTCTCCAGGATCAATGTAGCAGATAAGTTCGCGTGCGCAACCATGACCTAAAGCAAAAGAAAAAGAAGAATGAGCCAAAACTATTACTAAATAATGCCTTGTTTTCTAGTTTCCCATGAAAACCTTTGCTTTATCAACAGCTATTTTTTCCCAATTTGTAGCACTGGCATCAAGTTCAAACTAACGAAGAAGAAAAAAAAAGAATATTAATATAATGACTAAGTTCAGTAACTGGATAAAGAATTACCTGTTTCACGCCTCTCTTTTTAACACATAATGAGAACCGTTCGGTCCATAGTTCTTTAATTTCGTTTATAGCTACAACTTCTTCGTCCAGCTTAATAATTCTGGTTGAATGATCGTGTACAAAGTTTGATAATTTGGGAATGACACCGATTTTAACTTTGCTATCAATAAATGAATATATAAGGTCTAATAGAGACACACACAAATGAATTAGCAAACTTATATTAATAAGTTTAGTACGTGTTGCATAGCAGTCAAGAAATACAAATTTATACCTGTACATTCGCGAGGATGATTTTCTGTGGAATCGCCCATATTATAAAAGTAAAGAGAAAGAATGAAACGCGACTGCGGCGCTGGTTTAAGATTTTTGATATTTTTGGAAGACGCGACAAATATTTGCAATAATTTGACTTGGACATTGAAGGGCGTGTGCACCCCAAAGCCAAACGTCACAAACCCCCATCTGCTATTGCACGCTGCACTCCAAGAGCCAATACTTCTGCCACGATTCGTTGGATCTCGGGAGCCAGTATATCAACTTTGTGGATCGATTTAATGATAAATTCAATCAGCTATAAAATTCGAAAAGAACGTAGCGCATTGGTTAACCTTCTCTTTTTAAGCGTTGAATGAAAGTGCCTAGCATTTAGCTTTCTACGTTGAGGTCCGTCGTCATCTGTAGGTATACCTTCTCTGCATCTTCACCATCAATTCGCGTTGGCAGCTCTGTTCTCAAAGTATATTGAATAATTGAAGATACGACCGCCGCGCCTATTAGATACCCCACGAAACGTGCTAGTGTGCAAATTGATAAAGATGTATGATAGCAGCCACTATCGTAAAAAATTATAGAATAACATAAACGATGACGAAAATTCAGTTATCGATTCATATAGCTGGTTTGTGAATATTATTTTGAAGTAAACATTTAGATGATAGCTCATGCGTACTTACACTCTTTGGATAAGTGCTCGTACAGGCGACAATAATGCAAACACTGATACATCCATACGAAGCGCCCTCCAAAAAGATCCCCATGATACCCAGGCTTTTGGAAACATTACCGCCGGCCCAACTATAGAATATGGCAACCGCTACAAGATAGGATGTCATGGCCACACCTACAAAGCGCTTGAATTTGCCAGTATAGTGCATATAGCGTCCGGCTATAAATGTCCCAACGGGAACAGATGCTGCGTTCATCATAACCCACAAACCAGCTTTGGAGGTCTTGAAATGTAGCACACCCTATATACTAAAAAAAATTAGCAATACATCTTTGTATTAAAGCCGCATATTAACCTCTTTAAACAAAGCAAATGAAATGTAACAGGTATACTTGCCATGAGAAATTGCGGTATAACAGTAAGGGCCGCTCCTTCGCATGCTGCCGGTAAAAAGATACAAACGCACGCTGTTGTGAAATTGCGGTCGCGTGAAGCTACGCGTGACAACAAAGGATACACTGCCCATCGCCGCTCATGAATTAAGAACAGTATATACCCAATCAGAGCTGAGACTAGTGCCAGGATAATTTGAGGGCTACACCAACTGTAAGAGGTTCCACCAAGCAAAAGTGCGCAGGTCAAGGATGTGTTCGCTCCGGAAAGCAATAATATTCCACCGAAATCAACAGTTTTCAGCTTTCCCCTTGTCAAAACAGCCTTTTAATTTTGAGATACGCTGTAGTTTTTCAAGTGAAAAGTGTATATGTAAAGGATGAGCGTCATTGGTAGAATGTTGATCTTAAAGCAATAACGCCATCCAAAGTAGTCGGTAATAAATCCGCCGATGGGTGCACCAAGGCCGAACCCGAGCTAAAACAATATATTGATTCTTTGTCACGATAAAGCAATGATAATCCAACTACATAGGTGCCTGATATATACGGAGAAAACACAACTTACCATTGAAGACATGCTGAGGTAAGCTAGATATGACCCCAGTTGATCTCGAGATACAATATCATGAAGAATTATTTTACCCATCAGGGCGATCCCACCTCCTCCAAAGCCTGCGATTGCTCGGGCTACAACAATGTGCTCAAACGATTGTGCAAAGCTACCAGTAGTGAGATTTCAATTGCTATGGCAAAGTTTCCTATACACAGTGAAAGGAACCTGTCGCAACTTACCCACATCCAAATGACCCGATCAGAAATAACATGTTGAGTGTAATCAATACTGGCTTTCGTCCAAACGCGTTTGACAGCGCACCCGCTACATGTAAACTATAATTTGGTTGCTTGTTGTTTAGAACGTTTTTGTACGTTTTGATGATTTGATTTTGTATGTGCATAGTACTCTTTACTACCTGCCGGCATCGTGATAAGAGTACAGAGTGCGTATGCGCTGTGCAACATGTTGACATTTGTGCACTGTAAAAAAAACGCCAGTCTAGAGGTCACCATCTTTTTTCGAAACATAACCAGCCATGTAGTTAATGCTACTTACCTTTGAAATTCGCTTCCGATCTTTGTCATCGTTGTGAATATAATAGAAGTATCCAAACCGGGTAGGGCTGCCCCTATGCCCAAACTTGAGAGAAACAAGTTTACGATATGTAAGTACAATAATACAGCTATCGTATTTGTATTACTGAGCTCACCATGTTGTCAGCACCGTCAAACTAAGATTTCCAAGCCGGTCACTGTCATCATGTCCTTTTCGCTGCTGTCCAAGGCTTTTGAGTGTCGTAGATGACTCGCCTATTCTGGCGTGCTCGTCATCTCCGGTTTCTCGCCGCTTGCGATCTTCATAATCATTTACATCGTCGTCACCTGCGTATATATCAATGGATTCATATTTTCTCTTGGAAGACCCAGCAAGCAATAGCGACTTTTGAGACGAAGAGCTCAAAGATACGTTGTCTTCTTCAATAATTACAGTCTCTACATTATTGGTCGTCCGATCATCGGTATGCTTATACTCGCTGTAAAACATGGTAAAATAGCAATAAGATATTCGACCGAGGATGGTCAAAGAAAAATGAAGAGTGCGAACTTGAAAAAGGAGAATATTAAAGTACGTGTTTCAGGACCATCTTCGGTACAGCAAATTGGTGCTTTTCGCGTTGATCGCGGTACAACAACAACGCGCGAAGCAATGGTAATAATTGTGCTATGAGGGAAGACGTAGTCTGGTATCCACTCAAATGTTTGTGCGTGCTAAGTCTGCAGCGCTTTTCAAACGGCTAAAGAGAGAAGAAATATTAAAATTTTTATTATAAATATATATATACAAAATAAAGTTTGTGCGCTCTTCGAGCGGCCGTTAGACCGAAACGAGCTCTAAGGTGGGCGTCAGCTAAAGGGGCCATTTTTTGCAAAAATCAAATCGACTTTAAACCCCGCGTCAGGTGATAAATAAGAGGGGATTCTTCCTCTTGTTGAATGTCTTGAACTTCGATCTCTTGTTGTTCGCGTTCTGCTCTTTCGCATTCTGCTTTTTCGCGTTCAAGTCTCAATCTTTTTCCTTGTTCGTAGTTGGCTTTACCAACTTTAGCTCTTCTTTTGGTTCCTGCCATTTAAATGCGTATTTAATTATGAAGTTGGTGAAAGATGACGTGAAAAAGATTTGCGATTCAAAATAGATGATGGGGAAATGGTGTACAAAAATTGTTCGTTTCCTAGCTAAAAGTACTAAAAATAGTAGACTTCGAAACGTCATAGCTCAGCAACAAGTGAGCGCATTGAAAAAAAATTTAGTACGTTGTGTTCCTCTCCTCTAAAGCTATCGATTCTGCTATCTTTTGTGGCAATTAAGCATGCAGAGATAACTCTATGAAGGCTGGAAATCGGGTCTTAAATTGGCCCCTTTAGCTGACGCCCACCTTACGAGCACGAAGGATAGTGCTAAACCGCCGATACTGCTTGGATAATACATGGATTTCGTCTTTGTTCACCGGCACACATACGAGGCTGGTCAATCAAGGACCAATGCAAATATTTTTAAAGTCTATCAATTAGTAAAAAATGAGAGAACCGCCCATTTATGCATCGCTCAGTACCTGATATAATGTACTCCACCACTACCAAATCGTCTGTAGTTCCTGAAAAGAAAATGGCAACGACCACGGCATGTCTTTCATCATCTTAGGAGCTTTGATATTCAGAGTGATATAGTCTTGCCTTGTACCTATTGTTTTTGATATCAAAAATAATAATAAAAGTGAGATATTTGTTCACAGCATTCAATTCGACATAAAATTTCAAAAATAATTATATATACCCATTCAAACGTTTCTTTCGATCATAGAGAGATCCAATCTTCAAATTTAAACCATATATGCGCTAATATAAAAATTATATAAAAAAGCCATTAATATATGGAAAGTCTCAACTGCCACTGGAGTGACAAGGGTCGAAACGCTACCCCCAGGTTTTCATTGACGTGACAGACACTCGGTCTTGCAACCTCTGAAAGCCTAATGAAAGCACAACGAAAGCCACTAGGGACTGCCGCCATACTGCCATCAAACTGCCACACCATCAAGAGAAAAAGAAGAAAAAAAGAACGATCAGTGTAAAAGCCTAATGAAAGCACAACGAAAGCCACTAGGGACTGCCGCCATACTGCCATCAAACTGCCACACCATCAAGAGAAGAAGAAGAAGAAAAGAACGATCAGTGTAAAAGCCTAATGAAAGCACAACGAAAGCCACTAGGGACTGCCGCCATACTGCCGTCAAACTGCCACACCATCAAGAGAAGAAGAAGAAAAAAAGAACGATCAGTGTAAAAGCCTAATGAAAGCACAACGAAAGCCACTAGGGACTGCCGCCATACTGCCATCAAACTGCCACACCATCAAGAGAAAAAGAAGAAAAAAAGAACGATCAGTGTAAAAGCCTAATGAAAGCACAACGAAAGCCACTAGGGACTGCCGCCATACTGCCATCAAACTGCCACACCATCAAGAGAAAAAGAAGAAAAAAAGAACGATCAGTGTAAAAGCCTAATGAAAGCACAACGAAAGCCACTAGGGACTGCCGCCATACTGCCATCAAACTGCCACACCATCAAGAGAAAAAGAAGAAAAAAAGAACGATCAGTGTAAAAGCCTAATGAAAGCACAACGAAAGCCACTAGGGACTGCCGCCATACTGCCATCAAACTGCCACACCATCAAGAGAAAAAGAAGAAAAAAAGAACGATCAGTGTAAAAGCCTAATGAAAGCACAACGAAAGCCACTAGGGACTGCCGCCATACTGCCATCAAACTGCCACACCATCAAGAGAAGAAGAAGAAGAAAAGAACGATCAGTGTAAAAGCCTAATGAAAGCACAACGAAAGCCACTAGGGACTGCCGCCATACTGCCATCAAACTGCCACACCATCAAGAGAAGAAGAAGAAGAAAAGAACGATCAGTGTAAAAGCCTAATGAAAGCACAACGAAAGCCACTAGGGACTGCCGCCATACTGCCATCAAACTGCCACACCATCAAGAGAAAAAGAAGAAAAAAGAACGATCAGTGTAAAAGCCTAATGAAAGCACAACGAAAGCCACTAGGGACTGCCGCCATACTGCCATCAAACTGCCACACCATCAAGAGAAAAAGAAGAAGAAAAGAACGATCAGTGTAAAAGCCTAATGAAAGCACAACGAAAGCCACTAGGGACTGCCGCCATACTGCCATCAAACTGCCACACCATCAAGAGAAAAAGAAGAAAAAAAGAACGATCAGTGTAAAAGCCTAATGAAAGCACAACGAAAGCCACTAGGGACTGCCGCCATACTGCCATCAAACTGCCACACCATCAAGAGAAAAAGAAGAAGAAAAGAACGATCAGTGTAAAAGCCTAATGAAAGCACAACGAAAGCCACTAGGGACTGCCGCCATACTGCCATCAAACTGCCACACCATCAAGAGAAAAAGAAGAAAAAAGAACGATCAGTGTAAAAGCCTAATGAAAGCACAACGAAAGCCACTAGGGACTGCCGCCATACTGCCATCAAACTGCCACACCATCAAGAGAAAAAGAAGAAGAAAAGAACGATCAGTGTAAAAGCCTAATGAAAGCACAACGAAAGCCACTAGGGACTGCCGCCATACTGCCATCAAACTGCCACACCATCAAGAGAAAAAGAAGAAAAAAGAACGATCAGTGTAAAAGCCTAATGAAAGCACAACGAAAGCCACTAGGGACTGCCGCCATACTGCCATCAAACTGCCACACCATCAAGAGAAAAAGAAGAAGAAAAGAACGATCAGTGTAAAAGCCTAATGAAAGCACAACGAAAGCCACTAAGGACTGCCGCCATACTGCCATCAAACTGCCACACCATCAAGAGAAAAAGAAGAAGAAAAGAACGATCAGTGTAAAAGCCTAATGAAAGCACAACGAAAGCCACTAGGGACTGCCGCCATACTGCCATCAAACTGCCACACCATCAAGAGAAAAAGAAGAAGAAAAGAACGATCAGTGTAAAAGCCTAATGAAAGCACAACGAAAGCCACTAAGGACTGCCGCCATACTGCCATCAAACTGCCACACCATCAAGAGAAAAAGAAGAAGAAAAGAACGATCAGTGTAAAAGCCTAATGAAAGCACAACGAAAGCCACTAGGGACTGCCGCCATACTGCCATCAAACTGCCACACCATCAAGAGAAAAAGAAGAAAAAAAGAACGATCAGTGTAAAAGCCTAATGAAAGCACAACGAAAGCCACTAGGGACTGCCGCCATACTGCCATCAAACTGCCACACCATCAAGAGAAAAAGAAGAAGAAAAGAACGATCAGTGTAAAAGCCTAATGAAAGCACAACGAAAGCCACTAAGGACTGCCGCCATACTGCCATCAAACTGCCACACCATCAAGAGAAAAAGAAGAAGAAAAGAACGATCAGTGTAAAAGCCTAATGAAAGCACAACGAAAGCCACTAGGGACTGCCGCCATACTGCCATCAAACTGCCACACCATCAAGAGAAAAAGAAGAAGAAAAGAACGATCAGTGTAAAAGCCTAATGAAAGCACAACGAAAGCCACTAAGGACTGCCGCCATACTGCCATCAAACTGCCACACCATCAAGAGAAAAAGAAGAAAAAAAGAACGATCAGTGTAAAAGCCTAATGAAAGCACAACGAAAGCCACTAGGGACTGCCGCCATACTGCCATCAAACTGCCACACCATCAAGAGAAAAAGAAGAAGAAAAGAACGATCAGTGTAAAAGCCTAATGAAAGCACAACGAAAGCCACTAGGGACTGCCGCCATACTGCCATCAAACTGCCACACCATCAAGAGAAAAAGAAGAAGAAAAGAACGATCAGTGTAAAAGCCTAATGAAAGCACAACGAAAGCCACTAAGGACTGCCGCCATACTGCCATCAAACTGCCACACCATCAAGAGAAAAAGAAGAAAAAAGAACGATCAGTGTAAAAGCCTAATGAAAGCACAACGAAAGCCACTAGGGACTGCCGCCATACTGCCATCAAACTGCCACACCATCAAGAGAAAAAGAAGAAGAAAAGAACGATCAGTGTAAAAGCCTAATGAAAGCACAACGAAAGCCACTAGGGACTGCCGCCATACTGCCATCAAACTGCCACACCATCAAGAGAAAAAGAAGAAGAAAAGAACGATCAGTGTAAAAGCCTAATGAAAGCACAACGAAAGCCACTAGGGACTGCCGCCATACTGCCATCAAACTGCCACACCATCAAGAGAAAAAGAAGAAGAAAAGAACGATCAGTGTAAAAGCCTAATGAAACAATATCCTTATGTCCTAAAGTTATATAATAACTCTTTAACACAAGGTTTACTTGTAATACTTTTTACCATATGACAGACGTCACCATCACAGGACACCCCCAGTCACACTTAGGCAGGATTTCCGTTACACACCCCGCTGACTTTCTTTCGTGCACACCCCCTCACACTTTTTTGGCCGAAGAGAAATGGTAGAATGCATAAAGAAAACTGATGCAGGATTCGTTTATTAATATAAGTTTAAGGTGGTAGCAAAAAAAAATTTAAAAGAGAAAGTGGAAGGGAAGTAAGAAAGGTACGAGAAAATAAGAGGATCAAGTGTTAAGTAGCTGACTAATTATTTCTGTTGCAGGTAGTTAAGTCTTCGCCCTCAGAATCAGATGCGTGAATGGGATGCACTTCTTCGTCATTGGAAATTGTGAAATTAGGAAACGGTCGAATAGACCTTTCAAAAGAACTTTCAAATAGGGGATACCAAGGATCATCGCGAATGCTTTTGTATGGTCCACGACCCTCAGGGAATATTTCAGGCCACTGGATAGCTGCGTCTTTGTTTGTCATAACGAGTATGAAGTGGTTTCCAATAAGCTGCAGGACGATCGGGTGGGTGCGCTTGGCATGTACTGGGTTGGTTGTCAAAGGGAAGAAAATGTGCGATTGTGCGCCATATATAACGATTGGCGTTTTGAACGTATCAGCGGCAATTTGACTGCATTCCAGTGAGACGAACCATTCACTTGAATAAGGATCGAGTACTTTTAAGTAAACGACCCTTGTCATAGTAATGGTAAAGCGTATTGGCGTTGGAGAGGTACTGATCGAGCATTTTGGTCTTGACATCGACATATCGCTCCTCTGTGTTATACAGGTCAACAGCTAAGGCTCGAAAACCACAGTACCATCTGGCATGGGATTATGCACCATTTTAACAGCTGATGGAGGAATCCATTTGCAAACAAGGTTGAGATTAGGTACAAAGCGAATTTTTGGAGGAGGAGGGATGGTGAGTGCCATGTTGTTTGAGGATGTGGTGGTTGGTATTGTGTCGTTTGCCTCATATGTTGTTGGCTCCATATTTCCGTTCCTATAGATTGTGAAAATTAAAATAAAGCGGTGGCTACACATCTTAATGCATAAAACCTTACCATATTGCTGCAGCATCACGACCAATGCCGGTGTTTGCTTTCTTTCGGCTTTGTGAGTCTTGATGCTCTAAAGCGATCAGCTCACGCTTGTTGCTGCTGCTTGGCGCTTTTTGGGTGCTTTTGGGAATAGATTTTGGCTGCTGAAGCTGCTCAGCATCGATGAACATATCATCATTGATGGATCGTAGTTGCGCGAGAAGAGTTGCACGTTGTTGGTTATCTGGAAAGCGGTGTAAAAGATTGTTGAGGCGTGTGAGCTCTGCTTCGATTTGCGAGTCCAGGCTTGGGGCTGTAAATGGACCAGTCATCGCCAAAATGTTGCTATTTCTATTGCTTGTTGTGTTTGGTTCTCCTAATAATTACAAGAATCAGCTACATGGCAAGTAAAAACAGCTTTTACATGACAGCCCATGAGTACCTTGAGGTGCCATTTTCTCAGGATAAAGGTGCCAACGTCTGGGAATAAAGTTTAAGGGGATTTCACCCTGTGATGGAAGCATATGGCAGCACGGAATATCATAGTGATACTTGATTGCACATCGGCAGTGATCAGTCTTTAACGCATTGTTGACTGTCAGCTCGTCACGGATAGCATAGAAAGCGAGCTTAGAAATTTTACGTTCCAAAGCTGCCAAACGCTGTTTTTGCTGTGCTGGGATATGCGAGTTTCCGCCAAAACTTTTTTTGTCAATCTGTCGCTTCCAATTCAAATACTAATATAAAGAAGAAAGCATATAAGAGCCTCGACACTAACGAGTCAATATAATTACTGTAAGAGATAAACCTTCAATTGATAAAACTTCGTCAGTCTGCGTAAAGACAGTTAGGAGATTGCCACTTGAGGACATGATTGCCTTTTTCATGTTGGCATGCGTCCCTTCGACTCTGTTTGTGCTGTCGTTTCCGAAATGCTTTACATCGGTGAGGCAATTGCCTACCCACTTGTCTTTTGAAGCAAGCTTTCTGTATAACGAAAAACATGTTAAAGTCCAACAAATAGCATGTGGTCAAAAAATCCGTGTTTATTCAATCTTACACGCCTTTGCAAATAATCCATGACAACGTCGGGCCTTTTTGCCTTCCAGCAGCCTCCTCATACATCTTCATTGCCTTTTCTTCGAGCTTATCGTTCGAAATCGTGGGTCGTATATCGTCAAATTTGTCTTGGTATTCACTAGCCATTAAAAAATAAATAGCTTTTTCGAGTTCCTCGTAATGGTCCTTGACATCAAAAAGCTTTCGTATGTTGACCCTGAAGTTACGTCGTATATGGATCTTGCATAGAATCTTTTTTGCCGTTGGAAAAACGCGGTCGAGAGCACCGGTCAAAGCTGATTCGCTGTCTGTTACAAACACACCAGGGGACGACAACTGATCAAGTGGCCAAATGACAGTTTGAAGCTTGCGAATCACCCAATCGTAGCTGTCATTGTTTTCCTCTGATACCCAGCAACCAGCAATGCAGAAAGTCATCAATTGTTGGGGATATCCAATATTGCCAGTTCCAAAAATATTGATAAATGGCAGCCGGTGCTTGTTTGTCTTGTAAGTGGCGTCGAAAGTAACAACTTCCGGGAATTGGTGAGCGAGTGCGATTGCCGATCTGTGCGCAAAGAAGAGAGACTGCAAAAAGCGTTTGTCACCTTCTTGTGTTGCTTTCCATTGGACTTCGTAATCGTTTTCTTGAAGCTTTTTGATCAGCTGTAACATTACATGGTCTGGGTTGTTGTTATATATGCGCTGACGAAGATTCGTGCTGATGTCCTTAGGATGAGCAATCTTTTTCCTGCTGGCAAGATACGACAGTACAGCTTTGTTGGTTTCATGCGCTTGTACCATCTTCGTAACGACCTCCTCATCGTGATCGAGTCGACGGAGCATTGGGTACGAAGAAAGTTAGTTTGCCATCTCATGGTTGTGGCTGCCATCATAGAAAGAGACTATGTGCCATTGGTTGCTGGTCTGGTACAAAGGATGAAGGATCATTTCGAATTTGCAACCGAACCACTGGGAGTCCCTTTGACGAGTGTCGATCTTTTTATCCTTAGATGGCGCAATGGCCTCGCCCTTGTCATCTACAATAACCATTTGTCTTGTCGTGGTATTCTGCTCTTCACATACGCCCTTGTTGACTGGCTCACCGTAATAGTTGCAAGCAATCTGGAGCTTCCTCTTACTTCCCATCTTATTAATTCTAGTAGTTTGCAACGAGACACCATTCTTTTTTCTCCATGTATAGCAAGCAGTCTTTGTGGCATCGAATCCATCCCATGCGGTGTTAAGTTCTTCTGGAATTGAGTTCATTGTTTTTGACATTGCGTTTAATGAGCAGTAATGAGGTAGGTAGAAATTTTAATAAATAAAAGCGCGTTTGTATCACTTCAAGTGTTCCTGGATTTTTAAATAATATAACTGTCCGTCATATGTATAACCATATACAATGATGAAAGGTAAAGACGTGTTTATTTATAATCTATTTAAGCATATACGTTACGCTGGATGATTTCTTCATTGCAAGTTCGCATAGCTTTGGGAATAAGCTGCATTACTGTAACTTTATAAAGGATGTGCATGACCAAAGTAATTTGCTCAACAGGGTGTGCGGGGTGTGCAGCAGGGCGTGTAATGGAAATCCTGCCTAGGTGTAACTGGGGGTGTGCAAATAGACCTGCCCACAACTTATGGTGTGGTTGTATCTCTATATCATATTTGTCAACAGGTCGCTATATATTAGTTACTATGATATTTCCTTGGTCTCTATTGGAATGTATCCTTTACATGCGTACTTTTGCTTGGTGGAGTCTATGGTTGGAAGAATCCTCTAATTTATACTGCATTTATCGTTATCATACTCCCATTGCATATGCTTCGTTTTATATATACGAGAGGCAGTGGGCTTGGTATCCATTGTAATCTCGTGCAGCAGTGGATCGCAACTTTGTACCGTCATGCATCAATGTCTTGTTTTTCTCCATTAGTGAATCCGGTGCTCTTGTGTTAACACCTCAAATTATCATGGCAAGCAAATGGGCTCGAAATATAAATGCATATTCTTATGAATTTCTTATTTCAATTTTATGAACCATTGTTCGAAATGATAGTGTGTACTTAGTTCAGCACAACTTTATGCTAGCATATGGATGTTGTTCGGAGCCGTAGCTGTTCCTGTTGATTGCTTCGTGGCTGGACCGTGTAAGGATCTCACCAGTTCATTTGCACAATTTTTATATGTAATCGTTGCACTTTACACAACGTCTATAGTACTCCTGTATTTCTAGATAAAAGGTAGAGTTCCTCTTGGTGTCGGCACGTTTGTCATATATTTTGGAGGTGTTTCGCTTCGACGTTCTATGGTTCTTGTGATTGTTGCTTGCGTACGTTACTTAAAGGAAGTGGGTTCTCTCACCTTTTTTGTCTCTTCTCGTGTGTGGCTCATCATTAGCGCGTAAGATACAACTCTCAGTAGCGAATCGTTTGCATTCCGTTTATTTTTGATTATTTAGCCGCTGCTACGGAAATTTCCATATATTTATTGGCATGTAACGTTGGTTTTTTGACAGGCGCGACAGGGCTGTTTCAGCAATCATTAAGTACAGTCCTAAAACGCTGCTATCACAGAGGATCGATGATAGCTACGCAGAAAAGGTAAAGAATCCAGAGATTTTATAAAAGAATGGATGATCTCTAGTATTTGACAGAAACACATATTGACTATTGCTTCTTCTATTGCAAACAGTTTATTAACACCTGGCTCTTGAGGTCCCTCAAGGGTATAATGATTGAAGCAGCTCAACGTACTACATTGTTCATGGTTGAGGGTTCTTCCCTCGCATTTTTGGCAAGTTTGTACTATCGAAATATTAGCCTAAAGAAAGATTGCGGTGTTGATTTTGTCGTAACAACGGACTAAAAAACCATCGTTGACTGTTTTTGGAGGAAGTGCCAAAGAACCCTTTGTCAGGCTACATATACGAGTATTAGTAGATAGATCAAGAGGACAAAAAGATGAAGAAACCGCCCGAGAAAAGTTAATATTCTGGTACGACAAAGTTTTCTTTTACTCATCAGTCTGGTGGCGACGAAAGGATGCTTGCTCTTGTTGAGATATTCAAGGTTATACAAAGTGATGTTCCATGGTCATACTGAACTGAATTGGGCAGCTCAAGACCAGTAGTCGCCGATGTTGATTATATTGTCGGATTCGCAGCAGGAGCGAAAGGGGGTGATACCCGCGGGCGCATTTATGGGTCTCAACAAATGTTTATCTCAAAGCAAGATTTGGATATTGAAATATCTTTTCTAATGTTGAATCTCAGCCAAGGCACAAAGACGCTGTATGATCCTCAAGAAAGAGCTGAAAGATCCTTACTAAAGAGCTAAGATACAGTAGAAACATGTAGTTTGAAAAAACTTTCTTAGTGCTTGTGGTGGGATAGCGTTTCTGGTATTTTTATAGTCGAATCTTTATTATTCGCGGGTGCGTAACTTCTTTTATTATTTTATGAAATGCATAGTGGCAAATCGGGCAGGAGAGTATCAGAGGAGGGAGTAGTTTTTTTATTTAACTGTATTCGATCACTTTTTTGACATAGTAGGCACCTGTGCCGCCAGAAGAAAAAAAAACACGAATAGGAAAAGTTAATGTGAGCGCGTAATCTTGACATTGTCGTTTTAGTTACTGCTAAAACAGAACAAAATAAAACAAATCACAAACCTGATGCTAAGGCAATTACTGACATTGCAGCTGGCACGGGCTTTTTGAATCCACTCTTGATTGCGCGAGGCACCATTGCGGCTGCCAAGACGACTGAAGCTGCCACGGCGGTTTCGTGACCATAGTCTTTGTTTTCCTTGATCAGGTAACCAGCATAGCCATACATCGAACCCACGGCCAAACCAGCAGCGAGAGAAGGCACCGAACGAGTACGTGCGAAACCAGCAATACCACTATTAGTTATAGAAAAGTGCTTAGTATATATTTTTTCGAGCAGCTAACCTCCTTTCATTTTATCTCGTTAGTTTTATTTTCAGTGATTACCCGGTAGCGGCAAGAGCGGCCATAGTGTAGCTAGGATGATGCGACATAGTTGTATGTATTAAAGCGGTTTGGAAGAAGGCAATGAAAAAGGCACGCGCTGTATATGCGTGCCCTACTTAAAGTCACTCCCAACAACGATTGGGACCCCGGGGTCCGCGATGACTCAAAAAGGAAAGAGATGTGTCAACTCGGGCCGAACCAAACCGGCATCCGTGCTACCGCGCACTTGTACCCAGATTCCCGATAATCCGCGCACACTCCACTTACTCTTGCTCTTCTTTTTTTTTCTTTGATGAAATAACGCTTGGCAGCAGTAGAGAAAACGACATATAATAAGCGCTCATTAAGCTAGCGCTTCAGACGACAGATCCTCAAGTAAATAGTCGATTCAACCGACACCTTTATTTCTTATATCTTAAGAACGTTGAGAATGATCAAAACGTTTTTAAAAAACCTGGTGAGAAAAAGCACATTAGCGGCGCAGATGAATAACGTAAAACCGTAAAGAAGAATCGACAATACATATGTTGCGCTTGCTGTACCGATAATTAGAGAATTATAGCCTCTACCTTGTTGTCCCTGGTTGTCGTTTTGTAATTCATGGGTACTTCGTCAGCGGCTATATAGCGACATTATTCGACAGCGTACCTCAGTAAAAATCATCTCTAATCAGATTGCAGATCAACTGGAATCGATGTTTATCTAAAGCATCCGACTTGACCTGGTCATTGGACGGCAACGTCAAAAATGAAAGCCTCACAATTAGTAACAGCTAAACACTCAACTACTTATCTTCAAACCCCATGAAATTATGGCGGACTACATCGCAAAGTGTGATTATAAATATACGACTAGTAAAATGCTATAAGTATTATTAAATGGATACATTCATTTTTATGTGATGACCTGACAACAGATTACCGTGATTGCCTTGTAGCAAGTAGAACAAAGGAGCGGCTTGTGTCACAGTACGGCTTTCGATTCCGGAATGATTTTTCAAACGCGGCTTTCGTTCATCAGTCAATCGCCTCACTTTCAGCCTCGCGTAGCGCGTCAGAGCTTAGTACCGTTCTAACATGTACATAAAAAGCTTCAAAGCGCTTTTCATGTCTTTACATGTCTTTACATGTCCTCACATGTCTTTGGATACATCTAAATACATTTTAAGGTGCCGCAAATGCATTTATTGTAAAGGCATCCGAATTGGATTAAAGGTATTTTACGTTTAGGGGTGACACTCTTAACTCTTCATCACCTTTGATTACTAGTTAGTAATGTACCAGATTACAATACGATAAGCGTGGTTCGCAATACGCTATGTATAGAATGGTACTCGGCAGTGGCACCAAACCTTAAACGACTCGTTCTAACGTAATTTTATGTGGCGTATATCGCTATTGCTAGCCCTGAATTACCGGCAGTATAAAAGCGGTGCCGTCCCGAACTTACAATCGTCGAGTCATTCGACCAGGAGAGCTACGTTCCACGCAAGTGCCCACTATAATCCCACTGGAAAAAGGAAGCAAACGGATGAGGAACGACAGCAACTAAGGAGTAAAACATCTTATAATTCACGATCCATTTAATTTTCACGGAATATCTGGGTATAAAGTGCAAGAGTACATGTTTATCAAGCAGCACTTCAGTTACTAGATTTGGACGGCGGTGCTTTGTTCGACAGCGCCATTCTTACGTTTTTTTCAACGCTCAAGCTCTCTTCGCTGACGCGGATAGTACTCACCAGATTTGGAAGATATACCACGATGGATGCCATGGCTAGTTCCTTTGCCAACGCCACACCTCTAGTGACACATCTTCTCGCTTGATCGTGTCATTTGCATGGCAGTTCGTAATATGCTGATATTGATTGCTACCGGGATGCCATTGTTGCGTGTACTCAATATCATTGATACTTTCGCTCAACATGCCAGCTTCATGTTGTCATCCGGGGCGGGGATCTACGCCATTTTGTTCAAAATAGTCGCTGGGCCTGATCGTCATTCATGATACGAGTGACAACTTTCTCCAGTGACCGCACCATTAGCGAAAAGCGCCAGCAGATACGTACTTCCATATCCATAAACTTGCCGTTCTTTAATGTGCAAATGTGAGTGATAAGGATATGCTGTACAGTATTCTCTAACATGACAATATGAAACCGCTTCAATTACCTTGTATTTATATGCAGAACAGTATCTTCCAAAACATCGCGGTGTTGTGGAGCTATTTGCATTAATACGGCTGAAGTCAAAGTCTCCAATGTTATTCTAACAGGATTTGAAACTATCCAATCCTTTTATTTGTGTAAGTAAATCAGTGACTTTTTTTTTGATCTTCATAAATATATATATAGATATATAGATCGTATTCAAAAATTAATTACATTGAACCATGTGGTGGTCACTAAATAATTTTTATAGAGGTTATTTCATTTGAATACAGTAATCTCTTCTTACTACATACATTTTATCTGCTTCATCTGAGCTAATCCAGTATAAACAGTGGCTTTTTATTGACACATACCATGATATTTAAAAAACAGTAGAGTAGTAAAGGAAAAGGTACAGGGCTATGATGAGGAGCAATATGGTATATACTACATACTTGATTACTGTTTCTTATACAAAAAAGAGTGCTTTATGTATCGCCTTACTTTCGTACCACCTGGATATCATTTTAACTGAACGAGAAGCTGACCCTAAAGAGGCGTTCTCTATACATAACATGAGCAGCTTATAATAGTTTGTATCATTACAGCAAAAGTGACACATAGTTGGATGATCTGCATCATATATGGTAACACCATACATTATAAAACACGAGGCGGGTATACTATCGCAAGTAAGTCAACAATTCATATTCAAATTTAAGAGTTACATCATGAAGATTGCCAGAGGAACGACATTTGTGGGGCTAGACAATATATAATGGTTTTTAGTAAAACCTTGGTACAGTTGTGTAGTGACGTTTGAGCGATGTTTAAATGGGAGCGCTTGTGAAAGTTGCAACGGATATTTTTAAAATATCGCAGCAAAGAGAAACAGGGAGTAAGAAAGAATAATAGGTGAGATGGGCAAGATAAAGTTGTAGCTACGTTTATCATAGCTGATAACCTTCACTGCTTTGTTGGTTTCTTGTGTGATTGACGCAAGTATACAATAATAGCTCCAACAACGCACAGGCCCTCATACGCTCATATTGCTAACTATAGTAGCAGGGTGGATCTTTGCACATGTCATCGGGTTGCCAAGTTTTGCAAATCACTAGTACATATATGAACATATCAAATTTAGGCACCGTATATTAAATGTAAGCCTTTTTTTTGACGACAGGTAGTAAGGTCACATATCTTATTTTTTTGACAGCAGTGGTACATAACAGCAATAAAATAAAGGTGATTTTGCTCTGAAGGAACGTAATATTTAGGTCGTTAAAAAAGCCCCGGCTGATTATCTTACACTTGACTTTCACAAAGAAGACTGGCTTACATCCGCGCTCTCTATATCATCTCAACAAAACTGTGAGTGCTGATGATGATTGCGGTGAGTTTCTACTCACACGCAGGCATGTTAATAATTTTCCAGAATTAATAGTGCAACATGAGGGTTTTCTCGGCCTCGAATATCGTGCAACTGCATATATACAATGTGTGTGTTGACATGTGCTTTTGCACACATCATAACATGCGCACCAAAGGATCGAACTAGTACAGCCAGTGCATCGGTGAAAGTTTACGCAGAGAGAATACCGAGAATGAGGAAAGGTAATAGCTAAAAATGGAAATAGGAGGGGCTAATAGGTAATAATAGCTGATCGAGAGAATCAGGAGCGAAATAAAAGGATGATACAAGCGAGAGTGTATAAAAAAATCGACTTCTTTGTGCCCTATTTCCCTGGTTTTGCTATTAAGTTGAGATAAAAAAATAAAAAGGGTATTCATTGCGGCAACCAGCAGCAGCTGAGTTACCTTCCCGAAACAGTTAATAAAGGGGATGTCAACATGCTTTCTTTGTTTTTATTCAAGCGAAGAGACGAAAACAGGTTATGGTCGAGGCTTTTCGCCAGTACAATGGTTTTGGCTCAGTGTTACACGACCTGTTGCAACGGTGCTACGTATTTTGCTGTATACGGCACATATATTTTCGTTGTTCCTGTTCCTGTTGCCATGGTAATGTGATATTGCTATGCTGGGTTGCTTTGAGTTATGTTGCCATAGCAACAGCAAGAAAACTGATCTCCAATCTGCTTTTTTTGACCGGGTGTTCTATTCCACAAAATTAATTTATAAGATAAAGATGTTTCTTATTTTGATATAGAGAAATGCTCTAACCGTAATATTGTCTATTTTTTCTATGTTAAATATGGTTGCGACCATCTTTTCAATGTGTCACCAACTTTGTTTCTCAGAGCGAAACGCCTGGGAGCCCTAATAAGAGTTCAGCCCCTACTACCCACTTTTGTCGACCTTCAAATTTCGGGTGCAGATGCATACTTGCTTTCTCTTTTCTTTTCTTTCATCGACAGTCGTAAGAAAAAAATACAACACGTCCTTAGCACTCTTCCACTACGTTGGACTTAATCGCCCTCATATTCTAAATACTTTCCTTCCTTCCTTCCTTTCCTTCCCTCTCATTCATTCCTTTTCTTAAAAAACACTACCCTCCTTTCCTTTTTCCTCTCTATTGAAGACCCACCCCCACCTTCTCTGCCACCCCTTGTACTTTAATTCCTTATACTATGCTTTCCGCATCTACGCTCGCATCAAATGCATCAGATGCATTTTCAACAAATTCCGGCGCAACGACGCCCTTGTCACCTTATTCTACCGATTCGACTCCGAAGAACTCGGGAAACAACCCTTTGGCCGAGCTTATTGAAACCGAAAAGAGTTATATGGAAACACTCAAGATCATTGACATTGTAACGTGTTTATTCTTTATTTCTCTCGTCTAAGATAATAATTACCGTGCAAACATGCAGCACTGCACAATTGAAAAGATATTTGCTGTCTCTTGTGTTTCGGTGGGGGTGAATCAAGTGCTGTAATAAGCACCATACGATAATTTGGATATTCTCTAATAATGCCCTGATTTTTTTCCCTCTTTTTAAAAATATAAAAGCAATTAGCCCCGCTATGGACCGATCAATCCATTACTGATTTTACCGAGCTTTTAGCCAATGTTCGCGAAATCATCAAAGTCAACAAACGCTTCTGCGCGGTAAGGATCTCCGTTGGGGAGCAGATCCAATTCTGCAAGATATTATACATGTGTATTTGATTACTTATTGCGAATTTTATCACTGCAGAAACTAGTCAAGATCGCCGCAAACCCTCAGACGATCAAGGAGCTTGGAGACGTGCTCATGCAATGGGTTAGATATATAAATAAATTGCCCTTGCACCATCACACCCGGCAGATATTAACCTGTGTGTTTACAACTACCTATATGATAGGTTGATGATATGGAGGTCCCTTATGCCAACTTTTCGCGTGGCTACATACTCAATCTCAATCAACGTCAAGACATTGCCAAGAATCCTGGCATCCAAAAGCTGCTCAAGGTATATAAATATTTGTAAACAGAAGGCGTCACTATAAATATTGAACTAACCCAAATATTAATTCTAGGATTTGTCTGCTCAAGCATCCTATGAGATCAGTCTAGAATCTTTATTTAATGCGCCAGCACAACAGCTCAACTATTACAAAGTGTTATATAGTGTGAGTAACTACTGATTTTCAAAGTTCTAAGAAGTAGCAAGTGCGTTTCGCTAACCGAGGAAAATGCATGCATATATGCACTACTACAGCGTCTTTTAGAAAGTGCTGAGCCTGGTCGGGCTGATCACAAGCTTTTGGTCAAGGCCAATCGACGTATTGATACGGTCATGCTAATGGCCCAGAAAAGTTCTGGAAAATCAAGCGGGGCCACAGACCCTTCTTCTTCCCCTTCTTCTTCTGCATCGAGGGCACACACTAAACCACTTCCTATCGTTACACCCATCCAAACCAACATGACATCTGTGCGCTCTGAGTTAATTATGTCTTTTGATGGCTGTAAGCTTGACTGCTCTCAAGTCGTGGATCTCTTCAGCGGTTCGCCTATGGTTTGTATTTATGCAAAAAAAATCGTTTACTTCTTCCAAGTTTTTTTAACTCCTCGATATAATCTCCTTATTATGAGCAGCACCAGTATCAACCACGTCTACCCGACGATGCAGCAGTCGTTCTGCGGGATCATTTTGTGCAGCTGCCCGGAGAAACAAACGAAACGACACCGATTCGCGTCCAGCTTATCCTTACGAACGATGTCTTGCTTGTAGCTAAGGAAGGCACCAACAACGTGTACACACTCTTATACCCACCCCTTACTGTAAACGACATTACTGTAAAGTCAAAGAACCTCGACCGAGAGCTGGTGGGTGAGTACATTGTGGAATTCGCCGTTGTGGGCAAGAAGCACCTTACGATGCGAGCTGACCTCAAGGAAACACGCAACAAGTGGGTCGGCGTCAACGACAATGCGCCCAGCTCAATGACACTTGCACCAAAAGCGCTTAGAGCCGTCGTGCAAAAGCACGTTGGTGGCGGAGACGGAGCAGCAGAGGGATCTTCATCGCTAGCATCAGCATCGACACCAGCAGACAAGAATGCCCGCAAGAGTGGTATCCGCAAACATGACATATTTTCGTTTTACACGGATCAAACGGGCGAGATATCCCCATTGTCTTCTGATGAGTCATCTTCTGAAGAGTTTCTCCCAAAAGGTAGAGTAAATAAGTGCAGGGGGAGGGGCGCCATCGGTAATAGGTCAAGTGATCATCGTATCTTTTTCTGCCTTTTACAAACATATAAGGGAAAAAGTAAAAGGAGAAACGAAAACAGGCAAAAATGCTCTTGAGCGCCCCATTCTGAAAGGTGTTTAATGTCCTTATTTAGTACCTGCGCTGCCACCCAAAGATATTGTACAGCAAGAGCAGCAGAAGCACGAAACGAAAAACTTGCCTGCTCCGCCACCACCTCCGAAAGCGAGCAACGATGAAAGTGACTTGAAGCCACCAGCACCAGCACCAGCACCAGCACCAGCAAGACAGGATTCGCATCTATCGCCACGCTCGGCAAGCCCTGCACCTTCGGCGGTGTCCACGAGCACTTTTAATTCGTCAGGAGCGGAAGATTCACCCGGCGCGGCTGCACGGCCTGTATCACCCCGAACCATCGAAATCAGCCATGCTGTCGCACCAGTGGCTGCTATGCAAGCAGTGACTCAGGAATACAACGCTGCGGATCCAAAACTTTTGCCTCGCACCTCTTCTGTGAATCGCGGTGTTACTTCTTCTGCTGCTGTTGCTGCCCCTGCTGCTGATCCTTATACTCCTGCCATGACTATGCCCGCACGGACTTCGTCTTCTCGCCAGCAGCCACAACAACCACCTATGCAAAAAGCACTTCCACAACGACCACCTGCTGCTCCGGCCCATCACCAACAACACCACCAACAGCAGCAACAGCCTGGTCCCATGCATCATCATCCTTCGATGAATCGATCGCTTCCTCCACAGCCTCAATCGACACAACAACCAAGACCACCGGTGATCCATCAACCTCAGCCTCAGTATATGGCTCGGCCTGGTGCGCCGCCATTGACTCAGCGTCGTTCGTTCCATAACAATATGCCGGGTAATCGGTCACCTAGTCCAGGAATGGCTGTTGGTGGACCTGGTGGATATCCGCAACAACAGCCTACTCCTCCACCTCAGCAGCAGCAACAACAACAACAACAACAACAGCCGCCTATGGGTCGTCATTTGAATACTCCTCCTTACTTGCATCAGCAGCGATCCATGGATGACTTGAATTCGCCACCCCGCAGTGTAAGTTGGCGATAAACAAGAAGCCCATTGTTTGACTTTGTTTCCCAGAAAAAGAAAAGAAGAGCTGGTCACTCAAACTTTAACCTTTTTTCTCGGTTGTTCTTATCGTTCTATTGTGTGTATTTAGCCTACCCCACATATGGTGAACGGTCAACCCAACGGCATTCGCCAAGTTGTGTATAGCGGACAATGTGAAGTGTTCCATTGGAAGGCCGAGTCATGGTATGCCGTTGACGGCCAGTGCCTGCTCGAAGTGCGACAAACGTTCACGAATCGATCTTGTGTCGCCGTTCTTATGCAAAACACAGGCCAGCTATACTTGAACGCATGGGTCCTTCCAAATACGGTGATTTGCCATGCTTCACCCACCGACGTTAGCATTTCCGTGTTTATGGGCAACCAGAAGGAAAACTACCTTGTCCATTTCCAATCCCCGCAAGAAGCTGCGCACCTGTTTCAAATCTTGCAGCGCACGCATCAAGAAGCCATCCGCATGGGCGGAACAATGGGTGAAGGAACCTTGCGTGGCGCTCCACCTGGTGTTATTGCTGCTGCTGCTGATTTCTTGGATGACGATCCCAAAGACGACGAGCCCAAAGAAGAACCACAGCAACCCCAGACCTTACGTCTTGTAATGCAATGCAAGGCCAAGCTATTTGTCCAGCAAGAACATTCCAGCTGGAGCAGTTTTGGCAGTGTGACCATGAAGATCTCGCAGCAATTGCCTAGCAAAAAAATGCATATCGAGATGGAGAATGGCAAGGGCAACAAGGCAACCAAGTTGGTCAGCGCAACGGTTCACAGTCGCAATGTCAGTCGGATGAATCCAAAGCGTATCACGTTCTTGTTGACAAACGAAAAGGAACGGCAGAGTATGGTGTACATGGTCCAGATCAAGGAGGAGGAGACAGGTCAAAAGATCTATGAGTATATAAAGACCAAGAACGCAGAGAATGGCTGGTAAAAAAGAAACAAAATTATCCTCTCCACATATTCCGCAACTCATACAAACAACGCATAATATCTTTAGTAGTCTAGTACATGTATAGAACTCGCACACACACACACACTCTCTCTCTCTCTCTCTCTCGCCTTTTTATTTCCACGCACCATACAATCCAAACACACACTCATACACACACACTCACACTTCTTTATTCATCCACCCGTATTCCTTGTTTTGAGTTTCTTTTTTTCTTATTTATTCATACTCTTCCTTTCTTTCTCTTGTTCATGTACTTATCCCCCACCCCAAACTTCCCCTCAGGCATAATATATTTTTCTCATTCCTCTTATTACAAAATTGATCGGGAGACTAACTGGGCGGCCACTGATAGCCCATCATATCCATCGTGGGTGTATATATGAAATCAGCAAACCGAAACAAATCGTTGACAGCTATATCTGTCGGCTTTAGCCAGGACCAATCTTCCTCCAAGGATGCCGTTGGCGCGCTTGGAAGCACGGCCATGGGCGGCGGTGGAGCAGTACTAACATGAGCAGCCGTATCCGTAATGGTAGCCGTTACTGCTGCTCCAGAAGTAGGCGGGAATGGTGATGACGATGGATGCAGTGGTGTCTGTTCTTGCCAAATCGACGATGTTGATGATGAAGATGTTGACGATAATGAAGGTGCTGGTGCTGATGATGCGTCCTCTTGTTCTTGTTCTTCGTCGTCGTCGTCGTCCGGGTCGTGGGGTGATAGCGACGGATTTGTTTGCTTTTCAATGCGAGCAATCAATGTACGTACATACTTGTGGTGCTTGACGGGCGATGATTTGAGCACCGCTCCTACGCGCTGCATTTGCCGTTTCGCATGAGCCAAAACTTCCGGTTTCTTAGACTTGAACTGATGCCCGTACACCAAGCACGCCATGACAATCGTGTCCAGAGTGAAATGACACCATGGTTGGCGCAGCTGCATCCAGCACTCCAATAGCTCAGTGATGGCATCGGCGCTATTCAAACACAAGCGTAACGATAGTAGGTTCACAGTGTGTTGCTTGTCCGGATGAGGCGGCAGAAAGATTGAGTATAGCTGGCACATTTGAAAATGATACTCAAAGTTGAGCTTCAGACATGCCTGTTCCCGAAACGAAGTGCTTGTCCATGACTTTTGTTGGTGCGGGTTGTATTGGAAATAGCATGGTAGCTGCTTGTACCAAGTCTTGAGTTCGCGCTCCAAGGTGGATACTGTCTTGAACAAGGGGTCGCTTTGATGACAGCTGGTATGAATGCGGCGATAAATTTGGTTGATCATGTGTCTGTGCTTGGTAAATTCAGCGCGGTAACGGCGCTCGCCTTGTTCATGGTCCAAAAGCTGGATTGTCTGCGCTTGTAGTGGAAATAGCATCGGTTTATCTGAATGCGCTGCACATAGCGTCTCCAGAAATTCCAAGGCAGCAAACAGTCGGCGGCCTGTTTCGTCCTCAGGATGTGCGCGATGGAGGCCCAAGTCGAACGCCATACGGGTGGCTAGACCCAAGAAGGTATAGGCTTCAGATTCACATCGGTCCGGACCCGTTTTTCCAATGCTGTAGATGTACATCAGTAACAGTGCATGCACCGTCTCAACACGTGGTGTGAGAAATGCATCGCGCAGTAAGGCCTTGGCTGCAGCAAAGTAGGGTTCACCCACCCGGTTTGGATCTTGTTGACCCAGAATACCGTGGTAGATGGCTGCATGGCGTGCTGACCAGGATAAGACGGCATTAATTAAGAGCGGTGATGCGGTCTGTTCTTTGCATTGTTGTAAGAACGTATCCATCTCGGGCAGCGGCAAGCACAAGAAACACTCTTCGTAGATTTTGAGTAGCTGATTCAATAGTGCGGGATGCGGTAGTTTCCGAGCAATGCAACACGATGTACTGGTTCGTGATGTGGTAGCACAAACTTCGTGATTGCTATTGCCAGATTCCCAAGCGCTATACAGCGGGAAGATGATGTCTTTGGATCTGTACAGGGGATTGTATTTGATAACAACGGCGTTTAACCCGTCTTCTTCGTCATCCTCGTCATTATCCTCTTCCCGGTGATGCTGCTGTGGGCTTTCATGATGATGATCGTGACCGTGATGTCTTTTGATTCCTCCTGGTGCTTCTGCATCAGTTGTTGCTGTCTGCGCATTCGAATATGTTGCTGGATGCGGCAGCCCCGCGTGTGACGTTGGGTTAGAGTGTTTCGGCGTACTAGTGGTCGTTGCGATTGTTCTCAGCTGTGACAAGCCGGAAAGCAGTATATCATATAGGTCATTCAGAGAAATGATATTCGTGTCCACTCGTAGACCATTAGGTGTCAAGGAGACGGCCCAGTTTGGATTTAATTGTTGCTGTTGAACTGGCGATGACGGTGGGGGTGAAGATGAAGATGAAGAAGAGGAGGTAGCTAAGGGGATGGACGACGACGGTACTTCAGCATCATAGTTGCATGAAGGTGCTGTGGCTGTTGTTGCAAACTCGTGTTTCGTTTTTAGTCGCTTATTTCGAATCTCTTTGGCAATGAATCGTGTGTCGTCTTTAATTCCTTCAACACCACTTTCTATTGCAGCAACCCGGGATTGCAGTTGGCTTACAGTTTCGTTGAGCTGCACCAAGTTGAACAAGTCAATCTGCGTAGGTGCTCCTGTGTATGAGCATGCGGCTGTATGTACAGAGTATATAAACAAAGTCGATTATCACCCAATTTAGTGTCGCTGCTGGTTACTTTCCATCCACCATAACAGCAAAGACACCCCCCTTTTTTTTGTTCCCTCTCGCAAACAAAGAAATACCCGGCAACGGCGTACCTTTAGCGCCGCGGCATCGACCACATATTGGATGGGCGAAATCACACTTGACTTTTGTCGATAATAAGAAACATCATGGTTTGAGTATTGCTGTGAGGAAATCAAACGAAAGTAAGAGTGTCGTTATTGATGTCACAGAATTTATCTTACCCTTCTTCAGTCTTTCATTTGTGTGTGGTGACAGAAACCAAGAAGAGCAAAAATGTAAGAGTTTACTTCTTGGTGTGTTGTTGAGAATATTAACTTCTGAATGTTAAATACCTGCACCGCTCGCAAGCCAGCGTCATTCGCATCCGTTTTGACGTTGAATGAGGGTCGTTTTCAAGAGTCATTTATCTCTTTTGCTTTTTTTTCGGTTGTATGTGTAGCGTGTAATATGAAAAAGACGAGACAATAGAATGATAACCCGGATGAAAGGAAGAAAGAGAAAGAGAGAAACAAAAAAGAAAGGAGACGAGAAGCTTAAAAGAACACGCTGCAGACTTGCTTAAACGTGATACTTGCATTAGTACATACCAGTATTACCGATCTGTAGTTACTCTGTTTTGGATTTGAAATATGACTAACGATCTCATGCCATGCACAATGCCGAAAATAGTTACTGGCTTATGTATGTAAGCATACAGCAGTAATATATATATAGTATTACATACAAATAACAAATATATAAATATAGTATACAGGTAATAGGAAAAGTTGGTTGGATGCGGGTTAAAGTAAAGAGAGTGCTAATGATTTAAACGAGCCACATCACTGTCCTGCTTACTACAGAAAGCAGTAGTGATATGATTTATCGTTTTCTATGTTGCCTTGCCAACATTTCAGAGATTAGTGAAACAGAGTCCAGCCCCAAGGTATAGTAGTGGTCGTTTTTCGACGGATCAAAGATGCTTGTATGTGCATCAATCTCGCCTTCCATTCTTGAAGTGATGGGTATAAAATGATGCGCAGTCTCTGGAGGAGGCAACGCGATAAATGTACGTGGATCACTTGCTAAGCTGTCGTCACTCGTTAACTGATATAATGCGCATACCTCGAAGCTTAGCATCACATGTTCACACTTAATGCAGCAACATCCAGCATCTATCGCCACTCCATCAGAACAGGCACACCACCTTCTATTATGCAGAAACTTTATATCGGCTTCTTTACCTGGACATAAAAACACTTGAACATGACATCCGGTAGCTCGGTGAGTCGACGTACTCTATAAAATAATTGGATCAGGCAACTCAAATTGTATCAGACATGTATATACAGATATGGAAAAAGGAGTAGCACCAGGTATAATATTACTTCTCTTTTCATACCTTTCCCAGCAGCCATTCAGATCCATCAATGTACTGACGAATTCGAGATGATCAAAAACATCCGTCATCCCTGCAGTGATCTTTTCTCTGGCCATATAGGCCGCCGCACCTGCTGCAGCGACACCCACAACTCCAGCCAGTAATCCCCACGAGGACGAAGATGACTTTTTCTTCGTTGCCGCTGTTCCGGGATATTCAATTGCAGCTGCTTTGGTCGATCGTGATGTTGTCGCACTTGCTGCTGTAGCTGCTGTAGTAGCAGCACCCGTTGCCGACCAAAATCGACTCACATGACGGTTCACTTGTTCTGCATGGCTCAACGCCTGAGTCGTAACAAATCGATGATTGACAGAATAAAACGGTGTATCATATGCTATTAATCCAAGAATATCGGCATCCAAGACCTCTGGATTTTGTTTCCAGTGAAGTATTGCTTCAGCAGCTAAATGATCGTGATACGAGATTAATATCTCAAATGAATATCATGCGTACATGGTAGGAATCTTATACATACAATAACCCTATATACGAATCACTCATTAAAATTGTAATGACACTTACATACAAGTCCACCCATGGAATGCCCGAGCAATACAAACCGGACCCGACCACAACCTGCTTCCTTTTGTGCTAATTGAACTTGTCCCTGAAGCCACGCTAGTAGGTTCTTTACCGCTAACTGAAAATCGCTTTTTTTATAGCAATGCTTAACATACTGTTGTCATGAAGAAAGCGTTGTCATGGCTTGTCGCATTATTGCTAATTACTTCAACTTACCCTGAGGTTTTGTATTTGGGATAGATTTTGACTTCAACACGGTCGTGGGTGGTGATCGTTTTTAATCTGTTTGGGAAATCCTATGTGGCAAATAACCTGTTATAACTAATATAAGTGGTAAAAAAAAGAAAAGGTTAATGTGTGCATACCTTGAACGTCGTATCGCCTCCCCTGTATCCATGAACAAACACACACAATAAGCGATCGTTTGTCATAGTCTAATGCATAAAGATTCTCTAAGTTTCCTTTCTCGCTAACGGTTTTTAATTGACCGGGTCAACTACATGCCGTGCTTGTACCTGAAATGAAGAATTGATCAAATTTGATTGGACGACTTTGATAATTGTAACTCATCACATTGAGCGAGCAACAGACATGCTGCTCTTTATCACTAACCTCGACTGGCATTTCTCCCACCCTTCCACATCCATCCTCAGATATATATCAGACATACAATGAGATAAATCGCCATTTAACGGGTGTACATTGGGCATTTATTCTCGGCACCGTACCATTTGAACCTCAGGTAGTTGATCTCTCTGCTTTGTCTCCAAAAGTCAACGTCGCACTTACTAAATTAGTAGCTACCAGTACTCGTCGACGACTCAACTTCCTTCCTTTATAGCTACTACCAGTTCTGACAAATGTAAATTGTCATAAGAGTTTGAATCCAACAAGATTTAATACAAAAAACTGCTAGAGTCAATCATGAAATACAGTATATGATCTACTATTGGTGCTCTTATAGACAAGTGGCAACACTAACTGAATCTTCGCAATATGAAGATCGAGAGGAAAGGGATGACTCATTGTACACGTACGAGGAGAAAAGTTCGAGCGTACAATAGTCAGGTCTGAGCTAATCGTAAATGCCATCCATGTGTGAGGGTCTACTATTTAAGCATCTTCTATATTGCGCCATTCGTAAGCTATGTTTTACCTCTACTGATATCATAAATATGAAGGCGGTGGAGTGGGTTGATCTTCCCGGTTCAGTCTTAGAGTAGTGTACCACTGCTGTAGTATTTCATCTAGATGAAAACACCGATACCTTGATCTTATAGGATGTTTTGAACACTACCCCGCAGAACGGTGGTTCACGTCTACGCGTTCGCCTTCAGTCCCACTACTACTGTGCAGCGCGCTCTGGTTTTCCAGTCTAACAGCAAGAGCCAGAAAGAAGGCTACGAACGGGTATGTCCTCCTAGTTAATAGCTTTACAATCCGACTTTTAATCCTATTTCCTCTGCTTTTGGGAAAACGCGTTGTTGACCTTAAATATAACAGACAGCTTTGATAATCATGTACAGTTGGCGATTGACTGCACAGCATCAAACAATTAAAGTGTTGTCAGTTGTCGTGTGCGTTTTGCGATTACATATAGCAAATTTTTAAGTTTAACTGTCTAAAACACTAAACTTGCGCTCGCTTTGAGACGTTCTCTACATGATATAAATATACCACAGAAACCATTAAAAGTGGTACAGTGCTTAAAACTCACAACTTTGCTTCCAAGCCTTTTGCATTGCTTTGCGTATTTATAGTAAACAGGCTACCATCGGGATCAATTCAAGTGCCTCTTTTCTTTGTTGCTCACTTTATAAGATATATTTCAATCGCTACGACCAAAACGATTGCCATCGGTCCCAGTGGCCCAGCTAGGCAATTTGTATGCAGTGCTGATGAAGACGAAGCTCAACATTGTTACCGTGCAGACCGCATTTGAATATGCGCAAGGCAGCTTACGCCTCGCGTCAATGTGACTAAACTGTTTTATATCACTCACATGCGCTCAATAAATTACTGACTGCTCAGCAAATGCAAGGAAATATGTATTGCAGCAACGCTAGCGCTGACGATGAGTTAATCAACATGAAGGATTTGGCACCGCTTGCTCAACTATCCAAAACTGAAGCTCGAATTCACTATCCATAGCATTGCCATTCTGAAGCTCCTTGCAAATAGTAAAGTGCTATGTACGCAATATACATCTTTGGTTGAAGCTGGAGATAGGCAGTGTTCTCATAACGGCGTTTGCAACTTTCAAGAATTCAAAAGGCTAAAGATACACGATGCCACGGATAAAAATATTAAAATCATGGTTAAACCCCTCTTTCAAGAGCTGCAAGATCCATTAAAGAATACATCAGCGCCTGATGACTATCACACCATTACAGCACATAAGCATGGTGTATCGCTTCTGGCAAAAGGTCCCAGTGAAAAAAACAGTTTACCTTCTACACAAATTTAAACTTGAGGAATATGCTTAATGGAGATGATCAAGACTTTTCATTCTCATGAATCTGTACATGCCTATTTTCGCCTATTACTATGCTCTTTATATGAAAAACAGTCTCTATCGTCATCATCTAGTAAATTTTATGCGTATTCGTATGAACAACAGCATTACATTTTCAAAGGTAGGAAGGTTACTACGACGACACATCATCCTTAATAATCATTACAAATAACCTAGGTGTAATAAAAATGGATACAACGTTACTATCCAAACATAACTTTAAGCACCCGCTTTTTACATAGCATGCCATATATCATACGATGTACACTTTACTGAGAAATATAAAGAAATGGCTCCCTGAGATTCGTGTAGATAAGCGTTCATGCTGTTTAATGAAGCAGGATCACAACCAACCCTGGCATACAAGAATCATGCAGTATGATATAATTCGCGATCCAAATGAGTGATGTATGCATGATGCACGCTAACAATTCTATTCATGTGGTGATTTTAGCATAGTATACTGCGTATGAAAAATCACTGAGCCAAAGTTTTTGGGAGACAAGCATTCATCGTCGATGCTCTTTGTAGTTTGTATGACGTCTTTATGTACCGAAGAAGATATTTACAAAAGGAATAGCCTAATAGACAGCTGTAATAGATGAACCCTCCTGTATACCATCAATCATGAAATTTGTACGTGATCCGTGCGCTAGTCAATGATTACATATTGCAACTGTCAAAACATACCAAAGGAAGGTCATCGTGGAGCGTGATTTGAGAAGCAAATACTCCCTCAATGACGATGATGATCAGCCGTCATGCGGGAAGATCATCAGACGAGTCGGTCATGTTTGAAAGATCGGGCTGCTGCTGCTGCCTATTGACAAGCTAATTACTTTTTTTTTTCTGAAGTGATGTATCAAAAGATAAAAACATGACGTTTATGCACTCATCATACGATTAACTCAACCGTCATATTACGATATACTGTTGCATGAAACTTAAATCGTCATCACCATCAACTTTTTCTTTCGTCAAACAAAGCACGATCATCGATGAGCCAGGTACTCTAATATGTATATCGGAACTTCATTCCGAAGCTTGATTTCTTTTTAACTCCCTGTACATATTCAGTACTGCTACCCAAGGCAACTCTGATGATCAAAGCCAAAAACTGGCAAATGAGTATAGTGATAAGCATGACGTATTGTGATATACAGCAATCCAAAGATGAAAGTATAACAGCAGATCAAGCTTATTTGTCTACGTCAGTATGCAGGAACGTTTCTGCTATCAGTGTTTCGTCGTGGCGCGCTGATCTACATGATGATATTCATCTGCAGCTTTTGTATCTAGCAGCGTAGTATGTATGCGCTTTACCGATATTTGCTGCAAATGATAGCAGATCAAAAGCGAGTGCAAAACCAGTCACATAACGTACAAGCTGCCTGGTACTGCTTAATCTATTTCCGATACATAACACATAGCAAATGCTATATGGTTACAAAGTGTCACCATGGCAATACAATATAACATGCTTTATATAAGAAAACAAGAGAAAAGCGTTCGTTGCGTACCAACGCGGCTTGAGGGCCGCGTATATCTCTTCATATCTATGATAGTCTAGTAAGCTGGAAAGCACAAAATGTTGTATGTAATGCCTCGTTCTTTTCGTGGTACTGTAGCACGCAAATTTGATAGCAATTGCTTAACACGATAAAATGTGCATGTTTGAGTGTATCAACGGCTCTAGTAGAATGTTTGGATGCCGCGGTGTGCGATGTGGTAATTATTGTGCAACATACACTCCCAAAATTTCTCTAATTCTTTTTCGTGTTGCTGGTGCTTCTTCTTATTATCTAAATTGCCTGTGCTGTGGCTGATGAGGTGATGATTATTTAACGACGACTATTTATCGTCTTCGCCATTACAAAAAAAGTTAACACCATGTTTTTTGGCTCGTTCCCAATGTAAAGAAAAAATGGGAGCAAGATATTTGTTATTTGGATAATAGCAAGTTTTGCCTATCGAGTATGTGCTGTATGAATATACGAAGAGCGCAACAGGGCAGAGACGCTGCTGTTGCTGTCAGCTCGATTTGATTATTCCCAACGCAGTCTGGTCTTCCCCCAACAAAAAACAAAGCTGAAAAAGGTTTGTACTACCAGTTTGTCATGGAAAACCCAGCATCTTGCCCCAAGAATGATAGGTTTATCCTTTCCGCTATGGCCCGTGCCATCAATTTCTCATCTTTGTCTCTGTGAGTTGGACCAGCTGATCATTTTTGCACAGTCGATTCACACAACGTATAACTTGTCAGATATATCTGTAGCTGCTGTTCATGTTCCATTTCTGTATAATGGAGCAATTGGAAAAGGGACAAAAAAATTTGCATACGAACGTTTTTTCCATTTACCCCCACATCTTCTTCCCCCGGTGATCTCCGTCTTCTTTTTCTTACTAAGAGATAATAACATTGTCCGAGCTGCGACGATAATGCAAGCGGTACAGCATCTATGGAATGATGGATATGGTACATGCACGCGTGGGAATTGAATCTGGAGGTGCATGGAAGTGCTGGACGAGTCCATGATTCCTTTATTATGTTGATCGGCTGATAGGACACACACACACACACTCTCTCTCTTTGCTCTCCCATGTCCTATACCACACAGCTTTTTTCTTGAAACCAACCATGTGGTATTGACTGTATTTTGCACTTGAGAAACTCCTTAGAAGTCTGATGGGGAAAACGTGAAAACGAGCTAAAAAGGCTTTACCCTACTTCTCCCTCTTTTCGATTCTCGCTATAAAGCTCATGCGACCTATATAACACAGCATGAAAAGAAACAACCCCACATCTTACAATACAAAACTTGGATGAGAAAATAGTGACAGTGAGAAAGAAAACCACAAGCAAGACTCTCCACTTATGGATCAGCGTGACAAGTTGTTTCTCCTCGCTCTCCCCCAGGGCTTTCCTTACAAGGCGCATATACGTTGTGTGACGGAAAAAGTGTAAAAAAGAGAGAGCAAAGCATCTTTTCCCAATTTCTCTTTTCTTCTTTTGTATCTTCTTTCTTCACAAACTCGGTTTTACTCTCTTTCTTTATCCAGCCGCTTTATACACGGGAACTTACAACACAACACGCGAATAAAGTAGCAGAATATATCAATCATGGTACTCGAGTTCAAACCGCCATACACTGTTAAGGTGTCCGAAGAAACACCCGGCGAAACACCAGTGATGCGACATTTCTTGTTCAAGGACAAGCTCGTCGACTCGTTGGATGGCACCGCAAAAACAATGTGGGCCCTGTATCTTCACGGCAATAAAGCAGGAGGAGGTAATATTCCACTTTCTTCAAGATGTGATCTATTTCAAGGAGAAATAGAGTGAGGTAGAGGGGCATTCTACGTGCTATGTTCGCGCATTGAGCGAGGGACACGGAAAGATGAAATGATAATTACCGGGCATTGGCATAAACAATGTATTAGGGAGTCAAGATGTGGGGTTATTTATATTATTACTACAATTCCGGGGTGGGATGGAGGGGGGGGAGAAATAACGATGAATACCCTGGATCTTAACAGTGGAGAAATTACAATAGATGGTCCTTTTCTGGGTACTCGACGCATCGAAAATGGTGTCGCCAAGGAATATGTATGGCAAACGCATCGACAAGTGCGCGTCCGTATCGAAAACTACGCCAAAGGATTGACGTGTCTTGGCCTGGAGCGACAAAAGGCCGTGGGTATTTACAGTGTCAACATGCCCGAATGGACCATGACGGAGCAGGCCTGCTACCGTCAATCATTCATCATTGTGGCTCTTTACGACACCTTGGGTGCCGAGGCCATGGACTATATCGTCAACCAGGTCGAGATGGAATTCATTGTTGCAAGTGCTGACAAACTCCACAACATTGTCCGACTCAAGGGACGGCTCCCGACGATCAAGACAGTTATTATCATGGATGAGGAGAATATCAAGGCTGAGGATAAGGAGGCTGCTCAGCAGGCAGGATTGGCTGTCCTTGGATTCAAAGGAGTGGAGATACTAGGCGAAGGTATCACGGAAGAAGAACGCGTCGAGCCCGAGCCTGAGGATATTGCAACCATTTGCTATACTAGGTAACGTATCATTTGACTTTTGTGCTCTCGCATTAAGTGTGTGGGGTAGCAGTAGCCAAGCATTTCTTGCAAACGATGGCGCAACTCCGCATTCATTTCATTTGGAATCATTGAAACACTAACCAAAAAGCACTATTCATTATCATGCAGTGGTACGACGGGAACGCCCAAGGGTGCCGTTATCACTCACGCCAACTGTGTTGCTCCAATTGCTGGCATTGACAAGCTCGGAGGAGCAAATAGCTTTGCCAAGATTGATCACACCGATGTTTATATTTCGTATTTGCCTTTGGCCCACGTATTTGAGCGTGCTGCACAGGGCGTGCATGTGTTCAAGGGCGCTGCTATTGGTTATTATCAGGTACAATGCTCAATCACGACTGGCAGCAAACAAAGAGGGACCATACTAATGAATATATAACCTTCAATGGTATTGTAATGTGCTTCTATAGGGCGATACCTTGAAGCTGTTGGACGATATCGCCGAGTTGCGACCTACTGTGTTCTGTTCAGTGCCCCGTTTGTTCAACAAAATCTACGACAAGGTTTTGGCAGGTGTCAAGGCCAAGGGCGGGGTCAGCCAATACTTGTTCAACACTGCATTCAATCAAAAGAAAGCCAATCTCAACAAATCTGTCCACCATTGGCTCTGGGACCGTGTTGTCTTTGGTCAGGTAAATAAGAATGAGCCTTGTTGATTGTACCACTTTATGTTGCCTTTTCCCACACACAATTGGAGAAAGAGCAGAAATGCAAGAAACTTCTTTCTGCTGCTGCTGCTGGTGGTGGGTCGGGTTGATGCCCATGGTGGTTCTTCCACTTGACGGTGATCCACATCTTATGCGAGCGAGAACGTTGCACTCATTATGTCTTCGATTGTTGATTAGGTTCGTGCCAAGCTCGGCGGCCGCATCAAATTCATTCTCAGTGGCTCAGCACCCGTTTCGCCAGATGTGATGGATTTCATGCGTATCTGTTTTTCTGCACGGGTGTTTGAAGGTTATGGTCAGACTGAAAACTTCTGCGGAGGCTGCTTGGTAAAGTATCCATCCAATCATGTTGCTATGTTGTATTGACTGTTACTCAGCAGCAATAATAACAATGACAGCAACTTTAAAAGCAAAACACAAAGAGAAAAGAGAAGCATGTCAAACCTAATATTTATTGTTTGGCTGACGTTATTTGTTGTTGTTGTTGTTGTTCTTTTTACTGTTTTCCAAATAGACCATACAAGATGACAACACATCGGGCATCGTTGGTGTACCATTCCCTTGCTCTGAATTCAAATTGATTGATGTACCAGATATGGATTACCGGTCAACGGACAAACCTTATCCACGCGGTGAAATCTGCATACGCGGACCTTCGATCATGCGTGAATACTACAAGGTGCCCGATAAGACGGCCGAGACCATCAATAGCGACGGTTGGCTGTTGACGGGCGACATTGGTCTTGTTGATGGAGCTGGTCGTATCAAGATCATTGACAGAAGAAAGAACATCTTTAAGCTGTCCCAGGCAAGTGAACTCTTTTTGAAGTATCACTATTGTCAAAAAAAAAAACCTAAACAAGATGAACGGCAGTGTATAAAAAAGAATAGGAGAAAAAAGTAAAGCTAAATTTAAATACGTCGATCTTGAATTTTTCTTTTAGGGAGAGTACATTGCCCCTGAAAAGATCGAAGGCGTGTACCAAAAGCATGAATTGGTTGCACAAGCCTTTGTCTACGGCGATTCATTGCAACCCTCTCTGGTTGGTATCTTTGTCCCTGACAAGGACAGCTTGAAAAGCTGGGCTGCTAAGCAGGGTCTGGGTGACAAGACAGCCGAGGAATTGTGCGAGTCTGAACAAGTCAAGAAGGACTATCTCAAGACAGTGACGGCCTATGGCAAGCAGAATGATCTCAAGGGCTTTGAGCAAATCAAGTCTGTCTACTTGACCATGCAGGAGTTTGCCGTCGAGAATGATATGCTCACTCCCACTTTCAAACTCAAGCGTGAAGTGGCACAAAAGGTGTACCGAGAGCAGATTGATACGATGTACAATGCGTTGTCAAATGGAAGAGCTTTCAACTAACGAGTGTAGTGCGAAATTTCCACCTTTTCTCTGTCTCTATTCTCGTCTTTCTATATATCCTACTACAACCATATCGCACATTATTGCTACCGCTACCCTATCTTCTCTTTTGTTTCTGACTTCTTTTGACCCATCAACATAACTCTTCCTATGCATATTCATAATAATAATAATAAGAGTATCTATATACAAACCGTATCTCTTTTTTCTGTCATTAAAGCATCATCATCATCGTCATCATGCAAGTGATATAAGGTTATCCGGATATGAATTAACGTTTGCATATTACATATTTCTACAGATGCTATCATAGCTTACTACATGTTGGGGGTATGTATATGGGGACGCAGAGGGCTTTTAGTTGCACGTATTGCAAATCTGTCATCCAGGTGCTATGTATGTAGTTTGTCTATACCTATAAAGGAAAAGTAAGCACTTGCTGTACATTTTACAATAGCTACGACGACACTAGCAGCACTTGCGCGCGCGATAAAACGAGTTAGAAGGGACCCTTGCGATTAAATAATTGACCGGGCCACTCATACACCCTCTGTCTTGCGCTCTTACATACACAAGGAAAGAACACGCACTGTATCGGCAGTTCGGACCCACCGAGTGTAGCTCGACCTTTGAACCTTAATTGATCTTTATTCCCGACGCACGGTTATGGCGGAGAGGTCTGGTAAGTGGGTGGATGATGGTGGGTTGTAGGAGGCGGAGATCTGCAAAATATAAGCAGGGAGACCGTTCATATTGCTATTTTCTCTCTTTCCTTTTTTGGGAGGGAAGAAGGAGAGAGAGGGGGTGTGATAGAAAGAGTAGAAAAAAAAAAAGCGAGACAAGCGAAGAAGCCCAAAGAAAAAAAAAAAAGAGGAGTCTCGATTATTTACTGAGCACGTGCGGGTGTAACTCCATCACACACACTCTCTCGCTCTTTTAGAGCATAAACACTGCCGCTGGGTAAGTTATGCCTCTGTTACTGAACCAACAGAATCATCGATTTCGGAATAGTTCTATATTAAGACGGTCATGTGCTCGCACATACTGTACACAACCGGGCCACAGTTCCTTTTTGTGTAATCCTCATGTATGCACTCGTATGTGCGATGAGGGTATCTGAAGTGATGCGGCCTGTGCCTTTAGTCGCTCAGCTGCTGGTTTCAAATGATGATAGAAAATGAAATAATCTGGTTTTCGAGTGACCCAGGGCCACCACCACCGCGATATCTGTGTGCTAGTTAGTTTGAAATGTACAGGCGATCCCCCGTCAAGAAACGAATGGCATGATTTAATGATGAATGATGATGATGTTTTGATGGACACACGATAGATGTCAGGTCATGGTTGATTATACGCTTTTCTAGGCCCACCACCGTGCTAGTAGGCAGTAGCAGCTTTTTTACCCGTCTTTTGAGTTTACAATAGTTGCAAAGATCAAATTAGGCAAATCGCCTAAAATGATAACTTGTTTTATCTTCCAATATGCATCCAGTGAAAATTTAATCCCGATAACCGAACACCTATATAAAGGGCGAGGATCTTTCTTCCGCAAATCTTTTATTTTCTTCGTCCTTCCTTAAGCCCATTTCACACACACACACACACCGACACGCACTTTACACTTTTTACACGTATCATCTTCTTACTATCACTTGCTCAATCTGAAAGAAAACAAAGAGAAATGAAAGACTACTCGCACTACTATCCCAAAGTCGACCCAGATATCGAGCGTGCGCTCTTGAAAAAGCTTGATATGCGCTTAGTAGCCTGGGGTGCCTTGGCCTACTTTTCCAATGTACTTCTCCGCGGTAACATGCGTAAGTAGCTGCATGGACAATAGTTGCTTGATACATATATTTATATAAGAGAAAGGACTAACAATAACACGCTTAAATAACAGCTTATGCGTTTACCACCGGAATGAACACCGATCTTCATTTGAACTCCTCAGCCTATAACTGGGCTGTCAGTATGTTCTTCATCAGCTACTCAGTGTATGTATCGTTGATTTTGTATTACGATGAGAAAATACACATACACAGAGATAGGAAAAAGTGTCAGTATCTGAAAACAACCTAGATCAAATCAACTCACGATATGAAACATCTGTTGTTTACATACACAACATGTTATTACACGTGTATATGCAATTGTTCTTTTTTGTTTTTTAAAGTTTCCAAATGCCGAGCAACATCATCTTTAGCCAAGTCAAGCCAAAATATTATCTACCCACAGCCGTCATCTTATCCGGCGTGTTAAGCAACATGGCGGTTTTCATCACTGATAAGCATCGGGGCTTACTGTATGTCATCCGATTTTGCATGGGCTTATCTGAAGCAGTAAGTATGGTACACTAGTTATTAAGCAAACACACATCTGTAACCCCACAAAAAAAGGAACCTTGATAACTGGAATCGCGATTACTATTGGTTGAGAAAACAATTCGATCGACCTATTACTAACGTTTTAAACCAAACGGTATTACTGTGTATGGCTATTTAGGGATGTTATCCATGTATCATCTTTCTTATCAGCAGCTGGTACACACAGAAAGAATTGAACACCCGGGCCTGTATGATTGTCATTGGCTCCAATCTTGCCTGTGCTGCAAACGGTTTGATCGGTGGTACCGTTTTACAAACCCTGGATGGCGTCGCCAACATCCGTGGCTGGAAGTGGATGTTCATCATAGAGGGCACGGTGGCGATCGTCATTGGCATCGCTGGCTACTTTACGCTCCCAAACTATCCACACAATACTCCTTGGATCACAGGAGCTGAGCGTGAGGTTGCCATGCAGCGCAAACCCATTTCGCAGAACCTGTGGAAGGAGCACGAGAGCTTATTGTTCGTTAGCGCTAAAACGTAAGTTTTTTTTTCAATATCTTACCACCACTACAGTAGTCGTACATGTACATACACACGCATACATCAGATCGACACTCCTGTTTCCCTACCCCCCCCCGCCTTTTGCCGCCCCTCCCCCTCTTTATTTTTTTTTTGTTCTCCCCTCGGTTGGCTGCTGCGTTGCTCCCCCTTGATTTTCCCCATTGGCTGTTCTCTCTCTCAGTCTCAGTCTTTCGTCACACTCGAACCTTCCTTTTCTCTCTCTCTCCTGATGTTTCTATTTACTTACATGTGCATCTTTATTTGTAACAATCTAGTCTAAAGCACCTGGCAACAACACCCTATATCTACATGCTTACATTCATGTTTGCATGCATTGTCATGGGAGATACAGTGATGCATAATTTTGCAATTATCCTGAATGGTATGGGCTACTCGTCCGTACAATCCAACTACTGGAGCGCCTCGGTGTATATCTTTTCCAGCGTTCCGACCCTTGTCCTTGCGCGCACCTCTGATACGATGCGTCACAAGGGGCTGCATATTTTTCTCGTCTCTCTATGGTCCGCTCTGTGGTACTGTATGTCCTGGTTTGGCTCTGTGCAGATCATGTTTGCTGCCGCTTTTGCAGTCACCCTGAACGCAGTGCTGATCCCTATCACGCTCAACTGGTCCAGCCAGATTTATGCGTGTGATCATGAAATGCGGGCCGTCATGATGGCTCTCATTGTCTCTGTTGGGAATCTCGTCCCATACTTGATCAACCCCATCACTTGGGAAGTCACAGATGCGCCTGAATTCCGTAAGTCTCTTTCTTGTTCGTTATTTTGCACTTTTTTATTCAGAGCTTTGTCTTCATGTATACTAAATATATATATATATATATATCCATCCATCCATTTCGTCATTACGTTGCTATCCATCATAAACCAGACACTGGCAAGATAACTTGTGCAATGGCGGGGTTAGGCGCGGCTGTTGCCTGCGTCTTAATTGCCTTGTGCTTAAAGTTACGAATCAGATTACCCCAAGACGTTCGTCAAGAAGAGCGACAGTCAGAACGTCAACCTTTGCTCATCCATATCCCGAGATGCTACGACGACGACGATGACGACCATCTTGGATATAGAGCGCTTGCGTCTCCACCTTAAGCGCAACCACTGGCATCCCACTATCTATTTAAAAGCAACAGTTCACAAACTGAACATCTCGGCTTCTTCATACCCCCCCTTTAACTCATAACTGCTATTTTTTGCCTTTCTCACATCATCACTGCCATCACTATCATTGCTTTTCCATGCGTGTCCATTTATCATCATCTTGCATTACATCTCATCATCTCATCATACACTACAAACCACAACATTCCAACACATCATATGTATAGTATATATATAGTTTCCTCATATTACAATAAAAAAGAAGAAAGATACGCAAAGTAAGAAAAAAAAAGGAGGGAATCATCAAGTATAGTCAAATGTAATAGTGTTGCGGTAGTAGTTAGTGTACAATCAGTAAAATAGGGGTGTGTCGTGTGCGTGGGTTGGTAGTAAGTGATAAATCTGGCGTGCGAGTGCGTTGTTTTGAAGTTAAGAATTATATGTAAAAAGCATGAAGAAACGAGGGTAATAGAAAGACATTCTACTTTAGTTGTGACCAAAGAATCGAGTCATGACGCTCAGATAGTGTGAGCTGATGGTGTCTTTGTCATTCTGGTACATGGTCATGAGGGTGCCCATAGCAAGCATAAACAGAGCTACATCGCCATTAGCAATATTTCGAGCATAGCCACGCTTCACAGCCAGCATCCACCATGATTCCATAGCACGCGGCAGGCAGTAGAGGCCGAGTTCTATCAAAGGATCGTTAGCGTTTGCATAGAGGTGCAAAGAACGTAAAAATCACTCACCGAGTTGACGACCGCGTGCTTCCAAAAATGCCATCGCACCACCTACAGCACCAGGCAGCAGGTACAACCATGGTCTCTCCTTGTTCACAAAGGGCCGAACTGCACATGGGGTGGCGAAACCCATAGACACGTACATGCCCAGGAAGAATGCGGATCGCAGACATGAATAAGTGAATTTGCGCAGCACATCCGTTGGCCTGGTAAGGGTAAGGGGTTACTATGTTAGTATCCTTCTCTTCAGCTAGTAACACATTTATAGATACAAAGAGAGACTTACTGTGTTGTCAGCTGTCCAGATCGGAACACGGCTGTCATGATCTACTCCCCAAACAGTTAGCAAAGAACCCCCGCTAAAAATTTAAAATTACCCCACACACATATGCGTCAATAACCTCAACTCCGCCCCACGCTCTCTGCTATTCGTTGGACTCCACAAGAGGAGGAACTTGACGAGAAACGTACCACATTCAAAGGAACGTACAACTTGAGTGCTCTGAGGTACTCATCCCGGAATAGCGTAGCCTTGCTACGTGTGCAGCTCGGATCGAGCGGATGCTGCAGGGCACACATGACGAACCGGTGGCGAATCTTGGGCGGGATAATGGTGGCAATGTTGGGACTCACGGTCTCGGCAATGAACTCACGGCTCGTTGTGTCCAAAGGCATCCGGATCGAACCCTTTTCCTCAGCCATACGGTTCACCGTGTCACCAATCACTTGTCGAAGAGGAGCAGCCATACCACCGAAATCGTGCTTCCAGCCTGAATGCGTGAGTAAAAACGAATCGTATGCTTTGGGCAGCGTCTCTGGATGGAACAAAAAGGCGAAAATGATTTGTGCATTGGCCAAGATCATCACACCCACACCCGCCCATCGCTGCATGAATTTGGCTAGGTGATCGTCCCATTTCTTCTTGACCATCAGCTGCCGTGGCTGGCCTGCCGCAAATCCTTCCCTGTCTACTCTTTTTTTAAGTTCCTGAAGCTCCTTGTTGTGCCGTGCCTTGCGCTGGATCGCCCATTGCTTCATCAACCATGCGCCCGTAAATTGGATGGCCCGCGTAAGCAGGTACAACATGATCGACTGGCGTCGTCGCTTGTCGCGGTCAATCAACAGCGACGCTCCAGCTATACTTCCCGCGACAAACGAATTCAAGCGATCCGATTGTGAGTATCGTCGTAACAAGCATAAAATGCCCTTGTAGCTGCTGAGAAATGTGCTCAAAAAGAGTGCAAACATGGCAGTATCTCTACATAATATGAATTTAAAGAGGGCAATAGCAGGCTGATATGAGTACACTTTTGTGAATCACAATGAAAAAAAAAAGAACCCCATCCCTTTCACAGCTCGGTCTTTGCTACCCCAGAAAAAATAAACAGAGTACGTACTTGCCAGCCATCTGCTTCAATATGCCTGGTCTACATTGTCAGTAAAAGAAAGAAAGTCAATACATGTTATGCCAGCTTGCTGCCAAGCAATTCTTATGCATATACCTCTTGAACACCTTGCCCATTAACAGTGCGGGCAAAATACCAATCAAGTATTTGACGCCAAAACCAACAGCAAACGCTTTGATGAATCCACGAGTGCAGTTTTGTGTGCAAGTTTTACCGTCATGTTGACAATAGCGACCTGCAGCTTCCCCAGCTTCTCCACCACGTCGTTGTTGTTTCGTTGCCGCTTCCGTTGCCTCCAGCTTGAGACGTGTAAGGTTTTGACTGTTTTCCCATGACAAAAGACGCCGAACGGTCAGTATATGCAAGAAGAAGAAGAGCACGTTTTCTTGTTAGACACAAGTAACATTTATACCTGCTTAATCGTTTCAGTTTGTCCTGGAACGACCGAATGGAGGCAAGGACCGTCTCCGTTTCCCTGTCCGTTAATAGCTTGGACACAATTTGTGCTAAGCTTTCTAGAAAGTTCTCATAGTACGAGTCCGGTAACGGTGGTAATGCCGTTGACATTATTCTAATGACTGAAGAGAAGGAAGAGGAGGGTGAGGAAGAGTGTGGTCAAAGAGAATGAGTGTGGAAAAAGATTAGAATGATAAAAAGAGAAGGGCCTCTTTTCGTCCAACCCAAGAAACGGCAACGCTAAAGCTGCAAGACACGAAAAAGCAGCATTTTTCTTTTAAAACTCCCCGTTCGGAAATGCTTTAAAAACTCACATGACGATACAACCAAGAACGGGAAGAAGAAAAAAAAAAATAACCCAACAACAACCGGATCCCCCAAAACACGCAGAAAGCTGTCAATTCCAGATCAATTCTGCTGAGTAACCTTTCCCAGGCTCTAATAATAATAACAGTAGTAGTAGTGATTTCTATGTGGTCATCAGCGATCTACTCCTTCTTGTCGTTGTTGCTGATCGTCGCCCAAGATATTCTTGGCTGTCAAGCACAAGGAAGCCAGAAACCCCACACATCCACAGATGGCTACACCAACAAAGACCCAATCCAATGCCATTGCATATGCTTGTGATGCTACGTGGTGTAAACCCGGCTCTAGTGTATCCAAGAATGCTGGCGTCTGCTGTGCCTGCCGGATCTGCTGCTCTGTTAAATCCATCGTTGAGCGCAGATAATGCACGAGCATGTTTTTGAATATGGCAGAACCCGTTGCAATGCCACATGTAAAGCCAAAATGCCCGAAAAAGGAGATGAGTGATATTGCTGCTGCCAAGCTAGTAGGAGATATGTTGAGCATTATTAGCCTCGTTATTCTATGCGCTTCCCCGTCGTCTTTCCCACTCTTCATAGTTTGACTGCTGTTTACGGATGAAATTGACTTACTCACTGTGTGCTGCGTTGGCCTGCGCAGCAACATAAACGCTATAGAAGCAGTGAGATAGATTGGATCAGTACAACTTAATCTACTACACACTTTAACTTTGCGTTTGAAATAACCTTAATATACAAGTTTATACTACAGCTTACTTTTGAATACAGAACCCAATGCCAGCACCAGTAACCACCAAAAACAAAACTTGCTCGACATGGCCGCTATCAGCAGCCAAACGAGACTGCAATCCACCCCCTAGGGCGACCAAAGCATTTCCGACCCAAAACATCATACGATAGCAGCCCGTTTTGGCCACCCAATAACCAGAGACAATGCTGACGAGATCGACTGGCACGAGGTACGGCAAAAGCTCAATACCGGCCACGAGCGGTGTGTCACCGTGTGCCACTTGAAAATACAAGGGCAGATAGTAGACATTCATAAACATGGCCATGCAAAATGTCAATGCCATGATATAGGTCACGACTTGGTCTCGCACTCGAAACAAATGCAATGACAAGATCGGCTCTCGACTACTCACTTGAAGCCAAGAAAGCAAAACAGTAAGAATAGCCAACAAAACACATGCGCTGTATAACGCAAGGATAATAGGGCTTGACCATGGGTAGCGGGTGCCTCCCCATTGTGTTGCAAGCAAGAAGCAAGATACCGTGGCAATAAATAGCGTCGCACCAACAAAATCTACTCGTAGCCATTTTTCTCGCCAGCTTTGCTCGAGGTCTTGGCCTAGTCCATCTTCTTGATGGCGTGTTGTGGCCGGTAGACATAGAACAAGGATGGCGAGCGCGAGTGCACCGATGGGTAGATTGATGTAAAAGATCCAACGCCAGCTAGTCTTTTCTGATAATAGGCCTCCAAGTAAAGGTCCAGCAATCGATCCCGTGGCCCAGCATAACCCTACTAGTCCCTTGAAACATCGCCCGTTGCCCGTTATACATTTAGCTTCAGATATATAGTTTTGGCAAAAGGTTGCTTTTTCTTCTTGTTTTATTGAAATATTGGATATAGTGTGTGCGTGTATACCTGGTACTTGGCGCGTTCTCGAAGTGGGACCAAGTCTCCTATAGTAATCATGACAAGGGGTGCGATTCCAGCCGCACCGGTTCCTTGGACGCCTGTTGTGATAGCATTTCACCAGAATATATCGGTATTTTTAAAGAGATGAATTGTGAAACGATGTTTAGATAATGTATTCTGATACATCAAAAGGGACTACAGCTGTGCCACTTGATGAGACGATAATGTGATCTGTATTGTATATCCATCGCTGTTACGTTTACCTCTCATAACACATAACACGACCATGTTCGGAGCGGATCCCGCGAACCCACCTAAATTATGTCAATTTTATTACCACAGAGTGACAATAGCAGCAAGGTATATTAGGGTCAGTATTATGCGGTTTTACTCTGTCTCGCGCTCTCAAAGCATGCACTTACTGCCAATTAAAAATACAATGATTGATGAAACGATCGTGTATTTGCGTCCAAAGATGTCGGCCAACTAACACAATAGCATTTTTTTTTTGGTTGTATTAAAAAGTATACAAAGCGACACGGAGAAGGAGGGGAAAAACAAACAAACAGTAAAAACACTTTACAATACCTTGCCATATATGGGTTGTAATGCAGTCATTGGTACAATGTATGCCGTCCCAACCCATTCCACCTGTTCAAGCGAATTGAAAGTGGAAGCTATTACTGGCAATGCCGTTGCAACTAATGACACGAAAAAGAAAAAGTAATTCCGGCATTACAATTATTGCATAGAGACGATAACAATGACACAGTAGTCACGTTATCACGACGACGTTACCTATGCTTTGATCTAGAGAGACAAGAAGTAGGCTCAAGAATAGACTACAAATGTGTTTTTCCGTTTATACATTTTTTCTTCTTCAGGACGTCAGTTCGAACTTTTTCCATGGTATGCATCTCAAGCAAATAAGCATCTTTTTGGGAAGATTTCAGACCTCGCCATAATAAAGATAAGCTGTACAGTGGATCGTTGCTTTAGTTCTGTCATGGCTTCTTCTTCTTCTGTTGACGAGACTGTGCTTGTTGTCGATTTGATACTGGCACCACTGCTAAAGAGGGCAGTATGAGTAGCTGTACGGTCATCGTCGCTACTAGTAGTAGTAGTAATGTTGCTAAACGTCGTGGAAGAAGATGGGATCGACGATTTGTTGCGGAATAGTGAACAAGAAGAAGAAGATGCGGCAATAACAATGCTACTTGTGTTGGAGTGCATCGGAAAAGATTTTGGCAGAACGGAAGAAAAGAACAAAAAAAGACTCATGCTGAGCAGTGGAACGACGTGTATATAAAAAGGACAGCCTGGTTCTAATCTGGATAATGCAAAGTACTAATACTCAGGGGAATTTACGTACCTGGGAAATTTGAAAACCCCAGCAGTAAACAACATTTATGCAACGAAAACAAAAGGTAGGTGGAATATGAATAAACAAGTTGTGCTTAAACATGTAAATTGCTGCCTTCCCGCCGCGAGTATGATATTAAATCATACGTACTGTGAAATATGCATGATTGTCAAAGAGGTTCTTCCTCCTTACCTTATACTTGCAAAGAGTGAGGCTCGCAGTTTGCTCTTTCACAGGGGGTTTTCGCTCTCTCCTCAAGTTTCTGCCAATGATGGATAGGTTTATACGTGAAACACCAAAAGGGAACCATGATATATTTCGGAATTCGTTTCCGATCCATTATGTAGTATTGAAAGGAGTCGTCGGTATGATACACCCGGTGTCCCAGTGAAATAGTAGGATCGCTTCTATGTACCATAACAAAACTTGAATTGATCTCATAATCACTGTAAATTTAGAAATAGTTATATATGGCCATTGAATTATTGAAATGCATTAACATGATGTCTAACCAACGTTTGGTACATGTAATTAGGTTCTCAAAGGTCGATGTTTACATTTAGGAAAAAGCCGGATGTAGAGAATCTAAACCACACAATTCATCGCCAACAGCATCAGCAGCAGCAAGGGACTCTTGAACAACACCAATGCTCAGACACCGAGCGCTTACAAAATACAGTAATACCTTCTAAATCATAAAACATGAAACTTCCGTTGTAGTTTTCCAAGGTAGCTCGTCAACAATAATACTTAATGTCTTGAGCGCCCTACCTAAAAAGACTTCAAATGGTAGCTATATCTATTTTGGGGGTTGATGGCGTGTACATACTTTGTTACTCATAAACGATTCATGCAATGCAAACTGTGTGTACATGCATAACTTTTAAAAGTTGAACCGTGTTGTTATATCATACACTGTGTGACAGTAACAGAAAACTCTGTCAATTCTGCATGCCTGCTTATATATTTGTATACATAAATACACTACTGTACCACAACAAAAAAAAAAGGCGCTTGTCAATATACGCACACATGCATTGAAAGCACTATCCCATTCCTTCAGTGGTGATAAATTGGAGGCTTTGATAATGACCGCGATCGGCTTGTATTCGTAATAGCTTTCCACGTAGTAGTGGAAGCAGCAATATGTGACAAATAATTTCAAACCACAATAAATGTGCGACTTACTGTTTGAATCGTCGTAGGGAAAATGAAAAAGGGTAGAGGAGGAAGGGGCGAAAATGAGACTACATAGGGAGTCAGTTTGTAAGAAGCAAGAGCCATAGGCTCTGGTATTATTGCTATTTCTTTTACCAGCTTCACATAGTTCAAAAACCAAATGACATAATATAGTGTAAATGCCGTGGCACTTCTTCAGGACGAGTAATATATTAATAGCAAAGATAGTAGTTTATGTGTTTTGATAAGTAAGAAGAAGCTCGGACAATTGTCATGTTTCCCTCAGATCTGCAATAATGTACAAATGATACTATATACATGAGTGAAATAGCCCCCAATTGCTGAGACAATCATTAGCACTTTTATCAACAAAAAAAGAAGAAGTGCTGTGTACCTGAAAGGTACCTGACAGTGGTTGTCGACAGGCAACACCCCACGACAACAGTAATACGATGCAGACATATATGTAATAGCACATGACCAAACAAAGCATATATTAATGCATGAAAGGTGATCAAAAGAAAATTGTATGACTGTCAGATTACAGAAATTCTACGGTGTGTATGTATGCTTGATCCGAAAATAATGCAAATTGACTTGGAGAGAAACTGTTGGTAGTACTGTATGTTGTAGATGCATACAATAAGCTGCACCTTTCCAACTTTTGAAGCGCCCCATGTTGGAAAAGAGGGGACGGAAAGAAAGGGGAGGCGTAGGTTATTTTGGGTCAAAAGAAGGAAGGGTTGGGGGGTTAAATGGACGCCATCAGGAAGAAAAGAAAAGAAGAGAGGAAGGGATGATAATGAATAGTTGTATGGGTCTATTTTGCAATAGCTGTTTTCCGTCAGTATGTATGCATGAATAAGCAGCCCAATAACGAGTAGCATATACTAAGCTTAAAGGTATAATTTATGCATCCACTCTAACGTGTATTCTTTTTGCCACAGCATGGTATGCATCTTATACAACATATCATGCATGACATGATCCTTACCAAGAAGAATGTATGGTATACAATGAAAAAAAAAGCATTAGTACTACATATTCTGTAATTTACTACAAAACCAAATAAATACGATATTGAGCAACAATGATGTGGCTGCAGCAACACGCAGTGTAGACCCCTTCTACGCTCCTTTTTTTTTTTCGCTCAATCATACATGTATACGCCCAACCGAATAGTGTGGACCACGTTGAATAGCCATATTTGGGTATGATCCTCAATCAGAGAGAGAGAGAGAGGAAGAAAGAAAGAAAAATGTCCATGGTAAACCAAATCCCTTTTATCACATCACACAGAAACTCTTCATGCAAAACAGCTCGCTTAGCTGCTGCTTTAAATAGTGCCCTCTTCTCTATCTTGTCATGTTCTCTAATTTTCTCTTTCTTTCGTATGAACACACATCCCCCGCCTCCCTTTCCATTCCTTTTGACTTGAAAGAATTTCTACTTAATCCATCACACACCCCAACTCTCGTTGAAAAAACCGCCGAGAAACGCTTACGTGCCTGCCCGTTTTAATTCCAACAAGTATTTCTGTTACGTAAACGCACCGTCATACAAATCATCCTATCCCAATCCACTCTTTCTCTCTCTTTCTCTCAACTTACATATAGCCTTTTCCAAACGGAAAAAACAACCATTGATATATTTTGTCCCTGTACCAGGCGTGTATTTGCACTTCACGCCTTGTTTGTTATTAAAAAAAAAAAAGAGTGAACCCATCCCCCACCCCCAAAAAAAGATATGGCTCAACAGCATCCGACAGATATGACAACAACAACGGCGATCCCTCCAACACAACAACAACAGCAACAACCTTATGAACATAGTGTTCGCCCACCAACTTGTGCCCAAAAAGCAAATAGAGAAGACGGTACTGATTTCAGTAACGAATTGCGTATACAGCAAGCAGTAGCGATCGACGACAACGACAACGATCCTATAGCAGAACAACAGCAGCAACAACAACCTTCCGAATCCTTCATTGCAACTTCTATACACAGCGATGGAGGTGGTGGACTGGTGCGATCTCATAGCGATGAAATTCAGACCAGTCGACTAAAAAGTTACAACACGCTACCTACCATCACAACGTCTGATTTCACCACTTCGTCTATTGTTGGTGCTACTACTACTACTACTGCGAATGGGCGACCGTCGTCTTGGAATTATCACCAAACGTCGTCCAATGAGCCACCGCTTCACATTATCCCGTCATGGCGTACTGAGCCATTACTTTCATCACAGTCATCGTCAACAGGAACAGGTGTAGCAGCAGCAGCAGCAACAACAACAAGTGCGTCGGTTCGACGACCTGATCTAGGCGAGTTGAATATCGAGGAACAAGAGGCGTTAAAAGCGGAAATAACACAACGTCGTGCGGCTCGCAGAGTATCCAAGTTGAAGAGACGGAAGACGTACGCTGATGAAGAAGAAGATGACGACGATGAGGAACGTGTTTTTGTGGGCACACGGGTAGCAGAAGGACATCAGAATTATCCACTCATGTAAAGTGATTGAAAAGAAAAGAAAAGAGAAGGCCAAGGGCTCCAAGAGAAATGGAAAGAGGGGGGATATTAACTTATTTTTGCGCCATTTTGGTGACACCATAAACTCTAGGTACGATATGCTGACTGGAATTCGGATTGCTGTAAAGTATATATGATTTACAGTGTATACTTTATACATGACAGTAGCCTCGATCATCCCTTCCTCTTTAAACTCACAATGTTTTTATGTACGCGGCATCATGGTTCTAGGTTGGTAGGGTCTCTGCAAAAATGCGACGCGATTTAACACCCCAAGACTTTACGGCTGCGCATAAGCTCGTGTTTGATGTGTGGGTTCTGCTTCCAACTCTTTGTGAGAGAAAAAGACTTTGGAATACCAGATGGACAGAAAAAAAAGGTGCTAACTGTTAGTACGCTATATTTATATATAGTACCGGAAATGAGCTTACACCCGGTGTCAAATACGATTTCAAATTCAAGGACTACGCACCTTGGGTGTTTCGAGGCTTGCGCGAGAAGTTTCATCTGGATGCTGGTGATTACATGGTAAGGTATTACAAAAGGCGAGCAGAGGACACAGATGGAAACAAGAGGGCTCACGACAAATCTACTAGATGTCATTGACAAACAAATACATTCTCTCTGAGCTGAACTCTCCGGGAAAAAGCGGAAGCTTTCTTTACTATTCACGCGATTATCGATTCATCATCAAAACGATCCATCATTCAGAACACAAGTTTATGCGCAAAGTATTAAAGGACTATTATCAGGTAAGAAGCGAAACAAGAGAGGCCAGCGTATCGTGATAATAATGATGCACACACACACACACATGTAGCATGTTTGTGATAATCCGAATACACTCCTCTGCCGATATTATGGATTACACCGTATCAAATTACCACGCGGACGCAAGATTCACTTTGTTGTCATGGGCAACGTGTTTCCTGGCAACAAGGATATTCATCAGACGTTCGATCTCAAGGGCTCCATGTTCGGCCGGTTAACACCGGAAGAAGTGATTGCGAAAAACCCGCATGCAGTAATGAAGGATCAAAACTGGGTAATGTCAATACCATTCCAATGATAGCGGGAAAGCCGTTCAGAAGAAAGAAAGAGACTCTTGAAGAGTGGTTTTTTCAATTCACTTATCTAATGACATATTGTATGTTTTCTGTACGTGATATAGCTTTCTAAAAACATGAATCTGGAATTGGGTCCTTTAAAACGGATGTTTCTTCTCACGCAGCTTGAAAATGACATTTCTGTAAGTTTTTAAAGACTCTGTTAGAGAAGAAAAAAAGGGTTACTCATTGAAAATCATGATTCGTAGCTACTACAACGAGCCAATATCATGGATTACAGCTTGTTGATTGGTATACACGATATGAACCGGGGCAATACTGAAGGCATTCGTGATCATCATTTGCAAATGGTGCAGCCTGCAACCAAAGGATTACAACGACAGCTATCTGCTCTGGGGAACAAGCACGAGAGCAAAGCAGACATTGTCCGTAAAGCACTAAAACATACCAATCCAGTACAATTAAACCCATCAGACTTGCCGGAGACTCCATCTGAAGAGTGAGTCTATATAGATATATATTTACAGAGGAATCAGAAGGAATTGTAAAGTAATGATTTTGTAAATGCTGCTTTTAGGCGTCGATACTGTGTTTTTTACTCTGAAGATGGCGGGTTCCGATCCACAGACGAAAACAACGAATTAACGCAGAGGCTTTATTTTATGGGTGTCATTGACATATTAACGCCGTACAACATTGTAAAGAAAACCGAGCATTTCTGGAAGAGCTTAACGCAGGATAAAGTAAGTTGTCGTTTTTGGCAAGTAGTAGTAGAGTAGAGAGTGGGTTGTTTATAAACTCTCTTGACTGACACACCAAGGATACACAGCATTCTATATCTGCCGTCAATCCGGTTGAATATGGTCATCGGTTCATGCATTTTATCAAAAACGCAGTGACTAAAAAGTCAGATCATTAAGGAAGTCTCTACTTAGTATTGTAAAAAAAGGATAAAAACACACAAATAATCCCACGACTAATCTTCTTTCATTCCACACATACACAATTCTCACTTTTACCCTCCCTTTCCTCCTCCTGTATAAAATATTACGCTAACCTCTCATAATACTACACATCCCCACACTCACTCGCTCTCAAACACAGACCACTTTTACCAAGTAAAAATTCAAACTCTCTCTCTCTCTCTCTTTAAAAGCAAAGCCATTTATGTTTCTTTTTATTGACGTCATTGGGTTGTGGCGGTGGACGTGGCTCTTCCAGATCATCACAAGCTGGTGTTTTGTAGTTCATGACAAAGTTTGCTGTTGATTCAGCTGCCTTGGCACTTTCGATTGCTCGCGGGTCTCGTGGATGTGATATGGATATAGGCTCGTCGAGGTTGCGAGTGTCCGTTCTGGACCATGCTTTGACTTTATCTTTTGTTTTGTGAAGTTGATGCCGTGGGTGGTGCTGCGATGTATGTGGTATCATGGCAAATTGTAGTAATATATAGTGCTTAATCAAAAACAGAAAGAGGAGGAAGATTAAAGAGACTTTTGTGTTAAAACAAACAATTAGTTTGATGGGCCTGAAACCCATGTATTTTTCGATTTCCGAGTGCGACGAACCCTAATGGAAAAATGCGCGCGGGATCTACCACTTGGTAAAAAGAGTTCTTTTCTCCAAATCATGCTGGCTTTTATTATCCACTATCCTGATAAAGTAGTCGAAATATATGGCGCACAGATGACATTAAAGTTCGCAGCCGGCTATTCCTGAATAGAATGTACGACCACAACTACGTTCAGCCCGCATAAAGAGGAGCAATGCAGGACAGTAAACACCCTTTTCCCTCTTCTTTTAAAGATTCAACACATAAATACAACTAGAGCAATTTACATTCAATGAACACCAACTATAATTACATCAACACTAAAGAAGCAACTGGGAATCGACAGAAATCATGGATTGCTGCTGCTTTGAGTACAACGACGGGCGGCGGTGTAGTATCGACGACGACATCATTAACCGCCTCTGCTGCAATGCGTCGTCCTGTCGAACTTTCTCGAACTAAAATCGATAGCGATGCAGCAGAGCAGCATTTGCAAACATTACTGCATCGATGGTTGGCAGAAGTCCAAATACCCATTCAACCTTGGTCTGGCATCCTCTTAAATATCGTACTACAGCAAATTATGGCCGCTACCGCAGTCGTCGATGATACTACCATCACTCACGTGGACACATCACAAGGTCTATATCACCGCAATCACCATCATCCTAACCCTACTGCCGCTATCACCACCAAAACTACCACTACTAGTTCTATTCTTGAGGGTGGTGATTTTGGTCACAAGGAAAAGAAGAACGGATTATCGCGGGCGCTTGATCGATCATCGCCATCGTCAGCCACTGCTTTATGGATTCAATGTATACCAAACGGAAAGCCAGAACAATCGCAATTCCTACCCAACATATACAAAGGCGTGCCCCTTAGTAAGTTTTTTTGCGACCTTTTATTGTTAATTATTCAAGGGAACGTTTGGAAGCAAAGAAGCAAGTAGAGGAAAACCCCCACGATTAAAACTAAATCGAAAATCCGTAGGTAACGTATTATCACACGTTGATGACGGAAGATGGTGGCACGTTGGTGGTACAATAGAACTGCAAGGCTTGGTTTCTCCATCAAGCTATAACTATATGAGTGATCTGATATGCGCATTGATGCATGTGCTTGGTAATATGCATTTGGAGACAAGTCTTTGGCGCGATCATCATCTGACACCTCCCCAACAGCAGCAGAAAAACAGACGAAAGAAACGCATTCCTTCGCCGACTATAGTAGCACCACCACCATCGCCACGTCGTCGAATGAATGAGCCACCGACAGTGGTGTCTATGACAACGGCTCACAACACTAGGAAGAGTACTACGCAGAGCAACACTGCTGCTAAGCCGGTTGCCCTTATTAAATGGGTGTTTTCTCGCAGTAAATGGACTAGCAGCAAGCCAAAGCAGTCAAAGCAAATGCAACATCGACCCGTCCTTCTACAACACTCACCTACTGCTACAGCTAATACTTCATCCACCAATGTCTCTCTGCTATTCTCCAGCAAAGAACCATCGTTGCCACCAGCACCACGCATTGCTCGTAATATATGTAACCAACTCACCACGACACATGTTTCATCATCCATCGGCCGCATGTATTCCTTACCCAGGATTTTGATCCATTTGCGCGATTTTGAAGAAAACGAACAAAAGGCGCTCGACAAAGCAAAAGAATATTCCAGTTACTCGAAACCATCCAGCTTACTGCGTTTTCCATCCATGTTATCTCGGACATCCTCATTACGGAGACGAGGGGGACCCAGCATGCTAAGAGGCCGACAGCTCCAACAACAACAACAGCTTTTTGTTGTTGGCAGCAACTATTATACAAACGTTCAATTACTAAACTTGGAGCGATTACTGTTAATCGACACCACTCCTCCATCTCTTTTGGGATTTATCCGACAACAACATATTTCATTCACCTACTCTTTCTATCCCAAAAACATGAAACGAAAACAGCAACAGCCGCATCAAAAACGACCGTGCGTGGGTCCCAACATTGCTCGTATGGATTATTATCGTTACAAAGCCGATCCGAATTTGCATATCAGTCGTCAATTTTTAGACCAGTCTTTGGGTCTGACGATCATCCACATGAGCCAACAAGCGACGCAATCATGTTGGGAGTGGATTAAGCAAAGCAAGCAAAACGATCCGAGCAGGAAGAGTAAAAGAAAGTCGTTGATAATCATACCCAATAACAACAATATTGATTACCTTCACCAGCATGGCGAGCGACGATACAATAGTAGTAACGAAGAAGAAGACGAAAACGGAGAGGACGAAGAAGAAGAGGATGGGGGATGTGAACTACCGATGACGGACCATATCCTGCGTTTTTCTCACGGACCTTCTCGAGTCTATATTGATATGAATACGACCACTACCATGATATTACCCAATACGATTGCCAGAACGGCCCCTGAAGATGGCACCGTCATCATGATGTGGTCTAAATGTACTGTGTGCAAAGCAGAAACAAAACCGACGCCCATGACACATGCGACATTTTGTTTCTCCTTTGCAAAGTATCTCGAAATTATGCTCTACGAAAAAGGCAGTAATACTATGCCATCATTTCGTAGTCGTAGTGACGACAGCAACAGCAATAGTGGTACCTGCAAGCACAATATCAAGTTATCAGATGTTGTCTATTGTTTTTATTATGACCATTGTACTTTACAAATACGTCGCGACGAGCATCCAATCAAGTACACTCTATGTACGCCCAATATCCCTGCTATGACCAACACCGCCACTACGACTACGTCTCCCTCGTCGCCTAGTGTCCCTACTTCAACCAATGCTTTTGATAGTAGTGGTGAACTCAATCACGAAATCGACTTGTTCTTCACTGCCATCATACGCCATCTAGAGTTAATCGACCATTATTTGAAAGGCGAAGCCAAGCAAGAGCAGCTTTCAGCAGCGGAAAAGTCCGATATAGAGACACAACATAAAGAGCTCAAAGCGTTAAAGCGAACAGCACATAATGATTACAGCGATTGGATGCTCTACATTGCAGACAATAGCAGCAAAAAGCATCAATTGAATGATGTTCGACGCGCATTCGTTGTACAGGCAAAGTTTATGCTGGATCAACTGACCGAGTGGCAGCGAGATCGATGTCCAGAACTTATTGCGGAATGTGGATGGGATATACCAGATTATTTCAAGTACGTTTATCTCTGTAAGCTTCCGTAACATGTATTTTTTTAAAGGGAGAGAAACCTTACGAAATGATGTAATAGCTCAGCAGATAAAAGAGTGCATGCCATGCCTGATTCTTCGATCCTAGTGCGCGAAGATGAGCCTACTTCAATTATTTCTTACACTCTCAAGTAAAGTTGAATTTACGATACATACTATAAAAGGACAACACTTTTCTTGCTGTTATTAACGAAAATCTTCTTGACAAATATGTAACTTAGTTGTGCAGCGTATCAATCTGAGATTCTACAAAAAGAAATTAAATCACGTGCCGTCATCGACAACAGCAGCATTGTATCTCTGCCGGCTACAACCGCTGGAGGGCATCTTAATAGCGATGACGATGATTATGATGACCAACAGCAACACGGGCCACTCGCAGGCAGTAGCATCAGCACCAGCAACACCACCAATGACTTTTACTTTTCGTCTTTAGAGCGATATTATCTTGAAAATCAGAACAATATCAACAGCAGCAATGCAGACATTTTGGCAACAACAACACAACAACAACCACCAGCCAGTACGTTTGCCACAGCTCGGCAAACGCTGATCCAGCATGTACAGGAGCGGCACATATCACAGCACCCACATCTCGGCAAACTCAAAGCACATTGGCGAGCACGTTTTCAGCATCATGCAAGTGCAACAACTGTCCCTTCACCCTGGAAACATCTATATCATCATCGTCTTCGCCATCACTATAGCCAACAAGAAACACCACCAGCTCCATTCCTGCCCCAGGATGATGGTGAAGCTAATCCTATTTCCTGGGAGATGCAAGAGGAACGGACGATTGCTCATCATGTGAACAAGGATACTCATAGCAAGGAAATTATCAAAGAAATACGCTTCCATAAAACAATAGCAACAGCAACGACTGAAGACAATAGTCGGCAAAACAGGAAACTGAGTCCTCATATTCGACACAGTAAGCAATTATCTTTTCTCTTATTACCTCCTCCTTTGTTGCCATAATGCTACGCTATTTTCAATGTCGTTTTCATGGAGTTTTCATTGATTAAACGCGAAGCAATTTACCATCATTCTTGTATATAACAAAATAGGATTCGTGCACAACAATATTGAGTTTACATGTGTAGTATACTATGCTCAAGAATTTGAAGAATTAAGAAAACGATGCGGTATAGACCAGGTCATCATTGAGTCGCTATGTCGTTGTCAAACCTGGAAAGCAACGGGTGGTAAAAGTAAAAGTCGCTTTTACAAGACGAAAGGTTGGTATAGTACTCAAAGCAACACTCTTTTCTTACTGTAGTAGTAGCTCTATTTTATAAAGATGAATTGAGATACTTATGGTTCATGTCACAATGTAATACGTAAGACGATAGACTTGTCATCAAGGAGATGATATCATCGTGGAACTTGGCTGAAAAACAACAATTTCTCGAGTTTGCGCCTGCTTATTTCGATTACATGAAGAGGACTGCAGAAGAGGTAGATAAAAACCAAAAACGAAAGAATGGCAAGAAGAATAGTAAGCCAATTGAGCGATTCACAAAAGGAGAATGGTGAAATACATAGGTTCCAAGTGTGCTTACCAAGATATTCGGATTCTATACGATTCGCATGACGGATAGTCAGAAACGAACAACATGGGCAATGGATGTTATGGTGATGGATCACTTATTTTACAACCGCACAATCACCCAGGTAAAGTATACGAAAAGCTGGAGAAAGATAAACATGTTTTACTGACTGATAAGTGTAGCGATTTGATTTCAAAGGCGTTAGTGATCGACAAGTAGAGAAGCAAGAGCAGCAGCAATTGACGACTTTGTGGGATGGTGATTGGATCCACGGTAACACAAAAAAGAAAAGACGGAAAGTGCTCGAGCCTCTTACTCTTTACTGACACTTTTGATGTGACACAACGCTCATTTTATATTTCAGGTTACCGCCTTGGGTTGACTACCACGCAATACTCCAAGGCACTGATCATTGACATTGCACTACGAAACGATACCGAATTCATTGAAAAGTGCAACATTATGGACTACTCGCTACTCGTGGGCATCGATGAGCAAAACAAGGAGATTGTGGTTGGACTTGTCGGTACAGTATTCTTGGATGTTTGCCCAAAGGAAAAGGGGTTTTGGGGGGGGGGTTTCTTGAAGAGGGAGGAGTATGTAAAAGCGCAAGATAGATTGTAACATCATGACATCTCTACAGACTTTATTGGCGCTTACACATGGTACAAGAAGATCGAATCGAAAAGCAAAGCTACATTGAAGCCACAGAAGCAGGTGACTGTATTGCCTCCACAGCAGTATCGAGCACGGTTCTGCCGAGAAATAAGCAACTATTTTGTCTCGGTGCCAGGTACGTTATTGTGATTCAGATGAAAGCATCCCTGTCTGCTGCTCTCGGCCTCCCTTCTCTTATTAACACGGGATGCACATATGTCATAGGGAAGTTCGATCGCGTTGAGCCCAAGGAAGAGAGAAATTCGTTCGTTGCGTCTTTCTGTGGGGTTTACATGGATTTATAAAGCTCTTTATCGTTATTTCTGATTTCATAAATGTATATTACACTGAACTTAATATTATTCTGAATCTGTATAAAGGTTCCTGCTTGTAGTACGATGAGTCTTTGCAAAGGAGAGAAGAATTAATGTAGCACAAGGAAACTTGTGGCGGTCATTCAAATAAGGTTGCAAAGGAGAGAGAAAGAGCGAGAGTGTGCGATGTATGTGTCACCGTACACAGTCTGATCTCTCTCCATGTGTGTGTGTGTGTGCGGACAGACACACCAACACCTCCCTTCCCTGTCATGCACATCAACAGTTCAGTCGTCATTGTTTCTGAATGACACCAAAGCACAATAGGGGGCGGCCACCGGACGAAATGTTTGTTAAAGCACTTTCTCCATAAAAACACGACGATGATCGCGTCTGAGTTAAATTCCATAGTCGAGTCCGCTTCAAGGATTGTTTTCATTCGCATATGGTCAAGAGAAGCATTAGTACAGTGGAAATGGGCCTACAAATTCCGCTATATATTTAAACGAGATTTGAGACCATACCTGTCTCGTACGGTTCCTGCTTTGGGAAGAGACCACACACCTTACACATCATCACTACACCGTTTACTTTCTTCGTCCTACTACCTTTATCTCTCTCTCTCTCTCTCTCTCTCGTTCTTTTTCTTCTCTTCCACTATCACTAACTCGTCATCTTGGCAGCAATGAGTTCCATGCCCAAGATACTGTGCACTGTACGCGCACTCCACCCGTTCCAATCCCCTGAGCAATCTTCATTGAGTTTTGAAAAGGGCAATTTGATTGATGTACTTGCCCAGCTGGAATCGGGTTGGTGGGATGGGTGGTATGTACTTCTGCTGCTGCTGGTTTATATATAGTTTTTTCTAAATTTAGTAATTAACATATATTGACGTTAACGACTCTGCAATAACAGGTGCAACGGTGCGCGAGGTTGGTTCCCTAGCAACTATGTCGAGATGATCAATGTCAATCCCGAAATGGCAGACACGGTCATGCCTACAGCTGCTCGACAACAGCAGCCGCCGCCACAACAACAACAACCACATTTTCAAACACGTGCTCGAAAGGGTAGTATCGACAGTCGTCTAGAGAGAAAACCGTTTGATCAGGATCAACGATTACCGGACGTACCTGAAAAGAACGAAGACGATACAGCAGCGATAGCGGCAGCAGCGGCAGCGGCAGGCCATTATTTCTATGATCCAATGACAAACAGTGTCCAATACCACAACAATGGGTCTATCGCAGGCGACTCGGACGATGAAGATCACTTTGTCGACGCTCGTTCGCATGATCGCGGTCGTAATTTATCGCGCGCCAGTATCGATTCCGCTTTGGCAATCAGCACGAATATGACTAACAATGCAAGCACAACCACCGTAACAGCAGCAACGATGCTCGCTACTAATAATGAGGTTGATGAAGATAAGATGGATGCAAGTCATGTAAGTTTAAGTTTATGCATGATACAAGATATGCTTGCATGTGTAGGGTTTTTATCAATGCATGAATGATCGCTAGTAGGGGAAGGGGTCGGTTTGAAATTTAATGCTTTAACGTTTCTATGCAGATCATGTCACAATGGGTTGAGCGTGTCACGCCTCAAGGCAGAACTTACTACTGTAACCTGGTCACCCAGGAGACCACGTGGGATAGAGAGGAAATTGACAAATCCACAGGTCGCTTGGTGAGTCCTATCTACTATGCAAATACTCAGAGACTGTATCTGTCGACTGATGCATCAGCACTAACTCGCATATTTAAAGCAAAAAAATGGCGACGAAACTGATTCAGAAGACGAACAAGATACCCCGCGCAAAGCATCCCGCGATACAGAGAGCTTTATTATCAACGGCAACCAATCCATTTCCACCGCAGCGACAGATCAAAGCGAGCCACTGACATGGCAAAAGTTATCTGGAGATGTGGCACTTGCCATCCATCAATTGAATGTCACTGCACAACAAAACTTGCGCGAGCTTTTTATCGAACATACCGGCATTGTTGTCGAAACAATCCGTCTTATGCTCTATGCTGCTGGTCTCATAGAGAAAGACTCACATCATACCCAAGATCATATGCTCAGAAACCCACATCGTGCTGTCATGGCATCCTTGTCCAAACTGGTGCTTTCGGCGCGTATTGCTGCTGATATACCTGCTACACCCCCTTCTTCGCCACCCGGCAATATTAATCCAATGATGGCTGCCATCAACAATAACAATAACAACCATACCAACAGTGCGTCGGCAGCGTCAGAAACCGTGTTTAAATTACAAAAGGATGCAGGCGATGTACTGGCTGCTGTACGCAACTTTGTCACTGCTTGCCAACAACGACAGATCCGTGTCGAACATATGACGCCTCGGTTTGTCGAAGATTTTGATAACAGCCCATCGATAGCACCGCCAGTAACGATGACTACAACGATACCCGTACCAGGCGATCCAGCAGATGAGCCGGAGGGCGACGAGGATAAAGTCGGTACCACCAGTACGATTAGCGGCAGCACAAAAGTATCCAACGGCAGTGGCAACAACGTACCGACCTCTGCACCCACCATCCCAACACCGACTAATTCAACCACATCACAGGGCAATAGTAACACCAACAATAACAACAGCAATAAAACAAAATACCGATTAAATCAGGATCTGATTGTGAGTTTGCAAACGCACGCAAACCAGATTTATGGATCGACCGAAGCACTGGCTGCAGGCACAGCCCATGCGATCGAAATCCAACACGAAAACGAACTTGACGGCAACAATTTCCTCGATAGTCAAGAAAAAGCCCGCGAAAGCATCGTGATGCTCTTCCGCACCCTTTCAGAACAAATAAGCAAGTATTTGGGCATTCTGGAAGGCATCAGTTTCGACGTTGATCACACGCAAGTTCCCGCCGTTTCACGTTTCAAGCTGGAGCGACAGCAATTATACAATGCTTTTGGTCGACTGTTTAATGCTATTCAAGTGCTCAGTGACTCGGGTGTGGCTTTGTCGAGAGCTATCACAACCATTGATGAGACCAATGCGGAAATCGAGGAAGCATTGGAACGACTCTTTTCTAGTGTGCAACAGATGGTCGGTCAACGTCGTATGTGGTTGTCGAGACGTGGCACATCTGATACCAAGGAATCGCTTACAAACGATAATGCTAGCAGTAGCTACAGCAATCCACTGTCGCCCGCGTTCTCAGATCCTTGGTCGCCCCCGCCAATGCCAACGCCTCAAGATACCGATTATGATAGCGATACTTTGGAAACAGTGATCAGCACGAGTTCGTCTAATTTACTTCCACGCGGTCGATCATACCGTCACCAACAACGTCAGCAACAGTCGCCCAATTTTGCTGCCTCGTTGCGTATTCCGGGCAATGATTCCGCTGGTTCACCACAGCGCCAACGACAGCCTAGCACAAAGCCCACTGATGTCATGGCTACAGAAGCTCAATGGTTTCTTGGCCATGAGTATGCATCTGACGAGGTTGTTTTCAGCTCGGATGGTAAAGTCAAGGGTGGTACACTATCTGCTTTGGTCGAACGCTTAACTCTCCACGATACGCTTGGTAAAACCTCATACATTCTGCTATTTATACGGTCAAGCAATATATAACAAAAAACTCACTGGTTTCCTGGCAATTTTTTCCGTTGCATAGATACATCGTTCATTGCCAACTTTTTGTTGACCTATCGATCATTCTGTACAACTGAAGAATTTGTCAATATGTTGGAGAAGCGGTATATGATCACAGCACCTGAAGGCTTGACTCCACAAGAACTCGAAGCCTGGACGGATAAAAAACAAAAGCTTATTCGATTACGGTAAGAACCGAGAGAGGAATCATTCTTGTTTATATTATAGAAGAACACTTTCGCTGATGTATCGCTAACACATACTGCGTACAATATAGTGTCTTCAACGTCATGAAGAGCTGGCTGGAAAATTATTATAACGACGAAGATGAATTTATTTTGGACCGACTCGAATTCTTCACCAACACGGTGATCCGAGACGCCTCTGCATTCTCTGCGGATCAATTGAACCGTCTCATCCTGAAACGACGTGAAATCGATGCGGATGATGGTTTAAAGAAACTAGTGCCCAACAACATGGCTGGCCCTGCACCAATCATGCCCAAGAACGTGACGGCGCAAATCAGTCTCCTGGATACAGATCCATTAGAGTTGGCCCGTCAGCTCAGTATCTTGGATTTTAAATTGTACAGCAGCATCCGCCCAATCGAGTGCTTGAACAAAGCTTGGTCGCGCGATGACCAAGATCTGGCATTTCATGTCAAACAGTCGATTGATTACTGTAATCGTCTGACAGCTTGGGTCACAGGATCCATTTTGGAGCATGGCGAAGCCAAGCGACGCGTAGTGATTATTAAGCATTGGGCCATGGTAGCAGACGTAAGTCTCTCTCTCTCTCTCTGCGTGTATGTCATGTGTATGTATAGGATTGAATCTAACGAAATACTCAATCGTTAGCGCTGCCGTATGCTCAACAATTATAACACATGCATGGCGATCTTCTCGGCCTTTGACAACAGTGCTGTGGGCCGTCTGCGACGTACCTGGGAAATTGTCGGCAACCGTACTCAACAAACCCTCAACTATATCCGTAAACTGATGGGCGCCAACCGCAATTTCACCGAATACCGTGAAATGATCCATTCCGTAAATCCACCTTGTATCCCATTTTTGGGCATCTATCTCCAAGATTTGACGTTTATTGAAGACGGCAATCCAGACTGTCTTGCTAAATCAACCAACCTGATCAATTTCGCAAAAAGACAAAAGACGGCCGAGGTGATTCGTGAAATCAAACAATTCCAGTCATCGCCCTATACTTTGCAAGTCGTGCCCTTAATACAGCATTTCATCAAGTCTCAGTTGGAAGCCAGTTTGGATGTCGAGGCATTGTATGAACGCAGTTTGGAGCTGGAGCCCAGAACCACCACAGCTGCGGCAGAGGCGGCACGCTTACTGGAGATGATCAATTAAATTAAAAAAGAATACATTTTACAATAATAATAATTATAATGATAGTTAGTATAAGTTAATATTAGATGACGATACCGGTGAAAATATCGTTTCTTTAAGAAAAAAATCTTTGGATTTTGTATAAATCAACATTGTACGTAAATATTTGATATGTTTCCTCCTCTATCTATTTTGGTTGGTGCTGCTCTAGTACTACTGCAACCACTACTGTACCATATTATACTGTAATGTACCCTTGCTGTATGTACTTACTCACAAGAGATGACGTATAGACGGAGATCATGACTTTACTTCTCTTTTCTTGTATATCATATATGTGTATAGTGTAAGCTTATATTTAATGGAATGCTAATGACGGTACGCTTGTAGCATTATTGTCGCTTCCTTGCGGTGCGGTGTTTATGAAAGAAGAACTTAAGAAGAGAGGCGGCGTTTTAGCTCGTTTTAGCTTATCTTCGTGGTTTTCTGCAGCACTTTTACAATTTTCATCATGTTCATCCTGTCAGCTTGATTTTTCTTTCTACGTATTCTTAAATTGTCTCACTTTACAAAGATAGAAAATCATATATACGACCAGAAAACGATTACTAAATGGATGAACATTTCACAGACAAATGACGAAGTAAACGAAATCTACTTACTGGAGATAATAAGTAACTTTAATCATAATTTTCGATAAAGCAAATGTAACTAGTATCACGTGTTATATCTAACCGCAAAGTGATTGAAGCTTACGAATGAATGTGTTATCTTGCGGAATTGAGAGATCTTAATAAAATTACATGGCAGACAGTAACGTGATTATCATGTCGGCAACTGGTTTCGTTGCTACATACATTTACTTTTTGGGGGGTTCGTACCGAGCTACTGGTTGTCAATATGCATGATGACCATGATTATCCATTCCGCGATAGGATTGCTGAATTCAAAAATGTCGTCCCATCTCTTTCTCGCGTCTACTGCAACCACAAAGGTGTAAAGAAGCTCAGCGAAGAAGAAATCTCGGGCAAAGCTTATTCCGACTGTTGGTCTGTGTTTCGACGCCCCACATGGTGGCAAAAAAAAGCGTACTACGTCGCGCAATTTATGCGAAAGCCACCGACCATAGATATATCATCACGATGATCAACACAATCATAAGGTGCTTAAATGTTACATCGATGAATATAACTTTGGACAATGCGGCTGCATCCACGTAATGATACTAATTCGCCACAAGGTGGCTGATCAAGCTAAGTTCAATCTTTATACGCCGTGAAAATTGTACACGGCGGCGACCACTAAAACCTTTTCTATCTAGATCCATCATAAGAAACTGCTATACTCACTAAGCAATCACCAAAAGAAAGCTTCCATTGGCACATGCTCAGTAAAAATGGGTTTTATCTATTTTTCTATCACAAATTTCTCGTAGTGTGATAATCCAGCAGTGTAAACGGAAAGAAGAGCGGTGTCTGAACCGCAGTCTAATAGTAGCACGGTTCAAAGCGGCACTTGTCATCGTGAGCTTCTTTTCCCGCATGTCTACGAATGGAGTAAAACAATGGTGTGAAATTTCCTTTTCAAGACCGCTGGCCAAGAAATCCTAACTACGAGTTACTATACTAAAGCAAACGACTACTTAGCAACTTTTACGCGTTGATTAACGGGTTATTAACATCACTGTATTTCACATAAATAAAAGAGACAATACAAATAACCCTTAAAACCCCTTGAATAAGAAGGACGAGTTTACATAATCTGTTTATATCGGATACTAATCATCTCATCAACTGGTTCAATGGGGCTTCCGGGGTTTATTTGTAAGCGGATCCAAGTGGAATTTTTCGATCTGCGTTCTTATTTTGAGATTTTTTTCCCCCACCAGCACTTTGTTTCTCCTTTCTTTTCGTCTTTTCAAAACTCTAGTTTCAATTTAAGCCCTTGTGCCACTTTTTTTTTTTTGCTTCGTGCGTGTTTGACACTGATTTCGTTTGACGCCACTATCGTCACCTGTACCTTTGAAAATTAATACAATGTCGTTTGACCAAAAGCACTCGTTGCATTCACCCAGCATACCACCCGGCACTTCTGCCGGTCCTTCTTCACCGTCATCATCACGTACACCACCGACTGCTTTGACAACAGCACCGCCGTCACCACCACCTCTGTCAGGACAACAAGATCACCAGCAGCAAAAGGAACACCACTCTTCCATGCCTACACTCACCTCTTCCGGGACACAACAACAAAATACTTTACCCGCAGTATCCGCTACGGTATCGGTATCACCTCAGCAACAACAGCAGCAGCCCAGCAACAAACCATTGTCCAAAACCGCAACCAGCACTTCCGCTCCGACTTTTACATATGAACAGCGATACCTGCCGCCACAACAGCAACAGCAACAGCAACAACAACAACAACAAATAGCAAATGAAATGATTTATCTTCAAGAACATAGTCAATGCTCCGTTACGCAGCAACACCAATCATCACGTCAGCCACAAACACAGCTACAGCATCAACCGATCGTTTTGTACGAAAACAATTCCACATTTAAAAATCAGCAGTACGGCAGTACCTTGCCTAATTACAGCGCCACGGCACCTCTAACTACCACACCGTTACCTGAAGGCTCGAGATACTATGTTAGTGATAGCAGTGACTCATGGTGGACAGCATCCGAGCTACGACTATCATCGCAACAAGAGCAATCACAGCAAAACCAACAGTTGCCCCCACTTCCTTACGAACGCAACGAGTTACAACCGACGATACCGCCACCACCGTTTACCTCCTATGACCACAGACAACAACAAGACCAACGACGATCACAACAACCACAGCGCTTCACAAACCCACCAGCATCGACACTCTCATCCACAATTGAAAAAATGGTTCATCGTGCTGGTAGACAAGAAGTACATCTTAAATTCGACAGCGACTTGTTGATGATGCAATACGACTGGGCACCCGAAGAATTACAGCAAAGGCGACGTCTCGTTCAGTTTTGGCGCGAGGAGCGTGACAACAAGATCGTATGTGCGTTCCAACCTGTGCCTCAAGAATCCTACCGCGGTCGAGTCAACCGAATCAGCCCATTCTGTATCGTTTCTTGCATCTTTTGGGAATCCCAAAGGCAGTGTTACATGACGTCTGTCGACTTGGTTGTTTTGCTAGAATTTCTCTTGAATATTCGCATGTCGATGGAAGAAAAGAACCGCGTAAGGCGCAATTTGCAAATTTATAAACCAGTGACAGCAGGCAAGAATCGTGATGAAACCATGGATATATACCGGTTGATTATGAGCTTCCCTAGTCCCAAACCGAGGCATATCGAAAAGGATGTAAGTATGATCTTTTACCTATCTAACCTATTAACTAAGTAGCATAGATACTAATTTGATTAATTTGTGGCCTTCTATCACAGATCAAAGTGTTTAATTGGAATACGGTCCCCTTGGCGCTCCAAAAAGTTGTTACTAAATACCACACATCTGTTCTTAAGAAGAAACAGAAGCACCAGGAGCAGTAAATACTTGGTGTGTATCCCCATAGCATTTATTTATGTAGCATTATCGCTTGTACCTATAAATTGTGAAATAAATGTGTACAAAATCATGTCTCCCCTTTTCTACCACCAATTTAACCTTATTCCCTCTACGTCCGTACACTAGAGGTTCTTATGCAGCTAGCTGTGACACCACCATTGTTCTTTCGTTTGGGCGAGCATATGTCAAGTCCTTGACGCGGCTCATCATTTTGACCTTCAATAAAGCACTTTCAACGATGACTTTTGTTTCGAAGTTGCTTAATGATGTTCAAATACGCTGTGATTATTGCCATGTATCTTCTGATATTTTCAGCTTGGGTTCTGGCTACTGGATAGACTGTATTGATATAAAAGAGTAATAGGTATAGTAATTTCGTGATCAGAGGTTAAATGCCTGCAGAGGTTTTGCTAAATAGGACGATTTTCGGAGAAGAGTTAGCCGTAAAATACCTTTCTGCGGGTTTCTTTACACTAACCAAAAATAAAACTTATAATCAAAATGGACATGGATGTAGAAGCAATGCTGGACGCTCCGTTCCTGGAGAAACCTGTAGGTTTCTTTTAATCTTTCTGTCATTTTCTTCTTAAAGTTGACATCGCGTTGCTAATTGTTCTTTTGATTTCATGTCAAATGTAGAAAGAAGAGCAGGCTGAGCGAACAGAACGTGAGCGAGATGAACCAAAAAGCAGCAGCCACCGCCACGATCGAGACGCTCGCGACGATGAACGCCGGTAAGTCTGAACACTTTACCTTTTCGATTAACTGAAATAATTTATACCGTTGTGGTGACGTTTTGATTTACTTTGGTCAATTATATATTAAATATATTTTTGGTTTAATTAGCTCTCGTTATTCATCCAGTTCCAGACATCGACGTTCTTCTCGATCGCCCCGTCGTCGGTCCGATTCACGGTCACATCGTGATCGCTCGCCATCGCGTTCTCGCTCTAGACATAGTAGTAGAAGATATCGTAGTCGTTCCCCCTCTTATGGTAGACGTAGACGCTCACGTTCCCGTGATAGGAGAAGAAGCCGCAGTCCTAGAAGAAGACGGGATGACAGCGCTGAACGTAGCGAGTAAGTTGGTTTCAGATCATGTTGGATTGCAGTGAAAGATATCAATGTTTGTGCGTGAAGGAAGAGAAAGTACGAAGAGAAAAAGAAGTGGACAGAATATCATTGCTCACGTTGAAACTGTTTACCTTTTTTCTTCAAAAAAAATAGGCGAAGAAGAAGACGGGCACGTTCGCCTTCACCACCGGTTCCAGAAGAAATGAGAGACAGACGTACTATCTTTGTAACGCAATTGGCTGCACGATTAACCTCGCGTGAACTTGAAGATTTCTTCTCGCAAGCTGGCAGAGTGAGAGACGCAAGAATCATATCGGATCGAAACTCACGACGTTCAAAGGGGTACTAAGTGAAAAGGTTTCCTTATGTTTCGTATGCATGTGTTATTGACTTTTGAATTTTTATTTGCTCCATACAGTGTTGGGTATGTCGAATTTCATGAAGAAGATTCGGTTCAAAATGCTTTAGGAATGTCTGGTCAAAAACTTCTAGGTATTCCTGTACTTGTGCAAATGTCTGAGGCCGAGAAGAACCGCTACGCTTTAGCAGCCCAGCAAAATATGTAAGTTTGTTGTCAAGCCCTGTATTAGGACAGAATTTCAGGAAAATAAATTGTCAAACATACTAAGTTTTCCTTTTTATTTGTTGTTTTTTTAGGATGGGAGGTGGACAGGAACATGTGTATCAAAGATTGTATGTGGGTTCCATTCATTTCAGTCTTACTGAAGAAGATCTTCGTCAGATATTCGAACCATTTGGACCGCTGGATTTCGTCAACCTTCACAAAGGTAAAGTGGACAACGATGGGACGTTAAAGTTATGATATGAGAAAACGAGTATCTAATAATTCCATTGTAGATCCGGAAACTGGACGATCGAAAGGATATGCATTTATTCAGTGAGTTGTTTTATCCGTTTCTGTTGTTGGAAAGGTGAAGTTTATTAGGGTACAAGTGTTGCTGATTGATCATGTTATATTATAGATACAAAAATGCACCTGATGGCAGACAGGCTCTTGAAAAGATGAATGGCTTTGATCTGGCTGGACGCAATGTAAGTTTATGTTTATTTTTTTACATAATAAGGACATCAGATAAAGGGTTCTAAAGTAACTCTTTAAAAATAATACAGCTCAAAGTCGGATTGGTGACTGATAAGCCGGGTGCTCCCGCGCCTTACACTAATCTTGATGACGATGATTCTGCCGGTCTTGCGTTGAATTCGCTGTCGCGAACTGAGTTGATGCACAAGCTGGCAGCCAGACAATCAGATGCTTTGGAACAAGAATACAAGCAGGAAATGCCTACACCTCAGTCGTAAGCTACATTCAATAACCCTATTTAAGTGTCGATTCTGCATATACTAAACGACAGTCGATATCGCATAGTGTTTCTCGTCCCAGTATCCCCATGAAGGCTTCGCGTACAATCATGCTGAACAACATGTTCAACCCTGAAGAGTAAGTATCAAGGTTAACAGTTACATTCCATATTAGCAACTTTAGTCGACGTTTAATCCATTTTTCAATAGGGAAACCGAACCTGACTGGGTCCAGGATCTTACTGCTGATGTAAAGCAAGAATGCTTGCAATATGGCGAAGTAGAACACATTCATGTCAACCCCGATTCTTTGGTAAGTGACAATATATTTATATGTCCATCATAATCATCTATGATACGTGGATTGAATACTGATATAATTATGTAATAGGGCGAAGTATATCTTAAGTTCAACAGTGTCGAAGCAGGAGAAAAAGCACTAGGCTCGTTGAATGGAAGATGGTTTGGTGGTAAACAAGTTACAGCGGTCTTCGTACCTGAAGCCATCTATAATGCCAAGTTCTCGCTGTGAATGTGGGTTTTCGAAACGCTGTGTCTCTTTTTTAACTTTTCCACGATTTTTACTAGTTGATTATATTCTTGCGTCACACACTCTCCCCTCAATAAAAGGACCTCTTTTGGCTCTACTACAAATTACATGAAGGTAAAATGCGAAACCGTTTCGGGCTTGCCTTTCACCATGATATTTGTATATGTGAATTAGTTTAGTGGCTATTCTCTTGTGTGCAATCCATTTATCCATGGTCTGTTGTTGCTGGTAAAAAGTCCCCACTTTTTTCGTCCGATCCAAAAGCACACAGATGCTACAACAGCTGCTACTACTACTGTCTGGCAACGGCTCTTACTACATTACGATTGCGCTGGTGTGTGCGTGCTTGGTGTTTTTATTTTTACTGAATTAGCTAATTACATATTCTTTTTCATGCCAAGTTCAAAGAAAAAAAAAGGAGTAGGGGAGTAAAAAATGGAAAGAAAAGATGCGTTTAGATACGATAGACGGTGCCATCGCTGATCATGACTTTGTTATCAGTAGACATTCTGTCCAGTGCCCTTCTGGTCTCAATTAAGCTGAAGTCTTGGCCGGATACCAGCTGGTTGATTTGACCAAATACTTCTTCAAAAGGTAAACCTTCACTTAGATCAATTTGGTTCATCTTACTTTGGAAGAGTTGGAATCTATAACAGAAAATGGGTGGATAGGTTTTTTGTAAATAAATTTGCAACATTTCGATATCTCACACAGATTTGATCTTACCTTGCTTCAGTCAGTTCATCCTCATCCACATCCATTGCGGTATCTTCATCCACATGTTCTTGGTTGGACCGCCGAGTTCCCATGCTAAAAGAGTGCAAAGGTAAACTGTTAGTATGGAACACATTTTAATGCAAACATGCTTCTACTGCTCGTCTCCCATATAAAAAACTCACTGTTGGGATTCTTCTTCCTCTTCTTCCATTTCTGAATCGCTTGCTTCGTCTTCGGATTCTTCATTATCTGAAGTGGCGACGGTCTTTCTTCGCTTAGCCTTTGTCTTGCGCACAACTTCTTTGAACATCGCTACCCGTAATACTTCCGCTGCTGCCTTGGCGTCCTTATCCTCAATTTTGTTGCTCAATCGTGCCTTTGCGTGTGCAGTGGAAAGACGAATAAGAGTTTCGAGGGTACGGGCAGTGATAGGCGCAGTCTAAAGATCATAAAATGTAAGTACGCACACATAAACTCTTCTCCTAGCATAAAATTTAGCTATTTAGCAAAACAAACAAACAAACCTTTTTTCGAGAATCTTCGTCCTTGTCATTACGAAGAGATGTGTATTCGTTGATAATTGTATCGGTGGCGCGTTTTGTGAGGGTAGGAGTGATGCGGTTCTTTGCATAGAACAGATATTTTTTGAGGAAAGTAGATTTGAGGATTTTGGGTCTGGCGTTTCCAGAGTTTTGTTGTTGAACGTTGGCATGGAGCAGACGGTTGAACTTCTCGTAAATATCTTCGTCATTTGCGTCTTGCTCGTTGGCGTCCGTATCCATGATTTCATCTATCTGCTCTCGGATAGGTGCACCTTCTTCGAGACCAGCTGGGATGAATCGATGCATACCCAGTACGTGTTCCGAGATCATTCTATCGCGCGATTCTTCCATCGTATCCGTTACAACAAAGAGCAAATCGAAACGAGACAGTAGCGAGTCGGGCAATGCAATGTTCTTTGCTGGATCCTTTGACAAGTCGTATTGGCCATAGATAGGATTAGCAGCAGCAACGACACTGCATCGTGCATTCAAAGATGTGTGGATACCGGCCTTGGCGACGGTCACAGTCTGCTGTTCCATGACCTCGTGAATAGCGACACGATCAATGTCGCTCATCTTGTCAAATTCATCGATACACACAACACCTCTGTCAGCAAGCACCATTGCACCGGCTTCCAATTTACGTTCGCCTTTACAAAATATGCGCACAATGGCGACAGTTAGCCATCGCATTTACGCTCAGAAAAAAATCCCCCTCCACGATTCCCATCCTATTAGCTCTGATTTTACCAGTTTCTTTATCGGATGTCACAGCAGCTGTTAAACCAACACCAGATGAACCACGACCAGTCGTTGCAATAGCAAGAGGAGCAATGCCAAGAACATAACGCAAGATCTGGGACTTGGCAGTGGAAGGATCACCAACCATCAGCAAATTGATATCACTAAGTTTTGACAATGATTAGTCTGAAAAGCTGTGATGATTAGCCTCCTTCTTTCATAAGAATAAAACCTTACCCTCTGATGTGAGTGCCATTGTCCAAGTTCTTTTCAACACCACCCAGCAACATCATCAACACTGCCTTTTTGATATGCTCATGACCCCAAATCGAAGGAGCCAATGATTGAGAGAGGACATCAAAAATGTTTCTCTTCTTAGCGAGCTGATGGATATGACGAATATCCTGGTCCGTAATAGTGGGCGAAGCGATGCCACCACCAGCTTTGGTGCTCAACAAGCTAATATCGTTACACAGAATGACAGTACTAGAGACAAGTAATATATTTTACGTTAGATTTCCCCCATGTTCTCCAAATACATGTAACATTCTTACCGGAAAGTGGAGCTGGTCTGGTTTGCATTTCTGTTACCGAGCGAGCGGTAGATACCAACAATGCTGACACGATCACCAGGCTTTGCTCTATCGACCAAATCATCATCCAGAACAACGTCAACGGAACGAGGCAATTGACCAGCCGGTGCACGCTCAGGCATTTCTTGAATACTGATTGTTTGATGATCGCGGTATGTGCTGAAACCAAATTCAGTGACAAGTGGGTTGCCGTTGTCATCTTCTGTTGGGTAGACTGCACCCGTTGGAATAGGGTTTCCAGGTGTGATAGCATCCCGATATTCGCGTGCGAAATGCTTTTTGGTCTTTTCAGAGTAGTGGATTGACTGCACCACCTTGGGCCGCACCAATGAGCCTATAAAAATAGTTCAACATAGACGCGAACTTAGATATAACCTTCCCTTTCTTTTACACATTAATGAACCCTTTCCCATCTTTTTGTACATACATCTTGTGACAATGCCTTCAATGCAAACCAGTTTGCCAAGGTACATGGAGCGAAGGGTACGTGGGTTAACGTGGTTGTCACCAAAGCTGCCGCGGAAGCCGATATAGAAAGGTTGATCTTGAACATTATGTAAGGTTGGATCGTGCACAGTATCGACAAGGTTTTTCAATGCCTTCTCGAATGCGGTAATGTATTCGCTTGGTGAATTCAGCAAACTGGTATGGTGGTGATGGTGTTGATTCAGTCAGTATGCCATTTCTCATGCTTATGAAAAAACCTGCTTTATATTCTCCCTTTCTTCCATGATACTTTACTTATCGGTCATTGGGCGATTGTAATGACGGAGAGCATCGATGCTGATAATCAGACGACGCTGACCGGTGGCCAACATGCCGCTAATCTGGGATCGATAGCTGCCGTGTTCTCTGGCGCCTTGGACGTTCTGAGTGTGTTTTGGTACGCTCACGACTTTTAAGTATAACTGTTTTCTAAATTCGACAAATAGTTCAATAAAGGTATACCTCACTGTCAAGGAATTCTTGAAAGAATTGAACGTTCTCATCGTTGGCTTCGTCGTTGAGTTGTTGTTGTGGTGCTGGTGCCGGAGTCGCCATGATTGGGTTTAGCAAAGCTGTATTATTTTTTTTCTTAGCGAGAAAAGGAAAATAAAAAGAGGTACAACGTCAATTTTTGGAACGCGTTTTTGGTCGCGACAACAAAAGTCACGTTTTGTGTCGCGATTTTTTCTGAAGTAGCATCAAATCGAGAAACTGGACTGGTAGAAGTGGATAAACAATGCTAATGCTACCTAAGCATCTTGTATGTCTCTTATATAGTCGCTACTGTCGCTAAGCACAGAACGATTTGCCTATTTTACAAAGAGAAGCGATAAAAAGCATAGTATCATAAACATAGTTGCTTATGGCGGCTTCTTCATTTGAGCAAGCGGTGGTTGATTTGATCGCACGCTACTGGTTCCTGGATTTAGCTGATTTTCTAGTGCTGATGTGATGTACTTAAAATGAAATCCCTTAAGCGCTTAGATCAAGTAACCCAATCCTATCTATCCTGCATTGTTTCTTGGACCACACTCACAGATTGATTGTTGCTCCTTGTTTTTTGAGTTTGCAAGTGCATGCCCCCTTTGGACTCGTATGAGCAAAGAGTTCCTTTACTCAAGACCAATGATGGGTCCTCTCTCTTTTCCATCTTTTTACTTTGGTTGATAGTCATCCAGCCCTTGCTAGCCCATACAGTGCTGCCATGGCAAACAAATCCTTTCCTTTTATAGTTACTGTGACACCAAGTGCTCTGCCAGTACTACTATAAAACCATGTCAAGGCACTGTGAATGTGTAAAAGATAAACTAAGCTTCATGCATCATAGGATCAAGTATATATGTACTCTATCCTACGGGCAACGTTGCATGCATATTCCACAAATAAGCACCTTTCATGCACACTCGTCCTTAAAACGAAACATTTTCCTTATTTCTATTGAACAGCTACCAGTATTCGTACAAGATGGTCAGTGAAAAAAAGCGGATGGTGCACCAAATGCTTAAAGAAGTTGACTCTGTATGCTGTTTCGCTATTATTCGTGTTAATCATCTGTATGCTCTACTACTGCAATGTAGCGTTTCACTCTCAAATTTCGGATAAGTGTATACAACCTTAACTAAGAAAGAAAAGAATCGTTCGTGATATTAAGCTACCAAAAGTGATTGTTTGAACTGCGATGAATCAAAGAGTCTGCCATCTATCATCTCATTATTTCTCTTATGAGAGGAAAGGATCATGAACTGCTGGGATTATGTTATGTCATTTGATATATATGCAGTAGCTTGTACCTACCATCATTCTATTGAGATTCTTTTTCTTTTTGATTTTCTTGTACTTCCTTATTTAGTAATTAATAAATAATTTCAGCTTGCAAAAAAGAATTCCATCATTTAATTCCCTCCGTCTTGGCTCGAAACCTCCCCTCTTCACTGTCCCGCAATGGCAGTGGATCCTAATTTTCATGTTAATCCACAATCATCCGAAACTCTGTTGAACAATGAGTGGCCGATCGAGAAGGTTATTCGTTGGCTCGACGAAAATGGCTGCGGTCCTGCTGCTCACTTGTTTAAAGGTATAAAGAAAACTGGCTTTCGTACGATAAGAGAAAGCTTATTTCATTCGAGACTTTCCCTTGCAGATGGAGCTTTTTGTCGAAAACAGTTTTTCGTTTTGGAACAGTTAACGAAAACATATACTTACAAGCAATCACTCACTACGTTTAGAAAATAACATTTACGGATACCGATTTTTAAACTTATCGATTATCGAGTTAAACAACTTACTGCAAGGATCTCTTCCAAAGACAGACGTTTGGCGATTATTTAACTGTATGCAATCGCTCAAAAGTAGTGACTTAACCTACAATAATGTAAGTATAATTTTTTAAAGTGGCTAAGGAGGGAGAGTAACAGAAGGGGTTTTCAGTAATGGCTCAACCTTTTTCTTGCGATCAACTCGTTCGTCATAGTATAACGACGGCACGACAGCAACGTCCGCTCAATATGCACGACAGCAACAACAGCAACCTCCAGTGGCCAGCAGTTCAACCTCGCAAGCACAAGCACCATTAGTAGCAGGTCCCCCATACAATGGCGCCTCTAATATACCAACAACTCAGGGACCTGCCGCGTCCGACACCGATTATGACAAAATCAAACATCTCATACCCGAGCGCAAGTCGTCGAATCCACAGCAAATTTCAAGGATTGTTAACGATCTGCAGTACGACGTGTCGAAATTACGACCTCTATATCAACGCTCACGGCTGCGTCCTAATGGAGGCAATCAAGAGCTGCTTATCAACGTTAACGGTCGTGTTCCAAATACAACAGCAGCAGGAGCACCACACTCTTCCACGCTTACAGCTACTCCAACGACCATTTCAACACCTGTTGCAGCTGCCCCTGCTTCCTCGACTTCCACGCCAAATGTTACAGCGTATGATTGGGCAAATAGTCCTATTAGTCCACGTGCCCAACCAAACGATCCGAAAGGCGGTTGGAAAATAACAGGGAAGCGCGTTCAGCAGTTCCAGGTACCACCGAATTAGCGAAAGAGTTATAGAGCGTTTTGTGGTGATGGACTAGATTTGTGGAGTGTGTATATAGAGGGTATATCATTTTAAATCGGCTAAATACCCCGTTTAGGATCAGTCGCAGCCGTCCGGGCATCCATCATATTCAACACCGCTACCACAAGCAAGTGTTTCGCATCCTATTAACCCTCCACAACCAACACCGCAACCTCACCCACAACCCCAGTCTCAACCACAGCATCATCATCACCATCATCATGCACCCGCTCCATCTCAACCACCGTTAAACCAATATCAGCATTACCCGCAGTACTCACCCGCTCCTCAGCAACAGATACGCCAGCGTATCCAAGTCACCGCAGATTCAAATACGTTCCATAGTCTTACAGTGACGGATATGGTCGATGCCGCTGTGATTAAAGATGCAATCCTTAAAAAGCTTAATCTCGAAGATGGACACTATCTATATTACCATGAAAATGGTCCCATGTTTTACCATGAAAACGGCGAGCAGTTTTGTAAGGGACTTGTGGATGAGTTTAAGCCACATACATCTGTATCAGATATATTAAATGTGTTTGGTGCTGGCTTTCTATAGATGCGCCCTTGCTGGATGACGAGCTTGTAAGTATATGCCGCATGTCAGACGTTCGGTTGAAGGATCAAGTACTTGTTATGCATCCCGATCACATCTCCCCACCCTACGCCAAGGACAGTCGAGGAATATATCCAGACATTCCGAGTAACTATGGCTACATGTCGCATTACCAAAGGTAGAAATCTGTCTTTGATATTATTTTGGATTGAAAGATCACAATGGACCTAATTAGGTAATGGCTGTATACGTATTAGACCTCCAACAACAGCAACTCCAGCTACGGGTTACCAGCATCACCATGTCCATTATCCTCGGCAGGGACAGTCGCTGCGCCATATGGTATCATTTGACCACCAACCTCCACAGCCTAGCTACATGCAGTACGACCGGGCAAGTCCACACAACAGCCCTGAAATGTCCACCTCGCCAAGGCCTGTTGGCGGATTATCACGAGGCACGGACGGTGCAGGGTTCCAAATACCTCCCGAGCTTCCACCTCCTTCAAGCAACACCACACCCGGGGAAGAATACCGTGACGATAGTGGCTACTTTGATCGCAGTTACAAACGTTCTTCTGGCCGAAGCACCTCATCCACAGAATTTAACACCCCACACTTTACCCCCTCGGAAACGTCGACTGGCAAAACTACACCTCTCACGACTGCAGAACTCTGGCACGTGCGTCCACAACAACCGCGACCACAACCATCGTCTTCGACGAGCGAAGCTTCATGTTGGGCTGTACGTCCGAAACGCTCTTTGGACCCGTTACCGGATGGAAGCGAAAAAGGAGGAAGCTATTCGAATGGCTACGATGATCATACAAACGAGTCACGGGCAACGACTGCAAACAATGCTCAGCCTACGTCGCACAACGGATCTTCCGCGGCATACCCGGCGTTGTGGGCTGTACCACCAACTAACAGCAACCAGATTAATAGTAGAATGGATCCCAACTACCAATCATTCGGCCAAAGTGAGCTATGGCCAGTGGATGAAGACACTGAAGATCCACCGACTCGCTCAGATCCTACAACGCCGCGACTTCAGCCGAGTTCTTCGAGCGAAACTATGCGTACAGGCAAGCGATATCTTCATGGACGACATCCTTCTGGAGAAATGTCGACTATTGGTGAGATGAGCGAACACGAAAACGACCACGGCGGCAACAGCAGGTCTCATCTCGGCAACGGCGCTGAAGGCAAGCGCGGAAGGTCTGTACAATTTATCACGGACAAACCATTGCCCACCATGCCTTTCCCTGATGAAGAAGTTGAGCGATTATCACTGCACGATGATCCAGTGGACGACTCTGGGAACCGGCGCAACACCAAACTGCACATCCAGATCCCCAAAACCGAAGAGGAGGCTTATGGTCACTCGCCGAGAACCCCTCGACAGCAGAAAACACCCCTGTCCGCTACCAGTACCTCGCCTGTCGATCACGAAGAGGAAACATGGGGCGAGCGTCCTTCTATTGAAAAGCTGTACCGAGATATCGACAAATACCTGCCCGACCATGATCTTGACAAGGAAATATTCATTGAAGCTCCTCCTGGCGGCGGTAACGCCACTCCTTCACCGGCGCCCCGGCGCTTACAAGGACACAAAAAGTCTGTTCGTGTTGTTGCCAAGGAAGCGCACCGAAACTGGCGACAGGCAATGAATGTCATCCGAGTCAACCATATCCTTCGTCGACGAAGTACCAAGATGTGGGGTCGCAAGGTTGAGCAGGTTAAGCCTGGAATGGCAGTGGACCAGCAAGCCATCCGCGATGCTCATTCAGCAAGTGCCTACGCAGATAAGCCAAGTATGTTTTTTTTTCTATGGAACGAATAAGAAACAGATAGAGCTAACCCACGATCGTTTTTTACCTTTAATCTCTGATAGTACCTACCAAAATGCAATGGATGCGTGGTGAGCTTATTGGCAAAGGTTCATTCGGTCGTGTTTACCACGCTCTAAATGTGGCGGCTGGTGAATGGATTGCTGTCAAGGAAGTGGACTCGCCAATAACCAAATCGGATATGCTGAACGACAAGATGCGTAGCGCAGTAGATGCATTGTACCGTGAAATTTCGCTGTTGCAGGATTTGGATCACGAAAACATTGTTCAGTATCTTGGCTATGATTATGACGAGGAGGAAGGTCACATTCATATCTTTTTGGAATACATCCCCGGTGGCAGTATTTTCAGTGCTCTCAACAAGAACGGACGTTTTGAAGAAGTCTTGGTTCAATTCTTCACTCGACAGATCTTACTCGGTCTTGAGTATCTTCATGACCGTAACATCATGCATCGTGTAAGTAGTTCGTTCTTGAAAATTGTGAGAGGTGCTTTAGGAGTATATCAAGCCTACAGTATTGCTAATCATGTATGTTTGTGGTGTTTGTATGATTATAGGATATCAAGGCTGGTAATATTCTGGTGGATCAAAATGGCGTCTGTAAAATTACAGATTTCGGTCTTTCAAAATTGAGCGGCCAGGAGGAAGCCTATGATCCAAACTCGAATACCTTGATGAAGGGTACCGTTTTCTGGATGGCACCTGAAGTTGTCAAGGGATCTTCCTACAGTGCCAAGATCGATATTTGGAGTTTGGGATGTACTGTGATTGAAATGCTGACGGGAAAGAAACCATGGCTGGACCTTAATATGCTCGCAGCATTATACAGTGTAAGTATATTTTATATTATATTCTTGACATCACCAGAAACACTAAACCTCATTGTTCTTTACAGCTTGGCAAATACCAAGCTCCACCTTTGCCAGAAGATGCCTCAGACGAAGCCAAGGACTTTTTGAACCAATGCTTTGTTATGTGAGTTTGTCTTATGTCGTGTATACTTAGTGGATGCTAGCAGATATACTAAACAACGTCGTTTTCTTACAAGTAATCCTGACGATCGACCTACTGCTGCAGAACTTTTACTCCACCCCTACACACGCCAGAACCCGACGTTTAAATTCAAAGTAAGTTTTCAAAATAACGAGTCAATTCACGAGCTTTCTTTAACAAACCCCTCTTTTTTTAAAACTACAGGATTACATGAAAAACCTTAATGCTAAAAATGGCGCCCTCGAAGAAAACACCTAACACCCTACCCTTCCTTTTACTCTTAATGAACCCTTCATCAACTTACTTACGTAACAAGAATATATTGCATTTTGCTTTTTTCTTTCCATCTCTACCAGTGTGAGGGATAGTGTGTTCTGTGATTCTGCACCTGATCTAACATATACAAACTTTCTCAAAGTAATCAAGGGTACCAATTAATCATATCTAAGGGCTCATTAAGTTTCGAACGTAGCAATAGGCAGCCAGAAAATTGTTTTTGTTTAGTTTTCTTGGCCCGACAGCGACAATCCTCAAATGGATATGAGGGGAGTCAATGCGTACGCCATTTGACTAGGCAGCGGCGGTCTCGGGAGAAAGCTGGTAAATGCAGAAAGGGGTCAACTATGCGGGTGATCCGAAGGCGACTGATCGACTTGTATTTGCTGGCTTGGCTAAGTAATTCGTCGTCCCGTTTTGACCTGATTGTCCGTTTTATAGGGTCTTCTGAAGTGTCGCTTCCATGTATTATCTTAGGTTGTCAGGCTTTACCAATGTTTGTCGCAATCTTTGGACCATAAAAGAGTCAGTTCAATCGAACGAATCATATAGTTCACACAAGTAGTTCGTGGAGACGAACTTCAAACTTGGGTTGAAGTACACGTGCTCTCAGTTGCATTGATGGTGGATCTTCGAGAACCATGGGAACAATCTTCAGAAACTGTGTTCTTGTACTGCGGTTTAACGCCATTTTCATGCAACCCTCTGTGCATTGTGTAGCGTCTCCAATTGCTAACATAACAAAGCTGTAATGGCTAGAAGAGCTGCTTTTGACATGTTGTATCGGGTTTGCCTGTTACAGGGCATGATCGGATTTGTGGCAGCGAGTATGCATGTTTATGCGTAGACGCCGCGGTAGTGTGTCGATGAATGTTGCGTATAGAGAGAACGAAAGATATAACGTTGTAGCACCCCTTTGGCTGGGTATACAAAGGGAGATTGGTCGTTTTTGATGTATGACCGCAATACGCACGTCATCAAACATGTGGCGGATCATATGCATCAGAGTGCTCAGCAGGTTTATCTGCAATGTTGATCATATGCAACAGAGCGCTCGGCAGGCTTTTCTGCAATGTTGATCATATGTTGCCGCGGTCGACCGATAGGCTTCTTTAATATCAAAGAAACGCAAGTACCGGTGGAGGATCGTACAGCCGAGTGTAATGCCTAATACTATATTTAGTGCAAAAGCTTGGCCAAGCTCCAAGGTGATGACGAAATTGTCCTTGCGCTATATTCAGTGCTAGCATCGCCGCGAGAAGTTTGGGCAGTAGGCATCGCTCGAGAATTTCTGGAGCACGCTGGTCAAACTGACAGGTCTATCATTTCCAGCGGCAGTAGGATCACTTTTTTCGTGTATAGGAACGACTTGGGCTGTGCGCCATGTAATAGAGATCCATGAACAGTTCAGCATATGCGGGGAATCTGCGTAGAGTATGCGCAAGTGGTGCTGCTATCGGCTTTAGCTTTGCCACAAAGAAATGGTCATCACCGGGGGCTTTGCGTGGTGGCATTTTGCAATGTCTTCCAGGAAATGGGTCTTCGGTCGGAAATTCAAGTTGGTGACTTAATGCTTTTCGAAATCTTCATATGCTCTGGGAAAGCTTTCAAAGGCTTTTGAAGTCTCCGTGAAGCATCATATTACATTTTCAAACTTCCGACGTCATAGCTATTACTAGCAACAAGGTTTATCTAGAGCTTGAGCGGCCGGTTATGGTTGCGTTCGTCTCCAAAAATTCTTGATAGGTGCGTCACCATCGTTTCTGCGACTTGCTGTGGACCGTTGGGGGAGAAAATTTTTGAAGTACCAGAAGGCAGGAACCCAGAAGCATTAACTTCTCAATGGTTTCCTCAGACAAACGATAGTTGCTGAGCACGCAACATTTAGTGCTGCGGACCAAAGACATGCCAAGACGTCGTCATGTAAACGGTCCAGCAATCTTCTATCCGGCAAGCTCTCAAGTCCCCTTACCAGCAGTACTTAATATTTGACACGCATAATCACACTGTATTCGACAATGACACATATCACTTAACCTTAGCTATACACTACAATGGATTACGTTTTCCATTTGATCTCACGCAGTTGTTACTTTAACCATGAGTAATCCCGTCCCTTTGGAATTTGCGACCTAAAGCTCGGCTCTAATTTCGGTTCTCGGGTCGGCTTTTGAGAAGGTTCGGGTCGGTTCTCTCGTAAACTCTGCTCGGTTTGCTTCTGGAAGAAAACCGACCCATTTCAACTCGTGAGGATTTCAATAATATCACAATGGTGAAGCTGTCTTTGTTGTCTACGTCATTTGAGAAACTCATTGTTGAAAAGTGTACGATAAGTTGTCAGAGTTTTACGATCTTTTTCTGTAAGCAATGGATATAAAAGAGGGATGCCATATCGATATATTTTTCTCCCAGGCTTCCTGCCATAACTACTTTACAACCTCACTTGTCAACGTCAATACCACCAGCTCATCCAACCACCATGCGTATAACGCTTACGATAGCCCTAGTGGCACTACTCGATTTACTTCAACACACCTTTGATGCAACTGCTGCATTCGATCCACAATCAAATTCAAACTTTGTCAACTACTGGTATGTTCTGAACTTGCACTACATTGAAGGGTGGATTATAAATATATATATATATATATATATATACGTCCATTTATGCAATTTCAAGCATGTTTTGTTGTATATAATACTGACTGTCTGCAATGAATGCCATCAGGGGTCAAAATTCAGCGAGCGAAGGCAACACAGAGCCGAATGAATGGCAAAAACCACTCGACTATTACTGCCGCGACGACACTGAAGATGTCCTAGTTATTTCGTTCCTATACCAGTTCGGCAGTAACCCTCCAGCTATAGACCTGTCGGATTCGAGTGACGCCTGCTTGGGAAAATTCCCTGGTAACAAAGACCAAACCTTATATCACCGCTATTATATTATCCTGGTGTCAACTAGAATCTAACATTATATTATCTATTCATAAACATTATGACAGGAACCGAATTATTGGATTGTCCTCAAATGGAACCAGGTAATTGTTTCAAATTGATGATCTGCTTTAGTTGTCGCTTCACTTTCTTTTTACTAATCACAGTGTTCGTTTTATCATGCAGCTATCAAGGCTTGTCAATCCAAGGATAAAATTGTCCTGCTTTCTCTTGGCGGTGCAACTGGAACGTACGGTCTTTCGTCTGAATCAGAAGGTCACGAGCTAGCCGATACCCTATGGAACACCTTTGGCGGCGGCAATGGAGATGTTAGACCCTTTGGAAATGCTTCGGTGGATGGATTCGATTTGGATATTGAAGCCGGAGACATCGCTGGTTACACTGCATTTGTAGAACGCATGCGCGAGCACTATGGTTAGATTATCTCATTGCTGAGTGGGTTTTTTTCTGCTGTCTTGACAACTGACGCTATTACTGCTGTTTAGACTCTGACACTTCCAAGAAGTATTACATATCTTCTGCGCCACAATGCCCTTATCCTGACCACTATATGTCTGATGCTCTCAACAGCGCCTGGTTTGATTTCGTCTGGTACTAAACGTGTATTTTTGATTGACTAAAGTGATCTCCAAGATTTATAAAACGAGAAAAGAAACTAATAAGCTTTAATATATAATCATGTTATACTTATAGGGTCCAGTTCTATAACAATGTACGTTTGCTATTCTTAATTGAAATCATGGATGGAATGAGAATTGCTCATTGTTTTATTATTTATATGTGATGTACTATGTAGGAATGTGGTGTTACAACCGACAAATTCAACTACGATCGATGGGACGAATGGGCACGCAAGGAGGCAATCAACAAAGACGTGAAGCTTTTCATCGGTGTGCCTGCTGCCAGCTATGCTGCTGGACGAGGATACGTTCCATACCAAGACTTGACAGAAGCCATTACCCAAGTTCGCTCCAAATATGATTCATTTGGCGGTGTCATGATGTGGGACGCTTCTGCTGCGTACGCCAATGATGACGTGAGCCCTAGCTACGGTCAAGCGGTTGCCAAGTTCCTCCATGGCAACAACAGTAACTCTACTACTGGTGGAGGAAACTCCACCTTGAGTTTTTTTCCATCATCGTCTCTGCCTAGCACTGATCTATCCCCTACTCCTTCTTCTTCTCCCTTAACCAATGGATCGGCCACAACGACGACAACGGCCACTGAGTCATCTGTGTCTCTGCCTCCGTCAGCCGGATCAACATCAACTAGGTATATTAACTACGTCAATATAACTAACTTACAACAACTTAGATTAATCCGATGTCGCTTTTTTTATTTTTCGTAACAATAACACCAAAACAGTGAACCGTCCCCTACCATTAGTGAAGGTGCAGCATGCTCGGACTCGGATCATACTCGCTGCGCCGGCGAACAGTACGCTCAATGTGTCAATAGCCAATGGATGTACCGCGATTGTCCTCCTGGTTTAGTCTGTAGATCGAGCGACACTGCCTCTGGTGTTATATACTGTGACCTCCCTCAAGAGCAAGAGTTATAACAAAGGCACAGCACAAGCTGAATGGTAGTGGCGCGCACTGCGTCAACTCTCTCCATATTAATATCTTCCCTCTGCTACCTACTCTTATACATACAGAATGTACAAATAACTATCTAGTAATAGCGGAGTCGACTTCCATAGTTTTATTTTTTGAGCTTAATAAGAACATATGCATATAATAAAGATTGATGAATATTACATCGCCATAATGATAATTGCTACTACACTCATGCGTAATGAACGGAATGAACGGAATAAAATGATTTTGACAAAAGCAGAGAAAAAGTTATGAAGAAAATGAAAGAAACATATACTAAAGATGATGGGTGTAAAGACAACAATTGTGGAATCGATTGTACACAAGGAGTATACTCCTTTTTATTTGTTCCTACTATTGTTGTGTTTTTGATGGGACGACCTTGCTTTTCTTTTTCTCTTTTTGGTTCCAGAGGAAGATTGGCGGTTTCGTTTCTTGATCACGTCTGTTTTTAGGCTTAAAGGCCGCACCATGCCATGCAGTTTGAGAAATAATCCACATGCATTGCACAAAGGATGTCCTTGGTCGTCTCGTCTCCATAACGGCGTGTTTGTAGTTTTGCAATTGCTACAAATTGTTACTATATTGGACTCGTCCTTTCTGTTGCTGTGCGATCCTGATGCTGATAAAGTAGGCACTTTCGGAGATCGCCTCTTGGTCGGCGTGGTAGCTTTGGCGGTCGTGATAGGTCGACGACCCGGTGCATGGGCGGTAATAGCATCATTACCAAGTACCCAATCCGGATCGTCGCTGTCATCATCCTGGACTTCAATATCGTCGTTGTGGACTTCGTCGTTATATACGTCGTCTTGGCTAACGCTAACACAATCCCCTGAGGAAAGAGCCGCCTTATAATCTTCCATGTCGTTTTCGTTGTCGTCAATGTGGTCTTCGGGTTGAGCTTCTTCATATGCTTGCTCTGAAGATGATATTAATATGTAGCTTTTGCCGTTATAAAAGTGTTCAGAGTTTTGGTGCTCCACAATGGTTGCGATATCACTGCTAGCGTTGCTGCTAGTAGTGCTAACGCTACTACGAGTCGAAGAACTGCTCCTCAGGACTGTAGTATCAGGTGGTGGTGATGGCGCTGTGTATATTTCTACTGGCTCATCAAATGATAATGATTCCTGCTGTTGCTGCCGTGAAGCTGTCGTATACAATAAAAAGTCGTATGGATTTAACATATCACCATCCAAAAAGCTGCAATACGAGTCATCGTTATATGATGACACGCCATTGAATGACGATGGCGAGGTTGTGGCTGTCGTTGATGAGTATAACATTGATGAATCGGGCATATAGTAATTAGATGTTGATGAGGGTTCTTGTATATCAGCTGATGTTGCTACTCCTGCTGTTGCTGTTGCTGCTGCTGGTGGTACTGTTTCGTCTAGAGGTAAGAAAGCATAATAACTGGGTATATTGTAAAAGAGTGGATCATCCATTGTTGCTCAGAATAGACTGTGAACGAAGACTGAAAGAAAGAAGAGAAAGAAAGAGAAGAAATGAAGGCATACAAGAAAGGAAGAAAAATGAGAAGTATTTAACGCGCTGGCTGCATATGGTGAAATGTGCGCTTCAAATGACGGAACGGCCTGGAACTGCAAGAGATGTTGACTGAATCACACAACCAATGGCAAAAATTTCGTGACGAGCGACTCCCTGGACAAAATTTCTCGTAGTCACACAATATACTGCTCTTTTTTGCCGGTCATGCCGCATCCCGCTTCTTGCCGCACATAGTTGAAGGGAGCTATAGTAGCTTTGTATTATGCCTTACACAAAAGCAATATTTTTGACATGTGTAAGAAAAATGACCAAAATACTTTGACAAGCCCGATGTAAATTATTCCACAGTGGACCCATCATCGTTTCCCTCCTCTCAAGCCAATATATTGTCTCTATACAGTTTAACACACTGTTCCTACTCTTCTCTTTTTTTTTGCAGAGGCATATCTTTTTTTTTTTGGGGAAGAACGCGATCTCGTCGCCGGTTTCCACATTTGTACCCGAGTAATAACTGCATATTGTTTACACAGGATTTCTTGTGCTACAGTACCATAAGGTTAAGGTGCCTTCCATCTCTTCCTCCAAATGACTCGTACGCAGGAGATGGAAAACGCATGTGGTAGGCCTCTGCTTGTATATTATCAAAGGTTTAGTACATGCATTTAGCAAAAGAAATATAGGAGGAGGCTGCGGAGATGGATCTGTGCGCGTCTTTTTCGCCAAAGGACGATCTCGCTCGTTGAAGCGCCGCATCACCTTTCTAGTTACATATACAACCTGTGTAATAGATAAAGGCGGTGTACGTTAGCTGTGTTCGTTAATAGGCTGTGCGTGATGCGATAGTGCGTGTCAGAATAGCTCATTAGCTAATCCAACACACTTACGATACCGACAACTTTTGTTACTTAAAAATGCAGCCAGGAAGATTCATGCGTGAACATGCTTTGGCGATTGCTTGCCGCATGAATGACATACAAAAAGCCAAACAGTATGTGATTCAGCTACTTACTACAGAAGTGGCGGCTTTTGGACAAAGCTACTATATCGTATAATTAGCATGCGGCGGGTCTTCTCAACAACTGATCTTTGGATCTTCTTTACATTGCTGAGTGTTTGCCCCATTATTTTGATGTCTTTAGTGTTTTGGATGCGATAACCTTCTACAATATCGAGCTACAGTAGAAGATAGGACGCGGGACTGTTGAAGCCACTGTTGTCCTTTATTTTTGGTCTTCAAAAAAGCATCAGTAGCCCGCCACATACTGTGAATGTAAGCACTATTACATTTTCTCTTCAATGAACTACAAATAGCCGACAAACATCGAATGAAGTCATCAAAGCATACACCCTAAGGATTCTGTCTATGCTGTATTGAAACATGATTAATTTGCTTCAAATTTGATCTTTTCTGGCCAAACGATTATCAAATTTCTGTAGCTGGTTTAACAAAGAGCGCGCCGCCGTTGTTTGATAGAACATAAAAGGTCGATTGCTTGTATTTTCTATTTTTCTTCTGCATAAGGACACCATTATTCCATAAAAACAAATGTTGAATCAGCAAGAATTGCTCGCTGCAGGCAACCTTGATGAAAACGGATGGAACTCCTACGGACGGTCTATTGAGTCTTCACTCCAACAAACAATGCGAGATCTAAATGTGCGAGATCAGGTTGTTACTGCACGTAAAAATATAGAAAGAAAAGCATCTAAAATACAAGTGGATCGAGGTAAATAGCTCAAGATCATTTCTGTGACTTAATAGGAAACGAAAATAAGAGCAATCGCATTATCGTCATTTACCTGTGAGATGTCGTTTCTATCGATGCTTAATGATGATAATATAGATGAATTAGCAGATACGGTAAGTCTAGATACTTAGAAGAAGTGTTGGTAAGCGACAACGCTTAACATACCTATCAGTCTACTATAGTTGATGACAGAACTCCTTCCACGTCATTATCCTCGTCGTCGTCGTCTGTCCCATCCTTGTCGCGGGCTCAACAAGCTCGTACCAAGAAGCAGTATCCAAAACATCTTCTCGAGTTAAGTCTACATACAAGGTTGAAAAAAAAGTAATATTAGCACTCTAATGGTACCTGCATTTTCCATCAGTAAGGGGCAACATCGGCGATTCATCATATCCAATGGCAAACGCTCGACAATCCGAAAATCGCGTGAAGTAGTCTGTTTTATCTGCAATGACAATGACTCGACTTTCGATTACGAAATTTTCGAGAACATATTTTGGTGTAAGCGTCCCTTTTATTTTGAGAATCTACAATCAAAACTATTAACATCAATCTCAGTGTAAGCTAATACACACACACACATAGGCAAACGCTGTTATGGTTTATAAGTGCTTCGTTGTTGGTGCACAAAAAAACTTAACATAGCCTACTTTACCTAGTTCCTCGTGCTTGTACGAATTCTACCCTCTGTACCATCCGCAGACCTAGAATTACCGTAGCACACACACATCATTTAACTCATCTTGTTCTCTTTTCAAATGCATTTACATATATATTATTCCCTTTGAGTGAAAACTTCTTGTTTTCGTTTCACTGTCTTTGATTTGGTTGTTCGTCAGTAAATGGTGTTTTCGGAGCCTAACACGCTCATAGTATGTCTGACTTCGCTTCACAAGTAGTGGATCAAAAAGGCTTTTGATAAATTGGAATTATTTATACTGCCTCAATTCAATAGGGTGACTCTTAAGCTTAAAGCGTGCTCATGAAAAACTTTATGTAGGAGAGAATCAATAATCCTTCAACAGACGTCTTATTTTTGCTCGGAACAACTAACTGCGCAAGCGGGAGCCGTGCAATGAATAGTCAGAAATATTCTCGCCAAGTAGATTCGCAACCCTTGTGTGTAGGGTCAATCTGCCTAGTTCTTGTTCTAAATCCGTCGGCCCAGTGTGGCACGTGCCTGGTGGTAGTGACCGGACATCCTTCGGTTCGTCCCTTTTTTTTTTCTTTTCCGAACCGGTTGCGCCATTATAAAAAATTAGTTCGCAACAGCATATGTTTAAGCTAAAGTGTTGCCCTGCTGTTGGTGCTACTATACGCTGCAGCATACGTCTACAGGATTTTTTTGCCGCGCGTAATACAAAATCTTAAGCACGGAGAAGAGCCTTAGTTGAATGATCTTTAAAATGTAGCACGTACATATGACACTTTGACCACCATTATGAGCCTTGACTTACTGCTAGCTGTAACGTGATGTTTCTATCTACAGTACCCGCTCGTTAAACCGATCACCTCTGTTTTTCGAGAAAGTGATCGGTTTAACAAATGATCGGTTTAAAGATTGAGGGTCCACTATATGACATACATACTGCTTACCAAGCTGGTATTTTGGGGAAGTGATTGGTTTAACGAAATATCGGTTTAAAGGTGATCGGTTTAACGAGCGGGTACTGTTACTTTCTTTTATCCACGATATACAGTGACATTTGGTAGATAACTTTTTTTGGTAGTTTCAGGTCCATTTGTCATGAATCCACCGACTATCATACGTCAAATTTAGCCGTCTGTACAGTAATTCAGCACCTCGCTGATATATATATCTTCTGTAAAGCACATGTATGATGTATGTCTCTGCTACGCAAAATATGTAATTAGAGAATCTAGAGTTATTTCTCAGCAAACAGCCGACTCCCTTTTTATTTCACATCCGTTAACTTTCAACCTTCAATAACTTGATGAATGGTAAGAATAACATGAAAAAAACTCACATCTACGCATATTTCACTTTCAATGGATATATCTCTATATTATAAGGATGGCCTATCCTTGGCAACTACCAGCGTGTGCATTGAATGGGTGAGTTGATTTTAATGGATTAAGCGTGGAAATCAAGTAATTTAGGATACGTGAGTAAAAGGTCAATCCAGGTGAATGCATTGGATAAATAGATTATGTGCTTCACGTCTTCGTGGGAATTGGTTATTCGTGTAATGCCAAGATGTCCCTGAATAAAGAAATAATCGCGCACGTGTGGTTGTGAGGGAAATAGCAGCATACAACAGCTGCTGAAGTTGGTACGCACCTTTATATATACACCCCATAAAAAGAAAAACCACAGCTCTGTGTTGCCATCCAATGGAACATCTATGTACGTCTACTATACATGTGTATAAACATGTTTACTCCACACTATGTAATTTTGTTTTAGTATTCCTTAACTTTCACAATCTCTTACTTTCAGAAAATCTGTGTGTGCAATTAAGGGGGTCCACTGTCAATAATGGAGTTATTGGAGCAACCAAGTGCTCGTGAAGGTACATAAATATCCACTTGGTGGACAAATCGAGATACTACTCGTCAATCAAAACACACAAAACATGTTTATTGTGCACGTACAGCTATCGATCATGATGGATTGATTTTCTTTAAAGTAGGGAAAGCAGCCAGTAATTTCGAACAAGAGCCTGCAAGCCAAGCATACTGTATTAGGAAGACTGTCCACACTGCATCAACCTCTACTCTACAGCAACCCAAAAAGTTAACTCCATCTGTTCTCTTTACACAGCGAAGCCAAAGATCACAACGCGCACACTACTATGTCGACCATGTAGACCGTGTTGACATATCAAATCATTAATGCAAATGAGTGAGGTCCGATGTCTTGAAATATACGCATATTATGTGCCTCCCACACATCTCTCTTCCTATTTCCCATGTTAACTTTTGCCAAAGAAATAAGTCACTGCCGTCGCTAAGCCATAAACCTTCACTACTTTGTAATTACCAGCTTCTTATATTCTGACATTAGCGAGGTTGTATAAAACATATTCCTGTAACGCTCACACCATCCATCAACTTCATTATACAAATTTTAACATCGCATATGTGAATCAATTCAAATTATCATTGAATGATACTTTACGGCACTGACACATATTCGTATCATCATCCCATTTCTCCAACTGCAATCAAAAAAATTGTGTTGACCGAACAATTTTTATTTAGTGAAGAAAAACTGTTTAAGCCTCAGTGCGGGGAGCACGACGGTTGTCACGGCGAGGACGGTTCTCCTTGGGGGTGAAGGCAGCGACGGGAGCAGTGACCTTAACACCGGAGAGACCAGCAAAGTTGAGGGACTTGAGCAATTCCTAAAGTGGTCATGGAGGGGGTCGTCGTAAAAAAAAAAGATTACGAGCCACAGATATAGATAGGTTAATACATTTTGTGCTGGATTGGATCTTGACACCGAAAAAAAGGGGATTGAATTGGCCATCGAAAGATCCAACCGGCATTTTCAACCAATTTTTAGTTTTTTTCAAAAAAGTGACACTGTACCTCAGTCTCGGGGTCGATCTCGATAGCCGAGGTGTCCAAAGCAGATTGCTCGGGGACAAAGTTGTCACGGCGCTCACGCTCTTCCTCCTGCAACTTGAAGGAAATGCCACGGACGGGACCACGCGAAATGCGCTTCATCAAGTGGGTCGTGAAACCAGCAATCTTGTTGCGGAGACGCTTGGACGAAATGATGGCGACCTCATCGCAGATCTTCTTGTTGGTCTGGAAGTCCAAAGTGAGGCGGGGGTAGTACTTTTCGATCAAGACACGCGAGGCCTTCTTGACAGTCTTAGTGCGGACACGACCCTATTATTGACGAAAACGTGAAATCGGCATCCGTTAATATAATCTACTCATCCGTCTGTTTCGTTCATCCAACCATCCATCCGTTCTTTCTATCCATCCATCCATCTCTTTGTTGAATGAATCGTATCCATCCGCTATTATGATAGCCCGATTGCTTCGATATTTACCATGGTTACTAGAAATGAGTAAAGAGAAAGAGGGAGAAATCGAATTTGCTTGTTGCACCCGAAATCTTATGTTGTCCCCTCTCACCTCTGAGTTTTCCCTGTTTTTTTTAAAAGCCAACTGCCATTTTCAGAAGCCAGCAGCCGAAAGATGCCTTCTTCACATATGGAAGACCAAATTGTCGAATTTATCCACGAATATCAAGGTTAAAAGATATATTTACTCAACGCTCATAGCATTAGTTAAAGCTATATAATAAACTGACAATACATACTCTATATATATATATATATACTTTAGAAATAAACGGTACCCATGTGCAAGTGTATGAACAACCGCCTTCAAGCGTTGAATTTTTACGCAACTGTGTGCACCCAAACAGACCTGCAATCATCAAAAACGCCTTTTCTCACTGGCCTGCATATACCCTATGGACCAACGAATACTTGCGCGAGAAATTGGGTGACTCCATTGTCACGGTAGCGAGTACGTGTATTTTGTACATGGACACTCTTACAGTTCTGTCATTCGACTTTGACTTTTGAGCTAACCTTTTAATTTTGTCGTCAGCAACTCCTAACGGGTAAAAAACAAAAACCCAGAATTACCCCACCCTCTTTTGCTAGCTGACACACTATATATATAACAGTTATGCAGACGCAGTAACATACGATCCCGTCACCGATCGCGAATACTTTGCACTCCCGCATGAACAGTCAATGCCGTTCGGACGGTTTCTCGATATCATTGAAGGCAAAGCGTCGACGCCACACGCCCATTACATTTCATTACAAAACGACAGTCTGCACACGGAATACTTGGCGCTCAAGGACGATATTGAAGAAGAAATTGGCTGGTGTAGTGAAGCACTGGGCAAAAAACCGGATGCTGTGAACTTTTGGATGGGCAATGACAAGAGTATCACCTCGTTGCATAAAGATCCGTACGAGAACTGCTATGCGGTTTTGCGCGGTACAAAGACGTTTGTCCTATTACCACCGTCCGAGTACTATTGTATGCACGAGAAACTTTATCAAAGTGCCATTTATACACCTGATACGACAGCCGGGTCCTATGAACTGAAACCAATGGATCCGCCTATGCAAACACCCTGGATCCCTGTCGATCCATTACACCCAGATTTAGAGCGATATCCACGATTCAAGCATGCTCGGCCTATTACTGTCACTATTGAAAAGGGCGATATGCTATACCTTCCAGGTAAACAAAGTAGACATCATTAGTAAATACGCTTCATATTAACTCGTTAAATCAAGCTCTTTGGTTTCATCAAGTTCTTCAGCACGGAGACGAGGGTGTCATTGCCATCAACGCATGGTATGACATGGACTATAGAAATATATTATATCCAAGTTTCGGTCTGTTCCGTAACCTTTTATTGGAAAATAAAGAGTCAGAAGAAGAAGACGACGACGACGATGTATAAAACCAAAAAGACTCGGCCCAATGGATTTATAATTCAATTCTCTACCGTCGTGGCAGAGAGTTGGCTGCTGTGTACGAGGGAATTCAGTTTATTAAGTGGTGTATGTGTGTGTATATGTGCAGAGATGTGTGTGTGTGTTTGTTATATTAGGAAAGTAATGCGTCCACGCTCATATTGGATGACCTGGATGGCTCTGTGCTTTGAAACAGGCGCATGGATTGCTTGACATAGTCAATGGTCGAATTGGACTTGGGATCCTTGTCGTTGGTGACAGGGGCAACGTGGACCTGTTGCCATGGTGCACGGAGTGGGATGGAGGGATTGGATGGATGCGTTAAAAGAACAGGTTGGTCAGACCGATTATCACTGGGCATGGATGATGATGATGGCTGACTTTGACGCGGTGCAACTGGCCTTTGTTGTGAGTGCTTGTGATGGTGGTGGTGGTGCTGGTGGTGTAGTAACGACGAAGATGAAAATGAAGAAGCTGTCGCTGTTTGGAGTGGGTGTTGTTGCTGCGGCGATGGCTGTAGTGTTGACGATGAGGTAGGAGGTTGTTGTTGTTGTTGTTGTTCATCGCCATCACCACCACCAGATCCATCACTAACGGGCTGTTCGGTATGCTGTTGCTGCTGTGATCGAGCCTGCTGTTGTGTCTGTGCAGGTCTGGATAATAAGCATACGATGTATAGATTTGTAAGCGTCGACGGGGTATATAGATCTGCACCAAGTCCACCGCCTAAATAAAACTGAGTTGTAAGCGGCTCCACGGCACCATCATTGCGCTTGACCCATAAGGTATCGGATACTGTCTGCGAGCCATTGGCAATAGCAGTGAGGGTATCTGGATGCTGGCTAAAGAATTTATCAGAAGTGGTGCGTTCTGTGGGTGGCATGCGCTGATACGCTGGATCCGCCCGCTGTGCTACATGTGTCACATTGTCGAGTAAAACACGATGGAGTCGCGCTAGTGTTTCACTGCTTCTTGGTGCAATGAAGGAAAACAAAGGCCGGTGTGCCAATTCTTGCGGGTAATAGCCCAGCAGCTGCTGCACTTCATCCGAAACGCGCGCGCAACAGATCTCCATGGATAAGAACGCAGTGATGATGGGCGACGTGTACGTTTGCGTCAGGAGGGTCGTGGCTGAAGTGTCGGTAGTCATGGAAAAGGACGATTGTCGCATAGGCGTTGTCATGGCATTTCTCTGTACGCGTTGGCCGTGCTGTCGTAGCTTCGGCCGTCCGCGCTTTTTGTGGTCAACGTCGTAGCATGTTTGCTCTTTGCTGAGTGAAACGCATCGTTTGCAGGGACGATCGGCTAGCAGTTAGAGCATTGTGATAAAGGATGGAGGCGTTGGGGGAAAAGAAGAAAAGAGAAAGAAGGGAATGTGTAAGATAAGCTGGCTGTGGTATTGGTATATCACTCATTGTAACAAGTGGACCCTTACCGTCACAAGCAAGATGTGCTTTGCGGCAATTCACCTAAAAAAGATTTTCATCGTCAGCACGGGGAAAAAAAAAAAGATAGAAAATAGCAAAATTGTTGTCAGTGTCGGATAATACAAACACAGGCTCTCAGGACATGCGTTTTGTTAGCATTTGCAGTCCGAAGAGGTGTAGCGCTTGAAGAAGCAGTTGCATTAGGGGAGGGAGTAAACGGTTGAGGAGCGAGTGCCGCTGATACTGATGATGATGATGATGATGATGATGACGATGGTGGTGCTGCTGATACTGAAGTGGTCGTTGGTGTTATTGTTGTTGTTGCTGTTGCAGGTGCACCAACACCCACAACACCAGTGGCAGGAGTATTGGAGGTGTCTTGCGACAACATGGGATCAAAGCGAAAGAACAAAAGGAAAAAGGGGAAAAAAAAGCACCCTTTTCTTGCAGAGAGGGCTTTCCCTTAATTTCTCGGGGATTTCTTTTTTCGCAGCATTTGACATGTTCTGGCGTTGGCATGCACCGCGGGCCCCGTCAACAAATAAGAACGTGTCTGTTATGCCGGGCATTTTTCAACGAAAAAGTCTCCGGTGGTGGTATTTGCCCCTTTCGGGAGTTCCGGCAGTATAAATCGTGACGATCATCGTCACTTTCACACACACACACACACACACACACATTGGTCGATTTCCTCACTGAGTCAGTTACTATCGCCAGCAATGCAGAAAGCAGAGTAAAAATGATATTATAGAATCATATGGAGTATGTAAGGAGGAGGTAGGTAACATTGTAGACTGATGAGGAAAGAGTATAGTGGATATAAGGTGTGACTAGGCAGTTATGTAAGTAGGTAGTATAGGTGGTAGATAGATAAATAAATTGTTCTCAATCCCTTCGGCTTAAGCGTCGAGGAGCGCCTTCACGTGGTACACGTGCGTTTCTTTTCAGGGTCGCACCAACAGTGGCTGACCTTTGCAGGCCAGGCGCTGCCCCTTCTGCTGCTGCTGCTGCTGCTGATGATGATGATGAATCCGCTGAACTGGGATCCTGGGATAACCAGTCTAGTGAAGGCGGTGGGATAGTGGCGCTATTGATGGTGGCGATAGGTGGAATGGGATGCCTTTTTTCTTGTTGTTGTTGTTGTTGTTGTTGTTGTTGCTGCTGCTGGGTATCGATCACTGCTACAGAAGGAGTGATATGTTCGTTTGAAAGTCGGGTATTAACAGTGAGGCCTCTGTCCTTTGAAGCAGTTTTGAATTTCGGTTGCTGGTCCACCATGTCGTAATAGTTGTTGTTGTTATTGCTTTGATCGAGTATAGGATCATGCTGCTCCTCCTGAGGCGATACATCCTCTTCGTCGACACCATACTCGGGATCAGATTCTGTCGTTGGAGAAGAGTTCGTCCGGGCATACATGGAACTCGACGGTGACGATGGCAGGTCAAAGTCGTATTCTTCTTCATGGAACCCGTACTCAATCACACCCGTAATCGCAGATGCACCGCGAAGATCTTTATCCGCAAACAGTGTTTCACAATTCACAACCAAATCTTCGAGGACACAATCGCTGTACCACTCTCCAGGTGACCGCTGTGCTTGGTTGTGATCCTGGAATATGGCCGGCGTGAACATGAGTGATAAGTTTTGGATCGTCATTTTGTTCTTTTCTACAAAGGATACAATCCTGGATCAAGAAATATTCAAAATTAGATGCTATGTTCTGTAAAAGGAAAAATATCCCAAACTGTACATTGTGTGTGTTTTGTGTTGCCATGATCCAAAGTATAAGGCTTACTTACTTTGCTAAATGTTCAATGAGGAACTTCAGAGTATCGTAATTCGCCGGTGGCAGTTTGAGAATACGCGTCAGTAAGTTCATCAGTCGCAGCTCCTTGTCCGGGATTTCTATAATCATAATTGTGTTCCGCTAAGCTTAAACCATATCATCAAAGGCAAAAAGCTATCTTTTTTTTTTGTGTGTGTAAAAACGGATAATTATATATTTACGAGAATAGGTCACACGGTCACCGAGCTTGAACGGAAACAGCGGTGACGCCAGGTCACGGAGAAAGATTTTCAGTAACGAAGCAACACTGAACACATCTTCCGGAATGCCCTCTTGTCCCAAAACGACTCCTTCCTCGTTACGCTCAAAAGCATGCTTGAGCTTGTCAATGTTGATTTGTTTGCCCGATATCCGATAGATGCCCTCACGCTCTAATCCACCCTGTCGTTCGATGGTTTTAATGCACTTTGTTACAATAAGAGGTGGAGATCGTTGGTGTTGTTGAGCGTATTCCATGAGCGAAGTGCCAAAAATCAAAACTACATAGGCATTATGCACGTTGTTAGGGGTCTATTAACAGAGTGGCGAAAAGCAGAAACAATCCTCTTATCCCCATCCAAGCAGAATACTGGAAAATAACCCTTACATCTGCATTCGCCGACATGATAATTATGATAGTAGATGGGCTCAGGCATAGGATGACGGTTGCGATCCAGCATATCTTGATACAAGGCAGCGTCACGATCGGGATCGAGATTCAAAGCGTGGCGTGTGCTCTGGATCGTTTCATGCACACCATTGAACTTGAAAGCTTCCGAATCCATGATCTGTGTCAGACAATTCTTGACCATGGCTGTCTTTTCTGCTAGTTGCTCTTGTGCTATCTTGATGGCAAAGTCGTTGGCTGCTGCTTGACGTTTACTCAATGCATCCAATTTGCGCACCATTTTGCGGTACTCCTTGTCTAACCCATACAGTTAGGGCCCCATGTTTCGATGGATTTCCCCAAGGGCAGGACCTCCACCACCACCACCCCCCCTCACTTTGAGACCCCACCCTTTCCCTTTCATTTTTTAATAACTGATCCTTTTTTTTTTTGTTTCTGTACCTGCTTCAACCACTTCTACTTTGAGTTTAGCCGTGCGTGCACTTTGCTTGACCGGATCGAGTTGCTGGTTCGTGCCCATACTATGCGAGAGTTTGTTGACAAAGCGCTCGATCCTTCGATGCGGTGTGGTGGGTGTTGTTGGCGTGGGCGGAACGATTTCGGATTGTTGCTGCATTGCGGTCGTGACGATGCTGGGAAATGATGGTTGTCGCGTAGGAAACGACGGTTGACGAGTGGGAATAGGTGGCAATCGAGCACTCTCGTCGTCGTCGACGGTCGCGCTATTTTTAGTTGTTGGCGAGAGACTGCTGTTGCTCGTACTTGTGGTAGTGATAGGGGTCAGTAAGCTGGACGCGCTCGTGGAGCGACTCGAAGACGGTACGATGGGGGATATCGGTGTGCTTGGGATGGCTGCATTGGCGATCCTCTCGATCTCCTGCCATTTTTGTACATATGCATCTCGTGCCTTTTTGCAAGTGAACATATACCCAAACGACACCCGACAAAACGGCAATTGAGTTCACTTTTATCGAAACCCATTTCCCACGCGTCATCATCATCATCATCTGGAACACACATCGTTGAGAAGGACTTACTGCTGGTAATTCGTACATGCGAGTTTGAAGATACTGTGTGTTCATATGGCGCATGTTTTTCCGGTGGATCCGCCTTGTACGATCATGTTGTTCCTGGAATTAATCAAGTTAAAAAAAGCTTCTTTTTTGAATCCCAGTTGAACGGTTTAATATTAATAAAATTCCAGGTAGCACATAATCTTACCTTGAGTTCAGCAAGGGCTTGTAGCTGACCCTTGATGGCCTGTATGTATTGTATTCGTAATGGTCGTTGGTGAACACTCGTGTCGACATGCGCCATGAAACCGTGATACAATGTTGTTGTTTGTTTTGGATCGCGTGGTGGCGATGAGGGTGCACCATTAGCCCCTGAGGCTGAAGACGACGACGACGACGAAGATGGCTTGCCTTGCTGCAATGAGCCGAGAATTCTATCCAAAGAAGTCTGATATCCTTCCTCCAATTCGACACTAGTCAGATCGATGCATGAGTGATCCATGTTGTTATCAGTTATCATTATATATATATATATATGTTTCGAGTATGAGGTTTTACCGTTGCCGTAAATACGTGATGAATCGTCCCAAATCATCGCTCGAATCCTTCATGATCGTATCCACGACTGTTGACTGTGAATAGACCATTTGTTCCAATTGAGGATCATAAGGCGGCCGCTATAGTGATATTCAGAATGAAAAATACACTCAGGTAAGCTTCACTCTATTGTTTTTTTTACAGCCACCTAGAGTCTAGTCATTTCGCGCATTGTCAACAGTGTCTTTCATTTTGTTCTTTTACCGATGACGGGTACACCATCTTGATGGCATTTGTTGCCACGGCAAAGCTTTTGCGTGCATTCTTTTTTTGTTTCTTGTCCTGTTCCATGCCTTGTACGAGTTAGCCAAAACAAAGACAAAAAAGGTAGAAAGAGAAACGGGGGATGTTGAACCCTACAAATTGGGAAGGGTAATGGGGTGAAAAGAAAAAAAAAAAAAAAGAGAGCACAGGTTCAGTGTATTATGTAGGGTGTGTGTGTACATATAAAATATTGATGTTTCAAGGTAATGAAGCTCAACTTGAACTGTGTGTAACCTAACCTACCCAGAAAATGGTAGATCACACTGTTACACCAAATGGGGTTTGATTACTCTTTCTGAGCCAAAAATACACGACTTGAGCGGTTGCTTTGGCTAAACGCTTTTAATTAAAAAGTTTATATAATCTGTGCACTGCTGCTGCTCTTGTGTTTCCTGTTCCTGTTGCTGTTGCTGCTACAGCTACAGCTGAATTAGAAAGACAAGATACACTTCATTTATCAGGTACATCAAATACAGCGAAAATCTCAGAAAAACGAAAAAAAAAAGTCAGCAACGATCGGTGATGATGATCCCTTTACTACTTACCTACTTTTACTTGCACTCTGCAGCTTCATCTCTTTACTACTTGGATAGTTGGCCTAACAGCAATACCTGTCAACGTCAATGCTTGCTTTGGTAGCTCATTTTGGAAGCATGAATAAGAAGCATGCGTACCCTTGCCTTCCATATCATCTATATACAAATAACTCAATGGCACTAAAAAAACCATTTTTTTAACCCGCCGGCAATAATTCTTCCACTTGATAATGCTTTTGGCGCGAGATGAGGTTGACTATGCCAATAGCCTCTGTACCAACTTTTATCATCAAAATTGGAAAATCATTGTTTTTTTAACTAATTTACAGACTATGAATAAATGGTGTCACTGAAATACTAGCTCTTCTCTCCCGAAGTTCAATGGAGTGATCTGGAATCTGCATAGTTGCTCTTGCGCGGATATAGAAACAATTGGACAGACACAGCGCAATTGTTTTTCCTGACCATACCAAAAACGTTGGGGGCGGTATGCTGTCTCTACTACCGAGTCATTCTACTTTTTCCCTTTGGCTTAGGTCATTGTCTTTATCAATAGATAAGAGAACTGCTGTGTTGTAAGCATAAGCAATGGCTCATTGAATCACCTATATAGAAATATGCGCGAGACTACTCTTACTTTATCATTCACCTTGTACTGCTTCTGCATTTCACTGACTTGGCCTCTGCTATCCACGTGATGGGCTCTAAACGCTGTCAGAAAACATCTTCTGCTCCGTTTTTCATTGATTACCATTTATTCGAGCTGTTCCATATCAGTCGGTCGATTGCCTCTATCTTGATTCAGTTAGAACATACAGCTAAAAATAATTGGTGTCTAGAACAAACAACTGGTGCAGAATTTCTTCGACACACTGGGAATCATGATTGATGAGCATAGCCCACATACACCTTGCTGTCCAACCTGATCTCGGTGATTTTTTCAAACATGCGTCTAAAAATAAAGAAACGCGCATCATAAGCGAAGTGCAAAGCTTACAAACTGTACGACTTTATAAATTCAATGGGATTACAACAGAGATGGCAAGAGATACTCTACAAAATGAGCATCCATGTAACATTCGCTCAAGTCTTATTACTGCTGCTTACATACGCGGACGACATTCTAAACCTATAGCATGATAGTGGTGCTTCTCAGTGTGGCAGATTGTTGGATGGCATGGAGACATGCGGTCATCAATACTAATAGTGATGCCATGAATTACACCATACTGTATCATGACACCTACTGCAAACGATGGTTCTATTGACAGCTTGGTGGGTAGGTGCTGTTAGTGAAGTCATATGAAGAATGACGCGGATATGTTTTCACTTGGAAGCATGATAGAACAGGCCAACCTCCCATCATTAGGTTCTTCTTTATCTGAGAGCTAAGCACGACATGAGATTTCTTTTATTCGTCATCCTCGTAATTGATGCGGTCATCCACACATAATAGACACATTTGAGATGTGGAATATAGCTTAACGGTAAAGGTGCCCCTACTAATTTTTGGCTGACTTTTTTTTGGCTATGTCTTTGAACTGATTGACAAGGATTATAAGAGACTTTTCAAGTATCCCACAAAGTGGGTGACTCCTAATGAGATAGCCACTCTATTGAAAGGGTTGACACAACGGATGGATGGATTTATCTAAAGATGATGTTAACGGGGAACCATTGTAGATCGTTTTACTCCCGCCTTCGGTTCATATGTTTCTGTTCCTGCCTCCATCTCACAAAAGCTCCCGCTACCGCTATTGTCCAATGCTAAAAAGCTTTATCTGTCTGCACCTGTCTCTTGAATCTTTCTCACAGAAAAAAAGCTGCTCTTACTCGTTCTCGAGCTTTGAACTTGGATACCATTTATTAGAACGTCTGGTCGCTGACGTTTTGGCAGAAGCACATCAGCGAATGACCGATTTAGGTAAAGGCTGAAACGTAATTGCGTTGACGTTGGTGTTGACAATAGTAGACTGTGGATCAACAACACGGTGAAGAGGAGTAGGATAATGATAAAGAACACTGTGAAATGGAATGGGGCGTTTACCCCGTTCGTGAACAAGCATACAGGCAAACACTGCTGGACAAGCTGTCAGTTTGGAAAAGTTTCAAAGAATTGACGGTATGTACTCATGTAAGAATTGCGTGGATAACTTTTGCCCGAATCTATATTGTTGCTTCAGGTCCTTGACAATAAGTGGCTGGAGTGTCCCGTTACTAATGATGCATCTGCTTAAAGTCAGGACGTACTTTTCTCGGTCATGTCAAAGAGAGCTGACCAGCGATGGCGAGAAATCGCTGGACTGAAACTGTGTTCGACTTACAACTAACAGTATAAACGTGATAGTAGGAGGCGTTTGCATGTACAAAGATCCTACTATTAGCGCATAACGCTTTACTAACACAAGGACAAATGCATCTGTTGCAGACGACAATGCCAATCTGAAAATGGAAACAAACATTTGCACCTGCCATAAGCGGGTTTTGAGCTTTTCTTTTTGACGAGTTATCTTTCTGTTGACATACTTACCGTTGTCGCCCTCCTTTTCTCGCCAATTCTATTCTTTACTGCTGCGGTCACTCAATGCCCCCTTCCAAAGGATTAAAAACGTGGCTACGGCCCAAATCAAAACGAGAACAACAGCCTACTGAAACGCCTCAAGAACAAGAAGAACGCGATCTACAACGTGCGATTGCATTAAGTCAACAGTCATTACAGGAAGAGAATGATCAGCGTGCGCGACTCGAGTTATTAGCCGAGCGCACGCTACATTTTAAACCCATGGAGCTCCATCGACACCATGATCAACTCTCCATCGCCAATGGAGAAGAAAACGATCAGTTTGTGACATTATCGAATCGTGTCACTGTCAAAAAAGAAAAGGCTTCTTCTCCTTCGCCACCCACGCCTTCACGAGAACGACAACGAAGAAAAGATAAACAAAAGCAACAGCAAGGACACGAAGAAAAAGAACGGCCATTATCAACACCACCAGCACCACGTTCTAGACAAGAAGAAGTGGAAGAGGAAATTGTGTTTGATACGGCCGACATTGATGCATGGTTAGCGGAAGACAGCAATAACAACGATTACGACTATGAGTACAATTCAGAAACAGATCCACTTGCGTCTAGTCCTCCTTCGCCTTATTTCCATGATTTTGGAACTGAGAAACTTGATGACAGTCGGACGGTTATTGAACAGTCTGCTGAACAGTCTGCTAAAGAAGAAGAAGAAGAAGAAGACGACGACGATTATGAGGATGAGGATGTGGAACTAGTAAGTCGTGAAAAAAAGGATGGAAGGCAAAAAAGAAGGGCGAATGATTGACATTTCGAGTGGGGTTTGCGTGTTAGGAATTGTCATTATGTCCGTTATGTCGTGAGCCAGTCCCACATGCCATGTTATATCAACATACGCTTGGTTGCTCGGGTGGAGTTGACAATGCTGACGACGCTGCCATCACCAACATGAGCAGTAGCAGTAACAAGCACAGGCGACACATCAGCAGCACGTCTACAACAACAATGCCAACCGAAGCAGAACGAGAGAATTTGAGAAAACATAAAGCATCAAAATCAATGGCTGCAGGTGTCTTGCAGGAACAAAAAAGACACAAAAGGTAAATAAATGCATATTCATGAAAGGAGAGTATGAAACCATGTGTCATAACGTGAAAACATGATGTTAGTTTGAACACAAGCGCCACCTCGGCAAGAAGATCTCACGACCATTATTCACCACATGATGCCGAGTTAGAAGGACAGTTTGACACTGCCGGCTTTGGGGGAAACGTGTCTGGACTCAGTTGGGAATCCCGAGGGCAGGCCCGTTATCGATGATACATCTCATGTATACATACAACGCATATCCGTCTATACCCACTCTACTACGCCAACATTCTTATACATCTTACGACCGTATCATCATCATCATCATCAATTAAAGTAATCATCTCATTGACAAGTATGTATCCCACACCCCAAGAACCTGCGATTGAGCCATCTGACGACGAATAGGTGGTACTGAACGTCTTTAGTTTTTAAAAAACAAACATTATTAAATATTCTAAACAACTCCAATGTGTCACGATCCCTTTTTTTTTTAATCTTCACATATGTACATTGTAAAAACAGGGAAAAGATTGGATGTTTGTGTGCGGGTGTGGGTGTGAGGATTGTGTGTGTGTGGTGTATCGGTTGTGCGGATGGGGTGAAGGGGGGGGGTTCTCTAACAATAAAAAAAGCAAACAAATAAAAAAAAAACTAGATCCCTTTTTTTTTAGAGCTATTAAAAAAATGTAGGGAAGGAATGAAAGGAAGGGAAAGAGTATAAAAAACAGATAAGAATGGCCTGCAATCTGTTATCAAAGGAGAGAGAGAGAGAGCAAAGGTATGTTTCTCTCTCTCTCTCTCTCTAAGTGGACGGAGGAGAAAGACGCGCTGATGGAGGTGCAGAAGAGGCGGGCGTGCTGGAGCCAGTAACAGGGCCACCACCATAAGAAGAACCGGTCGCCGTGGTGATGTTTTGTCCAGCCAGTTTTTTGCCCTTGAGCATGTTTTTTAACGCTCTCAGAGCAAATACTGTCAATCCAATACCCGCCCAATCTTCATCGTGCAGATCCCGCAGATCACCCACCGTCATAATGTCTTGGTTTTGTAACTTTTTGATCCATTCGTGTGCCTTGTCGAGGTTCCGATGCGATGCGCGTGCACAGTCTTGCACAAACACCTCAATGTCGGTGTCATCCGAATATTCTGTTCAACATTAATTTAGGGTGAGTAAAAAAAGTGATCAAGGTGGAAACCAACTGGGGGGGAGGGGGGGCAAAAATCCAAGATACCTTCAAGAATACGTGAAACCAACGCATCACGCGCTGCTGGAGAGTTCGCTTCGAATTGACTCTCCTTTTCCAACTTGTCCACATCCACACTGGGTGGCGCGCTCGCCGTGTGCTCCTCGTAAGGACTTTGTTCCTGCGACGCGTGTGGTTCGGGTGGGTAACTGGCCGTTGGCGTCGATACCGCCGGTGCTGCCTTGACAGTTTCCAGCTCAATCTTGTGACGCTCTTGGAGCTCTCGTAAGTTACGCATGGCCTCGCGGTACCGGTTCTCGGCCGAGCGGGCCAGATTCTCAAAGCTCTCGCACTTGGATTCAATATCACGAGCGTGTTCCGTGGTGCGTTCAAGCTCCATGCGAGTACGTTCCAGCTCATGCTGGATCTCGCTGTCGGGACGTGCATCTGTGTCCCTCCGCCAGATCGAGTGACGCGGATGGATCTCCTTCTCAGTCTCGTTGGTTGGTTTGTCCAGATCGCGTAGTATGCGATTGATCTCCTTGGTGATATGATGCTGATATCGCTCTGGGAGGACCTGCTCTTCAATCATTTCCCGCACAACCTGCTCAGCCGTGTCCGTTTCACCGTTGAAATCGAACTTGACCGACAACTTGTCTAATCCCTTAAACACCACCTGCAGCGTCAAATGCACATGTGTAGGATCGGCTGCGAGTAAGACCACATCGGGCTCGACAGCAAGAAACGTATGCTCGAGGATCTCTTGTGCCGAAAGTCTAGGAACATTTTTAAAAATTGTTCTCGGTCAAGAGCGTGCGAACGTGGCACAATAATCTTCCATCCAGCTTCCCAGAAGCACACACCAACTTAACAGCAAATGACGACGAACAACAAGCTTACCTTGACTCTTCGGGACCCAGACAGTTCTCAATGATGCTAAGCACCTCCGGGTTCTGAATTTGTTGAAGGCATGCCGGCTTGACGCCTGCAGAAACTTTCTTGTAGATTTGGGCGGGGTTTCTGCACTCTCCGTAAGGGTATTCGCCCGTAGCCATCTCCAAAAGACACATGCCGAATGCATAGATATCAACCTTTTCACTGTATCCTAGCTCTTCGTACATTTCGGGGGCCATAAATTCCGGGGTACCGATAATGGTGTATTTTTTGCCCATCTTCATTTCAGCCGTACCCATGTCGCCGATCTTGACTTCACCGTGCGCGCCGTTGATAAAAATGTTGTCGCACTTGATGTCGCGGTGAATGATCGGTGGATTGTAGCCGTGCAAGTAGGCCAGGCCCTTTAAAATCTGTCGCGACCATCGCTTTACAATCTTGTTGTTCGGTAGACTCAACTTGCGTATGTACTCGCGCAGCGTGCCCGAAGTCATCAATTCAGTAATAAAGACAAACTCGTTCTTTTGATACCAGGCGTCGTGGAACGCAATGATGTTCGGGTGTCGCACCGATTTCAGAATATCAATTTCGTGCTCAAGATCTTTGGGTGCCGCCTATAGAGTTACAAAAACATGCATGTTGTGAATAAATAGACCTTTTGTCACTCACTAGCTTTTTTTACCGATGAGGTAATGTCGTATTATTATTATTATTATTACCTGCATCGTGTTCCATGCGACCTCATAGCCCTCTTCTCGATCAATCGCCTTGTACACAACCTTGTAAGCGCCCTTGCCAAGCAGCGTGTTTAAGCGCACATAGCGCTTATTTTCTGAGCTTTCCACAACTTGCTCGGAATCATGCGATTTCGACTGGTCAATGATCTCATTGGTATGTGACATGGACAAGCCTCCATACTGGTCAAGGCCATTTTTGTTGTTTGTCAATACTTGCTGTTGACTGGCATAATAAGACGTAGACGACGCTGATGCTGGTCCAGAGGAAGACGGTGGGTGAGGCGGACCACCACCGGCGTGAGGATCGCGTTCCGAGTCCGGTGACGTGGATGGCGACCACTGATGGTCATTATTCAAAGTTTGAGATAAGGGCGCATAGTAGTTACGAAACCCGTCCGTCTCGTCGTCAAGCGAACCGTCTGATGACAAATTAAAGCTAACGTGCTGCTGTTGCTGCTGCTGCTGCTGCTGCTGCTGCTGTTGCGATGAAAAAGATTCCGACATGGCTACACACAACACTGTTGAACCCCACTTCTGTGCGACTTGAGAGGAGAGATGACAATAGAGTGATTATAAAAAAATATTTTTTTTAAGAGGGCCTTTTTTTGCTTGATTTTACTTGGTGACGAATGCAATGAAGAAAAAGAAAAAAAAAAGAGACAACTGGAGAACCGCCTGACTTGAGAATAGCCAGGCTATTGTGTGGAGTTTGGGAGAACGCCACGAAAAGTGAAGAGCGTTAAATCGACAGGAAGGAGATGTGGGAGAAAGAAGAAGAGAAGGTTGGGTTCCGAGGGGAGAAAAGAGAAAATACGCCTGGGTCTCTTTTTTTTTGAACCCTCTCAGGCGCTCACTCATCGGCTCTCTCTCTCTCTCTCTCTCTCTCTCTTCGCACAGTAGTGGGCTGAATCCCGACCCTCGAAGCCACCAACTTAAACTTTTCAGTCTGAGATTAGCTCATTTTGACCGATTCCATTGGCCTAACGGATGATTTCTGCACAAACTTTTTTTTTCCCCTGATAACTTAACAGGAAATAAAAACTTGGCGTTAGCCCATAAAATTTTAGATCTATTTGGGGCTTTTGACTTTTATTTTTATCACGTTATTGGTAAAAGGCAACGTTATTGATCATCTTGATGATGGTGATATCGATGATAGGTTGACTTTTTCATCAACTACGACCCATCCTTCACCAATGACGCCATCTGCACTCCGATTCACATATTTCTGTCTGTGTACACTTTTACTATTGTCTCGACGACACAAAGAAAGTTCCTCTTCTCTTTTTTTAGCGTTCGCTATATCCAGTAATATGTAGCTAGGATTAATTTTTGAATCATGTGTAGCAAGAAGGGGATTTTGGGGAACAGCACAAGTGATACGTTCTTTGATTGGTAGTGTTTTGGATATGCAATGTTTCTAATTGTTTTTGCGTGAGAAGAACTCAGTGTTGCCGAACTAATATTCTAGATATATATTACGCGGTAAGATGTAGTCTCTTCCTAAGAAGACCCAGCCAAGTGTGGAGAAATGCTTTATAACACAGCAGCCTCAAAACTAAATATGCATTACACTATGCTTAACGTGTATCTGACACTCAGATTGCACTTGGAATAAGTTAATTGAAGATGTGTCACGCAAAAAGCGAAAAGTAGCCGGACATAGTACCATGAAAAAAGCAGCGCACGTTTAAAATAATTCACCTCAATGAAGCCTTTCGCGAAATTCGATTGAATTCGAATGATTATATATCCTAAATGGTTGTTCTTTTTCTGTTTGGAAATTATGATAATCACTAGCAGAGCACTTTTATCACAATCGTCTTTTCTCAGTAGATCCTGCCGTTGTAGACATAAATTAACTACATACTACGGATACACTGTCTTTAGTGAGAACAGTAAAATCAACTGGTGCATACGCTTATGACTTTGCAGTCTCTACGATCAAGAACACGGCATGACGATTTATAAGCAGTATAGCTAATGAAGAATGACTATGTGCGCGTGCAGCAGTCGTTTCTGTCAATTTTATTAACCCATGCACGTACATAGTAGGCGGACAGCAGTAAATCATGCATGAACACAAAAGTACCGAGTACTGTACCATCAGACAAACCTTATTATCATTTGTATGCTTTGCTAGCTATATCAAACCTACCCTATAGATTCATAATAATGCTCATGTTGACGATAACAAAGAAGCATTTACCCAAAGCAGTGAACAGCTGAACACAGGAATAACCGAGCTGCAGATTATTGATATATTATTAGCCCTTCTATATATCGACACAACTTGTTATCATACTTGTGTATTTCATTTATAAATAATCTATGGCGGTCAACATAGTGTTATTGAGCGAAGCCACTGTTATGCATGAAGGCGTATTTACGTCTTTGTACTTTTTAAAAAAAAAAAGGCAAGGGAGCATAAGGGGCCTCACGTGTTTACGTTGCACATGTTCACGTTGATAAAAAAAAAGCTGTCAGTAAGTAAATCACATTACGGAGTGTCCGCCCACCTGGACATCGAATTGTTTGTAAATGTGATACATCAGTGAACAGCATGATGTTTCCGTGACAACCTTTAACGAGATGACGTATTAAAGTATCTTACAAGGTCATTATCTTCTTCTCATGAGCATCACGCTAGGTACATATCATAATACTTTGACTGCAAATACTGTACTGGAAAGCGTCATCTATATGCAACAACCGCTTTAGTTTCCAGGGAGGAGAGAAGAAAGCGTGGATACTCATATATATATCTTTGTCTGATCAAGCCATTGACTTTTAAAGTATCTTTAAGAAAGTTGAGTTTCTTTGCTGTCGAGTGGGGACTTGGATTCCAGTCTAGTGTTTGCCAATCGACAATTCCTGTTGGTCTCGCTCAATCAGCTTGACAGACGAACGCTGATGTTGCCCACTGTGTCAATCACAGAAGGCTATCTACTGTTGAATTTGTTACGATTCTCTATACCCAGTCATTATGCGAAACACTCAGTGAGGGAGAGAGAAAGAGAGAGCAGCATCAGTGGTTGGTGTTCTCTTTTCCTTCCTACATATTGCCCCAAAACAGAGCAACTTACTGCTTGGTCTTACTGATATTTCAAGAAAAGATCTAATACTGATAGTTTTGAATCTTTAGAACCAACGGATCAACATCTGTACAGGATAAAAAGAGTACATGGTGAGGTGCACATTTTTCTGGACCAGTCCCTATCTCGCTAAATATCGCAACTCCCTCCCCCCGCCCCCATAGAAAAGAAAGACGTGGGTCTTCTTAGGTAACACTATATGCATTCAATCCAAATACAAGTTATCAATATCAATGGAACAAGCTCGGAGAAAGACCAATGTAAGTTTGAAGATGTTTCTTTTTTGCTATGCTATCCTACTGATGCTGCAACTTTCTCACAAATTTTATGATGGAGTACTTTCGTTTGTAGGGACTGAAAAATATTGAGTATATGACTGCAATAAACAAGTAACAGATGCGTGGAATACTTTGGTAAGTATGAAGGATATTGAGGGTCATAGCGAAATACACCGTAACCAAAGCGCAAGATGGATTCAGGATTTATAGAGTACTTGTAAGACTTCTACAAGTGCCCTTGTATTCATTTCATATCATGTATAATTCCGGATCAAGCTAATAGAATGGCTCCAAGATAGTATGGGCGTTTAAAAAGGGCATTCAGATTGAATTCAAACGTAAAAAGTATCTTTTTTATTGTTATTGAATCTATGTAGCCGTAATGCCCTTATGTGAAAGAAGCTCAATTCTACGCGTCTTTTGCATATAGAGATCACGCATGTGACTGTAAGCACACTTGAGATTCAGAGAGAGGGAGAGACACTAACTGCATCGATGTAAAGCACCGCATAACAATGATGATCGCTCGTATTTGTCGTCGCACATTGCACATTATGTTACACACCAGAACAAGCGCCAGCTGGTCCTTTTGTTGCTGAAATCCAGATATACCAATAGACCAAGTATAATTTAAAATGGAAAAACCTTATATCACCGGAACAGAAAGAAACCGTATAAGTGAAATGATGAATGTAACCAGCTTAAACTGTCGCTGTCCCTCGTCTATTGTTGTCGTAAGTGTAGCAGGTGGCACCTGTAGAAGATCAAGAAATAAGCGAATTCCTTTTTTCTCTCTCTACCAACACGAGAGCTGCAAGAGGCGTAGCATTTTTTGTTTACTGTAGCCCGGATAGGTTTAAAGCACATTATGTACACCCTCTATATTATCTATGCTTTGCTTTTAAACCTATAAAATCCCAGGTAAACGGTTTTTGAGTCACATTTCCATCAACAATAATGGGTTTATATATTCATGTGATTTATCATCCTTGCCAAACATTGTATCTATAAAATTGCACTTTAGTAGGTATTATGATCTCTGATATTTTTGGTGGTGACGGATACGATGGTTTCGATAAGATAAAAGTGAAAAATGAGATGAAATGAAAAAAAGTCCTTCGTTGTTTGGCACTACTATCATTTGGAGCAATTGGCAATTGGTAGGAGGGGGTACTACTACCGATTGGCAAAGGTCCGATGCACAACTGCACAAACTATTTGGCACCAGCTCTGTATGCTTTTCCAGATCTTCAACGATCGAAAAAAAAAATAAAAAAGGTAAATCCCGTCATTGCATTGGAGGTGTTGAAACAGAATGACTCAGGTACAACCCCCATACACAAAACCAGAAAACACTGTCATTCAGGTCAATGAGGGTTGACCAAATCGTAGGCTCCATGGCAACGTGGTAGTCATGAGTTACCATTGTTGTCATAGTGAACAACTCCAAAGTAGGGTTCGCTGGAAAGCGAACGACACGGATTCAGATCGGAAAAGAGCATCCGATACGATAAGAAACGTGAGAATTCTTTAATGCCTGATTATACATAGGTGAGAATAATGACGACGACAAAGACGACGACGACGGTTTATATCTGTAGCACTATCTGCCCGCTTATAACCAATAGCGATCAAAGATCTCTCTTCTTGAATCACATTGGCTATTTTTTTTTATCTGCGTCACTGTTTCACAATCTGCCCGTTTCACCAGTACGTGGTATAATGCACGCTTCCTCACTTACACTTTGGAAAACACCGTGATCCCCTTTTTCGTTTTCGTTGTGGGAAAAAAGAACCAGCACACATGCGTAGCGCTACTACGACCAGGACTATACCAATACCCGGGTTACTCTTCGACAACCCAATTGTGGCGTTTAAATGTCTATACTATCCGCTGCAGGGGGGGGCGGGGCGGGAAGGGAAAAGAGAAAAGAACCTGCACCGGATACATGTATATATGCTTCCTGCAACAAGTACCCTTTACTACAGCACGTCATTTGCCTTTATGTCTTGGTTGTGACATCCACAGCGTAAAAGAATATGAAGAAAACAGGTAAGGTTCTTCTGCTGCTGTTGCTGAAAATTATTGATAACAGGTTTGGAACGGGCGAATTAGAATCCATAGAAGGATGATACGAAAGAATAGCGAAACAAATTTGGAAAGTGTGATAGCAAAAATGTGCCATGTGACCCCCCGTTTTTTTTTTTTTGGGTGTGCGCGTGTGTGCTGCTGCTGTTGCTGCTGTTGCTGCCTGGTGATGGTGTTTGATGTTGCTGATGCTTCCCCGCAGCCAGTAATTTCAGGTATATATACAAAACCATTATAAGCTTGTTTCGCCTCTTTCTTCTTCTTCTTCTTCTTCTGTATTCTTTTTGATTTTGACTCTGTCCTCCTTTCCCTCCCTCTTTGAAAACTCATACTACGAAATGTCGGTAATATCTATCGACATCCAGCCTGAGAGCGATTCAGTCCACCTGTTTAAGGGTGAAAACATGATCCCCAACGAAACGGTTACGCTCAAGGGCCATGTTCAACTCACCTTATTACGGCCTATCCAAATCCGCCAAATCACCATCCAGCTCAAGGGCACTGTACGCAACATTATATCCAACGACATATTACGAAGTACCGAGCCACTGTTCGACGAAAACGACACACACTTGTGGCCTGTGGCCGTGTTACAGAGTAATAGTAACATACCTCTTGTTGATCGCGTGACCCGTCGTGCGTTAAATGCAGCCATGGGCTATACTAGCGCTAGCCAGACAATTGTTCGCGAACAGACCCATTTATTCAATGCCCAGAGCAACTCTACTACGTCGTCGTCGTCTTCAAAAAAATCAGCACCGATAATAGCATTACCAGCTGGGGTAACACGATATCCATTTGAGTTGACTATACCCAATGCCGACCAGTTACCTCCCTCCATACTACTGCCACGCCATTCGATCAGTTACGAGCTCTCGGCAAAGCTGCGCCTTTCTTCATTTCGGGAAATTGCCAAGATGACTTATTGGAACGCCCGGTCCAGTGCCTCGCTTAGCTTCCTGACGAGCAGTGCTAGCACCAGTACTTCCAACAATAAACGAAGGCGACGGTTCAGCCGATCATCTTCATCGTCGGTCTCCACACGAGATTCATCAGCAGAAGCAGCAACTACTTCTCCAGCACCGCCACGGATATTACAAGAACAGCAAGATCAGCAACTAGAAGCACAACAACAGCAACTTGTATTTTCCAAGCAGAAGCAAAAAATGCTACGCACTATCAAGCCGATCCACGTGTTCTGCCACGGCCACGGCAGCTTGCAGATCCTCGAATACCAACAACGGATACGGTACCGCGGATCCCGGGAACGCCACCTACGATACGAAGTTTCCATGGCAAAATATTTGTGTTTACAAAAGAAAAAATTCGATCTTGTGTGTCATTTTTTCCCTCTGCGTGACGAGGCTGCCATTGCTTCCATTGAAGCCCACGTGGAACAAACAGAAAAGTATCCGTACGTCTTTATTTTTTTCGGGCTTATTGCTTAGTGATGGTGTCCGTAATTGCCATCACTGTTATACATCTTTATTGGCGCAGCCATATTTTTTTTTTAAGGAGGTGAAGCTCACAATACTCATATTATGGCAAACAGGTTACGTGCTGGCCGAATCCGGGAATTTGACCCAATGCCGCCTGAAATACTTATTTCCAAATCTTCACGACCGATATGTAAGTTTACCACAGGGACAAAAAATTAATAAGGGGGGGGGGTAGGAAAGGGAGTGAGGCAAAGCACGGCCTACTACTGCCATTTGTTATTTCCACTCCTTGTTTTTCCACTTTGTTCTGCGCCAAGACCTTACATGATCTGACGAGTAACTGACTGAAAACGTTGTTTGTATCACACTAGCCATGAAACGTGTTGTTGATCCAGAACAAGATGACCTTGGCAACCTCCCACTGTCGATTCCAATTGATTCTCTCCATGTCGCTCAAGACGTCGATACCCTCTCATTGAAAATTACACACAAAATCCGTGTTATTGTTCACTTTCGGAACCCCGAAGTGCGCAAAATGTCACTCAGCTTCCCTATTGTCATCGGGACCGTACCTGTCAACCACGGAAACGCTACTATGCCGACAACGACAACCCTTGTAGCACAGGAACATCCGGCTGATTGGGATTATGGCTACTACTATAACGATGACGACGACGATGACTGGATAGACATTGTCGGCGCAGATCAAACTCAGCGGTCGAGCGATTATCATAATAGCAATGACACTAGCAACAACCGTTTGCCCGAGAAATTGCCTACGTATTACGACGTGCTTCATGAAGGGGCCCCGCCTGCTGCGTTTATTGACGATGACCTGTCCCAGCACCCGTCTCTGCTTGTATGAAGGAAAAAAACAAGATCGCTCTGGTAGAAAGGAAAAAAAAGGGTGTTTCGAAGCCCTACGAGTGGCGATGGAAGGATCGACATGTCGCAGCTTCATTTAACTACATAACATGCGGGAAAAGGAAAAAGGACGGTAGCGCATATCATATCATATCTTATTATTAGCAGGCTAAATTTTTTTCGTCGACCCATCTTTGTACCAACATATGTTGTATATATCTAAGTTTATTTCTTCTGCTGAGGGGGCTCTGTGGGCTGGAGGTTACTATACCGGACGACGAAGAGCGCAGACATTTACATACATACTCACATACTCACATACTCAAGGCACGCGCACGAGCTTCCAGGCAAAAAGCGGACCTTTTTGGTCTCTATTTATCGGCTAGTTTTTATATACCATCGAAACCCCGCAATGCCTTCTCATACCATGGCCAGTAGTAATCGCCCCTGTAAATTATTTTGGAACCTGGTCCTGTCACACACCAGATCATCCAGTTGGCTGGATTTGCTATTCATTTTAAAATATATTAAACGCGGGACCGAAATTCGCTGCTATTTTATCTATTATTATACTCCCATATCATCCATTTTCTTTTGTACTTTTTTCTTTTTTTCTGCTTCTCGTTCTTTTTATTTTCTGTATTCTAGTCCATCTTGTTTCAGATATAATGGGTGCCAGTCAGTCCAAGCGAAAAAACAGCCCTCACCTTCATCCACCGCCAAGAGATCTACATCTGAGCAACAGCAACAGTAGCAGTGAAAGTAGCAACAATAGTGTCAAATACCGTCATCATTCTGCAGAGCCACCATCGCCCACCCGCCAACGGTCAGCATCTTCATCACACAGTCGACCTACTTACAGTGCAGCGTCCCAACGAGCTGTCAGTTATGGATCCATGCGACCACAACATCCTTATCCACATCAGAGCACCGTAGCGCCATCAATACCAACAGCAACAGCACCTCCACCCTTAGCCAGTCAGCGAAGACGCACAATGCCGGGACTTGTCAGGCGGCCTGATGATTACGCATTACATACCGATAGTTTCTACCTTCCTCAAGACTGGGATGCAGAAGACCGCTTCTTTGCAGTAAGCATATTTTCCACTATTCCTATAAAAGACATACCATGTACTGCTTCTCTAACTATCTATCTCCTTTCTGATTGTGTGGACAGGCTCACCTCGCTCTGAAGCGGATATTTGGCGAGTATGTGTGATCATTCGAGAAAAAAAAGAAAAAGATAGGGTGGCACTCTATTTAATCGCAAACTGTCGTCATAGGCTGACCCATCACTCTATTTCTTCTTGTTACAGGAACGTGGCACCCAGTGTGCAACCCAAACTCAAGCCAGGAGCGCGAGTAGCTGAGATCGGCTGTGGAAATGGCCCTTGGATCATGGTATGACAACTGAAGGGTGTACGCTGTGAGGGAAAGAGAGCTTGGGCGCGGAGGAAAGGAAAAACAAATCTTATGCATAATCTTGGCTCTCCTTCTGTCGTCGATTGGATGGGCATCTGAGTGGCATTACAATTGTCGCGGGCGGGGATAATATGAATATTTTATGTTTCCGCGTGGTGGCGGCCTTCAATCGTGCGTACTACCCACATTCTATAAAATATACACTCACACAAAGCACAAAACCATACGCACTTAATGTAGGACATGGCAGCACAATATCCAGAATGTCAATATTTTGGTATTGACACGCCTGCTGATCTTTCTCCGTCGCCCCAATTGATGATGCTCACCAATATTCGGTTCCATGCGGTGGAGCTAAACAAAGGCACCCTTCCCTTCCCCGCAAATAGCTTTGATGTGATCTATGGTCGAGCCCTGGGTTTTCGGTTCGGGGTCTCCTGCTGGGCACAATTGTTACGCGAGATGCGCCGTATTCTTAAGCCCGGTGGCGTTATCTACTTTCACGAAGCCCATTTCCAACCACAAGGTTCTGTCATGATCGACTCATTTGCTGAAACACGTCAGTCTTTTTACTACTCGCTCTCTTTATTCCAGTGGATATATACAAAAAAAAATTAATCACCTGAGTTAATCTTATATATATATCTATGCTCATAGTAAAAAAGATCGCGGATGGTGTTGACAAGGATCTAGATTTGGCACCTAAAATACCCCAGGTGTTGGATAACGAAGGCATCCAGGTTTTAGATCATCGAGAAGTATCGATTGATTTGGGTAATGACTGCTCTGTGTTTATTGGATAATATCAAGTCTTACCCACTCACCGAAAATCCTCTATTACATAACCATCCTCATAGACCGGAACGATAAAATAAGTGAGGAAATGATGGCAATACTTTTACGAGCATTCGATCTAGTGGCACCTTACTTTGCACCGCTCATGGGATTAGATGAGGATGAATACGAACAACGAGTGGAAATGTTTTGTGCACAATGTGTAAAACACCATACCAGACTCGACTGGCACTCGTATGTATGCGTGCCTGCGTCCTTTATGTTATCCAACTCATAATTGCACAGCCCGTAGTAATACCCCACAGTTTTTTGTTGTATTTAAAGCCAAGTTCTTCCTCCTTTCTTGTTAGTTTTCTACATGCACACACAGACGCACACCTTTCTTCATTGCACATCCACTCATATAGCACAGCACAGCCTTTCCTTACCTTATATATATCTTATAATATAATCACCTGCATCCCTGTATTATTATTCCTAGTATCTTTTTTTAACAAACTTCTTATAATACTTCTAGTACAAGAATGGAAAGTATAAACAAGATATTTATCGCTCGATGACGAATTTAATGATTTCCTAAATTATCTTTTTATCATATCGGTAAAAGTGCAACAACCTACTATGCATATTACGCGTGGCTTTCGTAAGAGAAGTTAGCCGTTTATTCTTTCAAAAGTAGGATCTATTTTTGTATAATCTATGATATTTCTTCGTAAGCTCTCATTATCATAGATTTTTAGAGCGATTTAATAATATTACAATCTTTCAAATATATATATTTACGTGTATAAACTATGGTTTTAGTAAAGCAAACGATAAGTATATAAATTTTAGCCATTAGTGGATTTAATGTGACATAACTATTTATCGTACAAACATTTTCCTGGGATTACTGTCGTTTTATTGAATGAAAACCAACTGCCGCTCGCTACTACAGTACTACATTACAAAATCAGACAAAGTGCTCATTGTTGGCTAGTCTTTGTGTTTATTTTTACTCTTTTGCATAGTATTGACACCACATTAACTGTAACACGGAACTTGAGCAGTAATAGGATCAAAGCGTACGCAATGAAAGAAGCAAGTCCAACGAAATACATGAGTTCCTTATGCTTTGAATGCATTTGGGATTTTGATTATGAGAAGCAATGTGGTAGCCAACTTACTGACAGCTACTAATAGGCCCTATAATTTATGAAAGGAATGAAGAAGTTTATACGAGTTTGAAAACTCTAATGACAAAAAGATTGCTTTATATTGACGGGTTTTATTGCTGTGTATATCAAAGTATAACCATTGCTCCTAATAGCTCTTAATACAAATGGATTGACACCATTTAATTCTTTTTTTTTAGGATTGTGCGCGGACGAAAAGGTACGCCGTTACCCTGTGGATTGGCCCGTACTTGATTTTTTTTCTTTGTTCTTCTTGGCTTCATGTATGCATGAACGCAACGTGTTGTAGTTGAGCTAAGCTAAGGAATATAGGGAATGGTGTTGCTTAACGTTGAGCGCCGCTTTCGCGCTTTCCCGGGTAGTGGGGAGGGACGCTGCTGACGAGGTTTCCTGGGTGTGTTCCTGGCATAGTGACGGATATATTTCTGCTGTGTTTATGGATAGAGAAGCTGGTTGTGGAAAGGTCTTTGGGGAGATTGGATGAAATTTTCAGTAAAGAGTCATGGAGGGTATTTATATCTTTTAGCTCAATTGTAGTCAATAAGGGTCCTTGAAATTTTGATCGCTCTTTATTAACTTTCCTTACTCCATTTTCAATGGTGCATTATCTTGATGACAGTCATTATGTAAGCTCTTTTCATGCAACATAATTAGCTTCGTTCGCTAATAATACAAGATAACAACAAGTATAGATCTTATAGAGGAAAGTCGGCCAATAGCTCTTTTAAGAGACCATTAGTGAAATATACTGTTGTCAAAATGGCTTTTAAGATTCGTTGCTCATACTAAATGTCTGATAAAATTAGCATCTTCCCGTTATATACTACTGTTACAAACAATGACCTTTTTTTTAATGCTGTCGCTGTCATCAGGAACAAATTCAGTTACGAGTGATATATGCGGACGATAGTAAACGGGAACACTGATCATATATAAAAACATGTACATTTCTCTTTGTTTGCTGCATTGTACAGTATGTGAGGATAAAAAGAAAGTTCCTCGCTGTTAATTACAGACACTCATTGTAAGCAATGATGCTGATGAAATCTCGCATTGTTCGGAGAAAGATACACAGCACTACAGCGTATTTTCTTGGCAACAATGACGACTGAAAATTGCGGATGCCATTTGTCGTCAGCTAGCAAATCGGTACTTGAGTCTTTCAATGTCTTGGTATTCATATAGCAAAGGGTCCTACTGTATATAAGAGAGTTAATAAAAAATTTCTACTCGAGAACAAACTTGCGTAGAAGTTCATAATCTCATAAGTGGTCGATACAAATTTTTTTAATAGTCTAAGGTAAGTTGCGGCTTTTCTTTGTTTCGTGTTTCCTTGTTGGGGGAAAAAACTATGTGCACTGATAGCCATCAATCATAAAAGCACACGCATGCATAACCAATGAATCGCATGTGTTGATGCCATCCTCCGAAATCCACCCCAACAATGCAATATTCTCAAACATACAAGAGAAGATTATAGAAATTTCACGTAGCATACTTTATACATATGGTAAGGTCAGCATTATGCAACAAATGCAGTTTAGTAAAACAGAAAGTTTTAGCAAGCCTTTTTTTTTTATTCTTGAAAACTGTAAAGCATTCTTCTTGTTGTAGCATGCAAGCTGTTACTGCACTCCCAAGTCGCTGACAAAAACTTTGTCAGAAGGCGAGAAATGTTGCAGCAGATCCAATGGCGATGATGAAAGCAACAAATATAAGAGCTTCTATGAAGCAGAAATAAAACCACGACCACGCCCTTGAATAGCCAGCACCGGATCGCGAGGATGGATGGTGTATGACAGGAGGATTACTTGGGCAGCACATAATTCGGAAAAGTTAACGAAAAAGAAAAATGACAAATCAGAAATAGCGGACGCAAAGGAAACAAAAGGCTTTTGTTGTTGATGCTTGTTTTTTTGAGTGGGGAAGGGTGTATATGGTGCAGTGCTGCCACCAGATGCCTCAACTAATTATATTCTGTTGTCAGTACGGGTTGAATCCTCGTGGGTGTATCAGTAATTTCACAGCACATATTGCTCCATTGTTGCGAACATGTATTTCATCACAAGATACCCGTGCAACGGCTACACTGTTTCTGTTGAGTAAAAAGTTTTTAAGGGCAAGATTTATTGATTTGTACAGTATGTAGAAATGAAACATATGTGAGGAAGACAGTGTATTATAATTTTTAGCTCGTTATACATTGGAGATAGGTGCGTTTCTTTTGAGTGTTCATGTCGGCTCTCCCGCCAGTAGATTCGCAGCAGCACCGATAGCCAGTATAAAGACAGCAAAGATGAATGCTTCCAAGAAACGGTAGCGGGTTGGATATGGTTTGCTTGGATTGTTACTAGGAGCACAGCACATGTCGATGACGGTAGTTTTGGTGTCGATTAAAGGGGAAGCTGATGTAATAGCAGCAAAAGGTACTGATAGTTTGTAAGAGCAGAGGAAAGAAAGATTGTAAGTTGTTTCCCAGGCAGGTTTTTTCTCCGAATGGCAGTCTATTTATATACAACTGTGCATTAATGTTGTAGTTAGCTTGTAATAAAAATCCATTGTCCTGTGGTAATTGTATCTTCTTTACTTCATTACCTACTGTACTTTGTATCCGTATTTACTGCTATGCATAGCATCAATGACCGCGATAATGTCGTCAGTAGCAGGTAGATGTTCTAAGGACCAAATGCTCGCTCGCAACCGATATAGAGTACTATGACTTGCTTCGACCAAGGATTTTAATGACTTTTGTTTTCAGCATAAATAGTGTATCATATGATAACCTGTTGCATTCTTTTTCACTTTGAATGAAGAGTATTTACATACATTTCTCGCTTGAAAACGAGACTTTGTATCCGTTTATATTGGCAATACCATAAAAACTAATGTAGCTATTTCTGCTAAAAGTATATGGCTTATCCAAAGTAAACCCGTCTGCCGTCTTTAGCTCCTAGGGCCACTCCACTTAAATGCTTCGTTATTTGTAGAAATCACTGTTTCCTATGACTGGATATCTCAACATAACATCATGCACATTTTATTTTGTAATTTATACGCCAAGGTAATGCTGTCAGAGACAGCCAACGGCAAACGCGTAACACTATGATCCGGTGTCCCAAACGGCTCTCGGCCAAATCTTTAAAAGCTAATAACATCATATCCATCGATTATTTCTATCGTGAACATACCCGCCAGCTCGTTTTTGGTTTCCTGATGCTAGATGTAGCTCATAACAGCGAGGAAGCGCCAGCGGGGAATATAAAAACAAGTGTTCCGTGTAACTCTATTTTAGACACTTCCTGCTTTGTAATCTCTTGAAGTAGGCGCTCCGTACAACTAAAGTTAAAACACCTGATAGTAGACTTCTGCTTTCTTTTTTATCGAAGCGTTGCATACAACTTTAACTTGAGTTTTTCGTAATGAACTTCTACCTCGAATATATAATTCAAGCATTGTTGTATCCGGAGAATCAGGACATCAATCAGGTTCCGCAATGACAATTTCTCTATCATAAGTTCAACATTTATACATACACAGAAATACATGAAAAAGGGTTTTTTTTAACTCGCCCATTCGCCTCACTTAGACTAGATCCAAGGCCAACTTCGGGACCAAACGCGAAACAGAAGGCAATGATAACGCCGGAAGAGCTTCGAACTCGTAAAGATCCCCTTGGTAACTGCTGGAACGTACCAAGGAACGGTACGCTAATACAATAAATTGATAGCTTTTTTTAAATTATTAATTTGGTTGATTTGACTTGATGGAAGTGATGTATGGGCGAATGGGCTTGATCATGAAAGTGCATGGCAATGAACATTGATCTTGTTCCAACTGAACTGACCAAAATTTCGGGGTACACGTGGTTTTACAGAAATATCATCATTGAACCGAGAAAATATGGAAATAAGGAGATATGATTGCATTTTTTGAAAAGGGTACTAGTGATAGTAATAGTATTAACAACAGTACAGCATTGCTATCATCTTTAATGGCTTATTATTCATTATCTATGACGTATATACACCATCAAACGCTCCTTTTTTCCACGCTCCAGCAAATATCTTTTATTCTTGCAATACCACTTTGCTGATGCCGATATTCTTCATCTTCTCCAAACAGACACACACGGACACAGCAACACGCCTTTATTTCATCATTTGCGGCTTATCCTCCCTTTTTTTTGGTGCTTTTTATACCCCTTACCCCAACTTCCCTTGATCAACAGAACAATTAAAACAATGTAAGCAACTAGTTTAATTCGCTATTGTTGCAGAGAAAGATCTGTCATTCTCTGTTGTCGGGTTTTTTGCTAGAATCTACTACCGCTATAGATCGGGTACATGTTCAACAAATAGAGGTATGTTTTGTTTTGCGGTATGATAGAACATGTAGCTATAACACAAAAAAAGTTACTACAAATATTTCAAAGAAAAAGACACGTATAAAGAGGAAATACAAGCTGGAGACTATATAAAAAAACAGTCAACTAGTTTATGTCGGTTTATTCGTCCTGTTTCTTGCTGTCACTATCATAGCATTGCCATCACTACTTTTTTCCGCTTCTTGGAGTGTCGACGACGAAGTTATGATACTTCTTTTTCATCCTTTCTTGTTCTTCTTCTTCCGTGGAAATATTGTCACTTCTGATTTCTCCCACTCCATCTTCTTGTATACGTCGCTAAGAAAAAACAAGATCATCCAAACTGTTGATAAAAAGCCATGTAGTCTCACCAGAAACTCTTGCTCTTCTTGTGACCCTTAAAGAAAATATTACTCAAAATGTTATAGATTACAAACTTGAGCTAGATGGTATTCGGCCTGTCGGCTTTCGAGAGCGACCAGTGCTCGATGTATTTCCTGTACATTTGGGTAACGGATACACGCAGTATAGTTAGAATGAAAAAGTATGGTGACTTTGGTATCTTTATTCCTGTCTGCTGAAAAACAACTCATCGCCACTCAGCACCCTCCACCAGTAGCAGCCATTGACTGAAACACTCACAGATACTGCAATCGCTTCTGGTAAAAAAATGCTTACCTGGCGTTGGTCAATGAGCGTGCTCCGCAGGTCCCAAAACAATTCATCAATGTGCACTCGCTGTTTGCGGAGAGTTTCAATAATTACTTTAAGCTATCAGTAATAAAAAGAAGGGACAATGACGAGTACTCGAGTTAACTCTAGCCATACACTGATATACTGTTTATCCCAAACGATTTCTCTTCATCATAAAAACCAAAAGCCGGTGAAATAAGGGGAGCTCCTTTTTTTACCTCTTCCGTTCTTCTTAATGGTTCAATTCCTTCTATTGTTTTATTTTGAACACCAGTCGCTGAAGACGGTCCACCTGCTCCTGATGACGGCTCAGAAGCTGCTGCTGATGTTAAAATACCGGTATTAGGCGCAGTAGAGGAGGTCGCGGGAACGAACAATGGCATCGTTGTTTTTATTGTTTCTGTTGTGCGTTGAAAAAGGGTGACATGGAATACGGCGCGAAAGAGGATGTACAAGATAAAATAAAAAGCCAGAATGATGAACAGGGTTTGAAACCAATGTTCGTGTTCTTGCACCTGGCGCTCCGTCCACATCGTAGAATTGGAGGAGAGGCTGGGTGGAGTGAGAGGGTAGAGTTTACTTTTCAAGCTGTTGACCTGAACAACGGATCTCTTTATACAGTCTTCTTCCTATGTGAAATTGCTCGAAAACAAGTACGTAAATCATGCCGCTCGTTCATGTTGTGGCGCTCCCAAAATAGAAAGTTGTTAGTATCTTTTCACTCATTGTTCCTCTACTTCCCTGCGACCTGTTTTTTCGACCGCTATTGTCAGTGAGCAAAGAATCCAAAAAACTTGATGATAACGAGACTGGGGTGAGAAGCAAGGTCATTGTCAATAAGTAATTGATGGACGGTAGCCCAGCAGTATTAGGGGTCAGTGACAGCCCTATTGTTGCTGGAGTGACAAAGTACATAACATTACATTTCTACAGTGCAATGACATATTCCTTCAAGTATTTTGAAAGTTAGTCTATTTTTATCCCCCAAAAAATTGTCACAATCACATTTGGGTTTTTCCAGACAAAGTCAAAAGTGTGAATAGATTTATATTGTATTTATATATATGAAGAAAGGAGAAAAAAAAATTGATTTCAGCTCTTTCTGTTTATGTTATACTGTATGCATGTAATGTCACGGATTGACCCGTACAGTAGTGCACTCTGGTAGGGAACATTATCGGACTCGGCGAAAGAGAATTATCTATCTGATCGCTGGATAATACCAGTCGGAGAACTTTCCATTAAGGATCCAACGAGCGAGAAAGCAGATTCTATGTGAAACTGGACTATGGAGTTGGGAAACTACGACGACGGCGACGACACTAAGAAAAAATAATATTGGATATGCAAGCGTCTAGTAAGCGTCCCTGCGAAAGCAAAGTAAGTGTCCAATTTTTTTGCAAACAATAATACGTATAGCAGCAGAAAAAGCTAATGATTGCCTGGTATATCTGTTTTAATCCGATGACATCAGTGCGACATCACGTTTCGATTGCATTAGCGTGAATTTCTGCTCCAGAAAAATATAGCTAATAACTTCCTCGGGCAATTTCTGTATTTCTTTCTCTCCATTGCCGCTTTTCTTCTTCTTTTCTTTTCTCTTCTACTTTTCTATTCTGTCTTCTCTCATTGAAGGAAAAACGTAATGCGTCCAGCTATCACAACAACAACAACCAACGTACTGCGACCGTTCGCCAGCATTTCGCGCCGGTCTTTGTATCAAACTACCTGTGTGCGATCCGGTAAAATCTATGCCCAAACATTGCAGTGCCGCACGTGGTGATGGCGACTTGTTACTGACACAATGCTCCGTGTTGTTAAATATGATGCAGACAAAGACGACGGTTCCCATAAGGTGGCGAAAAAGCACGTTGGCAAGATTCGAGACGAAGAAGCAAACAAGGAAAAGCATCCATCGCCTATTTCCCCCGAGGCACGCGAAAAGTTGTCGGAAATGGAGAAGAAGGCCGACGAGCACGATAAAAAGTCAAAGCAATAACAATAATAAAAGAGATTCCCGCGTGTTTTGTGTATAGAAATCGGTTATTGTGGTTGCGTGTGTTTATGAATTATAGAATGTATGTGTATGTGTGTGGTTGATTCGTTTGTGAGTTTGTAGTGAGTATATGCTAACAAGATAAAAGAAGGAAAAAGTTGGAAAACTATGTACACGTCAGAGAAATGTTGACTATGAAAGGTGAGGAACGCATGAATGTTTGGATTGTAAGCTATTGGTGGCGTATCGATCCTGGTGATGTGGGGCCTGTTGAGCAAAGTGATGAAGAAGAAGCGGGGGTGGTTGGGCAAGGAGAGGTCGAAATTGAAAGAGTGATTAGCATTCTACGACGTAGTAAAGACGCCGGTGGTAGAAACGACCATGACGAATAGGCCCCAGATAATGAGCAGACCTGCTGCAATGTCAAGTATGATTGGATAGATATGCTTGGAAGGGGAATCAATCAAGGTATCAGCTTCGTCTTCTGTCAATTGCTTGTTCAACAGAAGAGACGAGCGGCGGCCGGCAAACAGATAGGCGGCGCCGGGAATAATGTAGGCGAGAGTCGTTGCTGCAAAGCCCCCAACAAGAGCGTAGACCTTGCCGAGACTCTGCACGGTAATACCGAAGTACAGCAATGTGCCAAAAACGACAACGGTGACCACGAAATGCTCGAGTTTGCTCGGGTGACGGTCAGCTGTTTCCAGTCCGATCAACTTTTGGGTACACTCGCGTGTTGGATAGAACCCCATTCTATATATACCCAGAAAAGGCACATTGCATGCAAAATCAGCATAATTATTCTGCACACCAAGCAACTCCAACCCCACCTCCCCCTTATGCCCGTACAAAAAAAAAAAAGAGATACCACATCTCTCCACCATCTTTTTTCTTTTGGCTTTTTAGGGCGCATTCCATCTAAAGACCCTAACCTCCCTTCCCGTCCGCCTCACACGCGCATTGATGATTAAGCAAAGAAATACACTCACGGGATCGTAAGAATCATGCTAAATCCAAGCGCAAAGCGCCCAATATTGATAATTCCGTCATCTGGTGCAAAGTTGAGAAACAGATTGGAGTAGACCTTGTCACCAAAAGAGAGATATCCGACCAAAGCAAACATGATCGTGACGGTCCAGCTCATAACAGTGGCGGTGACCGTCGTCCAATACCATGCCCGTGAAGACTGGTTCCGCTGAGATAAGTAATTATTGAAGGCCACGTGTGGGCACGCAAACGCAAAGGCGATGATGCCAAGGGCGCCAAATACGTCAGGACCTGTCCAGGTGATGGGCATGACATAGTCGTCAGGTATGTACACAGGTGCTCGTATAAGAATGACAAGAATAATGACAGGGATGCACAAGACTGAAATCACCGACCATCGTGCAAGTGCCCCGATCGATCGTGGAAGATTTAGTGGGAAAACCTATTACATTAATAGTGTGAGAAAATGACTACGCAGTACATGCACACTGGTTTCGCAAGTATTTTTTTTTCTCCTTTGGGGTGTTTCTACAATGAAGAAGACACTTACAAGGAATAATGAGATGAGGCATACAATGAGTTCACGACTGAGATTATAGCCTGGGAAATACAGGTTTATCAAAACCGGCAAGGTATCTCCCATTACTAGAAACGTACAATACCATGACATCAATAATAGAAAATTATGTTTATCAGACAAGTCGACAACTTGTTTTTTTACCAGTGCCAAACAAAAAGCAAGAGACAAGTGGGCCACTTACAGATAAAATAACTAATGGTGATTCCGACCGACTGTACGAGTAGAGTGATATTGAGAAAGTAGTATCCTGACCGTCCCATCAAGTATTCGGTCAAATCAGCGTATTTGTATATCTCCACCCGACGGCCGGCCATAATGAGCATGTACAGGCCAAGCTGTGAGATGATAGCGACAAGCACCGAGACAGCAATGCCAAAGATAAAGCCGGCATGATAGATTGCGAATGGGATGCCAATAATACCAGCACCCACAGTTGCATTGACAAGGTTGAACGATATCTCAAGTCTATTCCGTGTGCCGTAACCTGGTCGTGCTGCTTGATAAAGGTCCTGTTGAGCTTTTATCAGTGTTACTTCTGGTGTTAAGGCTTCATGATCTGGCGGTAACGTCGGCGTAGTAGTAGTAGTAGTTGCTGGAGTGCTGCCGTACAGAGGCATGAAAAAAAAAGTACAAAGAGTCGTAGAGAAGGGTGGGGGAGAGGAGGGAGGTGTAGAGAAAGAGAAAAAGAGATAAACGAAATTAAACCCACACCCCGCGAATTGAACACCGCGATTTTAAAGGCATCGGGCTGCATCCGACGACCAAAATGACGACAACTGCGAACAGCTCAATGCAAAGCCAACATAGAGAGAGAGACCTGTGCATATGATCACACTCTTTTATTTTCCTCGTCTCACTATGCAGGGCTAACTTTATAGTTGATATATACAACAGCCACAAACTGCATTTTGTCTTTCTGTACTTATCACTATATGAAAAGAGATAACACAGTATATATGGTGTGAAAAATGACTCATTTGGTTGAAAAGCATGCATCAAGGACCAATTAGAATTCAGTGCGTCAAGAAGAATAATGAATGCAGCCCTTCTAAAAACTCTATTACTATTTTCTTTTATGTAGCATTATATACAAGTAACTATCGTGATCTTATGCTGTTGCCATCGCTTTTTTATAGGATGTGTTATTGTCGTTGTTGTGGAAACAGTCGCACAGTAGCTCACTATAAGGGATTTCCATCCATGATTAGATCCCATGTTTTTTCTTTCTGCTTGGCTTTACATTGCAATGTGCTGTAAAAGGTCACAGGACTTGCTTCTTTTTGCTCTTCACCCCAGAAAAAACGATTATTTGTTGTATATTGACTGGATTGTATATATTAGAATATAAACTTGAACACTGCATCATTATGGTGCCCGGTTATTTTATAAACTACTTGAGCTTTTTGGAATGCAACAATCAATAGTATCATTTTACTGTGCTTTTATTGTTATGTGGAGAATTAAAGACCGGTGATGCATCGTGCCGTTTCACGGTATGCATCCGGTTAGAAAGACGTGGGCGACGATAGCGATGCCCTGTGAGAGCTGAAATCGCGCGCGTGATCTCCCTGCATCATGACATCTGACGTGATTATCGGCATTCGAGAAGAAATTGTACTGGTGCGCTCAAATTTTCACCTGTAACCGTCCATCTGCTTTCCTTGTATCACCCATTATTGCCCGAAATTATATATTTCAGATTCAACCTTGTCTTGGAGTGATACCACTGTATCATACACATGGATTCTTTTTTTTTGACTGTAATCACTATTTGTTGAGGAGGTGCAAAAAAAAACTTTGATTTATTTGCACGAGATGATAGATGTGTACAATGTCAATTAATGATTTTCCATCTGTAGTACGACGTGGTGGCATAAATATACAGCATCTTCTTGACTGTTTTCGAATCATGTAAAAAGCAGGACTTGTTTCGCTGGTACAATTATATATACTTAGAATGTAATAATGTAGTTCGCTCATGGTCTTGTTTATTGCTAAGCTGAAAAACACGTATTTGCTTTCGAGATACTATTATATGACCTAATTTAGCAGAGACAGGTTAAAAAAGGCCTCATATTATTTCGCTCTTACGTATAAATTGCAAATTCGCAATTAGTCATGCTAACATAGTACATAGTCAATGCTTACTTCTCTGTTATCCTAGCGTGTTACACCAGTCAGGGGCCTGTCACGAGCAAACACGGGATGCATGTCGCTACGCAGTAGAACAACGAGGGCCGCTCCTGTCACAACAAGGTCTCTTGATAAACAATAACAGTAAACACTACTGTATGCCTCTTTATTTTATGGGGCTGTTTATATCTATGACATAAACTCAGATATGTGTTTGTATCTCTTTTCTAAATATACAATAACGCAAACTCAACACGTACACTTCCATCATCGTCTGGTTCAACAATATAAACAAAAATGTAAGAGGAGTACGTTGCGCACTATCAAAGTTTCATCTATATATATAATTTTGTCTTCGATGTACACTGTCATTCCATCAAAAGCCAGGTTTACTTTGTTGTCTCGGCTTGTAACCGTTTTTATGTGTGTGCGATCCAACTTCTTGACGAGAAGAACCCTTAATTAAAGCTGTAGTAAATACATCAAGGTCCAAGCAACAAAAGAAAAATGGGTTTAAATGACTCACTTTATTGTGTATACAATACAGCTCTCTATAATTTGTTTAAAGGTTACCAGAAATTGTTAAAAGATTTGTAAGATGAGCCAAAGACTTACATTTCTCGTACCACTACAATAGGAAGGCACATGTGTTTTCTCTACAAACGGTGCTGCCTGTCTTCTACATAGAGCTTATATTTCGGTTGAAGGAGACCCAATCAAGTCAAATATCATATCATTGAAAATCAACAACTTACACGGACTGAACATACTCGCTTACTCATCGAAGGACACAAAGAAGCGCCTATTACTACTATTTTAACCTGAGGATTGCAGGAACCTCGAAAACTTCCTATCTTGGACACCTCATACTCGCTAATACCCAACTCAGCAAAGAAGTCATATTTTATCTGTCAAAGTAAAAGTTCAAAACAAGTTAGCTTAATGCAAATTGGCAAAAGGAAAGAAGAAAATAGGGTGCTTTCTGCCGATCGTCGATAAATGTTTCTGTAATGTATATATATATTTGAGAAGTACGTAACAGTATCATCTCATACCGATACTTGACGTATATATTGAAGTTCCAAGATTTCAGAATCTGCTGTCTATGTCATGGGTATCATTAGCTACATACAAAATAGCAACATCTTGATGAAGAGAAGAAAACAAGGACTGCACGACATACACATTTGGAAATGATTTGCTTGCTGTTTTGCTGTGATTCTCAATGTCAAACAGTGAAAGCAGAATGGTTCTTGCATTGAGGTTTGGCTCTTGTCGCTTTTTGTCGATAGGGGTGCGCTAGGCAAAGTCAACCTGGGATCAGAAGCTTGGATTGAGCGAGGGAGGCTTTCACCAGTCAGCATCCGCGTCTAGTGCTGTAGTAATGTAAAAAAACGCCCTGCCCATAAATAGCCCAAGAAAATGTCTACAGCTTATAAAATAAAAACCATGCCCTTCTCACAGCCTGTAGAATAAAAACCATGCCCCTCTCACAGCCTATAGAATAAAAACCATGCCCCGCCTACAGCCTATAGAATAAAAACCATGCCCCGTCTACAGCTTGCAAAATAAAAAACATGCCCCATCTACAGCCTATAGAATAAAAACCATGCCCCACCTACAGCCTGCAAAATAAAAACCATGCCCCTCTCACAGCCTGTAGAATAAAACCATGCCCCACTCACAGCCTAGAGAATAAAAAACCATGCCCCGGCTACAGCCTATAGAATAAAAAACCATGCCCCTCTCACAGCCTAGAGAATAAAAAACCATGCCCCTCTCACAGCCTATAGAATAAAAACCATGCCCCTCTCACAGCCTAGAGAATAAAAAACCATGCCCCGTCTACAGCTTGTAGAATGAAAAACATGCCCCGTCTACAGCCTGCAAAATGAAAAACATGCCCCGTCTACAGCCTGCAAAATGAAAAAACATGCCCCGTCTACAGCTTGCAAAATAAAAAACATGCCCCATCTACAGCCTATAGAATAAAAACCATGCCCCGCCTACAGCCTATAGAATAATAAACCATGCCCCGCCTACAACCTATAGAATAAAAACCATGCCCCACTCACAGCCTAGAGAATAAAAAACCATGCCCCGGCTACAGCCTAGAGAATAAAAAACCATGCCCCACTCACAGCCTAGAGAATAAAAAACCATGCCCCGGCTACAGCCTAGAGAATAAAAAACCATGCCCCTCTCACAGCCTAGAGAATAAAAAACCATGCCCCTCTCACAGCCTAGAGAATAAAAAACCATGCCCCTCTCACAGCCTAGAGAATAAAAAACCATGCCCCTCTCACAGCCTGTAGAATAAAAAACCATGCCCCACCTACAGCCAATATAAGCTTTTTTGTGAGCCATGCATCAAAAACAAGACCTCTTTAGCCGCCCCATGATGTAAATAATTATACAGACCGCCTCATAACATAAAGTAGCCTTTTGTCGGAATATTACCTCTATGATAGCTTTCTGGAAAACAGTTTAATTAGTATTTGATAGCTTAATGTATGGTTCAAATATTTTGAGGCATTAACAAAAACTTACACTTGCAATGTCTATTGTATCAGCTCTGCAGAAGACGACTTGATATCCACAGAAATGCGGTTCCTCTTCCAATGACTGACTTCGCCAAATCTTCAAGTACTGCGCACAGCTTTCACCCCTCCACCCATTCACATTAGCAGCTTTTTTTTATAATCAGGCTATATATGATTATTTATATACAAATGTATCGACGATAAGGTTCTCGATATAGCGTTCAAAGTGGCGGGCTATGCCATCATTGTCTTTTTTTCATAGCCAGTGATGATCAGGCACTTCTGCGGACTACTAGCGCTTTACACATTTCTCTTTTTTAATACGCGTCGAGACATATCATCTTTGTGTTTTCCATTGAAGAGCAGTGTCATGACTTTGGTTGAAAGTGCTGTATGCATTATTGTCGATGAAGATGCGTGCTGCGCTGAAGATCATGTTATAGATTACAGTGGCAGTATGGTCGACTGCTTGCGGTAGCGGATAAACACTATAGTACACACAGCTCCACTTTATTATGCAAGTGGTTACAGCTCGTGCTAATGCTAGATCCACGTCTACCATCGAAGCATGTATGTTCAACTAATGGCTCAACTAATCAACATAAAGCATGCTGTTCGTAGCACTTCTAACAGGACAGTGCTGCTTGTAAGGGAAGGCATGAAAGAAAAGAAAGACATACTTGGACAGACGTCCAAAACCCAGCAGAAGAAAAAGACATGTTTTTTGTTTTTATACAGCGCAATGCTGGGGTTTTTTTACTTGAAATACTAAAAGAATGCTACATGGGAAGAAGAAAAGAAGGAGAGAGAGAGAGAGGCGAAGGGAAGAAGAGCAATCAAGACGCGTCTTCTTGATTCTCCAAGTACCCCTTCAAGTCGACCAGCAAGCCGATCACGCCCACATCTTTGTCGGCAGCAAGTGATTGCTGGAAGTCGTCGTTCATCGCCTTGACCTGGTTGTCAATGAGACGCTGTTGTTGTCGTTGTTGTTGCTGCTGCTGCGCGTTGCCACTGTTCTTCTTCTTGCTTTTCACCGAAGTGACCGCCTTATTCACCTTTCCGTGGCCATCCGATGTTGCTTTAAAAGTGACGGTGCCAGTAAACTTCTTGCTGCGATTCAACTCGGTGATTACCTTCATTTTGTAGGAGTGTTTTGAGAGAGAAAGAGAGAGAGAGAGAGAGAGCGCGTGTGTATGTGTGTGAGTGAAAGAGAGAGAAAGTGAGGCAGCAGAATTTATATCTACGCGATGCTTTTACATGTGGTCAGCTGAACCCAATTAAGAGTTGACAGCGTCACGTGTCCATCCAGACCATGCCAGGTTACACCGACAAGCACACTAGGCAATGGGTCTGCCATCTCACGAGTCACTGGGATTGCAATCAACCTGACATTCCCCTTTGCAATGTGCACACGCCAGGCTACACGTACACACTAGTCTCGTCTTTCTACACGGCTCTCATGGAATGTCTCGACTTGTTAAAGTATAAAAAGACGCGTTTTTTCTTTTACTCGACACTAAAGTTACAGAAGGTCTAGGCTATCCAAAACGGGTGCATGAAAGCATACGGAACAGTCAAAGATGGCTGCCCCTGCGACTGCAGATACAGTTACGCATAGCCCATGAGATTATATACAACATCTTTTGTAGGACCTGCTCCGCAGATGAAAAAAGACTCGTTTTCTAAAGTATGGACGGGTAACTCTCAAAGCATCCATAAGACTAGCAACCTTGCTTGTACGTGCTATATACTCTTCTGAAGGTGGATCAGAGTCGCATTCTTGAAGGACAGTTTCATGTGGACTCGCCCTCCCTATTCACTCTGTTTTTACAATGCGTGTGAGGCCTCATCGTCTCGATTATTGATCTTGCACAGAAAAGGTTCTGCTCACGCGAGCTTCATTGGTCATTAAACATAACTAGGCTGTGCACACTGCCTGCAAGGTTAAATCACACACACATTGGGACACGGGCAAAGCAAACAATGTTGAAATACAGCACAACGTGGGCTTTAACTTGGAGAGATAGAGAAAAAGAACGCGAGTCAGGTTAAGAGGGAGGGGCTTTTGGTCGACAACAATCATGCAGCAAAACCTGTCATTTCAACGTGCAGGCTGTCCCCCGGTGTATCGTCCACATACATCTACTCAAACTTGTCACACTTCGTTTACATACACTGTGGAGCTCTTTGTATATCTGCGGCCTATCTATACAGTACTTTTGCATCCATCACAACGGATCAGATGGCGCCACAACACAAAATAAAAAAGCAAGTTTGATAAATGCACGCGCATGAAATAGGCCCGAAGTTATTATTTAAGCAGTTTTTTCTTTTTCAACAATTTCTAATTATGACATGGAATGTTCAAACATTTTACACGAAGGCCTTGACGTGGTTCTCGCAAACGTCACGGAGCTTGGCCTCAAGGTCCTTGGAGAGGACACCCTGGGTGCGGATTTCGTCAAGAACAGCCTTGTGCTCAGACTGGCAGTGGCGAATAAAGTCCTTTTCCCATTCGACGACCTTGTTGACGGGGATCTTATCCAAGAAACCGTTGACACCGGCGAAGACGATGGGGACCTGGACCTCGATCGACAAGGGGGAGTATTGGGGCTGCTTCAACAATTCGGTAAGACGGGCACCACGGTTCAACAAGAACTGGGTGGAGGAATCCAAATCAGAACCGAACTGGGCGAAGGCGGCGACTTCACGGTACTGGGCCAAGAAAAGCTTGAGCGAACCAGCGACCTGCTTCATGGCCTTGGTCTGGGCAGCGGAACCGACACGCGAGACGGACAAACCGACGTTAATGGCGGGACGGATACCCTTGAAGAAGAGTTCGGCTTCCAAGAAGATCTGACCGTCAGTGATGGAAATGACGTTGGTAGGAATGTAAGCGGACACATCACCACCCTGGGTTTCACTAGATGATTGCTCAAGAGTTAGTCTTTCTCCTTATTTTCTGATGATTCATGCCATAGATGTGTGCTTACATGATGGGCAAGGCGGTCATCGAACCGTAACCGAAGCTCTTGTTCATCTTGGCAGCACGCTCCAAAAGACGGGAGTGGAGGTAGAAGACATCACCAGGGTAAGCTTCACGACCAGGAGGACGACGAAGCAAAAGGGACATCTGACGGTAGGCAACAGCCTGCTTGGACAAATCGTCGTAGATGATCAAAGAGTGGCGGCCGTTGTCACGGAACCATTCACCAAAGGCGGCACCGGAGAAAGGAGCCAAGTACTGAAGGGGAGCAGCTTCAGAGGCGGTGGCAGCAACGACGACGGTGTACTTCATGGCATCGTTCTCCTCAAGGGTGCTGACGAGCTGAGCAACAGTCGAACGCTTCTGACCCACGGCAACGTAGATACAGTAGAGCTTCTTGGCCTCATCGCTGCCGTTGTTCCAGTTCTTCTGGTTAAGGATGGCTTCCAAAGCGACGGCGGTCTTACCAGTCTGACGATCACCAATGATCAATTCACGCTGACCACGACCGATGGGGACCATGGAGTCGACAGACTTGATACCAGTCTGCATGGGCTCGTTGACAGAGTGACGGGGCAAAATGCCAGGAGCCTTGACCTGGACACGCGAACGGCCAACGGTGTCCAAAGGACCCTTACCGTCAATGGGGTTACCAAGGGCATCGACAACACGACCCAAGACGCCAGGGCCGACGGGAACGTCGACAATGGCACCAGTACGCTTGACGGTGTCACCTTCCTTGATCAAACGATCGTTACCGAAAACGACAATACCGACGTTGTCGGCTTCCAAGTTGAGGGCCATACCCTATCGTCGTTGTCAAGACAACACCAAAAACACGGGCAATCCCAAAGTGTTAATAGAATATCTCTACTTTTTGTTCTCCCTTCTTGTGATGAGAGCATGTCCCCTCCCATTATTTTCCTTCGTTTTGTTTACCTTCAGTCCGCTCGAGAATTCAACCATTTCTTCGGCCTGGCAGTTCTTCAAACCGTAAACACGGGCAATACCGTCACCAATGGACAGGACACGACCGGTTTCCTGGAGGTCAGCCTCAGCAGAGGCGCCGAGAATGCGCTGCTCAAGAACGGACGACACTTCAGAGGTCGAGGGCTTGGCAGTGGCATAGTTTCTCAAGGCAGTGGCGGCACCAGCAGCATTGATGCGCATCTAATTATACAAAAATGTTGAATTTTTCGTTAAAGTCTGTTTGATTTTCGATAATGGTTCTTTGTTTCGTGCATTGTCGAGTGGTTAGAAATTACTCACAGCCGGAGCCTTGGCAAAGGTGGCCAAAGTAGGGCGTGCAAGACGGGCAGCGTTTCTCAACATGATGAAGCACGGGGTTGGGCGCTGAATGAAGAGGGGTGGTTGTTTTTTCTCAGTGACCAGAAAAAATCCTCTATGCGGAAGTGTTTATGATGTGACTGTGAATCGCGCCAGGGTGCGGTGGTTTCCTGTCTGCGCAGTTACAGCACAGATCCCTTGACACTTTAAATTTTGACGGCTCACCTTCCATCACATCACAACGCGTTGCATATATAATCTTTTTTTATTATACTTCACTTTCGTAGCGTCAATAAGCATTGAAGCATTCATATTTTACTAATCTTCTTGCAAGGCTGTATGCAGAGTTACCCCTCTCTCTTCCATATGTAGCAGCGGATAGTAACGAGCCATGAGGTTCCACAGCATCACGCGACAATTCTGTCATATAACAGTTCCATATGTGAGCTTATCAACAGCTCAACACCCTTCCCCTTAGGTCTTACGATCCAAAACCAAGGTACACTGTGGGGTATCCAAGTGTGGGCAACCCAGCAACAACCTTGTCCAAACAACATCATAGCCAGGGTTACAGACTTAATCAAGATATACTTTTTTTTATTTTTGTACAGAGCACATTATTGCTGCTTAGCCCAGGTAGAAGGGTTAGTGCGGTTGCAGATAAGAGCGGCACGGTCAAAGTCGTTGCGGTTCTTGTTGGCCACGATCTGGAAGCAAGTAGCGCCACCTTGGCGAGCGACGATGGTGGACCATGAGAGGAAGATTTCCCAAACACGAACACTGTATGTACACAGTATTAGCAAACGATTGACGATACAATAACAAGCACATAAAATAGAAAGAAATAATATAACTTACATCTTGTCACCATATTTGGCGCGCAAAGGCTCCTTGTTCTTATTCCAGTTGTGGTACCATCGCTCCAAAGTAGCGGAATAATGGACACCAACGGTATCGACGTTGTGGATTTCGAAGCCAGCAGTCTCAAGCTGGTTGATGTACCAGTTAAGAGGAGTAGAAGCATCAGCGCCAGGGAAAATGTACTTGGCCATGAAAAGACCCCTATTAAAACAGAGGAAGCATTGCCCCCGAGTTAGAGAGATAAAACTTGATGCAGCACACAGTTAAAAGTCAGGGGCAGACAGAATACATACCAGATGAAATCTTCGTATTGCCATGTAGCACGGAGACCAGCGACCTGCATGTAGAACATGCCATCATCATCCAAAAGTTCACGGACATCATGCAAGAAAGTCTGGAAACGACGGATACCGACATGCTCAGCCATCTCAACACAAGTGATCTTGTCATACTTGGCACCAGAGGGGAAGTTGCGGAAATCCATGCAAACAAGCTTGGCCTTGTCGGCGATGCCCTGTTCCTCAAACTTCTTGTTACCGTATTGAACCTGGTTACGCGACAAGCTGACGCCAGTGGACTCACTGCCGTAGTGCTTGGAGGCGAAACCGGTCAAAGTACCCCAGCCACAGCCAATGTCCAAGTGCTTCTCGCCTTCCTTCAGGTGAACCTTTTCGCAAATCAAACGCATCTTGTTTTCTTGAAGTTCCTCGAGCGTCTCGCGCTTGTTCTTGTCAGAAATGATACCGCTGGTGTAGACCATCAAGGGACCCAAGAAGCCTTCATAAAAATCGTCGCCACGGTCATAGTGATCACGGACCTGGTTCTCGTCCTGCTCACGCGAGTGCCAGAAGGTCTCGGGCAACCACTGGGTCAAAAAGAACTTGAACTGGCCAAGGGTGAACTGGAAAGCAGCCCAGTCGTGTCGGGCTTCCATAATCTCAAGAGGATCGCCGTTGAAATCAATCTTGCCTTCAAAGTACGACTCGAAAAAGAGCTCCATGGGGATTTTGTTGCGACCATAGTAAGATGCCTTGAGTTCGGGGTCATGGATGGTGATGTATTCTTCAATAGGCTTGCCAGGAAGCTCGACGCGGTTGCGATAGCGCGACGCGAAACGCGAAGTCAAGTAAAGAGTGCAGGCCAGGATGGGCAAAAACATAACGACAGCCAAAACTAAAAAGAACCAAAAGGGGAGTCCCAGCGTGTAGCTAATATATGCAGGGACACCAATGGCAACGCCAAAGAACACGCGATTGTCAAAGGTCTGATTGCCAGCACCTTGAGCCGGTAACGTGGCATTCTGGATGGCGGCCCAGGAAGTGGGCTTGTAATTTTCAGCACCCATCTACACAAGTTGCAATCTCCAACCGTTAGCACTATCGCCATCTGATGACTACCATTGCTAAAGACTCGTTTTTAATAAGAAAAGATAAAGTTACCCTTTATTTTTTTGTTTGACTGGACCAAAGGGAAAAGAAAGGCGACGTTTCCTCGTTTCCGCCAAATTTTTCGGGTCTTGTATCCTTTCGATTTGGCTATGCGTGTGCAACACTAAAAAAAAACTTTATCTTTTCAAGGAGCGCATCCCGTTTCCTGCCAAACGACCGTGCAGTGCCAAGTGCATGCAAGGCCACAAAGTATCTTTGACAAGCGTTAGAGGCTATTTATCACAGTAAATAGATCATTTGCTCGTCTTTGAGCTCTTGGAGGAGATGACTCTTACTGCTTTTTGCCCTGCATTTTAGACATCACCGACGCGCTAGATATACGAATTCGGTAGCTCGGGCGCCGATCCAAATGATTATCTGTGAATGGATGAAAAATGCACACGTAATGCCATGCTCATTGGATGCACATAACATATGCTTGGGCTGCATATACTGTCTTCAAGAGTACATAGTATTACCGGGATGCAAATACTGCACGTATAGAGTGACATGATATCTCGCCTCGACGATAACAGCAGATAACTAAAAAAGACGCGTTCCCAATCTCGTCCTCCAAGTCATCTTTTCTTTTCTCTGTTCTAAACAGATATAGTGGGTAGTATAAAGCTACAGCTGCTAAAGCAAAATTCCCAATTTTCATATACAAAGGTTGCAAAAATGTTTAATACCGACGTTTACTGAAACCATTCTTCTTCGTCAAAAGGCGCCGCGTTTCGATTCTAAAAGGATGGATAATGCGAACTTGGATCGCCGGCGCCTGCGACCGGCCCTCTTTTAATTTTGACCCTGCGGAGCCCAAGTTGGCACGACCCTGGTTGGCCTGATGCTATTAGACAGCGCCTCGTAAAATGATCCAGACACACCTTGTTCCAGAATGTCTTATTGTCGCGGCGTTTTCAGTGCCGATCATTAAGAAGAACTCCTAGTTACAGTCGCTGTAGGTCAGTGATTAGCAAACCCATCGTTAAGTTTCTTGATTATATTTTAAATAGCCATATTTTCCGCGTGAGGGCAAGAAAAATTTACCTAGTGCCACCTGGCCTGTTATTGATGCATATAAGATGTTTGAGCAAATTATAAATGAATAGATTTCATAAATGGATAGAGGTATATGACAAGCTTTTTCTTTTATATCTTTTCACTGGTAAATATTGCTTGGCTAATTTGGCCTTGGCCATCGGGGTCTGAGCTTGGCTGTGTGAATTTGGCGTGCCCTGCCAAAGGCTTATTACTTGGCGACATGGGTTGCAGCTGTCGTGATTGCCGTTTTTCGGGTGCGCGAATTTTTTACCATTTTCGGCGATTGCAGTAAAAGTAGTCGTTCTGGCAGGAAAACCAGTGTTACTGAGCTACTCTACGCACTCCACTCGAACAACCTGATTAAAGTACCAACCTCACAGCGATTAACTTTTAATATGTCCACCAACATGAACTGAATTTACGAGATATCCGACAAAAAGAAAAGCCTAAATGATGATCGTCCTCTAGAGAAACCAAAGCAATTGCCAATTAAAAAGCTCAATTCTAAAACCAACAAGCCCGCAGCAACAAACGAGCAAGAAAAAAAACTGACAATACTTTACTAGGTAAAAAAGAGCTAATTGCTTGTGTGAAACTGAAGTTTGTTGTTAAGGTTGTATGAAAAACTTGTCGATTCTTTGACCATACCTAAATATGGGAAGGATATCGAGAACCATAACGACAATCGAAAAGAAAAAGCAACCAACGCATGCGGAACCGATGAAGCAGCCAAAGCTCGTGCAGAAAGAGAAGCAGAAGCCAAGGCTCGAGAAGAACGTGCCAAGAAGCGATCTGGCATTCGAGATTCTTCTCAAAAAGCAAAAGAAGCAGGAATATCAAGCGAAAGAATTCACAATGAACAATGTGAAGTACGTAAATTACAAGGGGATGTATGGTAGATCCTAACAAATATGGCGTGTATACTTGTTATTATAGCGATCAGCCCGTCCATTTGACTTTACAATTTGAATATCCAATCACTCTTGTCCCCAACGTCGATAACGCTTGTTTCATCGATAGCCTTCTGCAAATACTGTTAAGATTGATTATGCCGTATATTCCTGAACCTGCTAGAATCGGCAGCGATGAAAGAGCACGGTTACTCTTATGACTTTGGACTGCGCCGGAACATAAGGATTTTACTCGACCTGTCTTGCCGCTCCGCCAATTTGCATGGAATCACGAGTGCATCCTTTGGCATTTGCATTTGGAGATCCATCAGATGTGCTACAATGCTTCCTTAGGGATAATGATATCATATGGTGGATTCGCATCTATGATTTAAGACACTGCTCAGGGCTAGCAAAACATCAACACTCAACGATAATAGCGCCAAAGTGTGGATTCGGGACGTCTGTGTTGATGCAGAAAAAATCCGCACGAGCTCATCTCTCCTTCACCTGACTGACAAAGACTTTGAGGAGGATGACCTTGGAAACTACTGCACAAATGGCTTTAGCGAAATGTTGCAGCAAAAGGTTATAAACGCCAAGGTCGAAAGCAAAAACCTCATTTTTCGTAACATTGTCAGCTATGCCGAGTTCATCGTCGTTCAATGATTGGCAATTAGGCAAAGATCACGACTGGCGCTTAAAATATGCGAGCAACAAAAGCAGCATGGTTTACTATCCTGACCAGATAGAGATCGGCAAAGTACTATACCAGCTATGTGGTAGAATGTATAGCACACATTCTACTGGTTTTCAATACAAGTCAGCTTGCAGAGCGACTGATGGCAATATCTACGAATTCGACAATACTCCATACAGCAATATAGAAGAAGAAGACATCGACCGGCGGTAGTGAGCTTAATCTCTATATCACACCAGACAGTGAAGTTTCAAACTGATACTAAGTAGCTAATATATTTTAATAAGAATTCTTAACGACCCTGTAATCTTAGAGCTCCTCCAAAAAGCTATAAAACAAGTATCAACTACTTTTCTTTTCCCTCTTCCCTCTATATAATACGTCAATGTCTGGATCTTCGCTCTTCAATATTCACTCCTATTTCTTATTCTCTGGTTAAGTTTAATTATGTACAAGGTACTATATGCTAATAATTAATAGAAAACTAGCTTGGAAAAGTGGATCATTTATTAGATGAACCACGATTGATATGATAGTTACGACGGTTACAGTTGTACCCCCGTTTTTGCAACCGAGGGTTTTCCGATTTATTTTTGCAAAAAGTGAGGATTTGCAAGTAACGGGGTAAACAATTCTGCTTTAAGTATACACTGGATAAGTCATCCTATTAACACTAGCCCATTGTTTATCTGTCAGAGATGATGTACGATACGTTCTTTGGGAATATTCATACAGCTCTAAATGTTACTACTTGCATATATAAGACCGTCCTTTCATTGAAGCTGTCTAGTGGTTTGATAATTATTAGCTCTTTTGAGCATGACAAAATCGTTCCGCAAGTTCACATCCAAGCAAGAGGATCGAACGTACGACGAGCACTTGAGCTGGTGGTGGACCAAAGCGCTGATTCGCCTATTCCAGGGCCAACGTCGAAGGAAAAACAGGTTGCAATTGCAGGAGTTTTGAGCTTTTTGGATAATATCGATAACTACGACTTAAAGAAGTCTTTGCGTAGGATTCCAGAGAGTCTCAGGCAGCAATCATTCTCCCGACAGTCATCCCTTGATGACTTCTTCGATATGTAGTCAAAAGCTCCTTTGAGCAAACATTTTATTTCTATATCTATATGTAGTGTGTTCCCTTTTTCTTATATCTTCAACATATCTTTTGTGGATGCAATCCAATCAGTGCTATATATGTGTCCCGATTCTACTGGCTCAACTACCAAATAATAATTTTTATGTATTTCGACAATAAATACATCTTCATATTTACATATTTATCTTGCAGTAACCGCATCATTTTATTCCTCATAATTCGCAACAGATGCTTCTTTCAGTTGATATTGCAAAAATTGAAGCTGTTTTTACCCCGATAACATGCAAATCGTATAAACTCATTTGCAAGTTGCAAATTTGCGAAACTACTAAGTTTTTTTTTTGATTTTCAAAAAAAGTTGCAGATATACGAGGAATTGCAAAACCAGGGGTTGCAAAAACCGGGGTACAACTGTATACAGAGTCATAGTAAGCTAAATCAACGTTAGCTATTTGTATGATCAACTCAAATGAGGCACAGAAAAGACAAGAAGTACGTAAAATCCTGAATACCGATTTATGATCACGGCAATTATGAGGAATGCGAACGTTTGTAGATCATTCAGTACACGGGCTTGATGTCAGATGATGTGTGCTAGATGAACCTACTATAATCATCGTACTTGTCAATAGTACAGAGTAGTAATTGATGAAGGAGTATGCTACAAGTACGATAAATATAATATGATGCATACTGTCAACCCTACATATTTACTATGACGAGCTGTTTTAGACTCTCACGTTGGACATGACACAGTAGGACCAGCTAGATCGAGTGCATCACTTTTTTATGCGGTATGAATTTTAACAAGGCGTTAGCGCGGGTGCTGATATAAAAAAAGGGCAGGGCCCGTCTCACTGTCAGCTTCCCATTTTCCTCATCGAGTGTCAATGCCCGCTGTATTTCTAATATACGTATGATACTTTTTGCTCGTCTTGACGTTTGTTAATTCTTCCATCAAGCCGAATAGTGCGACGGGCAGCAGAAGTGAGAGGACATTGTTGACATTGTAAACATTGTTTTACTCTTAGTCGCACGGAAAGGCTTGCTGTTTCCAGTCCTTGTATAAGTAACTCACCATGTTAAATAAAGAGCAAGCATTTGATTACAAAAAGAGATGGAGCAAACAAAAGGAACACTGAGCTGGCGGAACCAGTTGGGTGGCAACCTCACCTATGCAAGAAGCACGTGGAAAGAAAATACAGCGACATGAACACTCGATGGGGGTAATGGGCAGCCGCGCACACGCCTTGCTACAATTCATCACCGCATAAAAAGAGTGATGCACTCGATCTAGCTGGTCATACTAGTTGGCAGTATGCATATACGAACCTTTTGTATTTATAGCATACTTCTTCATTGCTGTAACACTGTGATGTTGGTGATACATCTTTGATAGAGAAGCACTCATGAATCTACATGAAGATTGTCTTCATACTTGGGTATATAAGGCTACTCTGTGCTCTGAATGGATGCTCTGGATGCTGGAAACATGTAGGCAGAATTGCCTTTTTTAGGTGACTTGGCAATAGTTTAAACTGTCGCTTTCATATTGTATATCAAAAGGATGAAGTATCTGATGCACGTTTAGTATGTGAAATTGCCGCTTACACCTGCAATGCACTGTTAGGCCAAGTGGGCTTTTACGTAAAGTGTTGTTGGTGCAGTGATTACACAGTAAAGAAAAAGTAGGTGTGCGCAAGGGGTATGTCCTAGTAAGTTTTCAAAAAGAAGTAAAACGATGGTAACACTCATCCTTACCACGGACTTCATACGCTGTCGAAAGAATTTTTCTTTATTTAACAGGATCTGCCGGTCAAGATTTGCCGCTCACCGCCGTTTGATATTTCAGTGTAATAGCCCCTTATCCAGTTTATAAAGACGATGAATAAAAACGACTATTACTACGATTAGAGATACTTGAAGAGCATACAAACAATCAAGTGTTATTTGAGAGCGATATCTCACGGTGGCAAGTGGCATCTATGAGGCTGCCAGTGGTTCCTAAAACAACACACTAGTCAAGGGATGATAAATAAATAAAATAAATATCCAAGTACGGGATTCTCAGCTTTTGCATATCAAGCGGATAACCGTTATACCGATGCTGATGCGCGAGCACATGGCTGCCTATCATGGTGTTCATGCATATCATAAAGTGCTGCAGTAATGTACAACTCGAAATTAAATTTAGCTCCAATACAGTAGGCGGACGCCATATAATGTATAGTAAAATAATATTTTAACGCCAATATCTAAAGAAAGGTAAAAGTTAAAACATCTTCACACCATGATACTAGCGCAGTGGTATACACTACAATTTAATAAATAGTAAATTAGGGACGATCACCTCTCCGTGTTAGAAACCCTAACCTTTTATTCCTTCTTCGAGGGCTGTAATTAGTCAATCAGCACGAGCTGTTCGATAACCATACAGTGTCGCGGTGTGTGTTCTTTATATTCAATAAGACAGCTTGCTTGTAGATGATGATGCTCTGCTTGGACTCTTCTTTGTTTGTCCTTTACACACACGCACAAAGAGGGGGTCGAGTAGAATAATCAAACTGAGCTCAGTTCTTTCTTCTCCTCCTCAATTGTGCATATTCCCCCTTTGTTCAATTTTTTTTAAAGAGGCACGAAAATTGAGCAAGTAGAAGCCTTTATTCTTCCTCTTCGAGATTCAATTATTCCTTTTATTATATCACTCTTTTCTTTGGCTCTGTTAATTTTATTCTACGAGTTAATTGACAACATAATCTAAAAAACAAATGGTGCAACATGTTTATACTCAAGTCACCAGCTACCAAGTCTTACAGCGGGATTTCTCTACCAACACGGCATTGGTAAAACAAGCCAATGGCGAAGTACGCTCGCTCCCAATTGGTGGACCTTATACCATAAACAATGCATCAAACGTACTAGTTGGCGATGTTTGGGTTATGAGCGGTCAAAGCAATATGCGTGGAAACGCCTTTTACAGCGACCCGTGGGCCGATCCACCCACCACATATCCAGAGTATGTCGATGGCATGGTTCACTTGTTTCAATCCAACGAGTCTTGGACCCTCGGTCACGAACCAACGCATCGAATCGACCAATCGGTACGCCAAGTTGACTATGACCTACCTGACCCGAGTGTTAGCAATAAAAATTACTACAAACGCCGAGGTGTTTCTTGTGGAATGGCCTTTGCCAAAGCATACAGAGAACGAATCGACGTGCCTGTTGGACTTATGGCAACAGCCCATGGCGGCACAAATATGGCGCAATGGAGTCCACAGTTACTGGAAACGACTGATAACCCATACAACAATACACTCTATGGCGCCATGCTCGGTCGAATTGGCAAGATTGAGAATCAAGTTGCCGGTATTTTATGGTACCAAGGCGAATCGGATGCCGAGAGCAGTGCCCTTTCGGCGGAATACCAGCAAAACCTACAGAATTTTATTAGCACCACACGAACCAAACTCAACAGCACTCGCCTCCCTTTTGTATATGTACAAATCTCGCGTACCGTCAGCGAGGATAATAACGACAGCGGCTGGAACGAGGTCAGAGAGGCACAACGATTATTAAACGACAAACGCTGGGATACGGAACGTGTTGGTGCAGTCTCAAGCATCGATCTTGAAATGGATGATTATATTCATTTATCCGCAGAGGGTCAAAAGGCGGTTGGTCATCGGTTGGCGGTTACTGCAACGAATTCCTTATTGAAAAACAAGGCGGGCACGAGCAGTCCAACATTTGGCAACGTTACTTTTGAGCAAAAAGCGGTGGCAGCTAATACCACATCCTCATACGCTATACAATCTACTTTATTGGTTCGATTTAAAAATATGGACGAAGGCGAGTGGAAGTCTCAAGATGACGATAAAGTTCTTGGTTTTACGCTACATGATAGCAACGGGGAGCTCGTAAACGTGATTTACAACGCAGAAATACAACAAGACAAGAAAAGCGTACGACTGTTCCTGACAAGAGATGCCAAGAGCTTGGACTCAAAGAATGTATTTCTATACTATGGATACGGAATGGATCCAATTTGTAATATGGTTACCAAGAGTGAGATGGGCTTACTCACATTTGGACCGGTACCAATAGAGCTTAATTATTAGTAGTATGTAGTGTAGTAGATCTGATTAATGATATTCCAAATTCTTGACAAAAAGCAGGCAGTATTTAGAATCGCTCCATCTCATATTTTGTCTTGGTAAACATCATCTGGAACAGACGTAGGCCTTGTAATTCGCTTATTATACAGTAGTATCATGTACATGAGCTTTTCTGATGCACCTGCTGGTAGTAAGTATATAGAAGATTAATCATTGTCCCAAAGGCGGCTAGTACATCCTACTGGCGCTGATAATGTACTCATTTTATAATACAAGTATACTGTCAGTTATTAACATTATGTATTTAGAACGCACGATATATGACGGAATGGACATACATTTTATAGCGTAAAATACCTTCGGCCCATTTTGAGCACCTTCCGATGCATTCGCGGCACCTCAAACGCATTCAAAGCGGCATCTACACGCTTTCAAAAGCGTGTAAAAGTGCTTGAAGGCTTTCTACATATCGAGACGTATAGTATTCAAAAAAATCATATGTATCAAAAGAAGTGTATTATGAAGGTGTGCACGGGAAGAAACAGGCTCACGTATTATGTGATAGAATTGTGCGTGTGAATAGATCTACTACCACTACTATCACTGAATTTATGCTGCTGAGATGAAAGTGTAAATAATTAATGTACGTACTAAACCGGTAGTACGTAGAATAGTTGTAAAATGTGGTATAAATCAACAAAAAAATAAAAAGAATGAAGGGTAAGGGAATGAAAAGGGGAGTCGGGCCTCTCGTATTATAGCATGAGATTATTTACATTTTCCGTCATGATGATGTCCAGCACAGCTGACATAACTCGTTGCAAGATAGTACGGTCAGTGGCGTCCGTACAGTGAGTGTATATGGTTTTTCTTGGGTTAGCAGACAACCACTCAAAGCGCGATTTGAAGTAAGTTATTGCTTTATCGTAATCATCACCGCCTAAAAAACAAGAACAGCATTTTACAGTTCAACAATAAATTAGCTGTGTTTGCGGCGATGTCTGAATTTCTGATGTGATGAGGCTGCTTAATACCTTTGTAGTCATCAAAGTAAGTGGCAATTGGTGAATATTTGATCTTTTTGCGAAAAATATCGACCTTGTTCATAAGCAGAATCATAGATGTCTTTTGAAACCAATGAGAGTTACTGATATTTTCAAAGAGCATCATGGCGTCAATCATCTAATTGAAAGAGTAAGAGGGTTTTCCGCATGGTTGACATTAGTAATAAGTTCAACATCTTCTTCGCCTTGGTACGTTGTTCCTGATGATAATAATACCTGATTCTGTACAGTAGAGATTGAAGAGATAAAGAAGAGTCAACAAACTTGCTAACATCACTACCATGATGATATGCTATATTCAAGACAAGCAGTGGCCATAGTGACATGAAGAGAAATTTACCTACCGAGTTCCAGTCTTCAATCATACACTTGTCGTAACCACTCATTGCAACCACAAAGATAATTGCTGTAATATCCTCAAAGCAATGGATCCTACAAAGAGTGTCAGGTTTGGCAACGTGAGTACATACATATAATTCAATATATAAACGTGTATATTGTTGTGTCACGGCCCTCCAGCCTACCATTTTCTCCGTTCACTTCTTTGTCCTCCGACATCAACAATTTGGTACGTCAACGCTCCCATGTAAACTGTTGTTTCTACAATACCAATCGTCTTGACACGACATCGTACAATGTCTTGCTCGCTTGGTACATAGGTAGGTTTCCATAGCGTATCCAATTGTTCGTAATAGCTATATATACAGATAGATAAGTCCAATAACAGATGGTTATTATTGTTTTTTTAAATTGAACGAATATGGCGCAAACACGACTACAGCAATAGTAACATGATAGATACTATACGTACTATTGAATATTGTCATGTAATGCAAATTGATTACCCATTTGACAAATTTTCTGTATACCACTGTCATTCCAGAGTTCTTTGAGAGGTTCCAAGTACAACTGAGGGTAAGGCTGGCCTGGAGTAAGATCGGGTATCGCCGATTGAATTAAAGAGATGTGTGCCTGTTTGAATACAAAGAAAGCAAAGAAGAAGATCCAGGCTTCTGATTTCAATAACATGTATTCTAGAAAATCGGGAGTTAATATAGTAATTACGATTACTTACTGTCAAGGATTCGTTCTCAAGACCGACATTGAACTTTTCGAGCGCGTCTATTAACACTTGCATAGCTTCAATGACGTTACTGAACACCGTTGTCCGGAAAGATTCTTTTTCGTCGGCATCGAAGCCGCATGTATGGATTAGCCGCATTTGTCTCGAAACTGTTGATTTGCCCGATTCGCCAGCACCTTTATAGTTGATTGTAATGGATTCAATTATACAAACAGGTAAAAGGATCCATAAGACCCACAGGTTAGCACTTTATGGATCGTGTGCATCATTATATATAGTTATATAAACAGACACTAATTATTTCTTTCTATGAAATAAACAAATTGTTGACGCTTATGTACCGAGCAATAAAATCTTGGCTTCGCCCTTTAATCGTTTCTTGTCCTTTATAATCTGTTTATCGATGGCTTTGCTTTTTGATCCATCTGGATCTCGACGGACAAAAAACGAACTTGTTCGATTTCCCATGTTGTTGACGTTGTCGATGTATTTATCTCTTTCGCTGTGAAATGTACAAATCTGCGAGTTTTCTTTTAAAAAAAAGTGATAGTAATATGGAGGGGGGAAACAGAAGAAGAAACAAAATATAGCAAGAAAGCGCGACCGAGTAATATTTAAAAGAAATGAAAGGAACAGACTGAGCCGCATCAGACTACTACGCGCACAATACAGGCAACACGTCCCGCACCCCATCCTTGGATACCTGCGCTCGTGAAATTAAATAGAAAACGTTACCCGGAGCAGTAGCAGCACTGGTGCTGGCATACGACAACAGGGTAGCAGTCTATATTGTTTTTGTATTAGTGCCGGAAAGAAAGGTGTTATGCACCTTCAAATCACCGTGCCACTCGGACTTTTGGGCTGGGGTACCGAATTGACAAAGTAGGCAATTGTACTTGCTGACGCCAAAATGATCAGCAACATGAGAAATATAACTAACTGGATTCTTTACTAAGCTGTATAATAGCAATAAATAATAAGACCCAACAGAAAAAACATCCGAGTAATATAGCCATTAATAAAAGCTCCATCCATTAAGGTAGAGAGAAGTAGCTGCTTGGTTCCGATGTTGGGGTTATTCAAAGTACGAAAAGAAGTTAATACTAATAGGAAACATTTCCGAACTTTTGGTTTTTTTCGGAGGCAGAATAACCGACGTCCTGTGGCCTATTTATGGCAGGTAAATAAGAATTCAGGTCTATTTGGATCTCGATTAGAAGAGCAGCATTAGAATAAAACTTTAAAGTGTCTTTTTTGTGGAAAGATGACTAAAGTAACGACGCTACATAACGAAGAAATAGACAACCAAGAAGTACCTTACTCTGACACAGCATGAATACGCGTAAAGCTTCTTTTCGAGCAGTTGCGTGGCTAGCCACGAAATTTTACCTTTTTGAAATGATTGTCCGGTGCGTAGCGCTGTGACACAGCATGCCCATATTTCGAACTAAAAAAAGGTTGTTCTCAAATCTTTTTACGTATACAAGCTATGCGTGCACATGTCTAGTATTAATATCGGGTAAAAAGCTAAATCGCTATATCGTTTTCACGATTATCGTCGATGAGCAGAGCAACTTGCACGATCTGCAAAGACTAAATTTGCTCGCTGTGGTGAAATAATATGAATTCTACCTCCTCCTATCATCGTGCGGGCACATCAACGATTATGGAGATAATGTGCACTGTGGGGCGCACGACGTCATGTGGTACGGCAAAGAACATTTCTTCCTTTCTTATATGCTGGACACTTTACACATTATGTAATGTAGGCGCTACAGCTTTCCTGCTGATGATCGATTCTCATAGCAGCTTAACACACAATACAAAAATTCTTTGTTAACCGGCGGGTAAGAGAGTTCCAATAACTTTATAATGGAAAATGACAGCTTGTTATTGTAGACACCTAACTGTCAAGGCATTTTCATTTCCTTCCGTGCCCGTGTTGGCCCCCGGGTTTCTTATTTTTATCTTGACCTTCTTGATCTAACTAATTTTGGGCTTTAGATTCCAATAGCCTTTTGTACACGTACGAATAGCTCTTAATAGCATATTTAGTTTTTTTTTGTTATCATTGCTTTTAATTAGACGCGCGTATACGTGGCATTGATGTAGTGCCAAGGAAGATCATATAGAATTACTTGCAACCATCGGCCAAAACGGAGCATGTGCGTTCTTGTGTGCTATATAGTTTATTTTTTAGATGATGTTATGGTCATTTGTACCCTTTTATTGTGTGTGGAAGAGTGTCCTCTAATTGTTGTACATGCGGGTTACTCCGAGTTATGATAAAAGTATGCAGGCACAACAGCTTACAACAAAACATAATGCTAATTATATACAGCAAAAGCTGACCATAACCATTAAATTTGAGCTTTCTAAACAATTTCAGTAGCCAATAGCCTAGATATGCGCTAAAAGGAGAGAATAATAATTTCGAAAAACATTTTAAGAGAGAGATAGTGCTTCTAGACCAGTGAGTTTATCGATACTTTGTTTAAATTCGGCTTAACCTGTCGCCTCTTGCTTAAATTTTAACGAGTATTATGTACTAACTACAGAGTCAAAGAAAACAATAGGGCCCCCTTGCGGGACAACCGTGCACGACATCAAAAGAAACGTATTATTTAGCACAGTTCTTTCGGGGCAATAACGCTTCTAGTGCAATGTCACGGAATTGTACTTTTTATGGACTCTCGTTGCATTAAAAAGAAAATTCCCGTATACATACTTAATCAAGAAATGATTCGAAGGTGGCTCCAGTATATAATACTGTGATACCACCATTTGTACTCGGGTATCAATTAAAATCTTGTGTGATGCACACGATGATGTGTACAATATTGTAGACTTTTCTTGGATATCTTTGTGACTCGAATAACACGCGCTGTTGTTACAGCAAACCACATATCTTCTCGTGGTAGCTTCAACATTTATCGTCACGACCTTTCATTAATTTACAGACTCTACAGCGCTGATAGTGACACGATGGGCAGCAAAAAGCATTTCTGGTTATCAAAGTACTCTCTTCGGGACCTTCCTTTTATGAGTGATGCGAAATCCAGTCAGTCTCTTGCATTATACCTAAATATCATACTCCAACAAGTCTAAATGCCATAAAAAATATGTGATTGCCTTTTGTCACATTGATATCATACAGAACTGCCCTTGTTATTGCTACGAGAATCGAGCGGACGAGTAGATATATTGTTAGTGAAGTTTTGCTAGCAGATGATGAGGATCTTTATGAGGAATCGTTCCCCCTTTATCCGAAGTCAGTCCTTAGCCTCCACGCATGATTGAGTATTTCAGTATGATAGACGGAAAGTATCATTGTTAGTCTTCTTTTTACTAGCCTGCAAAGTTCGGAATGCTGTTAAGGATAACAGTAGTACTATTTTTTATGACTTAGGATTATACAAGGGGTTAGCAACTTCCTTTGCAGATGGTGGCGCCTCGGCTTTATAAAATAAATGCAAGTATCAATCGAGAGATTGAGGTGATGATCTCTTTCATGTAACAGGATTTATCAATAGAAGAGGACCGTATATAGAAGTTTACCTTCGCCTATCAGTATATGATCAACCGTACACCGTGTTAAATCTTTTAGACAATAAATGATTACGTTAGTGTGTTGTTAGATCCAGTTGGAAAATTGCTTCATCTGTATTTTTAACGACACCGCAGGTGATTTATCTATCCAAACAAGCAATCGATAACGAACAGAACCAGAAAATGAGGACAAACAATGGGTCAATCAGCCCTTTGTTTCTTCGTATCCTCAATCTTCAATTTCCCAGGTTCGTTTTTATCCAAGGCCTCCTTTTAATAAAATTCATGTGGCGATCGAGCATTTTGATATGATACCTACATTTGTATCTTTGTAAGACAGCGGGTGAGTACATTAGTATTTTAAGGAAATGATTGACAAATACTTCTACCATCCAAGATTATTTCTTCCCGCTCGTTATACCTACACTTTTGTCACCGACTATTGAGGGGCTATTGATAACAGAAAAGGCATCTAGTATAGATGACAAACAGTCAATGGTTCAACGTTTAGGAATTATCTGAGCTAGTATATCATTGATAGTATTTTTACTTGACATAAGAAAGTTTCTAAAATGAAAAAGATAAAGTGTTTCTTTTAGTAAATGGCACGTAATTCTAAACTGGACGATGTTAAAGGATTGTGATGTCACATACCCTACATATCCGTATCCAGTACGCCTTAGACCAATTAATATATCTTTATGAGTTAGTAGCAACTGTCCGGAATTATTAGCTCCATATGTTTCAGCTTCCATAAAGAAAGGTATGAAAGTGGATAATGAGTTTCTTGTTTGCTTTCTACACATTACATGCACCCACATACACGCACACACAAATTTACCATCGTCGTTGAAGCTTAAAAAGCTGTCACTTTTCTGTGATGCAGAACAACAGGATTATCAATAAAAATGGATTTCGCTTTTCCCTTCGAGATATGGTATAATCATACTACTTATGTGCTAATCTTTCAAACAGCCTTTTAATATTTGCGGCAAAAGTGGAAAAGGCCTCGTTATTTTTCGTTTTGTTTTGTGCTTTACTATAGCAGCTAGTGATTGATTTTTGGAATAAAAAACAACAACTGTCATTAAAAGAACCTGCTGTAAGTTTAGAACTAAGGCAGTATGTCATCATACTCCTTTACATATTAAACGGTCCAAAAATATGCTCTTCCGGAAGCATAAGCTTTCCATATCGATAGGCATTACCGGAGAACTTGATAGATCGTGAGGCCACTTGAACGATCAAAGAAGAATCTGACGGTGGTAAACAAGAAACACCCTACAAATTATTTAAGTACGATCTTATCAAATAAAAGTTCCGCTTATGTAGTAATTCCTTCTGTGCATTTTGGACATTTCGTTGTACCTTAATTTGATAGTTTCTCTCTGCCTTATCCCATGCAGCATTGGTGATGGAAGCAATTTCCAGGGCCTCGCTAGGAGTCATGAGGTCATCGCTGTGATCCAAGTAATCGACCCAGATACTTTGCATAAAGTCCGCGTAGGCGGGTCCCTGCATCATGTGTACATGCCATGCAATGTCAAGATTATAATGATGACAATAACAATCAATAAGCCTTTTTTAAAACTCTGCCTATATATCTGTGCTTGTAGATAGGAATGAGGAAGGCTTACCGATTTCTATTGTTGGTAAAAGTGGTATGGTTGGATTTGCCTGCATCAACTGCAAAAATTCATGGTAGCGACGAATTCCTTGAGCCAGTCTTTCGTTGGTCCAGTCTACTTTCAATGCATCATCTACAAATTCAGGAACTTCTCGCTAGCTTTCACCGGATCAATAGAGAACGGTGTTGGATTGCCCATATATGTTGTTTTGATGATAGCGATCAACTCTATATATAAGAATGGAGATTTGGTGAATCATCTACACTTATATATGCGATCAAACTGCTGTATCCTCAAACAGTGATTCAACTGACGGGCCAAGATAATATAAACTCACGTTGAGCAAGCTCTTGATGGTTTTGATCGAGTCCTTTTGCTTTAGACAAGAGAGCCTGTACCAAGTCATCAAAGCTATCGATTGTATCAAAGTTTACTGCCAAGTTGCGTAGCATGACGCGTTCCTTTTGCTAATTTGATTTTCCCTTCAGCATCCAAAATCATTCCCCTAGATAGTATAAGATGCAATATGCCATAAGAAGTCTATTTAGAGAAATGAAAAAAACCAAGAAAAAAACCAGAAAAGGAGAAAAAGGATGACGCGGAAGACCAATGCGATCCAGCTGCTGCCTTCGCTGTCGCAATTCGCTGGTACGGCTAATATGTGAAACAGTAGTGTAATAAGCGTCACGAATTAAAAGAAAACCTACTTAATTTCAAATGCTATATCGGTTATCGAGGATTTTTTTGTCGTTATTTTGATGAGCTACTGTATTGACAAGCATGTATTGGCCAACTGCTGCAAAGCAGCTCCGTCAACGGTAAATTGAGCTTTACAACAGAGACATTCCAGCGCAACACTAGGATTCGTTCGCCATTCGATGTATTGCTCACTTCAAAAACGTGATCGTTTAGCATATATTACAATCTCAGGCACGTGGCACGCCGGAAGCCGACCTGCTTACATTGTGCAACAATTATCAGTTTCGCAATTAAAACACTGAGTAACGGCTTGACTGTTCATAATAGGGAACATCGCCAAGATGATAGCCTTTCCAGTTCTCTTCGGCCTCCTCTATATCGTTAGCGTGCTATTTGAAGTTGAAAGATAGATAATGTAATGTTGTTTTGAATACACGAGAAATGTTTCTTGTGACAGCTTATATAAGAAAACATACAATGCCTTTACTAAAACCGGAAATATTGGAAGTCCCCCTAATAGACGGGTATAGTCATCTTGACAGCGGAAATGGACTGAGCGTATGCGCATGCCGTAGGTATGCAATGTCGGTGGGAACTGCGAATGGTAGCGTTTTCTGACAATTCCTTTCAACGCGTATTAAGACATATCTGTAGCGCATTTCTGCATTGATAAGATAGTCTCTGAGCGCTTCTTTGGTCATTGACCTGCCTCTCTGCTGGAAACGTTCAAGCAGTGACAGGTAGTAGAAGCAGTTCTCGATGGTTACTGTTCGCTATCTAAAGAAGGTCCATAGCAGAATGCATAGTAAGGGGACAGCTTGTGGCCCATGTATTTCGTCGTCGTCGTTACTGTTGTCTCCATAAGAATTAGGGTTACTCGGGATGGTCCAGGGAGTAAGAGAAAGAAGAATTAAAAAAATGACAAGCTAAAAAATCCTAGATAAATATACGCACGTCCCGCGAGTATGATAATTCTTCTCATGAGGCGCAGTAACAGATAACAGTGTTAGCGACACCAACAGTTTAAAGGTCAACAACGGGTGTGTGTGTGTGTGTAATGATGACACAAAAAAGCATTCACGTTGCTCCCATGTTTATGTAGAATTTTTTTTGATAAAAACAAAAGCAAACAAAGAAAAAAAAAGCTAAAGAACGAACACGAGAAGTTAAGGAGAAAACTAGGTAAAAAAGAAAAAGTAATCAGTACAGTGAGACAAAGGGAGAAGCAGGAGGCCGAGAGAAAAGGAGGATATACTGAGAAGGAGGAAAGAAGGCAAAAGAGGCAAAGAGGAGAAAAGAAAAGTGTGGTAGAGATAGGCCCAAGAGAGAAATAGCGGTACGTTGTTGGGTCTGTTTAGGATTTAATTAGGATAAACGTGCGCGCATTGGTTGTTGCTGTATGTTTTGCAGCCACCCTGCCCAATCTCCCGCTGTTCTGCGGCAGTTCGTGAACAAGTGAAGTTTTAAAGTAGAATATGCCGTAATAAAGAAATAATGCCGCTGGGTATAGTATGATGAGATAAGAAACACGGTAGTAGTAATAGCAAAAAATACGCCAGCGAACGTGTTTTTTTTTGTTTTGTTATGCAGGATTCCTGATACTGTACTCTTCTTTGTTATACCACTCTTATTTGTTGTTGTCTTTACAGCAAACCGCCTTCACGCAGGTTGTTTTGGATAATGATATCGTTGACTGCTGCCATGACAAACCTAATCTGTTGCGTGTCTGTCGCGCAAGTAAAGTGGGTGTAAATCTGCTTGGAATCGGACTGGTTCAGCGAGACGAATCGATTCAAGATATAGTCACTGGCTGCATCGTACGTCTCGGGCCCGTTAAAGTCGGTAAAGCTTTCTGCTAACGGGTGTTTGGGTAATTTCTCTTTGAAAATATCGATTTTGTTCAGGAACAGAATGACGGATGTCTTGACGAACCATCGCGAGTTGCAGATCGAATCAAATAACGTCAATGCCTCCTGCATACGGTTCTACAGTAATATATAATATGGGAGAAGGATACAAAATTTTGAGTCTTCAAGCATGCAGTGATAACCAGGCATGTTCTCATAAACTGTAGCAAGGGAGATAGAGAGAGAGAGAGGAGGGCAACATGAAAGGGCGAGGCGCATAAATACAAGGGATGCGGGGGCCCAGGAGACCAGATAACTTACCACAGTCTCGTCTTCAATCAGCACTTGATCGTATTCAGAAATGGCCACCAGAAAAATAATGGCAGTGACATTTTCAAAGCAGTGGATCCATTTCTTACGCTCAGACCGCTGCCCACCCACGTCAAACATGCGGTATGTTAATTCACCAATCACGAAGGTGGTCTCGGTGATACCCGTGGTTTTTACACGGGAACGTAGTACGTCTTGATCCGTTGGTACATAGTTGATATCACCAATACGGTCGATTGAGTCAAAGTAGCTAACACACACGCAAACATACACAATGTGGGTAAAGATGATGACGGTAGCAGTGAGAGGCCACTGACGAGGAAAAGGAAAACTCTTACTATTTTGCTGAATCATTGAGCTGGTATTCCCTGCTGCGATCAAAGACGCTCATCAGATTCGTATCTTTCCACAAGGTTTTGACCGCCAAGGTCACATCGTTGGGTAAAGACTCGCGCTCGATCTGTGAAGGCATTTCCATAATAACACCGGCATGCTGGCGGTTCGCTGACTGCGCCAGTGCTACACCCATGTTATCCATCGCTTCCAGAATGACTCGCATGGACTGGACGGTGTTTGAGAAAATAATTTCCTTGAATGCCTCTCGTTCGTCACGTGAGTAACCACCGTCATGGATCAATTTCATTTGCTTGAGAATAGTCGATTTACCCGACTCACCAGCACCTTTTTACAATTTCAAAGTGTCAAAAAAAATGTAACCATAGCAATCCGAACGTAGTAAAACTGTAACCAAGCAATCGAATAACTATATTACCTAGCAACAGCATTTTGACTTCATTGCGCATGTTGAGCTTGTCTCGCTTGAGCTGATTCTCAATCTCTTCGTTTCGTGCCTTGCCATCGTGTACTTCGTTTGATTGACAGCAGCCCATATTGCTTTTATTACTTTTTCTCTGCTTTGTTCTCTAGTAGCGGTGGTGGTTGCAGTGGTATGAGTGGTAGTGTGTTGTATGGGTATAGTGGTGGTTGTAGTTATGAAGTAGTAGTAGTAGTAGTAGTAGTAGTAGTAGCAGTATGAAATTAGTAATAACGTTGGTGTAAGCGACGAGTCGTATATTTAAAAGAAAAAAAGTTAGAAGAAGAGAAGAGAGGAAGAAAGAAGGTAAGGAATACGCATGTCGATCTTTACGGTTATCGGGTACATCACAACGCACATTCTCGTATCCACACATCATCCACATATACCACATTTCTCTCAGCGACCCCTTTTTCCAGCCCCCAATCCCGCACTCTTTCTTCACTGTGTTCCCCACCCCCTCCCCGACGATGACAACTGTGACCTATATACAACACACACACACATACATTCAACATCATCATTATCATTGGGAAAAGCAAAGAGTAAAAGAGAAAAAGGCCTCCTTCTTATCCCCTTCTTTTTACCCTTTTTCTTCTTTTTGGGTGGAAAAGGAAAGAGAATGTTTTGGTCCAATGCACGAGAAAGAGAACAAGAGCTTATTATATGTACGTTGTTGTTGCTGTCTTACAAACAAACATACTGATGGTGCCACAACACTTTAGGCTGTAATTGCTGTTGTTATTAATGAAATCACCGGAAATCTTTTCCAGTTTGTTTGTGCATTTAGTATAAAAGGAAGTTAACTTTGCAGAACGAGACGACCCGTTTTTTTTCTTTTAGCTTTTATATCATTGTATGTGCTTCAATAAGGTTTAAGGTCTACGTACCGATCTCAATTAACCTTCAAGGATAGAGGAGAGTAAACGGGAAGAGGAGGGGTGAGAGAGAATGTGTATGCCACTACAGGGAGATGAGAATGGACGTCAAATGTAGTAAATTGTGTATGTACCCTACGCAGATAAAGTGCGACATGATGTATATATCACGACCTAGGCGTGTAATATGATTTCCAACCAACTAGCTACTACTAGTGATAGTAGTACATTACCTGTTCCCAACTCCCCTTTTCCACCACCCGTCGTTATAGTCCCCCCATCCACCCATATGACATGCAATCTATAAATGAACTAGAAGTAGCAGCAGCGGTTTGTATAAAAGCTAATAATAGGAGTATAAATCACAATGTATTGAATAGATGCTTGCCATGGTACGCAAGAACAAGCCAGCACATCCGCCGGAGTTTGTTTGTGATGTAAAGTAGATCCATGGCTTCTTTGCAAACTTTGTATAATATAAGAGTGATGATGAGATAATGATGAGAAGAAGAGACATAAATACTACACATCAACCACTCTTTGAGAATGATGTGTGAATCTATTGTTGTGTCGTCACGGTGTATATAAGGCCCAATGAAGATGACGGCAATGACAAAAAGTGATTAGGAGAATCTGTACGTCCACACATATACAGCCCACAAGTGCGCTTATCCTGCCAATACGAAGGTTTCCTATTTATCAATTTTTTTTTTCTGTTCGCAACCCAAGAAAGCAGAGTTTATTCCGCGACCTCCCAAGTTCGTTCTCCCACATAGAGAGCATATACATATGTATGTGAGTGTGGTATGTCATATACATTAGCAGATCCACATGCATGGATCAACACACAACGAAAAGGTTGGTGTCACCCGCACGATCAACTTGCAAGGTAGACTAGTTGGCAAATTTGTGTCACAACCTTGTGCTTCATCTCCATATAAACTGAACTAACTAAATGAAATTACAAGTTTACCCCTCAATTTGTTTTGAGTAGCATTCTTGTACATGCGTTGGACTGCCCGCAAAACCAATGTCTCTTGATGGGTGAAAACAGTTGGAGAAAAGTATATATGATAGTGGCGCACCTGCAGTATTTTTTTGATTGTTTCGATAAATGCAGTATATAACTCAGAAAACATGATCATTTACTACTGTGTTTTCACATACATAGTTTTTCTATAGATGGAGCGTCATCAAGTCAAAAAGCAGCATTGAAATATGTGTGAGTCGATATAAAAGATTAATCCATGATTACCAGAACTTGCTACTATGCAAACAGACAGTTTCGAGATTGCTTTCTACTGTTTAACCACTTAATCATAGACATATTCAGTAAATTTTAATATAAGGTTTTTGATTTTGGTAAAAAATATAAAAAGATTGGTTAATCAAGAAGGGATCCACCACCATTATTGGGGTTTAATGGCTGCCAATATGAAGGCTGCTGCTGTCGTTGCTGGGGCGGTTGTTGTTGTTGTTGTTGCCAAGTCTGTTGCTGCTGTTGTTGTGGTTGCTGCCATGAAGGTGGTGCTGGTTGTTGTTGTTGTTGTTGTTGTTGTAATGGCTGTTGCAGCTGAGCATTATAGTATTGTTGTTGAGGTGGTTGCTGTGGTGTAGGTGGCTGTTGTAAGTTACTGCTAGTAGGAGGATCCGAACGTATGGATACGTTGGATGACAACATTGGATGGTAACTGGGCATTGAAATAGGGGGATTTTGTGGCTGCTGCTGTTGCTGCGATTGCATTTGTGGAGGCTTGCTCGGCAACGGAGGGGGTTGTTGTTGCTGCTGTGGATGCCGCAATTGTGGTGTTTGTGGAACCTGTGGTATTGATGGTTGCTGTTGCTGTAATTGCTGCTGTTGTTGTTGTACCGGAGGAGGATGTGCCTGTGGCATTGACGGCGCCTGTTGCTGTGTCTGTGGCATTGGCTGCTGCTGCGATGGATACACAGACACAGAATAACGGTGTTGCTGTGGCTGCTGCTGCTGCTGCTGCGGTAGTGGTAATGGCGTCGGTGCTTGTTGTTGCGGTGTTGGGAACGAGGGCGCCGATGATGGAGGAGCTGCAGGTGGCGCACCATACATGTTCGACGATGGAGGCGCAGAAGCTATAGGCGCCGACGCGTACATCTCTTGTCTAGGCATAGCAGGTGCTGATGCAACAGGTTGTGCAAACATGTACGGCACAGGAGATGCACTGGCTGGTGAGGCACTATAATTGTTTGACGAATATGACGCCGCTCTTTGCATCGGTTGTTGTGGTGGAGGTGGAGCAGTCGGTTGTTGCTGTTGTTGAGGCTGATGGTTATAAACTGGCTGGGAAGGTATATGAGACCCACTATAGTTGGTATAAGACTGCTGCTGCTGAGAAGGAGGAGGAGGAGGTGCTGGCGCTTGAGGTTGTGGGGGAGCAGGATTGGAAAAACTAGCTGTAGGTTGAGGTTGAGGAGGACCAGAAACATATGACTGCGATGAGGTGGAGTACGAGCGAGGTGTGATGGGCGAAGCAGTAGGTTGATGATAGGCAGTGCTGTAGTAAGGCGGGTTATTGTTATTTGGTCCTCCACCGCCGCCGCTAATTGACATTTCGCGCGCCTTGTCGGCCAAAGTAGACATGGTCGTATCGATTCTCGGTGCAGACGGCATTGTCGGTGTCGGTGTTGGTATAGTCGTTGCCGTGGTAGCAGTAACAGCAGCAGCAGTTGACGAAGTATACTTGCTCAATTTTTCCTTAAGCAACTCTTGTTCCCTGCCACTGCGTTCCGTTTCTAACGTTTCCGCCATGCTTTCACGCTCGCGTGCACGCTCATTTGTGAATTTGCGCGTGTTACTGATTAAGGATTCAATCACATCGCAAAGGCTGGAATAGAATCCGATTCCCTTTCTAATGATATCAAGGAGCCAGTATTAAAAAAGTGATGATAACGTGTTAGACATAAACAAACCTTGCAGGGAGTATGTATAGCAATTGGCTCCTTTTCCTCCTCATCTCTTGTGAGCGATCCCGTCAAACTAAGGCCCGTATATTGAGTATCCATACCTTAAACCTTCTTTGGTTTCAAAATAACCTGATTGCGCTCGGTTAAACCGGTCAACAACATTGCGTCGTTGCCGTTCAGCAGTTTCCCAACGTTTTTGCAGCTTTTGTGCTTCCTCTCCATCCATCACTGACTTGAACGCCGTCGTCAGTTCCTGGATCACCTGTTGCTGCTGGTGGATCGATGCGGTGATCCGCTGTTGATGTGGCCGAAACTTTTCCAATTCAGAGCTAAATATCTGTTGCTCAATATTCACCGTCTTTTTGTTCAATATCAAGAGTTGCGAAATATCATCTTGCATTGTCTATTATACAAGACATTGTGTGTGTGTGTCAATACGTGAATCTAATTGATTGGCGAGCCTTCTCTTCCAGGAAACTATGAGAGCGACCCACATCCACCTAATTAACTCACCTTTTCTTTCAAATCTTCAAATGTTTCACGACGATCGTTTTCCATCTGTCGAAGCTTATCCAAAGCCGCCTCCACGCGCTTGATCTTGATTTCCATACTCTTGCTGCTGATACCAACATCAATTTCAAGATCAAGTAAGCTATTGACACCACTTCCATTACCGCCATTGGCTTTATCGTTCAACAATCCCGCCAGGCTTTCGGTAAACACGGTTTCCAATGGCTTGCTCTTGCCACCTTGACGTAGTACTCCGATATCTTGGGCAATTTCGTCATACTGTCGTAGTAGCTGGGTGTCCGATTGTGAGGCACTGCTCAACGACTCTCGATGATTACGCAGATCCTGGCGGAAATCACCCGTCAACAACCCTGATGGTTTTTGTGTCCATTGGTCGCCATATTTTACCTATTAAATTATTTTGGGTTCTCCTGTCAGTAAGGAATGAATTTACAGCAGCAAAAGCCCTCTGCCTTACTGCAGAAGCTCCTTCAATTCTCCTCTTACCCGCATATTTTCACATTCTCGCATCTCTTGATCCAACTCGAAAGATGCTTGATCCAACATCTGTGCAGCGCGCGACTTGAGGCCATCCAAGGTTTCGATCAACTCACGAACAGTCGTGTTATTACTCGACTCTTCGCTTGCCAACTTGTCCGCCCACCCACGAACCTCCGGTGTTGGCACAGCAAAGCTATCCAACATGGCGCTGTCTGCATTGCCCTGTTGCTTAAACTTGTCTAAAGATTTGGGCAGCTTCATATACTCAAGCGATGCATTCAGTTCGGCTTTTGCAATATCCAAGCGTTCCGACTCTGCTCTGACCAGTTTCGCCTTTTCCTCCGAGTACATGGAAGCACTCTCGTGAACACTCAACGGGATCAGGCGCGTAAAAATATCACCGCCAATGACCTTGCTGACCTCGTTGGGGCCATAGAGTTCCGAGATGGGCACGGGCTTGACGGCCTTGAGACGGTCGATAGGGGTTAAAATCGCATCCTTGGGAACGTGGTCGTGATAAATCATGTCGTTGTCACGCGCCGCGGCTGTATGCTTGTCTGCCAATGTTGCTGCCAAAGATTTACACAACTCTTGCAATACGGATCCACAATCTGCCGGCATGGTATGCATGGCACTACCAGTGTTGCTGTTGTTGTTGTTTTGCCCTGCGGCATTGAGTGATGACGCGCCACTGTTGACCAGCTTGGTGGCTTCCTTTGCAACGGTTTCAGCTGCTGCTAAGCGTGACACTTGTTCACCAAAATTCTGATCCAGACCACAGGCGGCTGCCTTGTGTTGCTGTGCCAATGCCTGATAATACTTGTGTTTAATCTGGGCCATCAGCATCCAGCTCTTATCGACACCAGTGCCGCGACTGATACAATCCTGGATATCGTCCGTCAGACTTCCATACACCCACGCCGCGTGGCTAGCCAGCTTGGCCACAAGACTACTTTTTTTCTTTTCCCTCAGCGAGTTTTCCAAAAAGCATTCATGTGCCTGTGCCAGCATCAGCTCGGTCAGCATCTTGACAGTGTCTCGGTTCAGGTCTTGCGAAGGTGCGTGCAGAAAATTGTCATTGATATAGAGAAACATTCCCGCAGATGCTTGGAAGAAGTTGAATGCGCGTTTACGACCGTCGGCCTCGGCCCGATTCTGCGCTGAGGCAATAGCAGAGAGGGTTGAGGCTGTGTTGAAGATAACACTTGCTTTCTCGTATGCAAGCGAGTATTGCGACGTGGCTCGGCCATTGAAGGCATCGTACCTGATTTTCAAAACAAGAGCATCGGATTTCTATTTTAGTCTCTTGTCGTTATTCTCATTAGGCATTTTATAATTGAAAAAGTTAAAAGTGGTTATTTTTACCAAGTAAATAGTATCTTGATATGTTTTTCGTCCACAGGAAACCGCAAGTCCAGCAATTCGAGCTGACCAAAGTATCGGTAGAGCAAATCACGCCCAGTTAAGTCCTTGCCTGCACCACGACTATCTTGTCGTAACCGGTTCAAGGCATATGTTTCTTCGCCGTACTTTTCGGGATCATCCTGGTAAACGTGCGCAATCCATTGTTTTAGAGGATGTATCCAGTCGACATCGTCAGTGCGCTTAAATGGCGCACTGATAAAGGGTATCTGTTGTTGCGCCATTTTGCGAGTGGAAATGTAGGTATGAATATAGAGATATTATGCTGTTATTTTTTTGTTCCAGATTATAAGTGTATATGAAGTAGATATGCGTGAGTTTGTTTAAACGCAAAGGGCCCTTTTCGGTGGGGCCGCTGGGTTTTATGAGGTACACAGCACCCATCAATGCAGTTTGACTTTCAATTTTTTTTTCGCGGGAAACAACGGCGCGTGTAGCCTGGTCAGCACGTTGTTGGATTAGAAAAGCTAAGGAAGGGCTAATAATCACTTGTTTTTTATATATACAAGCTCTGTCTAACCACTTAGCATCCAGAATTCGTTTGGATCTCGAGGAAATAACTATAGATACAAACGAGGAAGATCCCATCGCCGTGAGAAAAACGTGTAATTGTAGTAGTAGGTATTGGCATAATATCGATCAGAGCTTTACTTTATATGTTGGATGTAGCAGAGCATAAAGAGCATATCTAAAAGAGGTGACAGCTAACATATATTATTGCTAATGGGTTGCATGCCTGTTCCTCTCTTTCCGCAACCTTTCATACCTACTAAGTATCAATATTCAGACACCCATGTAGTAGCTTGTTGATATAGTAATCAACTTAACAAGGTACGTGTGACACTAAGGCCAATAATTGTCTAAGCGGTAATTCCACTGTTACTTTCCCCATAAGCGAAAGGAATTCTGGATTACAGAGCAGGGAGGGTACATCTAATCTTCTTTCATTAAGTGCTACCTCTCTGGCATATTGCGCTCCAAACATCATGTTTACCTCAACTTGTGGACAAATATGCTCCATGCTTCGTCTTTCGTCTTCTGCTCAAAAAATATCTTTACGGCTTGCCGCTCCTTCAGCTTCTTTCGTGGTAAGAAACCGATAACATTGAGCTTGTTTGACGACAAGGTTGGCTAATGTCATCACTGTCGGTGTGGTCGTCACTGTTAATATCATTGGGCTTTTACCCGAGTGAAAGTAATCGAAAAGCCTATGTCAGATGGCAAGTGTGGACGACAAGCGAGCTATTGGGCTTAGTAAGACCAGCGCACATCATGCGCTTAACCAAATGATAGCCTATGTGAACCAAGTCCTCTCCTCCCCAAAGTCTATTACTCAAACGATAAAGACTCATTGTCCTCTTGCACACCGTACTCCTTAAGGCGTAGATGCTTCTACGAAAGGAAAAGTCAAAACAAGCGTATCAATAGAATGTTCTTTGCTGTCGTCGCTGTTGTTGCTGGTGTTACTACTGTAGGCTAATTATCATAAATACGGCAGGTCTCGTATACTATTGTTGTTGCATGGTTACGCCCACTCCAGCAGTTCTAAAAGCAAAGGTAATTTCTCCACGAGGCAAACCAAAAGCTTTAGCTGCAGGTATTTTCCCAGTTGTTCAACCATTAACGTTCCGATTAAGAAAAAAGGACAAGTGTGTGGCTGCCACGGCTAGTAGTATCTGTTGCTTTTACATTTCATACTTTGAAAAGCTGAAGATCTTTGAATCACTTGAGCGAGTTTTATCAGCGAACTATTATAAAATTAAACCACATCGTTTGAGAAAAGAATTAAATAGAACTGGATGGGTTAACATGCGTTGACAATAATGAGTTTATCGTAATTTCAGAATTTAGCTGCAGCGGAACGGTAGAACGGTAGTCACGCGGATTTCCTCGCGCTAGGCTTTTGAATGTGTGAGCCTATTCGTCTCTTCCTTCCTTTATAATATACTACTACTACTACTTTTCTTTTTTCTTATATATGAAGAATGAGCGTCGCAGGCTCGACATCATCACGCGGAACACATTCTCGATCACGCTCCAGGTCTAGATCACCACCATACAACGATGGCCGTTATATGCCATCACGCTACAGCTCTCGATACGATTCATACAGCTACCGACCTAGAAACGCAATGTCTAACGCCATTGACGATTACAGAGAGTTACGAGACCGAGACCGAGATCGAGATAGAGACAGAGGCCGACTCAATTTTCGAGACGACAGATATCTGGCACGCGGCAGAGAAAGGTTTCTAATTGGGCTCTTTTTTCTTAATTCTTTAATTATACCTTTCCTCTCTCTCTTCTTGATGATCCCACTGAAGAGGGATGTTTAATTGGCTGGAAGAGAAGACAAATTGGATAGTTGATGCGACCAATGGACGAATGATATCTGTTTTACTGATGCAATAGTATAATTGTAGGGATAATCGATATCCTCCGCGGTATTATCGCGATGACTTGCCACCACCACACCATTATCCACCGTCGTCTTCAATTCCACGAGAATATCCAAAACCGTCGTCGAGTGCTTCAGTGCGTCGAGACAGTAAGCATTTTTGAATCATCTTAGAATTAAAGAAAGGAAAAGAAGATTTAAAGTTTACATGTGGTGTTGGTGGTGACCTAAATAAAACCTTGTGTAGCAAGCAGCGAAAGATTGAAAGAGCCAAAGAACGCAGCACCAGCAAATTTCAACAAGGACGTAAAAGATGACATACGCATGGGAAACACCGGCCCTGACTCGTACACACCTCCACCTCCACGCTACAACGATTGGCATCGCGACCGTGACCGTGATCGTGAAAGAGAACGACGGTATCGGGACGACTGGCGAGATATGGACATAAGAGGCCGTGATCGGGATAGGTAAAGCAGCATATAGGCACACATTCCTTTGTTCCTGTCTGGGTAACATAGTCCGTGTTATTGACTATTTTTTCTCTTTCCCCCTTTCTTTCTCTTTTTCTCTTCTTATCCAGTTATATGATGCGATACGACAATCCGGCATACGGTCCACCTCCACCACTCGCACCGCCATCACTATCAATGTCATACCCTCCATCCTTTGGCGGCGATTCGTACCGGCCGGACCGTGACCGTGATCGAGACATGCCACCCTCACCTGGCGGCCCACACCTGCCATATTATGACAGAGACCGGATGGATGATCGCGACTTTTACCGACATGTGCCTCGTAATGGACCTCCCATGGATTCGGATCGTTATCGCGGGCGGCCAGCGCGTTCATGGGGCCCTAGCTCGAGTCCAGCACCCTCTGTGCTCGGGCCCATCAAGGCACGAGAACGCGATCGAGAGCGCGAAGGAAGCATTAAAAGTCCACGCAGCGCAACTTCAGCGAGCGGCATGCCGCTGTGGGCACCGGTTCCGCAGTCAGCAACAGCAGCAGGAGCAGGACAACGTCTGGGAAGTGGTGGGCGAAGAGAGGATGACAAGGCAGAGTTCCGTTCGGATGATACAGACAGAATTTCTGGATATGGTAAATGGGGATCACTTTCCGTTTTTTATGCAATTATTACTTGGCGGCAACCTGATTGATTCCTTTTTTTATGCTCTCTTTTTTCTTTCTTCTCATTGACCACCCCGTTTCCTTCCCCTTTTCAATTACCAACCACAAAACACCCGGTTACTTAAACAAACAAAGCAGACGGCGACTCTACAATGACAACGCCCAAGCGAGGCAATACACCGGATCGTAAAGAAAGCGACAGACCTGAGTCGGACCGAATGTCAATTGCGACTGGTGAACGAACGTCACCACCGCCTTCTTCAAACGCATCCGAGATTGCAGAAGTGTCGAAAGCAGAATCAGAAACCAGCACTACACGGTCTGTTGTTGAAGACGTCCCTCGTGATTCTGGACTCGACGTCACAGTCAAGAAAGAAGAAGAGGACGAAGAGATGGTCGAGCCATCACCTGTGATTACTACAACAGCACCAGCGACACCACCACTGCCGGCAGAAACAGCGACAAAACCAGAGTCAAGGACAGAACCGACAACAGCAGCAACATCTGCAAACGAGTCAGCCCCACCTCCGCATTCTCCACTATCAGAACCTCAGACACAACAGACGGAAGTAACAGCAGCAGCAGGAGGAGGAGGAGGAGGAGGAGAGGGAGAAGTCGACAAAAATGTAAACCCCGAACCTATGGAAGAAGATCCGTCAGGTGTGGAGTCGAATGTCGAAACCAACAAAGCTGCTGTAGAAGATGTGAACTCTCACGCGTCACCTCCTTCTGCTACTGTTCCAGCTATTTCGGCAGAAGCGAATGCTGTTCCTGAGTCATTACCAGCTGTTACCACTAAAGATGTTGAAAAGACTCAATCTCAAGCACAGAAACAGGAGCAGGAACAGGAACAGGAACGGCCAGCAGAACAAGCGGTAGCAGCAGCAGAGGCGCCAAAGTTGAATGGCGAAAAGCAGTTGTCTCAACAAGAAATCGTCGAACGCATTGACCAGATTGAAAACGATATCACCATGTATGAGGAATTGTTGGAACAACTGAATAAACGTGAGGAGGAAGGCAAAAAGGAATCCAACGACGAGCACGAAACGGTATCAACGACCGGTGGAGAACTTGGATCCCTCTCAGCAGCAGAAGAGCAAAAGGAACGTGAAGAGGAAGAAGCTGCGAAGCAGCAAGCGTTGCAAGTGATCAGTGAAGAAACGAGCCGATCACAACACATAACTGATATCGAAAATCTTTCTTCGCTCAAGACATCGCCTGTGATGCGCAAACGCCCTCAGCTTCTCATCAACCAAGTCCGCTCCAACGACGAAACCGACGACTTACTGTCAGAAAAGCTGATTGCTGATAACCGCAAGGTTGCCAAAGAAAACTCAAAGATGATTGGTGGATGGCAGGGCAAGCCAGACACGGCAGACGATTGGTCCGATGAAGAAGAGTGGACAAAGCCCTTGTATCGCACCATTGACGAGTTCCCGTGCTACAAGGAGAATGTCAAGAACTTTGACAAGGTCAAGGTGTCGATTGCCAACAGCATGGCGCAGCACAAGAAGGCATTGAAAAAGAAGGAAATGCGCTTGAAGAAGGAATATCGAGAACTCTACGAAGAGTGGAAGCAGCGTTGCTTGACGCTGGATCGTATCCGTGACCATGAACGACGTGCTTTTGAGAAATACACATATCGGTCTCAATCGCGCCGTCGCACGGAAGAGGAAACAGAGGAATTCGTGGATGGCGTCATTTTCAACAGTGATCATGATGCGCTGCGGTTTGGCACAGATGGTATTGGCAACTCATATGGTGGACCGACTCAGGGCGCGTGGACATCCGACGCAGCTCGATCAGAAGCAGAGCTGCTCGAGATTATCCAGTCGCTTGAGTCTGCTGATATGCGAAACCCCGAATTGCGTGCAGCCAAGACGACAGCCACCATTCCTGCAATGATTCTCGACGAAAAGGAGCGCATGCGTACATTCGACGATCGAAGCGGACTTGTGATGGATCCTTTGACATACTATCACACTGGCCCTGAAACGGAAGATCACTGGACGCAGCAGGAAATGACGGCCTTTATGGAAAGTTACATGCAGTATCCCAAGCAGTTTGAAAAGATTGCCGCAGCCGTCCAGACCAAAACTGCTCCTCAATGCGTCTTGTTCTACTATCGCAAAAAGACCAAGATTGATTTCAAGGCACTCGTTAGCAAAGGGAGACGTGGTAAGGCCGGGAAAAGACGAGATCGTTTGGCTGCAGCTATCAGACGCGCTACTGGTGGTGGATCGTCGACCACGCGCAAGGGCAAGAGCAAGGGCTCTGCTCTGATGACGGATATCGGTGAGGCTCAAGTGTCTCGAAAGGCGAAACTAAAAGAGACAGAACGTAAAAGTCGCGAGTTGCGGGAGTTGGAAGAAGCAAATGCATACTGGGATGGTGTTCATGAACGTCGGCGAAGCAAGCGTCCTGGACCTACGCCTTCAGCCTCAGCACCCACAGCCGCTGGCCCGCAGACATCTGCAGTAGTCGGAGCAACAGGTTTGGCATCAGCCGGTACGGAGGAACTCGACAAGACGCGTGGCGATAAGCGAAAGCTGTCTCGACGAAAGGGGAGATCACCTAGAGGTTCTGCTAGTGCTGCTCAAGTCGTACCAGGCGAGCCCCCAGCTAATAGCAACAACACTAACAATAACAACAGCAACAACAACAACGAAGAGTTGATGGATGAAATGGACAGTGCGGAACGAAACTTGGGAGGTGCGGCAAGATGGTTAGACAAGGATAAAGAAGCAGCCATTGAAGCATTCAAGGTACACGGTCGCAATTTTACGCGTGTGGCAGCGCTTGTTGGAACAAAGACTGAAGACCAGTGTCGCAACTTTTATCACAACTATAAGCGCAAGTTTGGTCCTTATGCGTTTGATGAAGAGCCCGAGTTGACCACTGGCGCTGTAGCCTCATCGACAGCAGCAGCGTCAGCAGAAGCTCCGATAAAAGCGTCTCCTGCCACAGCTGCTCCTGGTCCTACTGGTCCTACCACTACAGCGATGGTTAGCGAGACCACAGGTGCTCGACCGGACTTGAAGGCGGAAGAGGAGGATGCGGCAGCAGCATTGATGGGTATGTGTAGAATGGGAGCAGCTACTCCGCCGCCAGCAACACCCAGTGGTGCTATTACTACTGCTGCTAGTCCTGCCGCTGATGCAGCAGCAGCAGCAATGAAGCCAACGCAAGGTCATACGCGTACATTGTCGACGACCCAAATGGACGATCAGCGCCAAGGACGAGGATCCACTTTGCCTGCTGCTGCTGCTACTATTACTACTACTGCGACTAGTACATCAGGAGGAGGAGGAGGACAACAACGACGTCGGCGAGCACGTACTTCATCGGGCAAAGCTGTTGACAGCGATATGATGGACGAGTGGATGGAAACGGAATTTACTGCGAATCGACCAGCACGCAGACCTGGACGACCACCTGGGTCGACCATGTCCTCTGATCCAGTGAAGCGTCCAGCCTATTCGTCCTACTGGTCCGTCTCGGAACGCAGTGAGTTTATGCGACTTTTGGAGAAATATGGCTGCGATTGGGATAAGGTGGCGAGTGCATTGACAACAAAGACGGCGACGCAAGCGCGGAACTTTTATGTCAACAATGAAGAGAAGATGCAACTGGATGAAATTGTGAAAAGGCGCGAGCGAGCTCCTGAGCAGCAGCATCCACCCGCTATCACTGCTACTGCTGCTACTGCTCATCATCACCAGCCTCCTCCTCCTCCTCCTCCACCACCGTCATCGCAACCACAAGCGCAACAACAACAACAGACACCTGCACACCCACCACTGCCGCCACCATCGCAAGAACCAGTAGCAGCGTACGAGGATAGTTCAAAGACGCACTTCCGAGTAATGCAAAATTTACCATTCCATCAACCGGTTGCACCAGAGCAACATCCACCTCCACCTCCACCACCCACTTACGCAAGCCCATCTATGAGTGGTGGTGGTCCTCGCGTAGGTTACTTCACGCCGTCTCCCCCTGCACCACCATCAGCAGCAGCACGACAGCATCAACAACCCGGGGTGATCCATGCTTATCCTCCTTCTCATCCGCCCCCACCTCCCGGATACTCAACAATGCCTCCACAACATCCACAACCTCAATCATCACCATCCATAGCAGGCTATCCACAACAGCAACAACAGCCGCCACCGCCATCGCACCATCCTCAACCACACCATCACCACCACCATCATCCTCAACAACAACAGCAGCAACAACAACACGCTCATCCATATTCGCACATGCACTCCGATAGATCGGCACATCCATTGCAACCACCGAGCCCGCATCCACCTCCTCCAGCAAATGTATCATCCGAGCCTGCGTCCTCTTCGGTGACAAAGGTAGCGGATTTGTTGAACAGTGATGAACCTAGCGACTCGACAAACCAAAACAATTGGGAATCATGGTTTTCTTAGCATGGCTTTCATTTGTCCAATTAATCCTTCTTCTTTTGTACATTAATATATTAGTATAAATACATATATACAACAACAATTCATATTCCACTTTAATCGAACGAAGAAAAAAAACCAGAGAAAGAAAGGGTGGTGCCATATCTTATACCCGTAGATAAATAGATGGATAGATGGACACACAATGGAAACAGTAGAATGATAAAGGGGAAGGGCGTAACGAAAGGGCCACCTATCAACATCATACCCAGTATGTAGCATCCACATTGCATATTATATGCACTGAGGTAGATGCGCTATTCTGTGAGTATGTAAGTACGCATCGTCTCTTGACATACAGCATTCTATGTAGTTATCTAATATGACCCATTATGCGTGTCCGTATTGAATGAATGAATAAATGAATGAATGAAGGATGGTGCTATGTGGTGGCGGCACGTGAAAGAATTAGAGGGCACCATTTTTGGGACATGGAGGTATTGTCCCCTTACTTTTGCCGAAACACACAAAGATGGGCTCCTCTCTTTTCTGGCCTCTGCGTTGTACAAAAATTTGGGGTGGGAAGGGAAGGGGGGGGGGTTCAGACGGGCGGGGGGTGAGGAGGGGGTCTTGTCCATCAGGGATAGCTTCGAAGCAAAGAAAAGCAAAAGGACAAGAAGGCAATCAATTATAGGAGCTGCCCCGTTTGCCTTTTTATTTAACTAACGCCCTTTTACAATATCCAGTCTCATTATATATTACTTCTTTTCTTCTTCTTCCTCTTCTTCCTCTTCACCCTTTGCCTTTCTACTACTCTATATAATCAACACCATCCTTACTTTTCAATAGAAATTCTTCTTTTTCTTCTTCTTGCATCTTTTTTCCTAAATTCTTGTCAATCAAGTTCATACATGGAGCCTGCACCGCCACCCGCCGCCGCAGCCTATTCATCACGCCTCACGCGTTGGTTCTTTCGATCCAGCAGCAACTTACAGCAACAAGCAGCAGCAGCAGCAGCAGCAGGTGACGACTTGGATGACACGAAATCATCCATTACACAATTCGGTGTGCCCTCACAATTCGATGATCTACAGCACCAAAAGGGGATCAAAAGCAACAGCTGGTTCAACCACGATGCTGCTAGCCACCAGAGCAACAACACCAAAAAATCCGTTCGACGTATCGCTTCAGCGCCTAATGCTAAAAACATGCTAGAAAACAAGAAGCAGTATCACCACCAGGAAACTCCGCCGCCACTGCCTTCCTCAGGTTATGCACACCATCACGATCCTAATATCAAGCCATCGCCACTGTCATCCACAACAACGCTGGCGACGTCTCGGATGGGCAGAAGTAATTTGAATCGATCCGAAACGCTTAAATTGAATCGACGCTCCTATGCAGCGAATAGCGTCAAAGTGCGTGAAGTCCAAGTAGGACCGAGCAGGTGAGTCCGTTACTATACAGAGAGGCTAATTGACCAGAGCCTTGGTTGCTAGTTCTATCGTGTCTCCCAGAACAAAGGTTAACTAATGGTTCCATTGCATACATAGTTTCTCCAAAGTACGATTATTAGGCAGAGGCGACGTTGGCAAGGTTTACTTGGTTAAACAGAAAGGCACCGAGAAAATGATGGCCATGAAAGGTATGTAATATCAATCAAGATAATAAAAAGTATTTCCTTCTTGGTACCGTTCGCTCTTTCTCTCTCTCTGTGTATGCGTACAGAGGAGCCTCCCCACCTAAAGAAGATATATAACCCCTTTTTCGTTAACACACAATCTCAACCCCTGAAAATAAAAAACTATTATTCTAGTCTTGTCAAAGAAAGAAATGATCCGACGGAACAAGATCAAACGAGTTTTAGCGGAACAAGAAATCTTGGCGAGCGCCAATCATCCGTTCATTGTGACCCTCTATCATTCGTTTCAAAGCCAAGACTTCTTGTACTTTGTTACTGAATATTGTATGGGAGGTGAATTCTTTCGAGCGCTTCAATCTCGACCAGGCCGGTGTCTTAATGAAGAAGGGGCGAAATTCTATGCTGCAGAGGTGATTGCTGCACTCGAATATCTTCATCTGCAAGGCTTTATTTATCGCGATCTGAAACCTGAAAGTAAGTAAAATGTACACTGCCATGATTACCACTACTGGCTAGTTACTACTACTATACATATGCGGGAAACAAAAAAAAAAGGGCACACATGCACAATATACGTATGATGATGTATATATGTCATATCGATCAGTAGATTAATCAAATGCATACTCATTCCTGGTTTATTATCATTGTTGTTATTCTTGCAGATATTTTGCTGCATCAAAGCGGCCATCTGATGCTGACTGACTTTGATCTGAGCAAACAATCAAACCCGCCATGTCCACCAAACATTGTCAAATCCGCCTCTCCTCATATTGTATGTTGTTATTGTTGACACACGCGCCCGTGCGTATATTATGTTACTCTTTTAATTAATTATACAACGCTTGCTAACAGCAAACCTTCTTTTTCTCTTTGTTTCTTAGCCACCTTCCATCGACACAAAAACGTGCATTGCACACTTGAGGACCAACAGCTTTGTGGGAACTGAAGGTAAATTCTTCATCAACTACTGCTACTCTAAATTACACGATTTCCTCTCTCTCTCTTTATTTATTGCTCCCCCATGCAGTATACACTTCTCCTTTATTTTTATTACCAGATTGTAGAATTAGTATTAGTTTCGTGAGGAAAACGTTTTGACATGATTGTTTCCGTTTGTTAGAATACATTGCGCCAGAAGTGATCCGCGGGTGTGGCCACACAAGCGCAGTGGATTGGTGGACACTAGGCATTCTAATTTTTGAAATGTTGGTAAGAAACAAGCAGAAAAGTTATACTTGCCCCTTGTTATTTGCGTTGTTACTATTATGGTTGCCACGGTTACGTATATTGCTATGGCAACGACACTACATTCGTTGTCATAGATATTTGTTGTGAAGCGCTATGGCAAGAATATCACTTGTGCAAAAAAGAACGATTCACTCATGAGGTACATGGTGCTTTAATTTTTAGTATGGGACAACGCCCTTCAAAGGCGCAACCCGCAACGAAACCTTTTCGAAAATCTTGCATACGGACATTATTTTCCCTGAACGGTCGACAGGCTCGTATTTCAAAAGTAATAACAATACCAACAGTAATCAGCACTATCCGAGCCACACCAGTCGACGTGCCAAAACTGAACCGCAGGCGGTTTCAAACAATTGCAAAAACTTGGTTCGTCGTTTACTCGACAAGCAGGAGGATGCTCGGCTCGGCTCGCGCGCAGGCGCTAGCGATGTCAAGGCCCATCCGTTCTTTCGGACGATCAAGTTTGCTCTTCTAAGGCATATGACACCACCCATCGTGCCTTCGCAAAGTATTCAAAACCCTCAACGCCCCTTGCATGAAAGCGTGAGTTTGGATCTTGATCGTGATGCGCCCATCGAAGCAAGTAACAGCAATCCCTTCTCAAAGTTTAATTCTGGTAAGGTGTACAATCTCATAAACAAGTTTGCTTTCATGTCTACTCGTTTTCTGTGTGCTAACATTTGTTCATGGTTGTTGTTGTTATTGGCGTTTGCTGGCTATTTTTCTTAGTGACGTTATACCATGAAGGAGACTCGGATTCGGAGACCATTGTCTTTTCGGAGGACTAAAGAAATTGAGGGCTGTGCCCCATCATCTTCAAACGTGTGCCTCTCGTTTACTCCCTAATTATTGTTCTACCATATACTCTTTTCTCTCTTATTTATACAAACACACACAGCATTCATCATCGTGCGTTAGCCCTCCCACCTCCGCTCCCTGCTTTCTCACTCACTCACACACTTTCTCTCTATAAATATTTGTACAGTAACTAAAAAGAACTCCAAACCCGTATAATTCGTGTTTTTTTTCTCCTTAAAATATACAATGGTTGGGTCCATGCGCTCGTTTAGCTTGACAAGCTCGCTCCACTTTTTTTTTATCAACTCCTTATTTTTATATCGTCAGGACTTGCTTGTTAACTTGCTAATAACTCCATGCACACATACATACATCCTACACGCTATCGCATTTACTATCTCCCCCGCCCTCCCCCAAATTCTTTCTCCTTTTACTCTTTGCAAAAAAAAAAGTGATCGAGAAAGAGAAAGTGACAGTTTTTGCTCCTTACTGCTAACAAGTATTTCCATAATCGGTGTTTTGATATCCTTTTCGCATTACTATTGACATAAATGCTCATACAGATCATTGGGTGCTTATCTGTTTACATTCATAGCTGTCAGCAACTGCGATGACGTCAGTTTTACTGATGATTTCGCAAGAATGGATATATGTGATCTTTTCCAGGATATGGCGTCAACAATATGGAGGTTGTGTTTCTCTCATGCAAAATCATTTTAAGCGCCGCAATCTTATGCATTAGCAAGATGACATAGAGCACTTTCTAGTTCCAATGGTACAGGGTGACATGGAGAACTTATTGTGGGGGCTCTAAACAAGTCCTTTTACGTTATCATTATTACGCAAATCACACAAAAACTAAATAAATTTGAAAACTAGAGAAGAAATCCTTGAATTTCGCCAATTCGCCACTACAGTTCTGTTTCCAGTACTGACTCGGACCAAAAAGCACCGGCGGGATCTACGATGTTCAAATTGTCATGGCTGTCGAGAAAGTGAACAAGGAGATACATATGTAGCTCTGACAAACTCTTATTTCAAAAGTAAAAAGAGTATAAATGTTTCTTCATCAACACAAGCACTTGAAGTAACTATAAGAGTTACGCAACATCTGTTATTTCCAGTTAAATCCCTGTCGTTGCAAGAACAGCTCTTGTGCATATAAATATATTATGCATTCACATTAGCAATGGAATTGAGTTTTCCGTACGACCATAACTATATGAAGTATTTTCTTCTCTATATAAATTATGCTGCCCTCAACAACCTGGATGCCAAAGTGACTGCTCTCACTGCCTCGTTGTCGCCCTATAAGCTCACATGAGCGGGTACCTTTTCTGTGCTACATCATTTGGTCCGCCATCCAAAAGACCAAACGCAGACGCATGAAAAAGTGCAAACACGTAGCTATTACGATTGCAGCAAGTCTGCCCAGCTCTAGGGTGTCTCGGGACACATCGTTTTAAAAAAAACCACACTCAAAACATAATGTGTAGTACTGCTTGTGTGTTCAATTGAAATTACGGAATCGACGTAACAGATCCCCTCAAGAGACGATGTCCCATGGGTGATTTGAACAACAACTTTCCGCAGAGTTTATAATTCGTGAGCTAAGCGTAACTGGGAACTGTAGTCGCGGGGCAGCCGTCTCGGACTGTTGCGATATGCTTTCATACATTAGTTTTGATAGCGCAGGCCTTGTTTAGCTCCAGTGTCGAGTAGAGGGGTACGCGTCGTCATTGCTAAAGAGAAGAGAAAAACATCGTAACAGTCGTGTAGAGAAATGAGATTAGTGTGTACGCGTAGCCTGGAGTGTGCACATTGCGCAGGGAATCCCTATGTCTCGGGAGATGACAGACCCATTGCTCAGCGTGTCTAGTGTGCTTGTCAGTGTAACATGGCATGACCTGGGTTGGCAGTATGTATTAGACGCTGTCAACTCTCTCTCTTTTTCCTTTTTTGGATCAGCTAATCGAACGAGCAATAAAATAGATTTAAAAGCAATGCTTGGAAACAAATTCTGCTACTTTGCTCCCCCTCCCTGTCACACTTTTTTTCCTACTCGCACTGTCACCTCTAAAATGAAAGTACTCACAAAGATGTCGACGGATCGTGCAGGCCGCGTTAAGTAGCCAAAACTAAACGCAGCAGCAGCAGCAGCAGCAGCAGCAACAACAACACAAAGAGCGTCGCTGACGACTACTTCAAGAAGTTAGCAGAGAAGAATGACGAGTACTTGGAAAAAAAACTTGCTCTTTTTCCCTATTTTACATATTTTTAATAATCACTTAGTATCTGAATCATAATACCAGCATTGCGCTGTATAGAAGCAAAAGACAAGCCTTTTTCTGCTGTTGTGTTCTCAGCGTCTGTTCTAGTAACTCTTTCTTTTCTATCATGCCTTCCTTTGCCAATATAGACAATGATTGTGGTAAACGTGCAATTGACAAGGTCAGATTCTCACAAGGAGGGGTATAAAGATAATGCCGGTTGACAGCATTAAAATCCATGATTACTAGATATTTCATAATAGTTTAGTAATAAAACGGGTTATTCAAAAAGAAGAGCTATGGTGGCTTTTCATCATAAAGCGACTCCTCCTTGCTCAATCCATCCACTGAACGTATTCGAAGTGGACGTAGGCCAAGAGCCGAATCATGATACAAAAGACAGTATGTTAGTTTCGGCGTGTGCTTAGAAATGCTTCCAAAATTACTCATGAATGAAACATACTGCAGTAACGTAATTATGATTTAGTGGCAACCAGACCGGTTCTACTAGAGAAAACAGTCGGTCACTATGGCTGAAAAGACACGAACAATGCGTACTCTTTAAGAGAAGCAGTAAATACGATGCAGGGACACGAAATAACATAACAAAACGGAATTATGGTTTTCCACATTTTCCCACAGTCCTTCAACTGTTTGGGTTTTGTAACACGATGGAGACTTGTTCGTAGAACAGATTATGAGGTGCACGTGTAAAGCATTGAGGTTTTCCTCTTACTCTCGGGAGTACTACTAAAAGCACAAAGTGTTATCACGATTCACAATAACAGCTGAAATTGGCTCCACTGTAAAGCTCATTATCTACTAGTGCTGCCATTTTGGGGAAATCAGGTAACTCTCGCTTGTACACCCAGACCGGACAGAACCGAGCACAGGTTCACACAAATCACACGCAGTCTCCATAACAATCAAATCAAACCCTGATAGCGAGAGCCCGCGCCTCAAATGCGCCACTTGTTGAGATCTAGTGAAGATCTTACATTTTATGGGAAAGTAAGTAATACCATCGCTGAGCGAGCGATTTGTTTCGCCAATCTTGCTTCGGTCTTGGCGATTCACATGATTGAACAAAAAGACCTTTAGCTTATATTACTTGGAGAAGTCGGATTAATCTGCCCTAGTTAATGCCAAAATGGACTTGACAAGTTATAGGCATCCAGAAGTAGTCGCGGATGTATCAAAGGCAATAATCAACAAGTTACGGCATTCTTCGATTGTATAAATTGTGCTGATACATGATCAGTAAGAGTAGAACTTTACTAAATACCTACATCGAGAGGACGCAGGGAGTATTGTATGAATTAAGCGATAAATTGAGTGTAAAATCTCGAAAATAAAAATAAAAAAAGAGAGAGAGTGTAAGAGCGAAAATAAAGTACACAATATATTGACTGTTGCAAAGTACACCATCTCGGAGGAGTAACCCGTACAAGTATACTACACAGCCCGTCATGCTTGCAAGTATGAACACAAAGATCGGGCCCATCATTGATAATCTAGGGTTTTCTATGATGTAAGTTTGTTCGAACACGTAGTTGTAGTGGTACTTCTTGTGCTCGCACCCGTGCGAGCCACTCTATGATACTCTATTTTTAACGCCAGCTGCGATTACCAAAAACGATTTTTTTGGTTAGTCTGGTTTTATCTATATCCTCTTGTGCACTTGATGGAGTTACGCAAGCAAGGTTTATTGCGTAAGCTAAAATTCGATCAGAGAAACAAAATACAAGAATCTGCAAAAGGTTTAAGATTTGAGAAAATACACGGGCGGCACCACCTTGACTATCAAAGTAGCTATTTGAGTTGTTAGTAACGGTTTCTTTTTTAACATTGACGCTTCAGCGTGAAAGCATTAGTGGGCCCAAACGGAAGTATCCTTGATTTCCATAGATTCGCGCCTTTCAAAAAAAAAAAAAAAGTCAAAATATGTGCTGGGTTTCATTTCTCGTTCATTGATATGCGGAGTGCGCATGTGACACATTGTGGCGTCAAGTGAGGATGGCATTTGTATCTGTAATAGCAGCGTACAGCGTACAATACTGAGAAAGCAGTATTTTCTGAAGACATGAGAATACATGCTCTTGCTGCTGCCTACTGCCATGATAAAACACGTGTGAAGAAAAAGAGTCTGTTCTTGCATAGAAGCAGTCCGTCAACCCCGCAGCAAACCACGTCGAGACTGGTTCTCTGCTTTTAGTTAGTTAGTGTGGGGTAAACAAGTGTCACTCAATTATGTGGAGAGACCAGTTACAAGTGCGGAGTTGTAACCATTTATGGGGTGCCGTGTGAATTCCCTTTACGTATGCGAAGAGTCTTTTAGGAAATTCGTAAGACGGATATCAATCCAATTGGGTAAACGTACACAACCGTATCCGTGTTCTTCTACACATAGAGCGGAACATCCAACCGAGGCGATCGATTTTTGTGGGGACGGATACCGTCCCAATTGGTTGGAGATATGCATTTGGAAGCAAGTGGCTGCCGAAGCTATATAAGAGAACACGTCTTTCCCCACAATTTTTTTCTAATTCCACCTACTTTTCTTTACCCACTCTATACTTCTTTATATATAATGGCGACCGAAGAAGTTATAATAAAGAAAATGAAAACGGATGATTCAATCGAGTTATCCCACGCCGACTTGCCACAATCTTTGGAAGAACTTGATCCAAAGCTCGAAGCCAAAATCCGAAGAAAATATGATTTACGTATCATGCCCATCGTAACCTTGATTTACTTGATGGCATTTATCGACAGGTACATTATTCCTCAGCCTTTGACAACTACGACCAGACAACCACGATAAATTCGGCTCCTACGTTACTAACAACAAATATTGAATGTATTCAAAGATCAAACATGGGAAATGCTAGAGTCCTCGGCATGGAAGAAGACCTCGAGTTGACTGGTGTTCGTTTCAACATTACCTTGACTGCCTTTTTCATTACTTACGTCCTCTTTGAAGTGTGAGTTGCGTTTATTTTCGATCAGAAATTGTTGTTTGAATGACAGGAAGCGGTTGAATGCTTATTTATGTTCCTTCCTTGACAATATAGTCCAACAAACATCATGTGCAAGAAATTCGGTCCTAGAGTAAGTCGAATTCGTATTTTTTTCTATTGCAGGTGCATTACAGCGCTATATAGGAAGAGCGTCGTTTGCCTATTTCTTTTTCTCACCGAAGCTTTAATTTGTGATAATAGATCTGGTTGTCGATTATTACCTGTTCCTTTGGTCTTTTGACTATGTGTATCGCATTCTGCACCAACTTTGCCGGCATTACAGCTGCACGCGCTATTCTTGGTATCGCTGAAGCAGGTATCATGCCCGGTATTTCGTATATGCTTTCGACCTTGTAAGTGCCTTTGCAATTACTCATGAAGAGCAAGAACTCTTCTACGTTGTATATCTTGATTATTAAATTTATATTTTACTTAGTTATCGACGCCATGAACTTGTCACTCGCGTTGGTGTTTATGCCGCATTTGCCAGTTTAGCTGGTGGCTTCGGTGGTATGTATACAAATAAAATCTTCTGTCAATTCCAATCACAGCGGCTAAACTTTATCTTTCGGTGTATACTGATCATCTTGTCTATACTTTTTAAACAGGTTTACTTGCAACCGGCTTACACATGATCCCTCCGTGGGGTATGATCCACACCTGGCGCAACATTTTCTTCTTTGAAGGCATTTTAACCATCGTATCCGGTGTCATTTGTTACATGTTCTTACCAAAGTCGCCTGAAACGGCAAGATTTTTGACTGAAGAAGAACGACGCATTGGCGCTCTCCGCATCCAACTGGAAGTCCTTACCAACAATCAAACCAAAATTCAAAAAAGCCACTTTAAGCTTGCCATATGGAATTTACATACTATTTTAATGTCTATTGGTTTGTTCTGCTCGCTCTTGTGTATGAATTCGATTGCTCTTTTCATGGTACGTTAATTCTTTTTAACTACTAGTACTACTACTACTATCATAATTATATTTTGTACATAGAAAACCAAAGATATTTGTGTGTTAACTTGACAATTATTTTTTTTGTATAGCCTTCTCTTCTGAGAACCATGGGTTATGACTCAATTCAGGCTCAATTAATGACAGTACCTCCTTATGCTGTTGGCACTGTAGTCTGTATAGTCCTCTGTGTTCTTTCCGATCGCTTCAAGACGCGTGGTATCATCATTGGTGGCATTGTTGCCGTTTTAATTACCATTGCCTTTGCTATCCTCCTTGGTGTTTCAATGGATAGTTATGGCGTTCGCTACATGGCTATTTTCTTTGCCACCGCCGGTGCATTCACTGGTAGTCCCATGCAGATCGGCTGGCTCGTCGAGAACTCGGCTGGTCCTATGGTTCGCGCTATTACCAGTGCTACTGGTGTCAGTATTGGCTCGCTCGGTGGTTTGCTTGCAACCTGGACTTACGCAACCGATTACACTATTGGTCACATTATTAACCTGATTTCTGGTGTTGTCATCATCTGTGTTGCTGTTACTGCTACTATCAACTTGCGCTGGCAGAACCGTCAACGTGCACTGGGCAAGAAGGATCATATCCTGCAAGGTCTCACACAAGACGAAGTCGAGCAACTTGGTCACTCGCATCCTCACTTCCGTTTCACACCTTAATTGCTCTTATTACTACTCTACACGCTGCTTCCTATCTATATCCCCTCTCTCCTCACCCGTCATACACTTTTGCTTTTTAAAATGAAAATCACAATCTCTCAACCTTTTATGTACTTATTATCTCAGCGACCTCCTTATCATCACTCTCTTCCTGCTTGATGCAGGCTTGTAAAATAGTTTGTTCTTCTTTTCTCTCTTTATCATTATTTATATGTTTTGTAAAATATAAACATTCGCAGCTGGTAGACCATCTGTTTGCTGGTTAAACAATTCATTGCAAACCACCACAAAAATACAACGGTAACAATTTTTTACATACTGTTTTGTGCCTTTCGTTTTTCTAAAATCAGTACGAACACTAGCCTGTTATGACCGGAAAGTTTAATCGTTTACTTCTCTGGGATTACACGGATTTTTATTTCCGGGTTTACTCGCTGAATCAAATTCAGGGACATCTGCGGAGATGTTGCAGTGGCTCATCAGATGAGCATCATCAGAGCAGTACAAATAGCAGCTTTTGCAAGGCACGTTATTGAAATGAAAGCTTCTTTGTCATCACTTTGCTAGCAACCCATAATGATGAATAATAGAGAAAAGTTCGTAAAGAGTTGATGTACATAGTGTAGCTGTACCATTAAAAAGAATAAAACTTATCGTTTTCAAACATTGTTTTGATCTTCCTTTGCGTTCGTATGTTGTATGATGAAGAGATGCTGTGGCAATAATATCGGTAACAAATACAATACTGTCAATATCATTTGGGCTATGGTGCCAAACAAAGAAGCTTTTCTTTATATCGCTTCGTCGAGCTTGAACGTTTTCCGAAATTAGTAAACCATGCGGGTGGGTGATCCGAGCCTCCATGAGTGCGAAAACAAAAACGATTTGCTTATAGTCCAACTCTCATTTTTTGAGCACTATAATGAGCGTATGTCAATGCGTTTTTGGAATTAATGGTAGTAGCAGTCGCTCTAGATCAATATGTCACTACTTGTCCCATGTGTTACGATTTTTTCAACCATTTAAACCATGATAGTCAAAGTTGAACTCGTGCGTTATTGAATAAATTAACGGATCGTATATCCGAAATTTTGTTTCTGCTTTTGGATATCTAGTGTAGTTTTATCGGCTAGAATTGCAAGAACGGGTGGGTGACAGTATTCATGTTACACCGATTGTTCCATTATCGAGCTTCTAATTTGACAAGACCTTGACGTCTCGGGGTATATACACATACACACCCCTAATACAGACGAATCCAAAACACGAATTAATAAAGCGAAGAAAATGTGGGGGCATAATCACAAGCAAATGCTTCATGATTCTGTAGTAGCGTTTTTGATGATCTTTACCATTCTATTTCCGCATGCCTTTTCGTATGATACGTTGTCGTCAGCTCGTCGGGTTTGCTGATCCGCATCTTTCTTGATCCTGTAGTAGTTAATGCAATATTATACATACCGCAACAATCATATTAGCCAACTTGTAGATTTAAGGAGAGTACAAGATCTTTGCCATACCAAAACTGCAAGATTCCGCGCACATCATCTGCGTGTCAGTGAAGAAAAATGTTTATAATGGCTCAGGAGTATCGAATATACCTTCACTGAGTCGATTCAATGGCGCCACTTTGAAGCGAGTGACCTGTAAACATGGAAGAATAAGATACCCGCAACGGCTCAGCTTGTTCAACTCAGGATCGATTCAGAAGGCTGGCAAAGCCTGGCTTTCTAGACAGTTACAACGCGAGCTGCTATTATCTGTTTTCCCTGGTCTTACATTTAAAGAACTGGGAGTAATTGCTACTGGTTTATGAGCGACAAACGCGTAACATCTTTTTGGAGATCATTGACAATCTATCAAGATTACGAAACAAGCTGGCTAGCTATCACAAACGTACATCAGCATGTCAAGAGTTTATCATACGAATCCGCTCACACACTGATATCACTTGCGCCGCTCGACCTACGAAGCGCGGTGAGCAGGCTGCAAAGGTATATACGTATCACATTGTCAATGAATTTTTTACTTTTAGACGGAAGCGCTAGTTTTCTTGTATGTCTTCCACACGTGACAAAAGTGACATCAAAATAGTAAAAGCAACACCACCACGAGACCAGAACCACAGCAGTAGCAGCGACGAGAACAGCAGCAGTAACAACAAGAAAATGACGGTTTCAAGGTTCAGAATCAGCTCAACCATGTACTAGTGAGACGTTTGTGATAGTAAATGTCTAAGACATCATGCTTTTGGTAATGCTGACGAGGTGCTCACTGCCCTCCAAAATTCGGATGCCTAAATGGCTGATCCCGCCGTCTTGTTCCCTTGATCCCTCTCTCCTGCCACCTTGAAAACATCCATTGTGTAATTAAAATAAAATGATTAATTAAAGGTGTTTATACAACGTATTCAAGAAGCAGTAGAGCAACCTTACAGGCAACTTACATAATCTGCACAAGCACGCAAAATCATCCAAACGATAAGAATTTGAAAGAACGAGCACTGCATCTCTTGGTCTGCCATCTAAGTTACTGATTGAACTCCAGAGCGTAAACGCGCAAGGTTTATAATTAAAGAGTGTAGGCCTTCCAAAATCTTTAACATGCCGAGAAGCGTGTAGGAATTAAGCCTGCTACTTGGATCACCGATTGCCAGTGCAGATCTCCCTTAAGACAATGCCACACATTAGCGAATTGAGAATGAAGCGTTTTCGCAGGAAGAGCTGTCATGAACCCGGGTGCTCATTTGTTATACTGCACAGTTCATAGCTGGTAGCCGCAGTCGCAAGAACTGCATGGGAGGCAGCCATCTTTGACTGCTCCGATTATCATGCGCCCGTTTTGGATAGCCTAGACCTTGTGTAACTTTAGTGTCGAGTAGAAGAAAAAACGCGTCTTTTATACTTTAACAAGTCGAGACACTCCATGAGAGCCGTGTAGAAAGACGAGACTAGTGTGTACGTGTAGCCTGGCGTGTGCACATTGCAAGGGGGAATGTCAGGTTGATTGCAATCCCAATGACTCGGGAAATGGCAGACCCATTGTCCAGTGTGCTTGTCGGTGTAACCTGACATTGCCTACATGGACAGGTGACCCTATCAACTTTCTTTTTTCCTTTTTGGATGGGGTGGGTGGGTCAGTTGAACAATTCTTTTTTTTCGAAATGGAAGATTTCCAGCCCTGTGACTTTGACCAATTAATTCACCACGAAACGCTCCAATCACACGAATCAAAATGTCAACGACGCGTGAAGGAGAACGCATACCGTGTTTGCATTTTCATTGCCATCTAACCTAAGCAAGCCCAGCAGAAGCTGCCTTGAGCTGGTTACTGTGCTCGCCTTTTTCTTTACACTGCAAGGAGTTGTATCTGCTTTGCATATGGTAGGGCGTTGACTGCATCAGTTCACATCATGTCGGGCTTCCCATAATCGGGTTTGAGAGGTCAATATTCATTAAATCGCGATGAGATTGTAGAAAACAAGTTGACACCGCTTGAAATGTAATTTTGACGATTTACACATGGCACACGCGTGCGCAGTAAAAACAAATGGACAGTCATATTGGTTTTCGCTCAGCACAAGGCTGGAAAGATTTATTAAGTGTTTTTATAAAAGTATATTTCAAAGTTATAGAAAAGAAAGAAAGAGAGAGAGAGAAGGAGAGGGAGAGAAGGAGGGAGAGAGTGGTTTGCACTGCTCACATCTACGCGATGTTGCCCAACCACGCACTTACCCGCTCCATCTTCTCCTCCTGGGAGACATGCTTTTGTTGTTGTTCGTCGTCGTCGTCGTCGTCTTCGTGCTGCTCCTGGTCAGCAGCAGAGTCAACATCAACTTCAATGATGATGGTACTGTTGCTGCTGTCATCGCTGTCATCGCTGTGGTGGTGGCCGTCGTGGCCTCGATTGCGGCGCGGGCGGGGCTTGTCCTTGATAGCTGTGGTCACTTTTGTAACGCGACCTCCACGGGTGGTTTTGATCTTGGTGATCAGTGAAGTGATGAACTTACTTCCAGTTATCTTGTTTACGACCTTCATGCTTGCGTGAAAACCAGTGGAGAAGTAAAGCGGAAAGAGAGGGGAGGAGCAGAGTTTTAGTTGGGAAGGAACAGAATTTATAACTTTTTTATTCTCAGAGTAACACAAGGACAGAACTCATGCACACTGCTCCAATCATCCCCACACGCTTCATCACACGCTCTTGGTCTCTTTCGACTTTAGACCTTGGATGTCTCTGTCTTCTTGTCCATATCTCTTTCTATCTATCCCAGATACGTATGGCCAAACGAAAGTTAACCCACCGTCACCTACAACTTATGCACACGTCGTTGGTTACACACACTCTCACACGGCACTACTAGCAAGCTTATACAATGTAGTCCGGTAAAAGCCATGATTTAGCAAGTAAAATAAAGACACTTCATGAGAGCCACGTAGAAGAACAAGACTAGTGTGTACGTGTAGCCAGGAGTGTGCACATTGCAAAGGGGAATGTCAGGTTGGTCGCCATTCCTTGGGGAGATGGCAGACCCATTGTTCGACGTGTCCAGTGTGCTTGTGTGACGTTGGAAAGTGTCAACTCTCATTTTTTTCCTTTTTGGGGAACCAGTACCCGGAGTGCCAAGTGTAACAGCATTTTATATAACAAAAAGCATTGACTAGACGTAAGTTTTGCTGCCTCACTCATCTCTCTCTCTTCTCTCACTCAAGCACACATACACACTCTCCTTTTAAAAATGAAGATAACTACAAAAATCTACAGCGCAAAGGAGATCTCCGACACGATAACTACAAAGATAAGTGCTAATCGTGCTGGGAAAGTAACAAAGGTGTTCGTCGAGACCAAAACCAAGCGCAGCAGCAGCAGCAGCAGCAACCGCAACCAGCAACAGCAACGGCAACAAGAACGTCGCTTTGCCGAGGAGATGAGCGAGCTGGCCAAGGAGATCGATGAGCACCCTCGGTGCTGACAACGACAAAGAAAACGTCGATGCATAAACGTCACGTTCGTACTTCCCTCACCATCCCTACTTCATTAAAATAAATTTATAATTATTGAAAAAAGGCAGCATTGCGCTGTATAAGAAACAAAAGCCACGTCTTTTTCTGCTGTTGTGTTAGACATCTGTCCAAGTAATTTGGCTGGAAAGCAGTGCATCCCGTTTAATTGTCTTTCTGCTCTTTATCTTCTATAAGATTTGTTATTTTGTCTATACAGTGCCAGTTACGTCTGTTAGACTTTTAGTTTTAGCCAAGGCAGGGTGTCCCACAGCATCAAAAAAATATCAGCAGCTTCATTTAAGCTACCACTACAGTTACTCCTTGCGACTGCTATATAACAGCAATCTTCAAGGAAGAATCGATTGTAAAGGAACAGTTCTCGGTCACTCATACATGTACACGTATCTATGATACTTTTGAGAAACACGAAAACGAACTGCGGAATTATGTACGAAGTATGCATTGGGGCTCAATATTGAAAAACGGCGTTACATAAGTCGTGTATTCAAGGATGCATAAATGTATTTACCCAGGATGCCTCTACGACATTGGCAGGACCGATAACACCATATGTATATACATACAGACGACATGGCTGGGCAGTGTCGCGTAAGTCCCTTCTCATCTTCTCAGAAACACAAGCTGTCTCCACGTGTCAAACCCTGGGTAGTACCCTTTCCCTAGTTGTGTGGCCTGTGTGGGAACAAACAATCATCTATCACATCAGCATACTCATTCATTCTCTTCTGTCATCCCATATCTTACATCTATGATAACATTACTGATGCTAGTAAAAAAAGCCCATTTGCCAGAATCTCGCTAGTTTTCTCTAACCCCAGGAGGTCAAAATTGAAAAACTACCGCAATTCGTATTTGTATCTTTACCCTCGTCTCTGCCGTGTTGAATAACACACATTTGAAATATTACCAAAAAGCTGTAGGTCGTTGATTCGAAGCAGTACAGCGTCATTTGATGTTCTACCGCCATTGCCTAAAGACTCGCTCAGGCCACAGGTGCCGTAATCTAGGCTGCTTATTTTTGAACAAGTAGAATCTCACCGCTTTTATTTGCTTGATACCTCATTGATCAAAGAAAACACACACGGCATAGACACAGTACTCACTTGTTAATCGGAACTCATGCTGTCATAAAAAAGTGTCGAATATAACGGTAGTTGAGCTTCAATTGATCATTGGGAATATGTACTGCATTTTTTTCAATACCGGATGGCTAGAGTCGCTGCACTGAGATATGTAGTCGCTGCACAAAAAACATACAGTCAACGAGAAAGTTTCGTGTTCTTCTCTCTCCAAAGATACTGAGAATCAATAGAAAGCACTTTTTGCCAAAAGCTACATAAATTTTTATCGCCCGTCTTCAGCTTTGATTATCTCAACCTATATATATATATATATATATAGTAGCAGTTATTCAAAGAACGCGTGAGCTGAAGGTGCAGTGCATGTGCCGCTTCCCAGATATATGATATATATGATAGTAATGTTGACAGTAGGTACTGTACAGAAATGATAATAAGAGTAACAATATTTGTAAATACATACTTTCTGTGTGTTGTACAATGTCATTATTTGCAAACGTCATGAAAAGTACTAAAACACTAGGCACGCATGCTTTGCAAAACATAAAATTGTGCATATGATTGGAGTAAGCATATGAACATTGATTGTTCTAATATCTGTCGGATTGGTACATGAGAAAGAGAAATTGAACAGCGGGTTCCTGGGACCAAGAAGTACGATGTTGGTCGCTCGACTAATCGATCATCATAGTCCAGTAGATTAGTGGGGTTTGCAAGTTAACGAGAAAAGTGTTACTTGTTTGATAGCTTCAATAGCTATGACTATAGCGAGAATCAAAAGTTAACGAGTGTGAAATAAAGACGTCAACTGTAATTATAAAAAATGATTGAGTTACTGAGTTATCGAGTTTATACTAGGAGTAAAACCTACTCTCTCATCCGTTATGATAAGTGAAGCCTTTTTCTTTGTGATGACACCGTAGAATAATATTGTACTTGTTTGATTTTTTTATGGTTTATAATAATGCTGCGTAGAGGGATTTCATTGGTATACAGTTACCGAACGAATATACTTATTATAACCCCAGCGTGAGAGGATGAGTCAAAACACTCAAAGCAGTAGAGTGCACATTTCTTTCGTTGCCCACGTCGGAAATTAAGTTTGTATTTTAATGCTTTTGAAGGCTTCAAAACGCATCCTTGAATATCGTATTGCCTACCGTTTTTGGTTATTGGAGCGACTGATTGATTCATCAAACTAGCGACTGTGTACGAATAACCCTTATCGAGCGGGCACTGCTATATATACTTACTATCTAGAGCCCAATGGCTGGAGTAAATTGCTTGCGGCTCAAGTCGAGAATCTGCACTTTAACATCCTGTCAAATGCACGTTCAATGCAGCTATACTGGTTTGGGTCAACACGAACGAATAATTGCCAAGAACACAAGCAACGTAACTATACCAACCAACAAGGTTACATCACTAGATGGAAAAAGATTATAACGGCTAACAGAACTATAACCATTATTAGTAGAGACCCCGTGATATCATAGCTAAGTATTAAGAACTGCTTATATTCAAGAAGAGCGGCTATGGTTGCCTTTGACCGTATGTATCTCCTTGGCGTCTGTTCACATCAGTTAATTGATGTAGCCGTGCTTTTTCTATTAACAGGCGCTTATGGTGGACTGGGCTACATACTTGTACTTACTGTATCACGTCAGAAAAGGCTTCATGCAACAAGATTGCTGAGCACTGTAAAATTAGCTCATTGAGCAAAAATATCATCTATGGCCAAAAAGAACATGGATATGATGTTTGATGTGATAATAATAATAAATTATGTCAAAGAAGTTTTCAAAGCACATAATGTACGTTTCCCGCAACAATATCTAGTACTGTAACCCTAGTTCAAGAACGGGGAGAAGTGTCTTATTGCGAAGAAGCATACTGGTTCTTAAGTGTGGTGATGGTGGTGTATTTTAACAACAGGTTACAACGTTATTATAATGACTACAGGGAGTAGGGAAATTCCAGCAAGACTTAATCTTATACAGTGCTCTTGATCATCGATTGACATTATCGATATCGGTAAAGTTTTCAAAAATTATTACAAGGGGATGGCACTGCGTCAGCTTTTAAAGAATGTTATGTGGTCTTCAGTAGAAAAAGAGATCATTCGGCCATATATACACACGGCGGCACAGGAATATAACGCACCGCTAAAAACAGAGAAGGGCAGACATAATCAGAAGGCTATACTTAGAGTATACAATGTCACCAAAGTCACTCACTTACCATTCATCTTATAGATGGATCGCGGCCCCTGCCCTACCCTCCCATTGCTGGGAGACCCTGCACTTTAGTCTGGGCAACAGAACCTATCATAAAAACAGAAGAAAGTGAAGTAACAATCATCCCCTCACTCGCTCTTCCGCAGCACCAGTACACAGTCATTTCCACCCTCTCTCCCTTCTCGAAAGCCAACATACGTACCACACGCCAACAGACCCGCACTCAAGCGACGATCACCGAGATATCAATGAAGAGAGAGAGAGAGAATAGTTGATCGTGTGAGCGTGCAAGCATCGAACGATGATACACGTCCACACGCTCGACTCCAGGCCAAGATCCCACCCTACAGCTCACTACAGGTAAAGCCTCCTAGGGGTGTCTCTCATTGGTTCAGTTCCAAAGCACTAGGGAGCTTCCAAGAACCAAAACTTGCAAGATCGCACGGTCAAATGGCATGATCCCACTGTCAAGCGGCGATATCCCACGGTCGAGCGACGTCCCACACGTAGGCGGCGACATCCCGTCAGTCAAAGACCGCACGATCAAAGAAAGTCTGATCCGAGCCTTATGGCTCAAAGAGTACGAAATCCGAGGATTCACGTTCTTGAAAAACTGCCCCTTTTAACAATCTGCCGTACGGAGAAAGTAATGACAATGGAGTAACCAGTAAGCCAGTTGAAAAGAGTTAAGACAAGGAGCCGGTTTATATTGTTGCTGTGCAGTCTGTGAACCTTGCAGAGAAAAAGTAAGAGCAATTAAGCATCATGAAAGTTGAATCCTTTAACAAAGTGTGAAGTACTTACTGGGTGATTTGAATGATTCAAAATGAAACGCGTTCACCACGTCGAACTCAACGCCTGAAAGAACGCGCTTTTCTTCTAACATAAAACATAGAATGACGCGGAATCAGAGAGCAGATAAAGAAAAAGAAGTCATAGAGAAAGACCCACGAGAAGAAGATGTTTTGGAATTGCCTCTGAACATCGTGAACTTCAAGCTGGTGTCAAATGGTAGAGTGGTCTGTAGGAGAAAGAAAGGCTGTGCGCAGTCGTCGGAGGGCTGTCGGCATGGTTAAAGATTTGACGGAGTCTCAGAAGCTGATTTGCTCTAGCCTCGACGCTGCCATAGTCTATTGGAAAGAATGAGCATATCAGAGCGTCTTCTACAGGTCACTGCCTCACAGTGCTTGAAATATACAGCTGGGTGTTACCTGTGCTTTTGATGTGTTGCCAATAAGCCATAGCACTCACCAGCAGAAACGTATTTTGTACCATGATGCGATCAGCGACGTAGTTGATTTGTATTTGTGGCCTTCAGAAAAAGATTTCATCATCGGCCATATATACACACGGCGGCACAGGAACATAACGCACCTCTAAGAACAGAGAAGGGCAGACATAATCAGAAGGCTATACTTAGAGTATACAATGTCACCAAAGTCACTCACTTACCATTCATCTTATAGATGGATCGCGGCCCCTGCCCTACCCTCCCATTGCTGGGAGACCCTGCACTTTAGTCTGGGCAACAGAACCTATCATAAAAACAGAAGAAAGTGAAGTAACAATCATCCCCTCACTCGCTCTTCCGCAGCACCAGTACACACACAGTCATTTCCACCCTCTCTCCCTTCTCGAAAGCCAACATACGTACCACACGCCAACAGACCCGCACTCAAGCGACGATCACCGAGATATCAATGAAGAGAGAGAGAGAGAGAATAGTTGATCGTGTGAGCGTGCAAGCATCGAACGATGATACACGTCCACACGCTCGACTCCAGGCCAAGATCCCACCCTACAGCTCACTACAGGTAAAGCCTCCTAGGGGTGTCTCTCATTGGTTCAGTTCCAAAGCACTAGGGAGCTTCCAAGAACCAAAACTTGCAAGATCGCACGGTCAAATGGCATGATCCCACTGTCAAGCGGCGATATCCCACGGTCGAGCGACGTCCCACACGTAGGCGGCGACATCCCGTCAGTCAAAGACCGCACGATCAAAGAAAGTCTGATCCGAGCCTTATGGCTCAAAGAGTACGAAATCCGAGGATTACGTTCTTGAAAAACTGCCCCTTTTAACAATCTGCCGTACGGAGAAAGTAATGACAATGGAGTAACCAGTAAGCCAGTTGAAAAGAGTTAAGACAAGGAGCCGGTTTATATTGTTGCTGTGCAGTCTGTGAACCTTGCAGAGAAAAAGTAAGAGCAATTAAGCATCATGAAAGTTGAATCCTTTAACAAAGTGTGAAGTACTTACTGGGTGATTTGAATGATTCAAAATGAAACGCGTTCACCACGTCGAACTCAACGCCTGAAAGAACGCGCTTTTCTTCTAACATAAAACATAGAATGACGCGGAATCAGAGAGCAGATAAAGAATAAAGAAGTCGTAGAGATTAGACCCACGAGAAGAAGATGGTTTTGGGAATTGCCTTCTGAACATCGTGAACTATAGCCGGTGTCAAATGGTAGAGTGGTCTGTACGAGAAAGAAAGGCTGTGCGCAGTCGTCGGAGGGCTGTCGGCATGGTTAAAAATTTGACGGAGTCTCAGAAGCTGATTTGCTCTAGCCTCGACGCTGCCATAGTCTATTGGAAAGAATGAGCATATCAGAGCGTCTTCTACAGGTCACTGCCTCACAGTGCTTGAAATATACAGCTGGGTGTTACCTGTGCTTTTGATGTGTTGCCAATAAGCCATAGCACTCACCCAGCAGAAACGTATTTTGTACCATGATGCGATCAGCGACGTAGTTGATTTGTATTTGTGGCCTTCAGAAAAAGATTTCATCATCGGCCATATATACACACGGCGGCACAGGAACATAACGCACCTCTAAGAACAGAGAAGGGCAGACATAATCAGAAGGCTATACTTAGAGTATACAATGTCACCAAAGTCACTCACTTACCATTCATCTTATAGATGGATCGCGGCCCCTGCCCTACCCTCCCATTGCTGGGAGACCCTGCACTTTAGTCTGGGCAACAGAACCTATCATAAAAACAGAAGAAAGTGAAGTAACACTCATCCCCTCACTCGCTCTTCCGCAGCACCAGTACACAGTCATTTCCACCCTCTCTCCCTTCTCGAAAGCCAACATACGTACCACACGCCAACAGACCCGCACTCAAGCGACGATCACCGAGATATCAATGAAGAGAGAGAGAGAGAATAGTTGATCGTGTGAGCGTGCAAGCATCGAACGATGATACACGTCCACACGCTCGACTCCAGGCCAAGATCCCACCCTACAGCTCACTACAGGTAAAGCCTCCTAGGGGTGTCTCTCATTGGTTCAGTTCCAAAGCACTAGGGAGCTTCCAAGAACCAAAACTTGCAAGATCGCACGGTCAAATGGCATGATCCCACTGTCAAGCGGCGATATCCCACGGTCGAGCGACGTCCCACACGTAGGCGGCGACATCCCGTCAGTCAAAGACCGCACGATCAAAGAAAGTCTGATCCGAGCCTTATGGCTCAAAGAGTACGAAATCCGAGGATTTACGTTCTTGAAAAACTGCCCCTTTTAACAATCTGCCGTACGGAGAAAGTAATGACAATGGAGTAACCAGTAAGCCAGTTGAAAAGAGTTAAGACAAGGAGCCGGTTTATATTGTTGCTGTGCAGTCTGTGAACCTTGCAGAGAAAAAGTAAGAGCAATTAAGCATCATGAAAGTTGAATCCTTTAACAAAGTGTGAAGTACTTACTGGGTGATTTGAATGATTCAAAATGAAACGCGTTCACCACGTCGAACTCAACGCCTGAAAGAACGCGCTTTTCTTCTAACATAAAACATAGAATGACGCGGAATCAGAGAGCAGATAAAGAATAAAGAAGTCGTAGAGATTAGACCCACGAGAAGAAGATGGTTTTGGGAATTGCCTTCTGAACATCGTGAACTATAGCCGGTGTCAAATGGTAGAGTGGTCTGTACGAGAAAGAAAGGCTGTGCGCAGTCGTCGGAGGGCTGTCGGCATGGTTAAAAATTTGACGGAGTCTCAGAAGCTGATTTGCTCTAGCCTCGACGCTGCCATAGTCTATTGGAAAGAATGAGCATATCAGAGCGTCTTCTACAGGTCACTGCCTCACAGTGCTTGAAATATACAGCTGGGTGTTACCTGTGCTTTTGATGTGTTGCCAATAAGCCATAGCACTCACCCAGCAGAAACGTATTTTGTACCATGATGCGATCAGCGACGTAGTTGATTTGTATTTTTATGGAACGATTAAAAAAGACGACCTGCTTTCGTTGCCAGACTTACAAAAAAATGAATATTTTATTAACCATAATGGGCTGTTTAAGGACCAGGACTTCTTTCTGGTTGCAACTCTTTATACCTGGGTGACGTGGTAAAACGCCTCGTTTGTATTATTAATGTGATCCTTGGTTGACTTTGTTCAAGGCAGCCCTTCGAGCAAGGAACGAGAACGAGAAGAGCCGGGATTTGATACAAATAAGCCTTTTTGTTTTGATGTCTGACATCAAGGAGCACAGCAGAACAGTAAACAGGGTAAGTTTCTGCATGGATGCCGTGTACTTCAGGTTTACGTCACGATGTTGCTATCATGCTGATGCCACCATAAGCATAAACCGCAAGTTTTTTTTCTCAAGAATTACCTAAATATGCGCCAAGTACTGCAATGAGATAATACGGTTACTTTTCAGGTATATGTATAGCAATGCCTGTCGATGAAGGTGCTTAGCAAAAAATATATCCTGCTGTTTCCTATATTTATATTGTCGGGTTGCTTAACATTGGCTTGGTTAAGCATTTATTGCGGCAGACATTCATCTTGACTTCCTTGCTGAAGAGTTTCGTACTAGGTAGCTAGCTGGATATTTTCCACAAGAGTTAGCTTTCCGAGATTTTCTGTAAAACTGAGACAAACAGTAGCAATGGTTGCGGCCCGTTGTCCGATGATATCCCAGTCAACATATGTAAATAGCCATTCTTTCTCAACAATAACTTGACCTTTGAGCACAAAAAAGCAGCACTGCGCTGTATAGATACAAAAGACATGTCTTTCTCTGCTGTTGTGTTGTCCATAGCTTAGTCAAATGGAACATTTTAGCTCGGGCGAGAACTAGAGACAGGCCTGGTAAATCATATGCATTTTTCCCAGCGGATTAGCAGTGAGCATATTCTTGAGGTGGATTCCAACCAATAAGAGATCAGTGTTCGGCCGATTTTTGTGGAAAGCGAGCAGAATTTGATAGGACTGCGCTACTCTTTTAGTAAGAGAGCGAGTCGGTGGTCGCTTCACATTTCCCAACTTGCTGCCTATATTTTTTTGTGTGTGTGCGGACAGAGGAAAGAAGGTGGGTAACAGGGTAACCTCTATTTCCCGTATTTTCTTTTTTAAGACTTTCTATTTTTTTCTTGTCTTCTTTTTATTGTTCGAATCAAAGCACTGATAATGGGGTCATTCAGCTACGCGACATTGTTATACCATGAATCCTTCGTCGTCATCAGCAGCGCCTACTGGTAACATTGATGCGAACACAACTCAAGAAAAGTTTGAAGCTGTAGTTCAGGTAAGTTGCATATAGGCAAACATTGCGATCCTCTCTCCCTCTCCCTTTCAGCAGCTGCTGATGGATCGCCAAATAATTTGTAGAAAGCAAAGCAATTGGAAGCAGCCGGAGCAAAAGAAGATGGAAAGAACGAATACTCGCAGTTAATGGCGGTGATCCGATTGTTCCAACAGCAGCAGCAACAGCAGCAACAACAACAACAACAATTGCACCAACAAAACCAACCACACCAAACGCTTATGCTTCAGCAACAACTAGCACAAAACGTGACGCCTGAACAGCAGCAAATGCAACTTCAGCTGCTACAACAGCACTTATTACAGCAACAGCAAGGTGGAGCATCAGGTATTAAGCGGGAAAAAACAGAGACAGCAGTGGACTTGTTAACAGGATATATTACTTTTCCTTAGCACCGCCAAATAATATGCTCAACCAAATCCAATATCAAATGCTTGCATTTCAATTCCTGCAAAAGGGCATGGGTGCACCTGTCCAAGACGAGCCTGTACCGCCCGTTGAAGAGCAACGCAAAATACTTGGCGAAAAACTAGCCGAGGCTATCTATCGTCAAGAACGAGATCATCGCGCATTAAGCAAAGTCAAGTACCCAGACACACCCGTCAAAGAGCAGCTCACATTTATGGACCTGCTGTCCGGAATCCAACGATCGCATGCACACGCATCGCGACAACAACGGTTACTTGTCCCAGAAGAACATCTGCCACCCAACATGCCATTTGTTGCCATGACTCCCAAGGGACTCTCACCGCTTACAGTACTTCGAAAACGCGAAGAACGGATCCAACGTCGCGCACAGCTGCGCCAAGATGAATTGGAATCCAAAATAGTGGACGGCACCGAACTTGGGAAGCTGATTGACGAAAATTACAAAGAAACGATCAGAAGCGCAACACCGGATCAGCTCACCGACATCATCCGATTGAAATCATTGCGGCTTCGGGATAAACAGATCAAAATACGTCAAGAAGTACTGCATGGACAAGAAGAAGCCGCGAAATTATCTGCCACGATTGACAGAGCTGCCTATCGCAAGCTAATGAAACAATCCATCCGCGATGCCAAGATGACAGAAAAGTTGGAGAGACAGCAGCGGTTAGATAAGGAGAAACGTGAAAAGCAGCGTCATTTGGAGTATCTGCAGACCGTATGCAACCATGGCCGAGATTTATTGGCATGGCACAAGGCGTCTCAAGGAAAGATGGGCAAGTTGGGCAAGGCAGTGCTGCAATTCCATGCACATATTGAACGTGAAGAACAGCGGCGTGCAGATCGCTTGTCCAAGGAACGTATGCGTGCGTTGAGAGCTGATGATGAAGAGGCCTATATGAAGCTGATTGATGAGGCCAAGGATACCCGATTGACATTACTGCTCAAGCAAACTGGCACTTATTTGGAATCACTCACACGCGCGGTGGTGGATCAGCAGAATGATCCAATTCATCAAGTGGAGGAGAAAGCCGATGACTTGTTAGAAGGTGAAGAACCGGATGAAGAAACTATGCTGACGGTAAGTTTTTACTCACAAATGGGAACTAAGAAATGGTTCAAAAAACTAACTGTGTTGCACACAGGATTCGTCTGGAAATAAGATGGATTATTTCCGCATGGCACATCGAATTCAAGAAAATGTCTGTCAACCACAAATTATGAGCGGCGGCAAATTAAAAGACTATCAGGTAAAGTTTAAGATTTTGCCACTAGAATTATGCCGTTTGTGTTAACGGACCAAAATCTTTTGTGTGTATATAGGTCAAGGGCCTGCAATGGATGGTATCGCTCTATAACAACAAGCTCAACGGCATCCTGGCTGATGAAATGGGTCTTGGCAAAACGATTCAAACCATCAGCTTAGTGACCTATTTGATTGAAAAGAAAAGTCAAAATGGCCCCTTTTTGGTTATCGTGCCATTATCGTAAGTTTGATTAAAAAACCACTACTACCCTATCACACTTTTTTCGTGTTAGGGTTAACGTTCAAACGGGGGACTAAAAAGAAAAACCAACTGAATGAACAACCTACTAGCACAATCACCAATTGGGAGCTGGAATTCGAAAAATGGGCTCCAACAGTGACAAAAATTGTATACAAGGGCCCACCAGACGTGCGCAAAAGCATTCAGAAATCACAAATCAAGCATCGAGACTTTCAAGTTTTGTTGACGACATTCGATTACATCATCAAGGATCGGCCCATCCTATCAAAAATTAAATGGACATACATGATTATTGACGAAGGTCACCGCATGAAGAATACGCAATCCAAGCTGACGTCTGTGCTTCGGCAGTATTATGATGCACGGTACCGCCTCATTTTGACCGGTACTCCGCTGCAGGTAAATAGCTTTTTTTTATACTTTCTCTCTATTGCTCTCCCCCTCCCCTTCATCCCTTGTTGTATGTAGCATAGCACCTTCTTTTTTTTTTGGGTTTGCCCCCCCCCCCTTGAATGCTAATTTAACTTGTATGTATGCACTGTAGAACAATTTGCCAGAATTATGGGCTTTGTTGAACTTTGTTCTACCCCGCATCTTTAACAGCGTAAAGAGCTTTGAAGAATGGTTCAATACTCCATTTTCGAATCAAGGTGTCCAGGACAAGGTGGAGCTAAATGAAGAAGAACAGCTATTGATTATCAAACGTTTGCATAAAGTAAGTTTTTAGGATTACTACTAACATATTTATTAAAATTTTCTTTTTTTCAGGAGGTGGAGCATATGAGTGGTGATGGGTGTGGTATGATGATTTAATTACCGTGAGACTTATGCATAGCCGTCTTTGTTTGTACTTACTAGGTACTGCGGCCATTCCTTTTACGGCGACTGAAGAAAGATGTTGAATCGGAATTACCGGATAAGGTAGAACGGGTGGTTAAATGCAAGCTGTCAGCTTTGCAGTCGCGACTCTACTGGCAAATGAAAAAGCATGGCATGTTATATGCTGGCAATTCGGGTGGCAGTGGGTATGTCTACATTACTGTTAAGAGGACAATGTTGCAAAGAAAAATCTAATCATTCTTATTTTTTTCCAACATCAATAGGCGCACAAGCATCAAAGGCTTAAACAACACAATCATGCAACTTCGTAAGATATGTAATCATCCGTTTGTTTTCGAAGAAGTCGAACGAGCGGTGAACCCATACAAGATGAGCAATGAACTGCTGTACCGAACATCCGGAAAGTTTGAGCTGCTTGATCGCATCCTCCCTAAGCTTCGATCGACCGGTCACCGAGTGCTGATCTTTTTCCAAATGACGCAGATCATGGATATCATGGAAGACTTCTGCTTATACCGTGGTTATCGCCACCTTCGATTGGATGGATCGACTAAATCAGATGATCGATCGCGACTACTACAAGTGTTCAACGCACCGGACTCTCCGTACTTTGTATTTCTGCTGAGTACTCGCGCAGGTGGTTTGGGCTTGAATTTGCAGACGGCAGACACGGTGATTATTTTCGACTCTGATTGGTATGTTTAATTAGGAGAAAGGAAAAGGGAGGATTGTTGAGTAGATAGTGCGTGGTGGGGATTGAAAGTGGGATATACAGCGGCAAGGGCCTCTAGGGACCCTTCATCATCCTTGCCATTAGCTCCAACAGAAAACGAGGCATTGGTCAACTAACTCATAGACTGTACACATCTCGTTCTTCCTCTTCATTTGCCATTTTCTTTAAATTCAGGAACCCACATCAAGATCTGCAGGCACAGGATCGTGCCCATCGTATCGGCCAAACAAAGGAGGTCAGGATATTTCGCCTCATCACCGAAGATTCCATTGAAGAGAATATCTTGGCACGAGCGCAATACAAGCTAGACATTGACGGCAAAGTCATCCAAGCTGGCAAATTTGACCACCGAAGTACCGAAGAGGACCGCGAGGCATTCTTGCGATCTTTACTAGAGGACAAGAGCGACGAGCGTGATGACAATGAGGAGAACGAGGAATTAGACGACGAAGAGCTTAATCTGATGTTGAAACGGTCGGACCAAGAATATGCTACTTTCTCCAAGATGGATTTAGAACGGCAGCGTGCTACGGCTGAGGAATGGAAGCAACGCTATGGGGATCATCATCCTCCTGGAGCCAAGCCAGAGCGGCTCATGCAAGAGTGGGAGCTGCCTGACGTGTATCAATACGACAATAGCGGCCCATACGAGGAGGATCAAGACTTGGAAGTGCTTGGTCGTGGCCAACGAACACGCGAGCCTATCCAGTATGATGATGGCATGACGGAAGGACAATGGTTGCGAAGGCTGGAGAAGGAGGCATCTTCTGCTTCAGCATCTCCGGGAAAACGGGGCATGTCTCCAGATGGAGCACCGCCTGGCAGTAGTAGCAAAAAGGCCAAAAAGCTCCGCATACATTAGCCAATAGTAGTAGTAGTAGTAGTAGAAAGGTAGATCATCCAATGCATCAATCCATCCATCTTAGGAGAAGTTCAGTTAGAAACGGGCATTCCGCGGCATTGTTAAGGGTGTGCACATACCATATAACGTCGTGCCCTCTTAATCTTGTTTTTTTCCCTTCTAACCCTCTTTCGTCCACACCACACACGACCCACCCCTTTTTTCTTCCTTTCTTTTTCCCTTACCCTCACTCTCTTTCATTCTCTTAGTCCCTCAACTCTTCTCTCTCTCTCTCTTACTTTCTTTTACTTTTTCTTTGTTTATTAAAAGGCAATAACCTTTTAATCATTATCATCCTGTCATTGTTTTATAATATGGCGTATCATACATATCTCAATCACAGCGGTCCAGTAGACATAGATCCAACGGCATGGCCCAGCAGCTATTACGGACGGACAAAGCGAATCGATCTAGCCAAAGTGTACAGCGACACCCTACTCAGAGTCAATCAGGAGCACGAACAAAGAAAGCAAAAACGCAAAGGTCGACGGCAGGTCAGCTTCACCACAGCGCCACCGGTGATACACGAATACGAACGAGAAGATAGCCGTGAATACTGTCGCAACAGACGAAAATACGACGACGCTGGACACTTGAGGTTACAAACTTTGGATCTCCGTCCCATACCCAATAGCTTGTACACCCATCCGACTCCTGGCTCTTCTGTTTCTGCTAGTGCCGTCGTCACACCAACAACAACTTTGCCATCATCATCATCATCATCATCTCCCACATCACCATCATCTCCTCCTATACCACAGCCACAAACTCCACGATTATCAGTTTCATCACCAGCACGTTCGAGACGAGCACCTTCATCAAAATCACAACCATCATCATCACTGCAGGACAATGATGACGAGAAGCTGCAAGACAACGGGGAAGACGAAGACGTGTTGTCATTCAAACCAGCTCGGAGACCATCCATCAGCCGTGCATTCTTGAACTTGCGATTTTACAACAAGAAATAATAAAGTGCCGGTTGTTCTGTATTTAGTAATTTATGCGCCATAATAGGCAGGATGTGTTGGGTCTTGCATCTTACTCCTCTCTCTCTTTCTCTGTGCCTGTGTGCTTCTTCCCACATGCAGTAAGATTATAAGAAACAAGAGAAAGATAGCAGTAAATAGTTGGTCTTTCTTTTTCAAACTCTCCCCTTTTTCTTTCTTTGTTTTTGCGTTTGCCATTTATTCTAGTTTCTTATCTTATTATCCAACAACGACAATGACTACTTCGCCAAGACTATTGACCAAGTTCACCAACATCTTTGGACGCAAGGACGAAAGTAGTCCGAGCAGCAGCAGCGAAGACGACGATGAAGAGATGCGGGACTCTGTGTTTTCGGAAATCTCGTCCGTCCGCGCAAACCCAAACACGCCGCCGCCGCTTCGTACAGTCCAGATCGACCAGACCTTTGGTGAGAAGGACAAACAGGCCGTGGATGAAGCATTCGACCAGCTCATGAAAGAATATGCGCTGTCATCAACCATCAGACCATCGCTGACCCAGCTCACGACCCAGCAAAAGTCCATCATGCTGATGCAGTCGTCGAAAAAGCCAAACAGCAAGAAGCACAGCATTGGCAGTAGTGGCAGCAACGGCAGCAGCAGCATACTCGGTGGTGGTGGTGGTAGTAGTAGTGGCAGTAGTGGCGGTGGAAACGGCACCTTTGGTACCACAAGCAAGTCATCCAACCTGCTGTCATTCAAGCCATCAACCTACTCGCGGAGGAAGAGTGTACGGGACGTGTTTGCGGATAACCCGGAATACTTTTGCCGAGCGCTCCGCTCCACACCCACCGAGGATGATCTCGTGCACCTCCGGATCCATTTGCGGAGCAGCGTAGTCAGCTGGACCGACGCATTCCTCGCGCTCGACGGCTACGAGGCGCTCACACATGCACTGGGTGAATCCAAAAAGAACATAAAAAAACAAAGCGACAAAAAGATCGAGCTGCTGTGTCGCTGTTTCAAGACCATCATGATCCACGAAAACACCGGTATCGAAAAGGTGCTGACCCAGCCTGAAGCACTGGGGCACGTGCGTGATATTTTGTTTGGACCCTCGGACGTCAAGGTCAAGGCACTGTATTTGCTCGACGTGCAGACAAGACAGCAGTTGCTCGGTGTGCTGTGCACATTGCCGAGTATCCAGGTGACGACGCAAGAGGGTCAATATATCCATGGATACGATGTGTTACGGCAGTTGCTGCGAGACAAGCCCGAGGATTTCGTGGAGGAGCCCAAGAGGCACAGTCTGTTCCCCATGTCGCTCAAGGCAGATACAGAGACCATGATGCAAAAAATATCAAACGGTGAGACTGGCCGGCCGCGTTACACTGCGTGGATGCGTGAGCTTCAACTGACCGTCGACCGACATATCGAACCAATGACCTATCTGTCCCAAGTGCTCGACTACAACTTTGAGAGCGCGTACCGTCAGCTGAGGGCAAATCAACACATACAACAACAACAGCAAGATGGTACACCCTCACAGTCACCGCTACGCCAAACTACACAAGAAGTCGTCATGGTGGATGAAGGCGTGGTCGACTACCTCATCACCAACCTCCGGTTGATCTGCACGCTTGTGACGACACCTGCAACAACGTTCAGCGGCACGTACGACAAGTACGAGCAAGAAAAGATGCGCATGGAAATCATGTTATCCGGCTTCAAGAAAATCACACATGCCCTCTCGGTATGCCCTCATCCCACCCTGCATGCCTCGTATATCCGTTATTTGCAGCCGCTACTGCAACCATGGGCTGACCTTTTTGAAATGGAGTTGATGGATGATCATAGCGACGATATGTGGGAAGATGTTATCTAGAATGCCTTTATACCCAGTTGTCGAGGCATGAAGGGGGCGCGCGTGTAGTGTAAATCTAAACGAGAAGTTTATAGTATATATGTTAATAAATCTGTAATATTTTTTTTTTTTACATGGCGGTTGTATCGGCCGCCGTCAACCAATATTTTTTGAGGAGGGAGGTTGGTGAGGTGCAGACACAACAAGGACCGCATCCTGTGATCTGTTTTCTGTGGCGAATTACCCCAACTATGGTAAATCAAAAACACGAAAACAACGCGTATGCAGTGTCGAGCTACACACACCTAATCTTGTTGCTTCGTGCAAACTTCTTTTTTTTTGTAATGAAAGTCGACGGTGGATACGCAAATCCAAAAGGTTTGCGGCGTCCTGGTCAAAGGTGGCTATTGTCCCATATGTTGATAGATGGTGGTTGCTCTATCCTTCTGGCTCGCGTTAACGGAAAAAAGGTGTCTATATGTGCCTCCGGAACAGGCGCTTGAAGTCATTTCCCCGCTTTTTGCTCTCAGGAACTGTACCTTTAAGTAGACTCTCCCCCTACATGATTCGTTTATCTGGTACTTTCAATCCCTACTGCAAAAACCCCAGAGCGATGATCTTTTTTTTTTCCATCTTTAACCTCGATGGATGATGATGGTGATGCCGATATGTGGGGAAAATGATATCCAAGAGAGGAAGTTAAAGAGAAGATAACAAAAGAACATATATATTTGCATTATTTACATGGCGGTGTATCCACCGTCAACAAACAGGTCAGAACCAGTGATATAGCTGCTAGCCTCACTAGCCAAGAACACAACAGCACCCTTGATTTCCTTGGGAACGCCCATGCGCTTCATGGGATTCAATGAGTTCCATGCCTCGGCCAAATCAGGTCGCTTGGAGGTGAACTGCTCGAGCATATCCGTACGCATGTAACCAGGGCACACCGAGTTGACACGAATACCGCGCGTACCCCATTCATAAGCCAAGCACTTGCCCATCATAGACACGGATGCCTTGGTGCAGTTGTACTATAAAAAGGGAGCCCGTTTCACGTTTAGAGCTCGCGTCATCCACTGCCCCCGGTTGTACTCTCTCTCAAAATCCAAACTTACGGCGCATTGGTATTGAGGCTGATTCGCCAAGTAAGCGGACACAGACGACATCAAAATGATACTACCGCTACCCTGCTCCAACATGTGCTTTGAAACGGCCTGGACACCATAAAAGACACCGTGGACGTTGACATCAAACAAGTGCTTCCAGTCATTCAAATCAAACGTCTCGGCGTTACCGTTTTGAGAAATGCCTGCGTTGGCAACAAACACGTCGATGCGACCAAAATCCTTGTGGATCTGGTCAATCGCTTCTTGGGTCTCTTTGGCGTCGGCAATGTTGGCCTTGTATGCCTTGCACGTCACGTTGAACTCCTTGCCGATCTCGGCAGCAGTGTCGTGGGTCTTGTCGCTCGAGACGTACATCAAGGCAACGTCGGCGCCGCTTTCGGCAAGTCCTCGACAGATTTCCAAACCGAGACCGCTGGTAATGGCCGATATTATGGACACATTGTGTGTAAGTTCATTAACAAAAACGTGTCCTCAGGAGAGAGAGAGAGAGAGAGAGGGGGGGTGGGGACAGTATTTCATGTTGCATGTTATTATAGCTTACCGAGCACCACCAGTGACAATGGCCTTCTTACCCTTGAGCGAGAATTCAGGAAGCATGGTTATTTTGTGTGTTTATGAAGAGGTATATGTGTATTTGCAGTAAAAAGAAGAAACGGAAAAGAAGCAACCAGAGTAGCTTTATATAGTGAGCAATCTCCGCGCGCGCGCTCTCTCTCCCCCCACGTAGCGTTCTCTCACCCACCAAAAGCGATCCAAGTCTTTTTTGGGACAGGGTAAATTTCCCCATTGGTCAATGGACCTTGAAAATAAAAAAAAAAAACTTCCCGTATAATATTAAAGTCGTCCGGGCTAGCATTATCTCCGAGTAGATTTATCCCATTCCTCTCTTAGCGCGTCTCCCTCATAGTAGACCCCCTCACAGCCTTAGCTTCGGTGTGTGTGTGTGTGTGTGTGTCTCAGACCGAGAGGAAAGCATCATCATCATCATCATCGCCTTTGCCTTTATGTACCCCCCAAGTAATTTACCAAACAAATCTCGGTAAAAAGTTTAAAAGTATTTTATGCGGGTTTGTGTTTTTTGTGCTTGTGTAGCACATCCCCGGGAAATCGTCCAAGCAAGCTTGGAAATATGCACCTCAGGGCAATAATACTAAATCAGCTCGGTTTATTTTTTTTGTGGAGTGGTACTGATGATGCTTACTGTGATATTCATTATTCAGGAACCCTTTCGAGTACTTGCAAACAAAGAGGTTGCACTCTGCAGAAACTGCGTTTTTGATGCTTGTAATTTGACAAGGTGTCAGTAAACAGATACTATATAGTGTCCATCCTTTTCCTGATTTCTTTGAAAATAAAAAGGCGGAAAGATGAAAAGGTAATCATAAGTTTCAAAGCACATTCTCGGGTCCGGATCATTCAGTTGACCAGGATGATAAGTACACCATCTCATCGTTCGTGCGATTCTTCGTCATCATTTATATGTCTATGATGTACAGAGAAAAGAGCTAGAAAACTTTTGCGTATTTTACATTGGACGATGGGAGGGGACAGAACTGCAGGAAAGAAAGAGTTTGATTATGCGGCTGATGTTTGTCGCTTCGGATCGCTCAAACGGTGCACCTTGATATATGGACCAGGAATCAACATGTTGGATGCGTGTCTATCATCAAAAAAGGTGTCGTAAGTTTGTTTATCTTGCATTCTAATCTTTCGTCTACTGATCCTGTAATATCATTATCTAAACGTACCTTGTGCGGTCGGTAACGAAGATGTATTGCATTGCCCGTCGCAGCCTTCCATCTAATTACATTTTGTCCTGGTTGACTTTTCTTCTTCATAAATGGTCGTACATAATACCTAGAGTACTACAGACCTTCTCGCTAAACTTTTCAGCCATCATCGCCCGTGGAATTACGCTAAAAAAATAATAAACGAGGGTCTCTGCTGTAGATTCTTCCTTTTCCCCGTTTTTCTTTAAATCTTAAAGTCTCTAATTTTCGATCAATTCAGCATAAGTAACAACTACAGTTGAACCCCGGTTTTTGCAACCCCTGGGTTTGCAATTCCTCGTATCATATATCTGCAACTTTTTTTGAAAAATCCAAAAAAACTTAGCAAATGAATTTTTTCAATATCAACTGAAAGAAGAATAAAATGATACGGTTACTGCACTAGACAGCTTCAAAAAAAGAACGGTCTTATATATGCAAGTAGTAACACTTAGAGCTGTGTGAAATCCCCACAGAGCGTATCGTACATCATCTCTAACTATTTGAAGCAGAATTGTTTACCCCGTTACTTGCAAATCCTCACTTTTTGCAAAAAAAAAAATTCGGAAAACCCTCGGTTGCAAAAACCAGGGTACAACTGTACTAGTAGAAAATAAATAAGATTCATTGTTAGGATTACTCCTGTTTTAAGAATATACTATCAGCCGTTACTTTTTATTAAATTATCGCAAAAGTGCTACTTTTCAAGATATTTTCTCTTTTTAAAGGGGATTAGTTTGGGTATGGTAATTTTTTTTTCACCGAGCCGACGACGACGATGGCGGCTTAAGGCTGACATTCTTCATAAAGAAAGCTGCAACAATAGATAGTACAGCTGTACCAATTGTATAAAGAGTCGCTTTCTGTACTGCGCTGCAAAGTACGCTAGCTGTCAGTTGCTGAAGCTCGGGTGACAAGGTGTCTATATGTCGAATGGATGTTCTTATATATTCGACCAGCTAATGGATAGAATAGGGGTCAGTGTTGCTGCTGCTGCTACTTTGTCGCCAAAAGGAAAAAAAAAAGATAACAAGTTACCTGATCAGCATCGGGTCCATTCACTTTTTCCGTCAACAAGATTTTCAACACACTTTGAATGATTGCTGACGTAATTGAAGTACCCATCAGAAACGATACACTTCGCGATAGCATGTATATGGAGAGTGCAGAGGGTACGACTTTTTATGGGTATAATGAGACACCACAAAGGTGGAGAAATCAGTGTGACCATGGATGATGATGATGATGATGATGATGCATGTATACTGCCTCTTTGCAATAAAAAGAATAAAACTTACGCTCTTGAGATACCGTGTTGGAAGCAACAATGACCAAAATAACGACGGTAAAACCAAACATCATGCCTTGAAGAACAATGCCCACCGTTCCTGCAGCCATTGAAACATCACTGCCAATCCAGAAATACAGAATCACAAACGATGCAGCACACAGTACACGGTTAAACAGCAATAGCCAAGAGAAGCGACCCGAGGATCGGATGTAGCGTCCTGCTATAAAGCACCCGACAGGGACAGAAAAAGCTTCGATCATGAGCCAAACACCGGATTTTGCAGTGGTAAAATGCAACCCAACCTATAATGAACCCACCCAAAAAAAAAAAAAAAAAAAAATGTATCTAAAATCTCTTTTGATTGTTTGCAATTGTTGTGATAGCCCTCTTACCATGAGAAACAGAGGAATGATTGTGACTGCAGATGCTTCACTTGCAGCTGAAAACCCAACGCACAGACACGCATTGACAAAGTTTCGATTCGTGGACACGGTACGTGGTAGCATGGGGTGCTTCGCCCACCGGTGCTGATGTATGACAAACAAGCCATAGATCGCAGGAGCAACGACCAGTGCAGTCACGATGAACGGATGGGTCCAAGCCAGGATGTTTCCACCAAGCAGGAACGCAGATGTAAACAAAAAGCTCGCCGCGGTAATCAAGAAAATGCCACCAAAATCGACCCTTGCGAGTTTTTCTCGGAGGGTCAAGTCTCCATTCTTCTGTTCTTGCTGCTGATTGGGTGCCTTGTAGTTCTCCAAATGGAAGAAATAAAAATACAGAATAAGGACGAGTGGCGGTATGTTGATCCGGAAACAGTATCTCCAGCCGATCGTGTCCGAAATAAAACCACCCAGTGGCGATCCAATGGAAAAAGCAAGCTGGATACGAACCCATGGGGTTATTGATCGATTTTTGTTATTATGGTTCGGCGCATTACAAACAGCTTGTGTGTATTACACTTTGAGGTGGGGGTTTCAATGAGACACACACGAAAAGTGATAGTTACCGTTTGTACAGTGCTTATGTAAGACTGGTAGGACGTTCGCTGCTCCTTGGGCACAACATCGTGGATGATCATGTTGGACATGAGGCTGGTGGGTCCGGCTCCAAGACCAGAGACTGCTCTTGCAACAATGACTTGAGGAAAACTTTGTGAGAATCCACACAGGATACTGCCCATCAGAAACACACATGTGTTTATAACTAGGATGGGTTTACGGTTAAATGCATTGGACAGCCCTCCGACTATATATATCAATCAGTTACTCGTTTTCTTAGATTACCATCTCTCATAAAGGACGGTATAACGAATTACCTGCTGGAATCATGATTAGTGCGCATAGAGTATATGCACTATAGATCCATGTGGAAAGATTCGCTCTACATGAAAGAAAGCGATGCAAAGGAAAACGGGAATAGAGGATCAGCCAGGGAAAAAAGGAGAGTATCGTCTAGAAACAGGCAATCTTTTACCTTTGAAATTCACTGCCCATGTCCGTCATGATTGCAAGGACTATAGAAACATCGATGCTCGGAAGTGCTGAACCAATAGATAGACTATACATCTCCTTGAGTAAAATAGCTTCCCTTATGACTAAGTAATAGAATGACAAAAAACCATACCAAATCATCAGTAGCGTCAGCTTGACTTTGCCAAGTTCCACGTGTGGTTGTTCGTCTGATCCTTTAAGCGTTTTTTAGTGATTGTCACATCAAGGGCAGCCCGTTACGGTCTTAAATTGTTGGTCCTACCCTTGCTGTCATCGTGATCCTCCTCAACAACTTGTAGCTTTTCGACTCGTTCAGATTTTGAGATCAAAGTTGTGTTGCCTGTACTGGTCGAAGGTTGCAGAGTACTGGTTGTTGTTGTTGTTGTTGTTGTGGGTAAGGAATGCTTTTCACTTTTGTAACGACGTTTCTCTACTTGTTCTGTGCCCACTGTCGATGGATTAAAATGACTGTTGTCATCATTGCTGACCGTTGTATCGGTTATTTTTGTGTCATGATTTTTATCCATTATTAAATATATGCAAAAAGAAAAGGAAAAGAAAGAGGAAAAAAGGAGAAGATATGCCCTACTGCAGAATGCAGAAAGAAGGGGAGAGAGAGATATAGAAACGTTCCCAAGAAAGCTCCTGAAGCAGTGAGCGGGTCTGCCATTCAACTTTACATATGCTGCTGCTGCTGCTGAATTCATAGTGTACTATTAGCAGCGGCTCCTTGTTTACGCCCTGGGAGGTCAATGCCATCGCCGAGGAGGAAGAGGAAGAGAGGGGTTGATAGTATCTGCACTCGTGTCTGCATAATGCATCATACATTAGTGTCGATCTTTGTACTGTTTGTGAGTGTAAAAGATACATGTGTGCACAAATAGCGCATTTTGACAGCTGTCAATAGCGGTATTGTATTTGGTTTTAATTTGAGGTTTTAAAAATGCATCGCAACTTTTGGATGCTTATCTCTTGTTTGCTGCTATTATAGAAACACACACAGAGAGAGAGAGAGAGGGGGCGGGGGTATAAAGCACTGACGTATAGTAAGTGGCAAATGAAGAGTTACAAAACATTATGTACAATGAGTAGGACTGGGAGAGGGGGGGGCGGTTGTAGTATACAATGAATGCGCGGTGTATAGGTGGAAAACTGAGGTAAAAAAAAGTTCAAGTCGTTTGATGCCTACGAACAAGCGCCTCATGCGCCTCGGCAAGCTGTTTATCCAATTCCATGATCCGTTCCTCGCTCCGTTTATGTCTATGCAACGTTGCTTTCCGTTCACTCTCAAGCACAGCAGCGCGTAACCGCAAATGCTCGTTCGCCAATTCCAGGTTCCTCATTCTGGTTTCTAGCGAATCCATTCTTTGACACTTTCGTAATCGAGATCGTCGTGCTGCATCCGTGTTGCGTTGTCGTTTCAGCGTCACCGGATGTTGGGTGCCATGCTCCATGCGTTGCTTTGACGTTTCTTCTTGGAGTAACGTTGATGAGTGCATTGCGTCGTCTGCGATACACCCGCCGGTGTTGCAGCACTGGGTGGCTACGACACTGCTCGTTGTGGTGCTGCTGTTGTTCCGTTTCTTCTCGATAGGAGCTGGTTCATTGAGTATGCCAGACGCGCGTAAATCATTTTCAAGCCACTCGTCGAGAGAGTATGCGTCAAATTTGAGTTGCTTGTTGTCCAACATGTTTTTTTTTTTTTTCCAGAAAAAGGTTGTCCCGAGAACACTTTTTTTCCAGGCTTTTTTTCCTGTAAAAAGCGACCCAACAATTTCCCTTTTCTCAGGAACTCCGACTTATAGAAAGGATTTCAAAGAATAGAATCGCAGTAGTATGAGATCACTTTAAGCAATCGGTCGTCGGCGCCCACATTCGCACCATCCGTCACCAGCAGATCGGTTGTCTGTTCCGTATGACGTCCAAAGGCGTCATCCCATGCTGGCCTTGCATGGCTGCCAAGGTACGAGCACGTTTCTACCAGTAGGCAAAGCACCTTGTTCAATTCTTTGCGTCTGCCAACATGGTACGCCAGTCAGTACAATTTAACTACATTAACCCCTCCAAACCCATAACAGTGCTTACTCGCTTGTTCGTCCAGTACCCGTCCATTTCAACAAATCATTGACAACAATAAGGCATGGCGGCTGATTGTCACGTTCAGTTTGCATCCATGATAACAAATCCGACGACGGCCGTGGTCCTGGTCCAGCAACAACAGGCAATGGCTGCGCGTCGTCCATGTGCATGGCACACAGTATCGCTTTCAGTTGATGAACACTCTCCACTTGACTTGTACAACGTGTCGTTCGTTAGCTTTTTATTCGCTTGGTGCAAGGAAAAACAACAAGTTGAATCTTACCAAACGCGTATGCTCTCAAGCCATTGACGCTTTTCCAACGACGACACCCCAAAGTCGTCCCTGAGAGCACGGGTCAAGTCTTGTGTTTCATTCACAAACACAAGCGCCCAAGGCCGAGTTGTATATACCGCGTCAGGACCGATGGATTCAAATACTTGGTTTGAATGCGCAGTTTTCTGTTGCAGTTGCATTACCACAAAATCGAGTACGATCCTTTTTTCATAAAAAGTAGTAGACTTAGCTGAACGAAAGAAAAAAAAAGCAGAGGGCTTGAGGTTTTACCTTGCATTTTCAACTTGATCGTCACCCATGCGCAAAAAACAGCGTGTTCCAACGTTTGCCATAACTATCCCGTTGCAAAAGAGAGGAGTCGCCGCGTACAGTGAGTGAAAGTTTCCAAAAACAGCAATAATCGCCGCGCTGCATTTTTTTTTTTTTTTCGAAACCGTGCTCTTTAAAGTTTGTTATGTGCTGCAGTACGCTATTTTCCTGCTGATCCCTTTTTTCGTTCTTTTTCTTTTTTTCATATGACAATGATCCGTATTTATGTGATCTTCACTTTGGTACTTGTCATACTAGTCAGCGCTACCATTACACAATCCCAAGGTAAAAAGTCACATGTTCTGTGCTCGATCCACCAATCTGATAACAAACAATAATATCAAAACACAGGAGCATCGACAGATGCAATCCCCAAAGACGAACGAGAACGATTGTGCAACGAAACGAAAGCGGCCTGTGCAGACGCGTGTCACCATGCATCTGCAAGTTGCGACACACAAACACTCGTATGGGGCTGTCATTGTCCGCCGAACAACAACAACAAGACGACGGCCGAGAAGAAAATGATCGGCACCAAGCCCATAGGCACGTTTCCGATCCCGCGCAAAATGTGTCGCATCGATCTTGCCTTGTGCCAGAGCAGCTGTCAACACATGGGTGAGCACGGCAACCAAGCCAAGATTTGCCGTATGCAGTGCGCCGGGTCGTTTCCTTGCGACTCCTCGACGCATGCGCCTGCTTACAACGGGACGACTGCCTTGACGAGCTCATCATCACGACGACACGCTCATGACGATCGAGCCAAGGACCCCCAACAGCAGCAGCAGCAGCAGCAGCATGTATCGTCTTTGGGTACTGCTGCAGCAGCAGCCACGCGTACTGCCCAAGGCCTGGTGATAGCAATCGCGCTTGGGTGTTGTTGTTGTTGTATGCTCCTCTTGTAAGCCGTGTGTCTCTACCGTGGCAAAAGGAAAAAAATAATAATAAAAGTACAGTATGAATGAAGAGGTGATACAATAATCACGACTCATCAAAGAAAGAGCAAGCACCACATGGCAACTTTTTGTGTGTGCAAATTCCGCTTTGAGGAACTTCCAAGGGCTGGTTATATATTATTAGTTGTTGGCCCTTTGGAACCCGTCCTTTTTCTTCTTCTTCTTCTTCCCTCCTCCATTCCCCCCAAAAACAACAACAACAACTCATCGCAACTCCAGTCCTTCACAAACCAGTGTTTTTCTTTTTTTTTTGCCTCAATTCTTCTTGTTGCGCACCCCCGCCCCTCCATCACGCAATTGGCCCGCGAAAAACATAAAACCAATAATCTTCCCCACACACCTCCTCCCCCTTCCTCCCTCCCTCACTCTTTCTCACTCATTCCTCCATTCCCCCCCTTTGTTCCTCTCTTTTTCTTTTTCTTTTCCCTTCTTTCCCCCACTTGTCCGTTTCTCCCTTTTCGCCATTGAAGCGACCCCATTAACGCCTTTTTTTCCGGTAACTATTACATTATAACTTATTACGTGGCGCACAAAAATAAAAAAAAAAGTTAACAACCTCCACCCCCCCCCTTTTCCCCCCATATGCGGTATTTTAAAGGGGATCAGCATATATATATATATATAATATATATATCAATCGGACCATGAAGGCTTTCACCATTGCCGTGTCTCAGATCACTGCCACAGTGTCCAATCATGAGCAACAGCAACAGCAACAACAAGAACAAGACGTACGTTGGCTGCTAAACCGTAATGTGGAATCCTCATTGTTTGTACAGGTGTTGAATGTCGTGGTGGAAACGGACACGCACGTTCTTTCATTGGTCCGCTACGTCCCTGACCTTATCGAGTTTGACCACTTGGTAAGTAAATACTTCTAGCGTGTTCTTTTTTTTTTTTTGGGAAAATAATAAAAGAAAGATTGATTGAAAACCATCCATAGATCAAGACGCATTATCGACGAGTCAGGGTCCCTTTTCCGAAATTGACAGAGGAACCCGCTACGATGACGACCCATACGACGACGACGACGACGACGGGCACCACAGCCACTGTAAATACGACTGCGGATAAACGCCGTAGCTTTCGTCAGTTCTTGACATCGCTGCCACACAGCAGTCATCGATCGAACGCAGAAAAAATCCAACGCTATCTGCATAAATGCTCGCTCGAGCCAGTCGTCCGTTCGTCGAGCATTTTTCGTGATTTTTTCTCTGTCCAGCGCGATGAGGATCGCTGCGTACCCAAAGCTGGACTGAAACAACTTCAGGCGCCACTTTCGTCTACTACTACAACTACTACTAAGCCATACCTGCAACAAGAACATCAACAGCAGCAGCAGCAGCAGTCTCGGCAACGTGAGGTGCATCAGCGACCGTTGTCTCCTCCACCTGCTACACCATCACCTCAGCTGCTACCTACTACTACTGCTGCTGCTGCTGCTGCTGCAATAGTGCAAGGTGATGATGATAATGACGATGCTGTTGTACCCCAATCACCCGTCCATAAAGAACCATTACTGGTGGATGATGACGATGACGACGACGACGACGACGACTTTGACAATCATGATGACCATAACGAAAACGGTCAACTAGAGCAACAAAAGGACGAAAGCCCGAAAAAGTACGACTTTTTTGAAAACTTGGAAATGATCAAAGTGCTTGGAAAAGGATGTATGGGCAAGGTAAAAACACACATAGGATGCTTTCAATAGAGACAGCCCAATTCCATCCTATTGAAGGGTTGGGGGGGGTTGGTTTAGGGGAATTGAGTAACTAGGAGTAAGTGATCTCATACACAGTGATTACTCATAGGTCTTTTTGGTCCGATCGCGCGCTTCGCACGAGCTCTATGCACTTAAAAGTATCGTGAAAGAGCTAGTCATTGAACAGCGCGAAATCACACACACGCTTGCAGAGCGTGACATTCTGGCCACTCTGTCTGAGATCAACCATCCCTTCCTGGCCAAGCTGCATGCATCGTTTCAAGACATGCATCGACTCTACTTGGTCACCGACTACTATTGCGGCGGCGACTTGGCAACCCAGATGAGCACCTGCTCCACCTTTTCCAAGGAACGTACCCTCTTTTATGCCGCCGAGATCATTGACGGTATGGGCGAATTGCATCGACTCGGCGTCTTGTACCGCGACTTGAAACCCGAGAACATTCTACTCACGGCCGATGGGCACGTCTTGCTGACGGACTTTGGGTTGAGTAAATGGCTTCTAACGACGACAACAACGAACGACGATGACGACGAGAATGATGGACAGCAACATCAACGAGTGACACAGACGTTCTGTGGCACCGCCGAGTATTTAGCTCCTGAAGCATTGCTAGGCGAGCCCTATTCCTTTGGCATCGACCATTGGGCGTATGGTACGATTCTTTACGAAATGCTTGCAGGCATCACACCTTTCTGGGCCGACAACCATTCGGAAATGTACCGCAGGGTGCTGCAGGACCCACTCGAGTTCCCGCCCGACACGGATTTCGAAACAGCCGAGTTTTTGTCTGCATTGCTTGAACGCGACCCACGGTTACGACTTGGCTACAACGGTGTCGACGAAATCAAGCAACACATGTATTTCTCCGACGTGGATTGGGACCAAGTGTATCAGCGAAGCTTGGTCCCACCCTATGTGCCTGATCTTCGATCGTCGTTGGATTTTTCCAACTTTGATCCGTCTTTTCTCGAAATGCCTGCAGTGCTCACTCCAGTCGCTTCCGCCGTCGACTTGTCGCAGGAGATGCAGCAAGTCTTTGATGGGTATTCGTTTGTTGATGCGCAGTTCATTGAGGAGGAGGAAGAGCAGCTATTACAACAACAACAACCTTCTCCCCCGTCACAACCTCCTCTTCCATCGCAACAGCAACAAGAACCATCACCGCAACCGCGGGTCGGTAGCAGCACGCACCATGATACGACTACTCATGCCGTCAACGCTGGACGTGATAGCAGTAGCAGTGGATGGGATGACGAGTTGTCCGTCGATCACAAGCGTCGGACGATGGACAGGATCGACGAGCAGCAGCTGAAAGAACGCGAATTGTACAATGACTTTTACCCGACCTTCCAGCCTGCACGGAAACGGGGGAGTGTCAGTATGCTTTCTGACATTGACAGTTTCCATCTTGAGGAGCGAGCAACGTCACCTCAACACCATCTTTATCGAAACCAACATCAACAAGAACAACAGGATCATAAGCGATACGAACCGGCGGCGACAACGACGACGACGACGACGACGACGCCATTGACGACACAAAAGAAGCAAGAACAGAGCGACAAGGCACGGTATGCTAAGCGACGCAACACCAATGGATCGTGTTTGGACGAAGTCGCGTATGCGTATCGACAACAAATGAGTGAATCATTGGTCGTGGCTGAACCGCTTTTGACACCGTCGTCGTCGTCCATCACACCAGGCCATCCACGCGTCGTGCCGGATCTGTCGGTTGCATCGACGGCAGACGAGCTAGAGGATCTTGATTTTGGTGGTATCTCTGCTGACCTGGATCTCAAACTATCCTTCAGTTTACAACTGGATCCATCATCAACAGCAACAAGTAGTAAACATCGTACCACGCATCATGCGAATCCACAAAAGACGTCAAGAACGCCAAGTAGTACTAGCAGTCTTCGACGGAAAGCTGCACGACGTTTCTTCAGTCCTTTATTAAAGTTTTAAAACCCTTTTCTTTCTCTTTCACACTCACATATCTATATCACATCTATACCTTACGCATCTTTTCCCCCCCCTCTACTATTACACTGGCAACCATTATTCCCCCTCACCTTTCTATCTCACGTGTTCGCAACAATCCCCCAGAAAAAAATGTTTATACACAACATTCACTTAATCATCTTCTTTCTTTCTCTCTTGTATATCAGATATTTTTCTTTTTATGCCCCATCTTCTTCTTTATCACCGAACCACCACCGCCCTCCAACTTTCCATTCAAAAGACTTTTCAATCATTGCTTTTTATAAACAAGCAAACAGGATAACTTTCTCTGATCTACAATGTTCATTTAAAACTTGCCATGTAGTTTTCTCGTGAAGAAATCCAGTGAATTACAGTTACATGTATTTTGTGTGTCAAGTTCAATGTCGGTTTAGCGAAAAAAAAAAAGATACCAGCCAGCATGTATCCAATAACTGAGATGGAATGAAATGTTTTTCGCCCAAGCATTCAAGTACGACTTTTTATATCTTTCTTTCATAAAGATAATATGAACGCAACTTGCCAATATAACAGCTCGAAACGATGAGCCTGTCTGCTATATCTGTATATGTATACATCAACAACTTACACATCCTGGGCCTTCATTGAATGATTATCATGCAAATCTCTGAGTGCCCTTAATTTTTTTTTTGTCAAGTGGCATAATAGACTTGCAATGACCCCTAAGCGACCTTGTATCATAGATAGAGTTCTTTTGGTTTCAGAATCGACAGCGCTCAATACAATTGTAAATGATACAAGGCGCATATAAAAAAGAAAGAGAGAGAGAGAGAGAGTGTGTGTGTGGCTATATTGCACGGTACCAAGTTCGCATTGCGTCTAGTCAGGGATTGTCAGCTTTCTTAACTTGAAAAAACCAGCGTTGATGTTTATATATGTAGTCCAGTTCTGTGCTAATCTTCAGTTACAATCATGCTCAAACACATACTTCTTTTTCACACATATTCTCGATGAAAACATGTCTATACCATTTCTCTATCGTTTCCTCCTCTTTTTTTCCACCCCGTTCCACCTCCTTTGGAAAATTCTAATGACGCATAAAGAGAGGATAATGTTTTTTTTTTATTCTCGTTGATCTAGCCATTGTTGGTCAAGTGTCTTCCAGCCTGCATCCAGATGTACAGTTATGTCATGCCGAGGTTGGTTCACGACGATAAAATCATGCATATCATTCAAGATCCGCTCTGCACGACGCCCTCCGTCCCGCAACAATTCTGACGAGTTCCGTAGGATGACATGTGCCCTTTTTCTTGTAGCAAGTTTCATCCTACCCGATACCCAAAAGTCATCCAAGGTCAATGTTTTCAATGATTCGCCCATAGCAGCAAAACATGCCACGATGGCCTGCTCCGCATCCTCTTGAATGGATAACCATTGATTCTGCTGCTGTTGTTGTAGTTGTTGTTGTGATTCTTGTTTCGGTGGATTTAGACGCGTCCAGCCATAAAGTGTCAACGATTCGAGCTTTGGACATTGCGGCAAAACTGCTCCTCGCCACACAGCTGCCGGCCAAGCATAGCAAAACCCAAACTTCAAGTGCCGCAAGTTTGGTAATTGAGCGATCCACGCGTATTTATCTGCCTGTTTTGATTCTAATGCTTTCCAACGCGACACGATCATGTGCTCTAACGTCACCGCGCCACCTTCTTCATCATCTAGCAGTCCTTGCCCATAATAAACCTGCTCCTGTGCTTCTTGTTCTAACAATGCAATTTCGGTGACGAGCGTCAAAAAGTGGAAATAATCAGCATCGCGCATGTTGACAATGCTGAGCGTTTGCACAGACGCCACCGCGAATGGCAACGGTTTGGCCACGATGGTGATGAACCCAGACACATGGCCAAAGCAAATGTTGACGTGTTGTAAAGGATGAGTGAGCAACAAATCGGTCACATCCAATGGCTGTATGGCGCACCACGTCTCCACGCGATCGCTGTCGAGTGTATGCAGCAAGGGTAGCTGTTTGGTTAGAGTGTGGATTTCGCCCAGGCACAAGTGCTTGGTGGACAATGCGCGCACGTTACGCAAACCGGTCGACAACGGTAGTGGTGACAAGTGGCTGTGCCGTAGGGTTTCGTAGGGTTTGGCGACATTCAAATGACGTACTGATTCGAGCTGTGGTTGTAGGCTTGGCGACACGAGTAGCCGTTTGTATGCACTAAACAGGACGGGTTTATCCAAGGTCAATCGTCTCCACTTTATTGTTTTAAAGAAATCGCGCCAGGCGTTGAACGGAGACAAGTGGTGAAGAATGAGAGAGAAAGAGAGAAAGAGAGAGAGAGAGAAGCGAAACAAGAAAAACCATGTTCACAAAAGAGATTAAGCGGCGCGTTGTATATTCACTCCTTATTTTATGCAAGAAGAGAACTGTGTTGTCTCACCATGACGGGTCGTCGTGCAATGGCATGCCATCGTTTGCATACTTTGGCCAAAGTGCACAGCACGATAGGACACGAGCCGCACCAGAAGAAAATGAGCTCGAGACAATCGTCCGTCAATCGACTCGTTGCGGTCATGTTTGGTAAAAAATGCGTTTTTGGGAGGAGGTGCATCGTTCAGCCCCAAGTCCGCGACATGTTGATCAAGATAGGGCAAGATCAACAAAACTCAGCTCGCTATAAGGTCCATAAAAAAAGAGGACAATTGTTGGAGAGAAGAACCTTCTTATTTATATATAAATTTTATTACAAGAAAAAAAAGTGGGTGTCTGTCTCTCTCGTATCACCGAACAAGCTTCAAATTTCAAAAGTCGTTATATAACATTCAGTCTCGTAGTAATCAATAAGCAGTAAAGGTGGAGATTATAATGCATGCTGCAGTGATACATGCACTAACTCATTAACTCTATTATTCGTCCATAACCCCGCTTAGTGCTAAGCGGCATCATCATCATCTTGGACAAATGGCATTTAGTAGTGGCAGTAGTAGTAGTCGTACGCGTATACGTTTCGTCAGGGAGTAAACAAGATACGTCATGAATCAGCGTGGTTCTTTGGGTGGTTAGAAAGGAAAAGGGGGGGGGGTGGGGTGGGAGAGAGCCAGCCGACTTTTTTCTTTTTCGTACGTAGAGCAAGCATTCAACAAGGAGGAGTGTGTTGTTGTGAGGAAGCAGCAGAATTAGGGTTTTGAGCATGGAAGACGAAAACGTGGTGCGCGGGCCCGTGGCAGGTTACACAGCCAGCCCAGACCGTTTTCTATTACGATGGTTTATCATATATATTCACGGTAGTCAGTCAGTTTTGCCAGGTGCGAAAGAAGCGTGAAATTACGCGAGCGGAGTGTTTGGAGTCCGCTTTGCCTTGATTTTCTTTTTTGGATCCTGACCACCACCACCACCACCAATACCAATACACCACCCCCAACCCAACCTCACTAAAACGCTGGGTGCTGTATATGATATAACAATTGGGGCCTCCCCCTCTCTCCCTCTCTGCCTCCATGGAAAACAATAGCGACTCCGCCTTGACCAACTTTTGGCTCTGCGCTCGTACTTTTCTCTCTCTCTCTCTCTCTCTTTCTCTCTCTTTCTTTTCACACACTCATATCTTATTTCTGGAAAGACGAGCTTCGTCTTTTTTCTTTCTTTTTTTTTTGCTTTTATTCATTCTAATTCTCGAAAAGAAGAAGAAAAAGAACGGCGAATAGAATATACCCGGCGCCTTTTTTTTTTTTATCTTGTTTCCTCGACCGATAAAGGACTTTTTTTTTTTAGGAGAGAGCCCTGATGTCCAAGGTGCCCATCTTGTGCAGAGTCCAAGCTCGGTACCCATTCAACTCGAATGACCCGTCCTCACTCAGCTTCGAGCAAGGTGATTACATTGAAGTCCTGACCAAGTTGGATTCCGGATGGTGGGACGGCTGGTAATTGTTATTTTAGACGCGTCTCTTTTCCTCTTTCTCTTTCTCTTGTCAGTATGACTAAAATAGAATGGATATTTGGACTCTGTATAGGTGCAAAGGTGTCCGCGGATGGTTTCCCAGTAATTACGTCCAGATAGTAGAAGACTATGAAAACGAGGACACTTCTACCATACGTGGGACAGATGACATTTTCTACGAGGAAGTAAGCTGAAGGAAAAAACCTTAAATTTTCATTGTTCCCAATCTTTCCCTTTACTCTCACATCCCAACCCCTTTCTAACCCTCATGCTCTTCTCTCCAATTCATACACACACACACACACCGCTCACGCATGCATGTACATGTAGCCTTCCGCAACCCACGCACGCTACATGTCAGCCACTTCCGATGAATCGGATATCGTCACGCCTCGTACACGCAATGGCGTTCCACTACGAAAAAATAGCGAGTATCGTCTCTCCTTGCCATATACCAACAACATTGACATCATGGAGCAACAGCCACAGCAGCAGCATCGATCCACCCAAGTACGATCAGCAATGGGACGCAAAGATTCGGCCAGTTCGTTCAGCAAGGACAGACACTACCAGCAACAACAACGCTCGATGCCGCCCAGCTGGACGTTGCAGATGACAGAGGATGGAACAGACTGCTATTATTACAACACCACGACGGGCGAGATGCGATCGACACATCCGGACGATGCCTCAGAATCGGAACTTGATGACGGTCTTTCCTACGTCAATGGATCGATCGACGAGGAAGAAGACGATGATTTTGACTTTAAATCCGTGGATAGTCGAATGCCTTGGGACGACCAGCCATTACCACCACAGCCTCCAACAGCACAGCAGCTGACACCATCAACACTTGATAAATTGGGCGAGCTGTCAACGTCAGAAAAGGTAATTGAAAAGAAGAACAAGAAGCGCGGGCCGCCTCCCCCCCCCCTTTTTTTTTTTGCTTTTCTGTCTCCCTATTTCTCTATCTCCACACTGTTGTAGATCAGTTGATTTAATTAATTTACTACCGGGTGCCCGCGCCCTTTCTGTCTGTGTGTTGTGTGTTGTCGTGATAGGTTACACAGCTTCCACATCCTTGGGTAAAGCGCATCAACACACAGGGACGAGAATACTACTTTAACACCGTGACCGAAGCAACCGCCTTAAATAGAGCCGATATCGAGGCCCCGAATGGACTGGTGAGTGGTGTGCCGTTGAGAGGGGGAGAGAGAGAATTTGCGCGGGTTTCTAATGCAGTATTTGTAGCGGGACAAACTACAGTCACTCAATGATCCATCATGGCGACCGCCTCTGCCTGACGATCCACCGTTCCAACAGACAGCAGCAACCCAATCCCCACCCAAACCATTACCCCGCTCACCTTCACGACAAGCCTCTGTACGTCGCACATCCGTCGTCGACAGCAGCGAGCCATTGACATGGAACAAACTGTCAGCACATATTGCCTTATCCATACACAACCTCAATTCCGCTGCAAAGAACACACAAAAGGCCATGTTTATGCCATACGCTGCTGCCATCGTCAATGCAATCCGCATGATGCTCGTCACCTCAGGCACGATTGACAAGGAGTCGGTACACATCAAGACAAACTCGGTGCTGCGTGCACACCATCGGGCCATGATGGCATCCATGTCAAAACTCGTCCTGTCCTCCCAGTTGAGCGTAGACAGTGCAGACGAAAACATTAGCAAAATGCTTTCTGATTCAAACGAACTCTTGTTGGCCGTGCGCAACTTTGTCAGCACGTGTCAAGATATTCCGGTTTCTGTACACCACATGGATCCGTCCTTGATAACAACAACAGGCATGGGTGAACGTACCCTAAATGGCAGCAATAACAGTAAAGACGATGCCAATCAACAACAACAACAACAACATCAACAACGCGCTAAATACGCGTTACAGAACGACTTGGCAGATAATTTGGAAGCCTATGGAACGAGCATGCAGGAATCGATCGACGCCATGTTGTCCAGCATCAGACGCGACGACGACGGCCAGGACAGCTCACGATTCTCGTTAGCAGCACTCATGTTTACCCAATTCCGCAACTTGGCCAACCAGACAGCCCAATTCATCGGCATTGTCGAGGATATCGATTTCAATGACGTCGATGCATCGCCCTTGATGGTCGAGCTCAAGGCGGACCGACAGCGACTCTCGGATGGACTGGGCCTGTTGTTCTGCTGCATGCAGTCAATGACGGATGAAACGGTGGCCATACAGGGTATTGTGGCAGACATGGAGCATGCTGCGACTGGCGTAAGTTTGCCGATCCGTAATATCTGTTCGTGTGTTGGTAAACTTGTGACCGAACGACGGGTAAGCATGTCCGCTGGCGGTGCGCCTGCTGCTCCTGTTACTACTACTACTGCTGCTGCTACTGGAGAAGACGCAGCACTGTCAAAGACACCGGCAGGAACAACCACACCATCCAGCCCGGCACTCATGGAAACAGTCATTGCTGAAGAAGACGAAAACGAAAGCGTCGCTGCGGAAGGATTTAGTACAGATGACAATGCAACACACGAAGGCACTTTACCTACAGATACCATGTCAGAACTCGAGCAACCCAAACAGCAATCGCAAGCAAGCACACCGTCCACGATACCCGAATCTCCCACCACGACTACGTCACAAACAGGTTCGGTGGGTGCTCATAGTGGCGATCACGGCGGCTCAGCGCAACGCCAATCGACAGTCGGCGGTGCAACCAGCTCACCGTCCAAGGCTACCTCGCGCAAATTGAAAAAGTTCTTTGGCGACGACGCACCCGCTGCTGTTGCCGCTGCTGCGAAACCAGCCGTGAACGAACGAGCATGGTACTTGCAATACGACTATGATGTGAATGAAATTGTATTCAACATGGAAGGCTATGTCAAGGGCGGCACGCTGCCTGCCTTGGTAGAGCGACTGACGCTGCACGACTATCTGGACATGAACTTTATCAATACCTTTTTGCTGACGTACCGATCGTTCTGCGCGTCCATGGAACTACTGAATCTGCTGGAAGCACGCTACAACTTGAATCCCCCGGAGGGCATGACAGAGGAAGAGACTGAAGCATGGACGCAAAAGAAACTCAAACTGATCCGACTGCGTGTGTTTAACGTTCTCAAGAACTGGCTGGAACTGTACTATAACGAGGACGACCACATCATTCTGGATCGACTGCAGGAATTCACAAACACAAGCATCCGAAGCACATTGAGCTTTTCGGCAGACCAGCTCGAACGATTGATCAAGATGCGCAAGGAGGATGAAAGTCAGGGCGGGCTCAAAAAGATGGTCTTGACCCTGCCAGATCCTCCCGAACCGATCTTGCCACGCAACCGTAAAAAGTTCAAGTTGATGGATATCGACCCGTTGGAGATGGCTCGACAGTTGACCATTATGGATTTCAAGCTGTATAGCTCGATTCGGCCCGTGGAGTGTTTGGATAAGGCGTGGTCGCGTGATACCAATGATGATACTGGCAAGGTCGCTGTGAACATCCGTGCGTCGATCGAGTATTGTAATGAGGTCACTTCGTGGGTTTCGGATGCCATTTTGAGTCAGAGCGATATTAAGAAACGTAGCAATGTCATCAAATACTGGGTCCAAGTAGCCGAGGTGAGTTCAACTGTCTTTTCTCCCACCCTCTTCCGAGGTCACAAGAGAGAGACAAAAGTTAAATTTAACAATCATTCTCTAGAAATGCCGACTCTTGAACAACTTCAACACATGCATGGCAGTTCTGTCCGCCTTTGACAATAGTTCAGTGGGCCGTCTGAAGCGAACATGGGAAATGGTGGGCGCACGGACCAACCAGATCTTGTCACAGATCCGCAAACTGATGGGTGCTAACCGCAACTTTACCGAATACCGCGCAATCATTCACTCTATCAATCCTCCCTGCATACCATTCCTCGGCATCTACCTACAAGATCTTACATTCATAGAAGACGGCAACCCAAACTTTTTGAAAAAGTCCAAAGAACTCATCAATTTCGCCAAACGCGCAAAGACCGCCGAAGTCATTCGCGAAATTCAGCAATACCAGTCATCATTATACCGTCTGAAGCCGGTTGAAGAGCTTCAGTCTTTCATTCAAGCTAATCTGCAAAGCACGCGGGACGAGGAGCAGCTGTATAATGAAAGCTTGAAATTGGAACCTAGGTAATTAAGAAATGATGCTTTCTACGCTTTTTTTTTTCTATGACTGACACCCATTATTAGAGAGCGCGAAGACGAGAAAATTACGCGACTATTGCAAGAATCTGGATTCTTGTAAAACCTCATTTCTTATTTTCTATTTTTTGTTATTCTTATTTTTGCATTACAAGTAACTTACACACAACACCACTACCACTACGTATACACACACACACACACACACACTCGCTCTTTCTCTCACAGTGCACACCCTTCCCCTTCATTTGCAATTTCTTGTACTTTATGACCTTTTTTTGCTCCTTCTAACTAGGTTTAATATCTACATAATTTACTTTTTTGTTCATTATTTAACAAAATATCCACATGACTTTTTTTTTTTTTGGTTCTTAATCCTGAATTGCTTGTTCTTGTTGTATTTGATTGTCTTCTTGTTCTGTCTCTGATAACATTCTACTCCTGTCATCTTGTTTTGCATCGCCGTCCTGTTCTGCATCTGATGGCATCCTACTAGTGTCATCTTGTTCTGCTTCGGATACCATCCCACTAGCGTCATCTTGTCCTGCTTGTGATACCATCCCACTGTTGTCGTCATCTGTCTCTTCGGTATATTCGGTCTCGTCTGTACCACGGGAGGAGTATGGCAAATGGTTGTAGTAGGTGGTCGCTTTGATCAAGGGCATTGTGATATTCTTTTGTTGCAATGTACTGATCCGAACAAGTCGTGCCAATTGGTCACCCAGTTTCTGTCGTTCTCGGCGATCCTGTTTCCATATATTTTCCCACTCGTTTAAATACATGGAATTGCAAGAAAAAAAAAAGATACTATCTGTTGCAAAAGGACTTACCGAGAGGTTACATCGAAATGTGTAGATGTCAGGGGTATATTGATTGATAATACGTTGTACTTTTTCTTCATCAAGTGTCCATGCTTCCACTGCGTCAACTAAACATTTGATTGGACATTCAATACTCTGTCTTCTTTTTCAACCCCCCCCACCTTTGCTTAGATACTTGTTGGTTACTCACCTTTGGTCATCAAGACCGCACAACGATTGGTTAGATACTCAGGTGCAACATGCTCAAATGAACGATATAAAGTCAACAGACTGTTCTTGTTGGTCATGTCGACCAAGAAGAGAACAAAATCTACTTGGCCAAGTTCATCAAGAGCTGTCGCAGATAATTCTTCGTCAGTGCCTCTACAGTTTTTTCATTCATATATAGCAATTCCTCTAATTAGCTTAAAATTTAGAAAACAGTGAGAAAAAGAAAAAGGGATTTAAAAAATAAACATTACAAGGAAATAAATGTTTCTCGACTCGAAATGAGTTGATCTGCCAATGTACGTTTTCCACTATTGGCTGGGCCAACAAGCTTTATATTATTTGTGTAATTAGCAAACCAGGTCGAGCTTGAATAGTTTTAAGAAAAAATAGAGAGAGAGAGAGTGTGTGTGTGTGTGTCTGTACCAGAACTTGAGTCGCGCGCTGTGTGTATCGTGGACGAAGGATCATACTGGTTGCATTGATATTTCAATTAGCCCAGAAGAAAGATAATGAGCCTAATTCAAGTTCCTATAAAAACGCGTGTCGCGTAATAATAATTGGACGCGACCCATTTGGTGCCTCCCTCCTGCAACCCATTAATTTCAAGAAATTTCCGGCTGTCGTGAGATACTGCATACACATAACTCAACATATTCTTGTGAAACTAAAGGGTGTGATACAAGTTTTATTGTTTTCTAGCAACAATTAGGATCAAACGTTTACAGGTGTAAAAGGATACCCAGCTAATAATCAAGGCTGAAAGAAGTTTTATCATGATCATCTCATGTTTATGTGCAAGTCATAGCTCGCTCTAGCATGTGGTTCGCACGTCAAGTGCATCTTTGTCTCAATCTGCAATGCGTATCTCTGCAGAGATTACAAGTTTATCAGTAGCAGACACCAAGTGTGTAATATGCAATATTACGAATGTAGTACACATTGACTACCTATTAAAGAACAGACATTCGTAGAGTGCTTCCTTTTCCAATTTATTGAGGTTTCAATTGATCAATTAGCTGTGGAAGCTCTTCATTGAGCTGTGTGGTTGAATTGATTCTCGGATACGGCTCGTCAGGCACAGGTTTTCCCAAGAATTCACAGATTTTTTCCCATCCAATGCCTTCGTTTAGGTTCAAGGTCAACAACCGTTCCTGTGGCACATATTCTTTCACCCAGGCGTTGTGCGCCTTATACTTTGCCTTTACTGCATCGGGGTTCGCAATAAACTCGCCGTTCTCAAACACGCCATCCATCCAAATCTTCTTGGTCATGCGCTGTAAGCAACGGCCATAGTCGTCGTACTCCTCCTCGTCCACTGTGCTCAACTTGTAGATGGAGTTTTTGACCGAGTCGTACCAGCTATCTGCATCCCGCTCAATGAGGATGACCTTGGCATCCGGATAAGCTGCTATCAACGGGCGAATAAAACAAACGGTTGGACTGGATATCAAGGGGACGTTAGTACAAAACCCGTTGTCCTTTTGTATATGCAATGTTGTTCGAGGAACCTCATTATTCATGGTCTCCACTCTTCCCCCCCCCTTTTTTTTTTGTTCTTTGATACGCTTTCTGATTTGAAAGTCTCATATACTTATCACCAACATACCAATCTACAGCGGCTTCCCAGCCTTCATACATCCGATCCCAATCTGCAGGCTTTTCTGGATTGTCGTACGCTTGCGCAAAGAGTTCAGGGTGACCATTTCCTTCAAACATGGCACGCATATGATGCGTCTTATATCTGGTCCCAATTTCCACAAGTTGATAAGAATCAATGCGTCAACAGAAAAATAGTCTTTTTATCCACATACCCAAGCATGTTAAGTGCAGTGCGCAGACTATCAGTCCCAGTACGACTGTAGGCTGCTCCTATAACCTCAAGTGGCGCCATAATTGAGTTTCTCACAAAGAAGGAAAGAAAAGCAAGATGCGATTGGAAGCTACTTTATAAATAAAACACACAAGGTTTAGGCCCGAAGCGGTGTTTAGTGCTTCTTGCTTTGTGTACATCCATGTCATAAGACGGGTCGTTTTTCCCCCAATACATTTGTTAAGTAAAAGAGAAGCCTGTGTGCGACCTACAACGACTAAATATACGTAGCTGGAAGAGTATTTTGGAGATTCAAACCGCAAAAGGTACCTACTCATGAATTAATCACAACATATACGTAAAATGCATCGATGCGCTGTAAGACGAAACTTTGACTGCAATTGGGAATCTGTGCTACCAGAGACGCATTCGGAAGGTCTGTGGTGCGGTACGCTGGTGTTTATTTTCTCGCATGTCTTTGTAACAAAGCACACTATGTGTTTATAGTAGAGGCCCAACATTTGTGAAATTATAATAAAGCGAGTGAATAGCAATGCCAGTACATACTTGCATGGATTATTTCTATTACTCGGTGCTTGAATACGTACTGTACAGTACTTGTCTACGAGCATTACATGTTTTGTAACGCGTAAACTACGCCTGAGTGACAGGCGTAAAAGGTGGTAGTGATCTTGATATACAAATTGGTATTACGGGTACTTCTCACCAAAAATGCAAGTACATCAATTGAGTTCCAACTGATCAAATCTTACCATATACATATATACTATTGGATGTACTTTCAAGTAATCGCGTTTCTATGTGGTCCTTGTATTTATATAACATACCCGCACATTGTAATATCTGACTTTAGACTTTACGAGTTGCAAAACATCAAAACGAGCAATATAGCAATAGCTTATTATTTCCGGTAGAAAAGGACTTCTTTTAAAGATGCAAAAACTTTTATTAGGCCCATTGATCTATGACAACAATGTAACAGAACGGGTTATCACTGTGAGATCAGTATGCCATATTTGCAGAAACATGTGAAGCGATCTCCTTTCAAGTAGATATTACGTAAAGGGTCAAAATGCCAGACTACCTTGCTAACAAGAGTAATTGGCGGGAGGCGAAAAAGCTATCGCAGAAAGAAAGAAGCATGATTGTAGTGGATCATTCGCATTAACGTCCAGTAGCTTCGTCAGTCACTTTTCTATGCAGGAATGAGGGAATATCTTTAGTTTGAAAGCCGTTAAAATTGATATCGATGATATTGATTTCATCCGGAAGTAGCACGAGAAAAAGACGAGGTATGTTAAAAAAGTAAGGATCCAACTCCTGATACATAAGAAGCGGTAGTGATAGTCATGTCGATGCCCTTTTCTCTCTTCCGCAAGTTAAATATCCGATTATAAGCAGCTTGGCTACCTCTCTTTTCGCTTTACGTTTCCACCTACTACAAAAACTATAGAGTACAATGGACTTTAACGACGAGAATGTGTTTCGAGATCTTATAACAGAGTACTTGATCCACAACTGCTATAAGAATACTGCCAAGGCCTTTCTTGGTGAAGTCAAGAAGCTGAACGCTTGCAGTGCCAGTGACATTGCGTCAACGCCAGTCAATGGTAATAACGGAAATGACAAGCGACGACGGAGCAATACTACCACTACAAGTAAAACGCTGCAGCTTTTCTTTTCTTATCGCCTATATATTCGAACAAGTATAGCTAGAACGTGCTGACTTGACCTCCTACTTTGACGTAATAGCTGATGCCATGGACATTGATGAGAATGATAGCGACGCGAACGGTAATATACTCCTTTTTCGTTTCCGTTTTATTATCCTTGCTGCTATGAGAAAAGAATGTAACGTTAGTAGAGTACGGCTTGTTAATGGAAAAGGGATTTTATACATTAGACGCTGATGCATACACGTGGGCATTACTGGATGCACGAAAAGGTTCGTAAACAACGTGAAGAGCTCCAGTGTGAAAGAGTAGTGGGAAAGATAGCTGAATGGATTTATTGATATACGGCATGGCGTGGGGGTATATATAACAGACCTCTATGATGCCATTTTGAGCGGAAACATACCGCGTGCATTCGACGTGATCAAGCAGCACTTTCCTACTCTAGCAATGCATGATCCACAGTATCCACAGCAAGAGCAACGGACAGAATCCATGACCGTCGACCACGAGAACCAGAGCATGTCACAGTTACAATACATACTATTTAAGCTTCGATGCCAGCAATTTGTTGAAATAGTACGCTCTTCCGATGAAGTTGAGGCCATCCGTTTCGCACAAACACACCTCAGACCGAATAACAAAGAGTTTCAAGATCTCACAAACGAGGTGGCATCGCTCATCGCTTATCGTGATCCTCACAATTCAAAGTCGAGTCATTTGCTGAGTCAAGAACGTCGGCTCCAGCTGGCAGATGAAGTCAACACAGTGGTATTATGTAAGTAGTGGGATATGTATATATATTCTGGATTTTCATGCATGAAAGAATAACAATATTAACAAATGAATTTGTTATAGCGCTATCTAATCTCAGAAATGAATCATCATTTGAACGATTGTATAAGCAAAATGAATTGATCGAAAGCGAACTGGCAAAATACAAAAACGATGGATTGACAAGTGCTGAAAAACCAGATCAAGAAAGGATGGGAATGTAGAGAAACAGAATGGCAAATCACAACTCTCCCCTCTCCCATGTCTTATCGCTTTTTTCATTCTGTATCTAATACCATGACATGTTCAACTTATTCACGGGCACACACACACACACACACACACATACAATGCACACGTCTACCTATTACCCACCCTACCCTTGAACCATCCTCATCAATACACGACAATATGCCATAAAATCCAATGTAAATAGACAAAAGAAAACTGGTTATTTCTCGCTCTACATCCGGACGCACATGTTGCATCCCAAATTGCTTGTCCCCTTTTTCTCTCTTTTGCTCTGACACTTGATAGATGTCCCTCGCAGCATATTTCTTTTTTCTTTCGTCCCTTTCGAACAAAACACACATAGTTCGTCGTCTGCAAGATGGATACGTTCACTTCATTGTATGCGAGAATTCGAGAAATGAATTTATTGTTTCAAAAAGCTGAGGTGAAACAAGAGAGCAAAGTAACAATCCGTTTATTTGATCTCGTTGACAGTAAGAGCTAAAGTCCCCAAAATAAATATAACAAAAGAGAGATTGTCGGGTTAGTGTCTGTGTGTCGTTTTCCTAATACCAATATATAAAACACAAGAAAAAAACCTTACCAGGAGGGAGGGACTGTCTCAACTTGTTAGCCTTCTGCTTGTCGCTGACGACAAGAGTGTACAAGTAACGCGAGCATCTGACCTTGAACTTGACAGATTCGGCATTCTTCTTGATGCGGGCGGCTAACAATATATTATAAGGCATATTTAGTATTAGCATGTCTCTATTGTCGAGTATGGAAAAAAAATCGTTTTCGTATTCGTTTCTTACACTGGGCGTCCTTTCTGCGGGCAATCTCAAGGAACTGCTTGATATCCTTAATTTGCTTAGGCTAAGGAAGAGAATTTTATAAAAAAATCCGGGTAAGTAAAATTGAATGTCCAATGTTACCTTCAATATCCCCAAAACCGCTTTTTGGTACCCTTCCCATCCCAAAAATTGGATTCTTTCATTAACTCGTATCCTTTCAAAGTAATCCATCCATCGAATCACTCATCCATCCATCCTTTTAACTATATTGCTTCGCTTCTCTCTCTCTCTCTCTCTATTGCTTATGGTCCCATAGTTACCATGTCTGCTACGCGTGTGGCAAAAGAGGGACTGGTCGGGATGAATTTCCAGGACGAATGTCAAAGGCTCGGCGATAATTCAAATCCAGCAAATCAATCGTATGCCTGAATCTCTCTCCCTCCCCCCAAACCAGCTTTATTATGTTGCTTATCACGGAAAGTGACTCTCACTTTGGCTATATCGCATATAATATTCGATTACTTTTGGATAGTCTGGATTTGTGCCTTGTGGGCGCTCGATTGCAACCTATGCTGCCTTATATTCAATGCAGCTGCTCGAATCATAATAAAGTAGCAGTACTACATGCGTGCTAGTAAAAGTAGACCTCGTCACTGCACATAAACATAAAAAGCCTTCTATTGCTTCCAAAGCGTTTTCTTAACACAAAGACTTCTTGGGAATTCTTAAAAATATCAAACAGCAGCATAGTTCATCAACTCTGAAGCTTGTGTAGTATGTAGACTACTAACATAGCTGCTTACTTAGCAATGGTACAGTTTACAAATTCTATGGAAACTGTTCGTTTCCATGTCATTGCATATGTTGTTTCCATGACGACTGCTTTCAGCAAATATTTTCTATAGCAACACTATAGATCACCGAATCTACGTAACTTTTCCATGGTAGCATAGCATTTTGCTATTTCTGCTATAGTCTGCTAGAATTACTTTTGCGTTAACGAAGAGTTCTCGGTTGCAATCCAGAAATGACTCAATTGATTGGCTATTGCCAAATGAACTGATTGGCTGGCATTAAAGATACAGCTACCGGAGCTTAAACGGTGTTGGTATTCTCCTCAGCTTTCCCAATGAGTTTTGTAAGCTGCGCGTCTGTAATAAAGGGCTTTTCTTTGTCTAAAAACGATCAGTAACAACGGACGAATGTTTCAAAAAAAGCCGGCCAAGAAATTTAATTTTGGTTTTCCATCGAGTAAAAAAGCAACAGAGGCAAAAAAGACAGAAGCTGCTGATTCGTCTGCTACTTCTTCTTCTTCTGCTACTGCTGCTACTATTACTCCTCAAGGACCACCACCAAAACGCAGATTCGGTGGTGATTCTGACGAAGAAAAAGCAACAGCCAATAGCGATTCAACGAAACGAGTACGAAGCAGTCTCATTGACGCCGACGACGAACAGGAGCTTTTGGCCAGTGCAGGCATTGGTCCCACCTCGAGTAAGATTGATTTGAACGTGTGGTTAACGTTACACATTCGTTCACACCCCCCACTGTATCAGCGGTAAAACCAACAGCAGAGCAAGCCAACGATGACGATGAAGAAGATCCTTTGGACGCTTTCATGGCAGACATGAGCGAACAAGCAAAGACGACCAAGACGGAAAGCAAGGTAACTTTAATAATTATACTAGGGAAAAAAAAGACAGATAAATTAATTTGGAAATGGGTGTTATGTTAGGCACGTCGCGACGATTTTGAGGAAGAAGATGATATGGAGAGCTACATACGGCATATGAAAGAAGAAGGTGTTACAGTGGGCCAAGTGGATAGCCGATCTTACATGGATCGCAATGAGGTAAAGAAAGAGTAGAATACTGATGAGAGGGAATTTGAATGTTCTCTTGTCGTGTTGTTGTTGGATCGGGACAGGATAGGTAGAAGGTTTAACAATTAATACATGAGCACATCACGCAGTACGCCGACTCGGATGAAGAAGTGTATGCAGCAGCAGCAAGAATTGATGCAGAACTCAACAACAACTCGGATGATGGAGAGCACGGCCCTGTCAAACGAGAGATTGAACCACTCGCCAGAGTCGATCACGACGAAATTGAATATCCCGAGATCGAAAAGTATTTCTACGAGGAGCACCCAGATATTACAGCACTTGGCAACGAACGAGTAGCCGAGATCCGACGGGAACTTGGATTGCATGTCACGGGATCTGACCCACCTGCGCCATGTATTTCGTTTGCACATTTTGGATTTGATCAAGATGTCATGGCCACCATCATCAAAGCCGGGTACACTGAACCTTCTGCAATCCAAAAGCAAGCCGTGCCCGTGGCATTGCAGGGCCGTGATATTATAGGCATTGCCAAGACGGGATCGGGTAAGACTGCTGCATTTGTTCTACCGATGCTTGTGCATATCATGGACCAAGAAGAACTTGCCAAAGGTGATGGCCCGATCGGTTTGGTCATGGCACCCACACGTGAATTGGTGGGCCAGATTTATGCTGAGACCAAAAAGTTTGCCAAGGCGTATGGACTAAAGTGAGTCTTTATTTTTACTGTTATCCTTGTTTGTTTTTGTTTTTTACAATGGGAAATGAAAGTATGTGATCAGCTGACGATGATGGGGGGTCGCGTTGCTGTTGTTGTCATACCTGTATGCTGTATGTGAGCATAGGGTGGCCGCTGTTTATGGTGGTGCATCAAAGATGGCGCAATTCAAGCAGTTGCGAAGCGGCACCGTCGAGATCCTGGTTGCAACGCCTGGTCGATTGATAGATATGCTTAAAATGAAGGCTACGAATCTCAAGCGCGTCAGCTATCTTGTTCTTGATGAAGCGGATAGAATGTTCGACCTTGGTTTTGGTATGTGCCAGCGATCATTCTATTCTTTTTTTTTCTGGCGTGGATAAGTCAAAATGTTTCTCTCATACATACACACGTACGTACAATTTGACGTTATACAGAACCTCAAGTACGCTCTGTTTGTGACAACGTCCGACCCGATCGCCAAGGTAAACGAGAAAAACAGTGCATACTTAGTGACTCGATGAAAATGCTTCTAAACTCATCACAAATATTTTTAGCTTTGCTGTTTAGTGCCACCTTCCCACGAAAAGTAGAATATTTGGCGCGCGAAGTAACAGCGGATCCGATTAGAATCAGTGTTGGCACGACGGGTCAAGCAAACGAAGACATCACTCAAGTCATTGCTGTGCTTGATGAGGAAATGCTAAAGTGGGATTGGCTGATAAGACGGTTATCTGGATTTTGCGCTGGTGGGCTATACAAGATAAACAAAACAAAACAAATACAGCCAGCGAACTTGCAAACTCAATGTTTGTTTATTCATTCTTTTAGAGGGAAGCGTCATCGTATTTGTGTCGCGAAAAGGGGCTGTGGATGTACTTGCTTCGAATATCAGCGAATCCGGGTTTCCTTGTAAGTGTATCATATAGTACGCAGAGCTTCGACCAATTAAGTTTGACGCTGTCGGTGCCGTTTTGTTGTTGTTACTTATCTCCATTATGTACAGGCGGAGCACTCCATGGAGATCTGATGCAATACGAGCGCGACAAGGTACTTCGTGACTTTCGCGCAAACAAGTACGCCATTTTAGTGGCAACAGATGTAGCGGCCCGCGGTCTGGACATCAAGGCTGTAAAGAACGTCGTGAACTATGACATTGCCCGTGACATCGACTCGCATGTACACCGGATCGGACGTACGGGACGTGCAGGCGAGAAGGGAACGGCCTATACGCTCATCACTCGCAAGGAGGATCGTTTTGCTGGAGAGCTGGTCAGAAACTTGGAAAGCTCTGGTCAGGCGGTCCCCCAGGATCTAATGGCTCTTGCATTGACAAATCCCAAGTTCAAAAGCTCTCGGATACACGGTGGCAGTCGCGGTCAAGGAAGGGGCCGTGGTCGAGGTGGTCGAGATGGCCGAGGTGGATTTAGGGGGCGAGGCGGGCGTTTCAGAGGAGGAGGAGGAGGAGCAACAGGAGCGGGAGGTATAGTACCGTCTCAATTCACTTTTTATTGCATCAGATAGCAACGAAAAACTTGTTTGAAATTGATTCTTGTTGAAATTATAGGAGGCATCACTGGTTCTAATGCTGAACCATTGCTACCAAGGTCATCAGGCTCACGACCAGGACCATCGTTCCAAGCCATGAAGTTCCAAAAAGCGAGTTCGGACGAAGCTGGTGCTCGAGGACTCAATACAACTGCAGGGGTGCAGCAAAGTAGTCGTCGTTGGGACTAGCATATACACAACATGTACAAGTTTACCTCACTCTGCACTAGTTTTAGTGTGCGAGGCTGATCTTGTCTGAATCTGACATGCAGACATGTCATATTTGGGGAGATAATAAAGTGCTTCTTTGCTTCTCGATACACGCCGCTGCCGCTAACTGCTTGATAGTATTTCTAAAACGCTTCTGCGATGATCTGCACATGTAATTATAATAGTGGTTTATACGTGCTAGTACGCATTACCCCAAAATTTTATATGAAAACGCGCTGGAAAGTGCAGTTTTCACTACATAATGCTCTGTACGTAGTACCTTTTAGCATAAGGCGCTTGTTTTCATGTCGTGGTCACACAAATGACGATCGCCTTTTGACTGACTAAAAGGCCCAGGCCCATGGCCGGACGAACGCCGTAATATGTATTGGTTACTGTTGCACGACATGGCGACCATTGCACAAACAAGTCATTTGATAATAAAAACCGCTTTCTTCATTTTAAAAAGTAGACAATAAGGATGGTATGACAAGTAGAAGAAGGATGCAACAACAACGGCCGATGAATTTATTACACGAGGCCATCCCACTGGGTCGTTTTGTCTCACCATGACACCAGGCCAGAGTATATACGCCGCTCCCCATCAGTTCTTATTCTAACTGTCGCACACAGCTTAGCAAAAACACGATAGTGCAAAATGGACGTGCACACACGTATTATTTCTGTGTTGTTTGTCTTGATAAGTCTTTTGACCTACTGTTTCTTTTCTTTTTTTTGCAGTCAGTTGGGTCCATAAAAGTAAGCCATGTAGTAATGTATGTTGTTATGCCATCTTCTATGTTCTAAGTATGCATTATCTTGCTGGATTCTACTTGAGTTTCTTGCATGATATACGCAAAGTACAGTCTATGCGCTGCACACCATGCTCATTCTTAAAACAGCATCCTGCTCTTCTAGACACGCGTCCTACCACGCTTTTGTTCTTTACTTCGACACCCCAAGCATAAGCTCCAAGCATTTAGAATTAGCTTGTTTCAGCGCAATTATGAGATGGCACGGGATATTATATGTAAACATTTAAAGAGGTTCGCCATCTAGCAAACAAGAAATGGATCACCTGAAATACGAAGCCAGTCAAGGGGCCGGATAGAGCCACTCAGCTGGCAATTAAAGGCCCCGATGCAGCGGACCAAAGTTTCTAGCTTTTCCCTCTCAGAGAATCGAGACTGAATAAGCATGTACTGTACATACGTACGCATGTATAAAGGAAACAGAAGAAGTCGGTATTATTTTTCTGTCATTCCGTTGGGGGGATGTCATACCTGTTTTATACATAATGCTTACAAGGATTGTCATTTGAGAAAGGAGTAACAACGTACCTCCCCACTCTAGTGACAACGGCTACTGTTATCCATAAACAGTTTGCCAACTTACTCATCATCTTTCAAGTGACCCGGAGAAAATCTCGATAACAAGGCAAATGTTTTGAGCGTGGCGCTATTTAACCATGTCGTACAAACGATCAGAGCTGATCCCTGATCCTGGATTTTCAGCGATACTGGTAAACTAAAATCAAAAACAATTGCGATACGTTTTTCTCGGTGTGCGCACATTGTATCTATGTGTTTGTTTGTGTCTTGTACTATGTGTGTGCTCCGATGCAAACTTGCTATTCCTATTTGACGCCAGGGGGAGACATTTAGTTAGAAAACACTAAACTTTCTTGCCACCAAGATTTCAGGGGGTAGTAAAAGTACATTGCGCGATAACCAGTTTTTTAATTCTCGTTGTTCTTCAACTACATCGAACTTGACAGATTTAAGGAGAAGGAGAAGATACGGGCATGGCTAGTATATATATAGACGCAACGCGCTCCTTTTTTATTCTTGATGTCATTTCTGACCGAACTCCTTTCGAACTTTTGAGATAATCGTCGATCCTATACGCGTAGAAAGTGGGAGAGCATAGAAAACAAAGTTTGCTACATCATTCCTTTGCCAATAGAATTGCTTATTTTTTATAAAGAAACTTTACGAAACTGCAAGTGCCAACAAACCAGCTTTTCCGAAATGCCGCATATGTAAAAAAAAACATTCTAAATACACTGCGACCAACAAAGAGAGAGACATAGAGAGCGAACGAGAGACTTAGATTCGCCCCCACACCCCCACACCCCCAAAAAAGAACAGGGGAAAGAGATGCAACTCCAGCTCTGACCTATCCTTGCTTGAGATTGGCTATTGCCTAATGAGTCCGATTTAGAAGAAGCAATAATAAAGTATAATAACCTCGTCGACGGGGATACATGGGAGTGCTGTGAGCAGAGAGTGAACGAGAGAGAATAGCGTTCAGAATCTCGATGTTGCACATGGCTTGTTGGGCAACACACGACACGCACCGAAATATATAAAAGTAGCCACGATACTAGCTTTTCTTTCTCTTTCTCTTTTCTCCATTCATTACAAAACGTACTATTTTTATCTCTCTATTCTTCTCTTTCTACCTGTTCATCTCACCCCTATACCCATACCGCATTTCATACTATACCACATCATTCAAAAAATGTCAACACGGTTCGATACCTACCTTCAAGTCATCTCACACGCGGACAAGTTCCCCCACGAGTTCGATCCAAAGAACCCAGATGAAGTACACCATACCATACCCTTTCGCCTTCACCCTCACATTGTCGGCCGAGTACTACCTAGCACATTGCCACCGTTGATCGAATACAATGATGCTCAGATGCCAAAGCCGTTTGAAGTTGTGGAGGGCGAATATATATCCTTTGCCTCTTGGGTTGACACTTTTGATAAGCGCACCCAAGTGATGGAGAACCTGTTACAAACTTGGCGAGAGAAAGGCACATTTAAAGTCTTGAAAGGTACACATACAATGCGATTGTGTATATTGATGACATTACATATACATTCTGTAAAGATATGGGTCCTGACCAAAAAAAAAATGCTTTGTCTTTTTCTTGAAAACAAGGTTGGAGAAACGAAATATTCCCTGTATATGGCGATGCGTCGCGATCGGATAATGTGGCTTTTGTCATTGAGCGTGCGGGTACACCGCTCTTTGGCATTTCACAGTTCGGCGCGCATCTTAACTGCTACGTCCGGGAACCTGATGGAAGCATCAAGATCTGGGTAGGCAGACGTAGCAGAACAAAACAAACTTGGCCAGGCTTACTGGACAACTGCGTAAGTAACTACTATATATGTCAGTTACAATTCTACTTAGCAAAAACTTCTCATTGATAAAAAGGCCACAAAATACTAACTTAACTCTTTGTCTGCTTGAACACGCTAGGTCGCTGGTGGCATCACCTATCAAGCCACCACGAAAGACACGATCGTCAAAGAATGTGACGAAGAAGCTAGTATACCCTCAGAGATTTCAAAACAGGTAATTGACCAGGAGCTTGTTTTCACAACACCCTACGTTGGGGGATATGTGCTTGTACGTTATACAAAAGAATATATGTACTGACAGGCTCGTGGGCGTCTTGCTGTTGTTATTATTAGGCCCGTAATGTAGGAGCAGTCTCATATTTCACTTATACTGAACATGGCTTGGTCCCTGAGACTCAGTAAGTACTAGCCCACTCTGCAGTTCTTTTTAATATATCACAACCCACGTATATTAGCCCCCTAAACTCTTTCATTTATTGTCATGATTGTTATTTGCTGACGTGCTAACCCTTATCACTATTGCTATCCTTTTCAAGGTATTCGTTTGATCTCGAGCTCCCACGCGATTTTGTTCCCACTCCGCGGGACGGAGAGGTCGAATGCTTCTACTTATGGCCTATTGAGAAAGTACGCGAAACGTTATTAAACAATGAATGGAAACCGAACTGTGCTTTAGGTAAGTTGATATATAAACATCTAAAACAGCTAAAAATAAGAAAGAACCGTGGCCTCTAAATCGTTGTGTAATATCTTTGACCGCATTTAGTCACGATCGATTTCTTGATGCGGCACTCTGTGATCACTGCTGACACTGAACCCGACTACATTGACCTTACCTATCGACTGCACCGAAAGCTTGAGTTTCCAACGCCGCACAAGCAAGTCGCTGCTCGTGCTCCATTTGTTGTGACATCGACTTGTCAACAGCAGTAGTCATCGTTCTCTTCCCTAGTACCATTTTTGTTATGTTTAGTCTCACTTACCATAGCAGTAGTATTTGTTTGCTCTACCTTCCCCTCTCTCTTTTAGCTTTTTCTAATCGATGATACCTTTATTTTTAGTTTTATTATAAACCATTATTCATTCCCATCCATCAATCTCATTTCCCTAAAAAGATATCTACAAATGAAAAAAAAAACCAATATGATACTCTTTTTTTAACCTCTACTTTTGTCTTTTCTGATATAAAAAAAAAGCGTGGTTGCACAGACAGAATGCAGCGCAAAACGTGTAACCAATGCTGCTGACTTTTTCTTTTTTCCTCGCAACAACTTCGCCGTCTTTGCTTTTTCTCTACTATATAAGCAATGACGCGCAATGACGACGAGCAGCATGGGGCAGGATCGAGCAACGTTGAACCACCATCTTATGACACAGCCATTGCTTCCCCTTCAGGAGCAGATTGTCTGAATGTACCTGGATGTTATGATGGGACCAGGCAACATCAAGTCAATTGCCAACCACAACAGCAACAACAGGTAAACTTGAAGGATTCACTTTTTCTGTACGTTTCTCGATGATACACATGCAGGAAACTTAGGCTTGCTTCTTCTCTATCCTTCCTCGGCCCTTAATATCCGAAAAAAAAATTATCAGAGTTCTGCTACTACCACAGACCAGCTATCAGCGCAAATGGATCTCAAGATCCTTGCCTCAGAAAATGTTCATTGGCCAACACCTACACCACCTTTCGAATCATGTTGTGTCCTTGAAGACCGGTTTTTACTATTAGGCCATGCAACACAAGGGATCCAAGTACTCGATTTGCAAAATCCAGGCTGTAAACCAAAAACCATTATATGGATCCGAGTTCGACAAATGGTTATCATAAAACCATGTCGTGTGATCCTCATGCTTGCTGGGCGCAACAAACGCGTGCGGTGCTACTCGTATGATGCCCTGCTACGATTGTGCCACGCCATATATAACATCGACTGGACCTCTCGAAACGATACGAATTACGACGTGCCATCCATGTCTGAATGGAAACGTGTTGCTTCGCAATCTGGGAAAGCGCCGGAAGATGAAGTCGAAGAAGATTCTTGGCCCGATAACGACGTTGAACAACAGAAACAACAACAACAGCAGCAGCAACAGCAACCTACGCGACTTGTGCTCACCAGTGGATTGGCATTGAAGCAACATTATGTGTGCAACGATGTGGTACTTCAAGAATTCTACTACAAGTTTCCAGACTGTAAAGACGTTCTGCGCCTGCAAACGTATCAGACGAGTGCCTACGTATTCGCTGCAGTGCTTCAACGCGACAAGATCGTTGTCTGGCAACAACGGCGGCGTGACCAACAGCAATCATCATCTTCATCGAATGACTGTAAATGGAGGCTGAGCCCCTTTTACAAATTTAAAGTTTACTGGATTCCTGCGGAGCCACGCTGGATTTCGTTTGCAGATGATAGAATTACCTTGCGGTACCTCTTGGCGATCTTTTCCACTGAAGCCACAGCCATCGGATTACGCAACAGCAAGGTACGCACAGTCCCTATCGACCCAAAACTCGCAGAACTATACCAGAAAACATGGTTACGCGAACAGTACGATAACCAATTGCTGGCGGCAGCAGCAGCAACAGCCGACAATAACAACTCCAGCAGCAATAACAGCAACACCATCGATAGCATATTTTCATCATCGTCAAATACAAGATCACGCTCTCATTCATCACCTCATCCACCACCTTCACCGAGCGATAACACTGCATCTTCATCAGCATTACCACCTTCATCCTCGTTTCCGACTTTACCCACGACTACAACTCCTGATATCCAATGGTCATCGTTGATCCAGCTACCATTTTATCCAAATCCATTGACGACTTCCTTGACAAGCGACTACAGCAACCCACCTTCTTACGATGCTGTTGTCACATCATCGCCCTCTGAAGCCGTCGATCCCGTCGCTCTCTCATCCACAATGTCACCGCAACTGTTTTTCGCCACACTGTGCCGCCAGAGTTATATTATTGACTTGATCGGTGGTCTCTTTTCGACCCTGGTGTACCACTGGACGCACGAGCCACAGCATATCGAGTTTATCCAGTTAGCAGAGGACGATTGGTGTGCTGTTGGATTCGGCCGTGAAAGCGTCGAATTATTACACATGCGCACGGGCGAAAGGATACATCGCATCATGAATAGCGTTCCTGTATGCTTTCTCGGTCGTTGGGATATCAAGGAAGCGGGAAAAAAGAAGGTCAAGGCTTTGTTTTGGTGTTGCGCCACGCCACAGGATAATGCCCACATATATATGCTGCAGGGTAATAACAGCCCTCATACCACCGCCCCTTCTACTAGTAATACCAGTAGCACCACTACTGATGTCCCTTCCTATACTGCCTAAAATAACGTTGTAGTAGCAGATAGGATATGGGCATATGATAGACTAATAAAAAGACTTCACTTTTTGTAATATAAGCATCCAGCTCTCTCCTCCTCATGTACATGCTGTGCCTAGTATATGCAGACATGATCACTCTACTGCGTGTAACATATGGATACAAGAACGTCCAAGGAAAACAAGGTTATATTTACAAATTCGGATAAGCACTTCATCCCTTGAAAAAAGAAAAAGATTCGTTTTCGACAACAACCCTTTCTATCATCAAGTTTCATCACCTTCGTTGTCATTGTCTTCCTCATCCTCATCGATATGTTCTACTTTGACCTTTTTCTCCGCACGTAGTTCCTCGGGTGGAGGGTAAAGCTGCCCGTCGCGTAAAATCAGTTTGCTTTCAGAAGGATATGCGTGAATTGCTTGATCCAGCTCGTGATCGATATATAAATCTTGGATCGACTTGTATTGGACAGCACAAAGTGGACAATGCCAACTTCGTTCAAAACCGAGGCACTGAAATAAACACGCTGCATCAAAACATGCTACGTGCGAGCAGTATATTCCACGAGAAGGGTATTCGATTTGTTTAAGAAGCAGTGGATCCAGCAGTGAAATAGTCTGATCGCACATCACTAGATCGTCGTCATCGTCGTCGCCTTCTACCATACCATGACCGCCAACACCAGCAGCGCTCCCACTTGCTTTAAAGGTATCCATGCATTTGTTTAACAAGGCACGTGAACAATGAACGTTTGTCCGCCGATCATCCTTTTCTGACAGAAAGTTGAAGGCTTGTTTCTGAATCATTGCGACTTCGGTTCGACTTTGGGCTCTTTCGACGAGGCGCCCAATATACATTCCGGCGGTTTGCACATAGACTTGGCTAGCAAGCTTATGCAAAAGAGCTGTCAGTGAGCCTTGGATTGCCATCTCTTCAAATCAAGCTACTCTAATGGCAAAAAGATAAGCGGAACTCACCTCTGTAGGGGATTTTTGCCATACTGTGCAAATGGATAATTCCTTGATATCATCATTGCAATCGAATTCTAATACAATTTTGCCGCCGTTTCCACTACGATTGTCAAGGACATCTCGCCAATCCACCTTGTCGGTGATATCAATGTGTCTAAAGCCATGCTTTTCAACGGGTTTCTTTTTACAGAAGAGTGGTTTATATAAGCCATACTGTATACAAAAAAAAACTGCCCCTTTTTTCTTTTCTTTTGCATACCCGGTCGACGTCTGCCCATTGGTTATTCTTGCTATCGATAGTTAACTCTGAGAGCCGTGGTTCCCAGGTTCGCCAATGGGATAACCATAGATACAGGTGTAATCGGACATCTCTGGTATCCTTCTTTTTGGTACGAACATGTGCCTGGGCAAAATCCAACAACCCCTTTGTAGGTATGGCGATCGTCTGTTTTTGCACATATGGGTTGTCCTCATTGTTATAATTATCATCATTGCCGAGCACGTATGGTATAGGTTTTACGTCCATGCGCACCAACTCTTCTAAACGTTCGAAAATGTCACATGTGGGTAATTGATCATATGCGAGTCCGGGCCGGGCTTTCCTTTTTTCGTTTGCACTATAGGACACGAATGGTTCAGTCTAACTACATCCTCTTCTTTTTGTCCTTTCGCATATCCTTACCTTTCACGTTGTAATTTCAGTGCTTGTTCTTTAGCTCGCCATACTGGAAATCCCGGGTACAAAATGGCAAAAAGACGCAGTGCGATTGGGTATTGGTTTAATTTGGTCACCGCGACTCGTCTCTTTTCCAACCCGCGATCCAGGAGAAACTGGTGGATTAGTCCCAATTTAACTTTGTTTAGTTGGAACATGTTGGCCGGATTCTACAACATATATAACCCGCTTAGCAAGTTTTCAAGAAAAGAATATTCACTTGTTTGGTTCACGTCTTTTACCATGAATAGATCTATAGATCGTTGAAGCGTCTTGAGCCCTAGGAGTTTGCCCAGCTCGTGCATTTGATTCGTAGTGAGAATGGGTCGATTGGATCGCCATTTACGAGTTTTGTAAATCGAGGATTTAGGGTCATGCCGTTTTCGTTTTGAAAGGGTTTGTTCGTGGGCATGGACTAGTGACCTGTTGAATATAGAAGAGCTTTGCATGTCAATTTGACAGTTGCTTGCTGCTGCCAAAATTTTTTTTTATGGTTGATATATTTTTTTTTGGATCCGACTTGATCCAATGCAAACACGCTGATGTTTCAACAACAGTATGATGTAAACCTTTGCTCTTTTTTCCAGGGGAGGAGGGGGAAGAAAGGGATTGAGGGCATTACTTTCAAATCTTTCGTTCTGCAGTAGTATATATCTTCTATTAATAAGGAAACCAAGACTGTAGTTATCTGGTATTATCCACTAATCCACAACGCTATGGCAACGATTTGTTGCAAGACTTGTGTTGTTATGACCACAGGCTTCCGCTAGTTACATAGATAATGGGACATGAATTGGTGAAGACCGTGAATTAACCGTGTGGAGTAAAAAAGCATATCTATGACTAGTGGTATTTTCTAACCCACAGAGTCATCATTACGCCTCAGGTGTACGGAACCGTCTACAGAATGTATTGACGGAACAATTTGTAGCATTTCCGCAGTCGGATTAATCGAAAATCAGTCAACCACCGTAATATACATGTACACTTATTCAATCGTATCAACTTTACAGAGATTGGTTTTATGGATTTCCTGAGATACATAAAGAAAATGAGAAACACGAAATTGTTTGCAATGATCTCACTCCCATTAAATAATAGCAAGCTCAATGCTTGAAATATACGGGGTCTTCTCGGCTGAGAAATAATATGTAGTTTTAACAAAGGCTACCAACGGCTGTACAGAGTGATAACTGGCCTTGCGTGCGCACACTCATAGGGTTACAGTTGCTCTCTCAAAATCAGAACATTCGAATGTAAAACTTTGGCTTTACGGTGTTTTGGAAGCATTGGGAGTGGCGATCGAAATGACGCTACAAGCAGTTGCTGAATTGGAAGGCCTCAAACTATGTGGTGCATTTGTCAGCGTTGTACCAAATCTAAAGAGATGAAGGGTGGGAATAAGGCGATATGTAGGTGTATGCAAGAAGGCGCTGTCTCGCGCAAATGTACAGCGTATAGAGGAAGGTTGATTTCGACATTTATAGTACAGTAAGCAGGTCATATACTAAAAGGACACCGTAGTTCTTGATTTGAGCCAATTACGCATAAATGGGCAACATGGCTATAGCTTCATTGATTGAAATATGCTACTACTCCCTAGCAATGAAAATGGCCGTGCAAAAAAGCACTTGCTACTATATATTCCAAGGAAAAATGTATATTTAAACCTTCCTTAGATTTGAAAGCAATTCATTCCTATACTCTAGTTGGATTAAGAGAGTTCCGTTTGCCAAACAACGCGTGTGAGCTCGGATGCCTATCCTAGACTAAGGACAACATTGATGCTAGCTTGAATAGCATTATTTGGAGACGTAAATTTGAAGGACAGCGACGGAAACGTGTCATCCACATCCTAAAAGCCATTTACTTTAGATCAGAGTATCTGAAAGGTGCTTTTGTTGATATTGAAAACTGAATAACAAGTGGTTTTGAACCAAAAACAACAGTTCTGCAAAAAATTTATTATAAAAATGTATTTTTAAGAATACTCTAACTAAATCTTACCGATAAATATAAAAATAAACTGTCTCATCCCGAAACTTGGTGCAGCCGCTAGACGTTTCTCAGTGCCCAGGTAACATACCCATGGGGAAACATCGAGGACTAAGACCTGCATCTTTATATAGTGCGCTTTAAGTTCCAGTAGATAGAGCCAATACTCCCTGGCCACTAAACAAGGATAAGGTTGCGGGTGAACATCGAACGCTGGAGACTTTGATTGTAAACTCTACGTAGCAAGTGACAAAAATAAAGAAAGACTTAAGTATGATTTCAAGAAACGAAAAAGTACCAAGAGGAACCATGCAAAAAAAAAAGCAAAAGATGATCTTTTGATTTGTACATAGTAAAGATAAAGCATTGGGACGGCACAACCAATTTCGCTCTGGGTGCGTTAGTGACAACTAATTTTGATGTTACCGGGGACCTGAACTTCCTCCATGACTTTCGTTTGTATGTATTTCCAATTTCGGGAAATGCAACAAGGATGTATCCTCTCTAGAAATCCAGCTCGAAAGACTTATGTTGCGACCTGTGATATCCTCCTTATTATATGTGCGGTTAATGGACCACAGACGTAGGATAGGTAGTATTATATAAGCTTTACTGCAACTGTTATCTTCTTTTTGTGCAAATCCATTGTGCAGCAGTATCATATATTTTTGCACATATGGCAAATACGACTGTCGGCAAACACATTTTTATCTACTGATATTCAAAGAAGAGATCCATTCTTATACTCTTGCACCACTGTCCTTGATATGTACCTGTATGCCGATGCTCTAAAGTCCCTCGAGCATGAGATCTCAGAAGATCCACTGGTTCACAGTTACCTGTACGCACCGTTGCATGTATTGCTCGTAGAAGAATTAAAGCTGGGACATGGATGGTAAATAACAATTCGATATAAGTTATGCTATCTCACTAATATTTTTAAAATTTTAAAAGGACTTCTTGCCTCCATCAAACCAACTTTCTCCCTCCAGCCAGTAACACAAGCCCAATGGCGCCTGTCATTTAGTCTATCATTGTGCAATTTCGGTGGATTCGTTGTCAAACAGCGCACATAAACCTGGATGCTTTTCGACAATGATGGAAACGTTACAGCAAGTCAAGGTGCTTATCTAGGCTTACATTACTATTGGTGCTCTCCCTCATACAAGAAGCAAACTAAATTGCAGAATGCGTGACACAGAAAGTTGAAGCGCGTGTGGACGGACGAAAGAACGAAAGTGCGTCTTCAAATCGAGCGCTAAAGCGTGTGACCTGTGCACTCCGTCACGCCGCTTATTACGACTATGAAGAGCAAAAACATCCACATGCACAGTGCAACCAAATCAAGGAGCAGTTACTACAAAGAAATGTGGCTACGAAAAGCAAATCGAAATGAGAGAGTTAAGAAGAGAAAATAATTGCATGCACTGTAATAATTAGGCATGGGTAGCTTGGGTGGGATCTTTCTTAATCCAACGGGAGTGCTGGTTAAAATTCATCTTTAGTTGTTAAAAGTTATAATAGGCAATACGGTGTAAAATTCATGTGGCACATTATGTGTATATCAAAGTTCTGCTGCTGATAGGATGTGTGTGAGCTTTGTTGTTTCAGGGAGGGGTTATAGAAAGATGATTATCACAGGTCACAAATGATGACAGATGCTTAAATAAGCCTAAATGTTATATTCAACAGAACCCTCAAACGTTAAACCCTGAAAGCAAAAAGGGTTCAAATACACCCGTTGTTTGAGACGCCATTTAAGCCCGCTACAGGTCCCTGAACAATTTTAAGCGTAAGCCAAACCCTGTATGAAACGATAAGACTAGCGATGATCACAACATAGCCACTCTATAAGTGAGGTTAGTTGTTTGCAGATCTAAATCACAAGTTAAACCGGGAAATGTTTCTGCATTCGAATGCTTGGTTTCCTCGCTTTCTCTCTTTACTTCCCAAGCCCCAATCCACGCCAAGCGTGTGAGAGCGGGGTAACTCGGAACTTACATAATCAGGCGTCATCCGCGGCTCGGTGAAATAAAAAATGCTGTAATTTTTTCCTTCTTTAATAATGGTACCAAGATTGTGAACAAAATATATAATGAGAGGAAAGCGAAGGAATTAAAAAGAAGAGGATGAAATAAATAACATATATATTTTTTGTTAACCAAAAGTACTAACGACATGAGCGAGTTGAAGCAAACCGCCGCCACTGTTTCCATCTGCGGACGAGGAGGATGAGGATGATGCTGATCCACCTCCGCCATTACCACCACGGCCGCCACCGCCTTCGGCTTGTCGGTCGTTCTCACGAACCGCGGAAGCACGATGATTGGGTACCTGATCACAGCTGTCCTTGATTGGCGGATGTAGTAATGTAAAAGGGAACGGCGGACCCTGACCAGCAGGATTCTCCGCATTCGCCAACAGGGTCAACGGACGATGCTGATAAAACACGGCGGTCGCTTGTGCTGCTGCTGTTCCAGCGGATGGTGGTGATGATAATGACAATCCTGAGGGATGATGATGATGTACATCCATTCTCTGTGTAACCGTCGCCAAACTATTTTCTCCTGCTGCTGCTGTTGCATTCGTTGTCGAACCTGTTGCTGCAGAACTATTTGCAGTTATGTTGTTGTTGTGCTGATGATGGCGGTGGACCGGAGTTGTAGTTGAGGTGGTGGTGGTATTGTTGTGGGTGTTGTTGATTGTAATCGGATGTTGACTCAGTGGACTTGGTGAAGAAGTAATAGCGGTAGCAGAGGAAATAGGGATAGCGGTGGTTGTAGTAGTAGAAGTAGTATTAGCAGTAGGGGCGGTATTAGAGGGCGAAATGGATGATGATGCTGGACGACCAAGTTGCTGTTGTGAATCTTCTTGTCGTGGTTGCGTATATCGAGTAGGTGAAAACCGTTCTGTTCGAGCAGATGGCGACAAGAGCGACTGGTGATAGTTGCTCAAGTGCTGATCGATCGTCAACGGTGGTTCTACGCCGAACGGATCAGATCGAATTCGATGATGTGCATGTAGTCGTGGCCGTGGTCGAGCTTCTTCGGCAGCTTGTACAGCAGCTGCTTTATTGCGCTGCGAACGCCTTGATTTGGGTGACATATGGGTTCGATAATGCTGCATCATGTTGTCTTGTCGCGAGAACCGTGATTGACAACCTGGGAATAGACAGGGAAAGTTTTTCTCACCTGTGTGTATGCGATTGTGTCTTGCAAGGTGCCCGCTGTAGAATAGAAAAGTTTTTTTTAGAAAGGGCTATTTTTGTGTTAGGTATACAAAACAAGGGAGCCCTATATGTATATACGTACCTTGTAGTGAAGCTCTTGTTACAACCTGGTTCTGTGCAGTGGTATTTACGACGACCATTCGTTGGCTTTTGTTGCTGTTGTTGCTGCGCTTGTGTTTGAGGTGGAGGTGGCTGCGAAGAGGAAGTAAAAGAAGGTGGCTGTTGGGTAAATGGTGGCTGTTGTTGATGGTGATGGTGATGGTGATGTGGAGAGTTATTCCACGATGGCGAAGGGTCGGGGCCATTGTTGCTACCATCGCGAACACTGTTTTCGTCCATAGACGAAGAGCTGGAGGAGGAAGGGGAGTAGGACGTAGAGGGTGATGCTGTGTTGTATGTATAAGGTGGGTGATCCCTGGAGGGTGCAGGAGAGGGTTCATAATCCATCGATTGCGGGGTGTACAACGATGGCCTTGAAGCACTACCTGTGGGTGGTTGTCGTTGTGGTGGTGCTGCCGTATCCGTTGGTGGTGAGGCAATTGTCGCTACCGCTGCAGCTGCCGCTGCCGCTGCTGCTCCGTCGTTTAACAAACTTATTTGACGTCCGGATGAGTCGATAACAGACAGGGGAGAATCTTTGGAATATCGTTGAGGGTCATCATGCTGCATTTTTCGTTGTTTTTAGAAAAAAATATTCGAGAGAGAGAGAGAGAGGGAGCGAGAGAGAAGGGAGAGAAAGGGGGTTTTTTCCAGCAGCTCTGAAAAAAAAGAGGGTGAGTATTATGAACTGGCTGCCCAGATGATTCGGAGACCAATAGAATTGGAGCGGATAAACTTGGCTCTATTTATCGTGACGTATTTGCAGTCATTTGTTTGAAGTTTCACTGCACATACACACATACTTCTCCAGAACAGAAAACATGCTGCGAACAGTATTGGGTAATAACAAAGATTAATGTTGCGAAATCCAAAACCATTTTGTCTCACTCCTGCAAATACTTTGATTTTGGGAACACCATTTTTACGAACAACAACAAAATTGAAGGACGACGGTCATTCCACAGCACATTCCTTAATCGAGCCGAGAAAACAGCATCGCCAGATTTCAATGTCGAAACAGCAAGCCAACACCTTGGCGTATCATTCACAACGCCCAACCTTTTACAACGAGCCTTAACGCACAAATCATTCAAGCATGGCACTGTACCTACAAACGAACGTCTCGAATTCTTGGGCAGTCGCGTGGTGAGCTTATTGGCCACAGAGCAAGCTGTTAAGAACAACGCTGTTGACCTGAAAGAGCAAGTCGTTACACAGACAAGTGCAACAAACTTAGCCCATCTTTTTGATACACTGAACCTTGAGAGTGGATTGCAGTATCACCTGGTAAAGTCATCATAATCAACTTTTTGTATTGGCAACGGTTGTTAAGCAACCAGTTGGGGTTGCTATGGCGAATAATGCTCTTTTTGGTTGTCAAGGTGATTTATTCTGATATTTATGTGCAATCGTCGTTGTTAGCCAGACGGCGTAACGCCCAAGGTCAAGGCAAATGTCTACAAGGCTGTAGTTGGCGCAGTATATCATGACAAGGTAAATACGAATTTCCTACTTCCGCCTCCCTGACATGACAACAACAATGAAAGTTTGATTCATTATTCTCCTCTGTTGTTTCCAGGGATTCTCGGCCGCACGTGAATTTGTACAGAAGCATCTGTCATAAAAATCAAAACATTTCATCATCCAAAAAGAAAAAGAACTCTTTAATATACACGAAACAAGCAAAATTCAAGATGCACAAACGCAAAAAAAAATATATAGAAATTCTGTAATATATGTAAAAATTTTTAATGGATCGATGTTTCGATTTTTCGAGAATCTACAGTAGCAGAAGAAGGAGGTGGAGAGGTGGATGATGAGGATGAAGGTGACTGGGCTTCAAGATGAACGGGAATGGGTGGACGATGTCGCGAACGAAGAATACTGATCAAATCATCGAGAACGCGTCCTTGTTCTGCACCAGGTACCTGTGGTTGCTGCTGTTGTGATGCGGATGAAGATGATTGTGATTGCTCATGATGCATATACGACTTGGGTGAAGGTCGTTCCTGCGACAACCGTAAGGGTAACGATGTCCTGATACTTGACGATGGAGGTGGCAGCGTGGGCGGCGAGTACGGATGATGACGATACGGCTGTGGTCGTGATGGTGCATGATGATGATGCTGATGATGTGATGAAAGAGATGACGCTCTGGTAGTACTTGAGGGAGTTGTAACAGTAGAGGATGCAGACGATGATGATGCTGTTGTTGTTGTTGCTGCTAATGGTTGCTGTGGTTGTGGATGTGCTAATGGTGGAGGTGATGACGACTCGTGTCGGTGATGACCAGTAGGTCTCGTCCATGGACTGTTTGTAGTCGAAGACGGTGGTGGTGGTGCTGTGATTGCTGTTGCATTTGGGGCAACAGCGGCACTAGCATTTGAAGTTCCAGTAGTAGTAGTAGTAGCAGGCGCAGAAGTTAAAGATGCTCCTGCTGTTGGCGTCGCTGGCCGATGTTCTAATTCCCAGATCCGTTGTCGTAGACGCTCGTTTTCTTCCTCAAGCTTTTCCACACGTTCCTGCAGCCCTTGCATGTCCCGCACTTTAGTTTCCAACTCCTTGACATAACGTTCTTTACGTTGACGGAAAGCGCGCTGTGCTGCACGGTTTTGCTCTGCTCGTCGACTATCAATGACACCCCCTTTACGACGTTGGCTGGACCCGGCATCGGAAGCATCAGCTGCTTCAGTAGACGCATTTGAATCATACGGTGGTGATTTCAGATCTGATCCGTTTGAATTGTTGCTCATTTTTTTCCGTTATATATAGAGAAAAGCTAAAAGAGCCAAAAAAAAGGGGATGTTGCAGATTGGGAGGAAGAATTTATGGAATAGAAAAGAAAGAAGGAATGGGTTTGATTTTGGAGGTTTTGTAAATTTAGGGTAATATAACACGAAATTTTATATTATAACTGTTTTATAAGCTAGGGTATCAATGCTTATTAATAGAAGTGAGTTGTATGAGTGAGAGAAGTATACAAAAGAAGTATACTTGTTAAAAGAAAAGAGTAAGAATGGAAGGAAGAAAATACGTTTCATGAAAGGGTCCAGCATGTTACGCTGAGTCAGCCAATTATCGCTCGTCTTGCCGGCTTTGGAAAGCTTACCGAGGTTATAGGAGTGAATTGAGCAATTGTCTTGATGATAGGTTCATATTGTCTTCATTGCCCAATTCACACACACACAACCTTTCAGCCCTTTCTCCATGAGGTCCCATCTTTCTTTCTCTATCCCCCCAACCTCTTATCCCCTGTCTTCGTTTTTCTATGTGCACGCACACACCAAAATGTCTTAAAAAGATGGCAGGCTCGACACGAGGGAACGTCTATTTCCAACCGTTCGGGAAAGTTTACATAAGATAACCGGCCGGAGTCGTGCCGATTACGTAATCGCCTATACGACAAAACGCTGATGGTCGGGGTAATCATATGAAAAATGCTCTTTTTCGTATTAGGCTTCTGAAATCCACATTACATGACTAAACGACCTTGAACAGCGCTTTTTATTTTTATCATCTGTTTGGTCTAGTGGTAAAGTCTGTTCTCTTGTTTCCCTTTACTAGTAGAAACTTGTATATATCTGGAAACTCATTTTCAATACAGATATGATAAAGTAATCAGAAGAATAAAGACGTAGTACATAGGTGACAAGGCAAGAAATACCATTGTAGGACATGTGCTCATATTATTATTTTAGCCGGTCCCATGGTTGCTTAAACGGGGGGACATAATACATTTATTACGTTCGTATTTTGGGGTTTCCATAAAAAACCCAATATATTCTCGGTACTGCATAAAAGATAGCACAGCATTATGTCGAGTTACTGAACAGCAGCAGAGCTCGTAAAGAAAGCTTATTAAGCAGAAAGTGCTATATGTATATAAAACTGAGCCACATAGTATGTAGTATAATAATTTTGACGAGTGACCACAATGCCCGTTTTGTGTTGCATGGCTTATTGGTAATCCTACCATCACTAAGCCCCTATTATTTATTGCTAATTTTCTCGAAGCAGACTGATAGGTTTTACCTGTTTAGAGCGAAAAAGAGTAGAGACATCAATTTCCTCTGTAAACTGTACTCCTGTTAGCAAGAACCAGCCTGAGCATGTGCCATATGTGTTGCTTCCCTCTCACAGTTCCTTTCAATACCAGCCGAATTTGCTAGAAATGATATAATGCATGTGGCTGGAAAATCAATAGATCAACAATTATATAATACTGCCATAACGATATTTGGCAAGATCCAGTATTGTTTGAGATCACAGAATAATGTTGGTACATACAAAAAATTCTCGTTCTTATCTAATTGCACGGCCTCGATTAACCATTACAAAATAGCCACTTTGTTTGAGGAGGTGTAGTAGTAACAGTATGTGGTAGTGGAGAAAGGGAAGAGAAAAAGTTTGATACAACTTTTCGTCCCTTATAATTCGGATTGAACAATGAAAAAAGAAGGGAATAATGATCCTGTTCATCCTTTGCTACTGTTGACTTTGATGTACCCATGTTTCCGAAACGGGCATGTGGTTATGAAATAGGAGACATACAAAGTGTCTTTAGAGCTTCATCATTAGCGACACTAAAATCCTTTAAGCATACCGCCAGTAGCACTTGGTATTTATCTCTCTATTGTACTACGCTTGGATGCAACGTTTTCTCTCGCTTCATCTTCTCCTTATTGATTCATCATGCGAGAAACCAAACTAAATCCAGAAACAATGCCGAAATATGGAGTGAAATGATGATGGTATCTGATGCAAAATACAGAACGAAGAGACTTGTATCATAGGCTGGGATAAACGCGGGTAAGATACTTCGATGATTATTATGCATTTAAGTATATTTTGTTGCCGCCGGTCGTACTACCATCAATATGTAGAGGTATCAATCATCCGATAAACTAATATAACATAATGGCTTACAGATAAGCCGCATTTGGGAACTGTACATGTCTACTTGAAAAAAGCGAGACATTTTTTTCACTGTCGTCATCTTCCTTCGCTCGTTGGACTCTTTCATCGTCAGATCAATCTCTTTTCCATAAATCACAAAGAAGAATAGCCAACTTAGAAAAACTGCTTGTGCTACCATTTAAGCACGAGCGGCATGTGGTTTAGATAATCATCAGTGGAACACGGGGGCTGCAGTACATCGCTCACCTGTGATGGTAATCGATTCATCTTTACAACAGGCGTCCGAAAGTAATACACAATTCAGATTTCTCACCAGATTTTCCGTTGTACACCGTCCTATTGTACAGAGCCAGCAACAGTGACTTCCCTTCTGCTGTTTGCAATAAAGTTAAGCGATTTATATATAGGTCCCATAGCTGTCTGTGTGGCAACAGTTTTGTATTTAGCTGATCTTCGAACATGCCAACAGAATCGATGGACCTCTTGTTATTAGGTCATCTGAACTCGAAGTCCAATTTTAAATGGAACTACAGTAGCCGTGGTCATTACCAACATCACTGATTAGTTTACATGTGCAGCACTTGAATGTTTTATATGGTCACCGAAACATCAAAGCATCAAGTACGACGAAAATGAACTGATTTTTTATTATGCAGGGTTATCAAAAACTAAGCTGCATCATATTAGAGAATCTGCTCAAATGGTGTTAAAATAACTGGAGCTATTTGATACAAAGTCGAATACGCCATCCCATGAGAACTTCCAATATCATATTCACATACACGCGACAAAGCAAGACAAGAGACGGATTCCAGTCATTTCATCGACTGATATACAGCGGGAACAGGTGATACAAAATAATGGGAAAGTAAAGAAAACATTATTGTCAACTTTGCATGTTTGTTTGCAATCGTCAGAAAGGAGATTTGCTGTATGGCCTTACACACGCACGTACAAATCTATGCTGCCTTCAAATATTTGACACTAATTTAATTCTTCTCTCCTTTATCTCTACTATTATTAAGTTTGTATGGCTGGCCGAGAAAGAGGGGAGAAACAACCACTACTAAAAACGCAGCAACAACAAGCTCCCGGTGAAGATAATGGTGGTGTAGATGCAGCAAAACAAGATTTGGCTTGCTCTATAAGCAAGACACTGTCAACCTATGATAGTGTATCTAGAACGAATTCCAAAGCGGTTGATCTGGAAGATCTACGTGACGAGGATACACAGCAACAACCATCACTACTAGATACCTACTCTCCAAGCTCAAATATAAACTTTACGCTGATCACTATCTGGCAAGATTAGCAGTTTTAAGACAGTCTAAAAGGGACCCATGTGAAAAAAAGGAAGCTCATATAATCAAATATGCCTCTATTTAATTTCTGTAGCTTGTGTATCGGCGCTTGCCTTCCTTCGTTAGATGTCTCGATCGTTTTTACCATCATGAACGAAATTGGCACCGAATTCCATAGGTTGGTATATCTTCGGAAAAGGAAGAAAAAAGGGCCCAAAAGGGTACAACGAGGGTAGGGGGGAAATAGGAAAGCGAACTTGCTTGGCTGACCAATGTGCGTGCATCTTGGCTTGAGAATTCACTTGCACATGTATAAATCTTTTATAGGGCAAATTTAGCTACATGGCTTCACACATCGTATGCAATGAGCTGCCTCGCGACTCTTCCAATAGGTAATTGCATCAAACGTATCACTGCTAAAGATAAAAAATCTACTTAGTAACCTGAGATTAATGCATAGCTGGCAAGTTATCCGATGTCTTTGGCCGCAAGTATATCATGTTGTTGCTGGTGGCACTATTCTTCATTGGCTCGGTGGGATGTGGGATAGCAACATCAATGAATCAAATTATTTTCAGTCGCGTAATTGCTGGATTTGGCGGCGGTGGATTGCAGCTTATGAGCAATGTGGTCATTCAAGATTTGGTTGCTCCACAAAAACGCGGCCAATACCAATCTTATGTCAGCAGCGTGCAAACGGTATTTATTGCAGTATTAACACAATGCCATGTAACGGGAGGACTTACTACTAAAAATTAGCCATGTTCAATTGTTGTGCCATTATGCACTAGCTGGGTATTGCACTCGGATCGCCTTTGGGTGGATTTATTACAGATACATTTGGATGGCGCTATTGCTTTAAATTAAACATCCTTCCACTCATTGGTATTGGCTACTTTTATGTTTTCCACTTTACCAATTACAATGTTGTTACGGAAAAGAAGACAGACGATGGCGATCATGAAGTGAATAATAGGAAGAACAACAACAACGCAACGGTAGAACATCTCCTCCTCTGGGAAAAACTTGGATCAATTGATTTTCTTGGTGCATTTATTCTTGCAGTTGGCAATCTCGCATTTGCTATCACTGTTTTGCTCGGTGGTAATACCCGTGAATGGACTGATCCACTTATCACCGCAACTATGGTGACGACTATCCTTTCATTCATACTGTTTGGATTATACCAGACCTATTGGGCAAGATCCCCACTGATATCTCGGACCTGTATTGCCAATCGAAACGTTGTGTTCTCGTCGCTAGCATACTTTTTCATTTGTATGAGCAATGGTTCCGTAGATTCCACTGTTCCGCAATTTTTCATGGTACGAGCAATTATCTGATAAAAAGAAATTGGTTGGCGAGAGTTCTTTCATAATCTTTGTTTGGATTATAGGGTGTACTTGGTTTTTCCACTTCACAATCGGGTTTATGGACCATGATGAATGCTTTGGCTGTACCTATTGGATGCTATTGTGCTGGGAACTATATTCGCTACCAGGGCCGGTTCCGTAAATGGCTGTTGCTTTCTGTCGCCGCATATATGGGGGCATTACTGACCATGAGCTGTTGGATGGTATCTATGATACCGTTTGCCATGGGGATAGTGTCCATGGTGATCCTTGGATTTGGTTTTGGATCGAGCTTAGTTTCTTTATTAGTTGCAGTAACCAGCGATGTCTCATCAAAAGGTATAACAAGTGTATTCTACAGCATCATGATGTTGCTTGGTTATTTCTCACTCCTTGTTTTATAGATGTAGCATCGGCCATGTCAATTATGATGCTCTTCCGATCCATGGGGCTGCTTTATGGAACAGCCATAGCATCTTCGATAATACAATGTAATCTAAAAGTTCTTTTAGAGTCTCGAATCAATGGTCCTTCTGCTGAACAGGTAACATTTTCCCAAACTCTGGCAAAAGGTTTCCCCGTGCTCGAAAAATACTTAAAAGAAATTCGCGGTAGTTGATTCGCTTTATCCGGACTTCAATCCGAGAAGTTCACACGCTTTCTCCTCGATTGCAACAGTTGGTGGCAAACGTTCTTGGGCAATCGTTGCAAAAGGCATACTTGTTTATGGCGCTTTCATGTATGGTAGCGATCTTACCAATATTGTATCTGAGGGATACGAATCTGAAGAACGAGCAGCCAACGGCTCCAAACAACAAACGGATAACAGTTGCTGCCGTTGTTGCCGTTACAAGCGATTCATCTTGACCATTTTGACGACGAGTTGTATGTTGTTCGTATGTTATAAAGTTATCTTCCATTTGAACTCGTAGCATAGAGCCAGACTCGCCAATTATGCGCTGCAGTGTAGCAGTCTGTGTATATATTACTGAATAGAAGCAATTCTAAGCATTATTTTCGTCATCAAACTGTGGCGGATGTTGCTGTTGTGTGTGGATGTGTCCAGACAGAAACGCCGACCGATGTGAAGTTGAACGGTTTTTTTCCTTCTCTTTCCTTTTTTTTAAACTTGCCCTTTTTCCTTTTTTTTCCCTTTTTATTTGCACAAACACGTCGACCGAATAACCTCTGTAGCATCAAACGACAAAGTAAACGACATGGGTGAAAGCGACGACGATGTATCTTCGACCTCAACACGAAACTCCTTGCTACAGCAAGAGCGCCCATTAAAAACGTACAACACACTCGATGTTCCCGGTAAACAGCTAAACACAGAACCTCTTCAATCGTCTTCAAGGACGACCAGCGGCTATACACAGGAGGATCATACCAACGAGATTGGAAAACTCAGCTTAAATGTGCTGACGATGTGGTAAGTAGCACATTGAACATAATACAGCTGACATAACATGAATAACAACATACTCTTGTTTAAGAATAGTCTTTGTATTGGTGCAGCACTGCCAAGTCTTGATATTTCAATTGTGTACACAACAATGACGCAGATTGGAAGCGAGTTTCAGAGGTATTACGCGGCTTTTGTCAGTTTGATTGATGTTTTGAGGCTGAGGTGGTACAAGAAAAATCTGACTTTTCTTTTCATCACGTTATAGTGCACATCTGTCAAATTGGATCCACAGTGCATACACACTCTGCACACTGGTCACAATGGCCTCAGGTAAGACAGGAAAGTATATCTTATATGTATCAGCAAACTAACTGTCACTCTGTCTTTTTACTTTCTCAGCTGGAGGACTTTCGAATGTGATTGGCCGCAAACCAGTGCTGGTTGGACTCAATGTCTTGTTCTTCATTGGTAGTGTAGGCTGTGCATACGCCAGAAGTTTCCCCCAACTTGTTGCTTCAAGAATAATTGCTGGAATTGGAGGAGGCGGCATCGCGCTTTTTGGAAATATTATCTTACACGATCTTGTTCCAAGCGAGAAAGTAGGATCCTATCTGTCGTATCTCAGTACAGTACAAACGGTATGCAGAAAATTAACTTGTCACATGACGCCGAGGCTCGTCAAGTTGCTTTTTAGTTTACATGGCAGATTATTTTGCTCAATCAACTAATAATTGATTCTATGGCGGGAATATAGCTCGGTTTTGGACTAGGCGCGCCAATTGGAGGTTTTATTACTGATTATTTTGGCTGGCGATATTGCTTCAGGATCAACATTCTGCCTTTAATCCTTATCCTTTACGTCTATATTTTCCATCTTAACAACTACAGCATCGACGAGAGCCAGAAAGCCGAATTGACCACCAAGGAGAAGCTTCAAAAGGTCGATTTTGGTGGTATTTTTCTGGTTTCTATTGGAAACGTATCCTTCACATGCGCACTTTTGCTCGGTGGAAGTTATGGATGGGCAAGTCCTCAAATTATTTCAGCATTGATCGTTGCACCAATTGCATATGCTTCATTTTTTCTCTACGAGCGGCAATGGGCCAAGTATCCATTGCTATCTCGCGCAGCAGCTAATGATCGTAATTTTACCACCTCGTGCGTAAGCGTCTTTTTGGTCGGCTTATGTGAATCCGGTGCTCTTGTGTTAATACCTCAATTCCTCATGGTAAGTGAAAAAATAAACAGGATGTGTAACGCGTTGTATGCTTGTATGCAGGAGGATGCCGTATTCTAAGGGTAAAATTGTTGGTTATAATAGGGCGTACTTCATTTCAGCACTTCCGATGCTGGCGCATGGATCATGATTGAAGCAATGGCGTGCCCAGTTGGATGCTTTGTAGCAGGACGGTACATGGAGCGCACTGGTCGATTTGCTCGATTTACGAGTGTGAATATCCTGCTATACACATTATCTATGGTGATGTTGTACTTCTGGATAGGCGATCGTATTCCTCTTAGTGTGGGTACATTTGGCATTATTGTAGAGGGTACTACGTACGGATGCTTTATTGTTCCCATGATTGTTGCTTGCACCAGCACATTGCCTAAAGAATGTAAGTCTTCCACTTGTTAACCGATAATCATACATGCAAACGATGATAACATTCAAACTCTAATTGTTTGCAATTTCAACTGTTTTTTATCTAGCCGCTGCTACAGCAATGTCCATGTGCTTATTGGCACGCAGTGTTGGCTATTTGACAGGCGCAGCCGCTGTTTCAGCAATCATTCAATACACTTTGAAAACGCTGCTACCACAAAGGATCAATGGTGACGACGCAGAACAGGTAAGACTCAAGAAGTAATATAACAGAATAGATGATCTCTAGTATTGGACAATCAAGTTTATTAATTGCAATTTTTTTTTTAAAAATTAGCTGATTGAGTTTATCATCACATCTATCCGCAAAGTCAGCACCTTGGCCCCGGAGATCCAGCAAATTGTGTCGGATATAATGATTGAAGCAACTCAACGTGCTACATTAATCGTAGTTGCCTTCGCTTTTTTGGCGTTTTTGGCAAGCTTGCAATATCAAAACATCAATTTATTAAAGAAAAATGACAATACTGAAGAAACTCATGGTTAACAGTCCGGTTTTCATAGCACACTACGTGACAGCTTTCTAGCAATACACTAGAACATGTATACTTTGTAATTTTTTCTATTATATTTGTATCTTTTAAAAGTATCTATCTTCTGCAGAATAAAATATACTGAAGTGCACTTTATAACTTTAACTCACTGCTCATGCATGAAGATCCTTTTATATGCAATATACAACGACCGGTCCAACTCACAATGCTCACGGGACCCTCTTCCCGGATGCCGAGAGTGATCATCTCAGTTATATCTAGACTAAAACTGCTACTATCACACAACGCCGGATGTGTTGCGCTCGGACATCAATTTAATTTTGAAAAGCGTACTGTACATTGAATCTTCAACGCTCCTTCATGTTGCTACAGTACAGTAGAATCATAATTTTGATTGCTTGTTCATTGGACTACGCTTTCCTGCAGAAATTATAGTTATTAGCGGGCTAATATTGATATACGTTACGCTAGGCACAATATAGACATTGTAAAAGGAGACATTAGTAAGTACCACATACTATTACCTGTAGGTATCAACATAAAGTAGAAATATCAAAGGCCAGTCCAATTGGATCCTAGTGTATGCTGTGATGATCTATCCTGTGCCGCATTAATTAGCTCTTCTTCTCCGGCTTGCTCTTCTTCCTTTTTCTTTATATGACTACAGTACTACTTGTACAAATTGTGTTTGGTGAACGTAGTCGTACTGGTCAAACAGACGGAGTGGATGTTGGACCGTCCACCCCTTCTTCGTCTCCAAGCTCCCGGTTTTTACCAGGTTTACGAAAGCACGATTACGAAACGATCGAAATAGTGGGTGGCGACATTGATAGCTACCATAGCGGTAGGCAAACTGGCAATATGTAATAGAGGAGATGATCCCAAAAGTCGATCAGCACACTTGATGGTTCTGCAAATGGAGAAGATACGAGCAACAAACTAGGTAATCTCAGCTTGACTGTACTGACCTTGTGGTAAGTGTTGTATAAATACGAATGCCAAAATTTTCGGATATAATACAGCGATGAAAAAAATATCATACTAATCTTAAATCCTGTAACTCTTTTATGTACTTTAACTTTTAATTGGTATATTTCAGTCTTTGCATCTGTGTTGCTTTGCCTTCTCTTGACATTTCTATTGTAAATACAAGTATGACGAAAATTGGCAGTGAACTTCAAAGGTACATAATGGCATGTGATAGTCCTGGATGATACAAAATGATACTCCATTTAAACGTGTACTGCGTTGTATATGTAAAATTTTATGTAAGAGATGCAATTAATAATGTATGTATTGATCACAAATTATGAGTAAGTCACCCTTGTTGATCGCTATCATCTGTCTCATTGGTTGTTGCCGAGTGTTTCTCCTTTTTAAATCCGACGTTCTGATAGCGCAATGCTGCTACCAAAACCAAGAATGATCCAAGAGTGATCATGTAGAGTGCCACACCCTGTACTCCCAGAGACAGTACGTCCGCCACAATTTGCTGAATCTCCGGAGCTAACGTATTGACGTTTTGGATCGACATGGTGATCAATTCAATCAGCTATAGAACAAAGGTAAGAATAACACGGTCAATTATTCTATTATCATTCCAAAAGTCCACTCCAGAGGAAACATCACCCGTATTATTTTTACCTTTTCTGCATTTTCGCCATCGATTTTAGTCGGTAGTACTGTTTTCAAAGTATAATGTACAATCGAGGATACGACTGCAGTACCAGCCAAATAACCCATAAAACGAGCCAATGTGTAAATCGACAATGCTGTAGCGGCCACTATTGTGGAAGTCACGATTTTAGCAGATAAATCCAGGAGAATAAAGTCATTATCCACCTATTATATTCCTATTGTGACATTAAAGCACTAGAGAATATAAAAACGGTAATTTCATAACAGTATATCCAGTACTTACATTCTTTGGATAGAGTGCTGGTGCAGGCCACAATGATACATACTTGGATACCACCATAACAGACACCTTCCAGAACGATTCCCATTGTACCCACGCTAATCGGGACTATGCCCGACACCCAGTTGTAAAAGACGATAACCATCAAAAGGTATGATGCCATATCTGCAAGTAAAAAGCGTTTAAAGCGACCACTCCATTGCATATAGCATCCAGCTAGAATAGTTCCAACAGGTGTTGCTGCTGCATTTGCCATGACCCACAACCCAGCTTTCGAAGTGTCGAAGTAAAGCACGCCCTAAGAACAAATATCGATATCAACAATCCACAGAATATTGAGTTTTTGAAATTTAGAAATTAGTTCGCTCTATACCATAAGAAATTGCGGTATAACAGTAACGGCTGCTCCTTCACATGCGGCTGCTGAAAAGCTGCATATGCACGACGTCGTAAAATTACGGTCGCGCAATGCTGCGCGTGATATCAACGGGTTGGCTGCCCATCGACGCTCGTGAATGAAAAAGAGAAGGTATCCGACAGCCATTGAAGCCAAAATCACAATCATCTGAGGACTGGACCAGTTGTAAGCATTTCCTCCTAGAAAGAGGGCACATGCTAAGGATATGTTGGCAATAGAAAGAAGTAAAATTCCACCGAAATCGACGATCCGAAGTCTTTCCTTTATCGTCAAACCGGCTTTTTGGTTTTTCTGAGGTCCCGTGTAGTTTTGGAAATATAAGGTGTAGATAGCTATGATGATCATCATGGGTATAATGTTGATCTTGAAGCAATATCGCCATCCGAAATAGTCTGTAATAAATCCACCTATCGGTCCACCAAGGCCAAATCCAAGCTTTCAAATCATAATTATGTATACATATTAGGACAGCGCAGAATAAGAGAACGATGAGTATATTACAGAAAACAGAAGCCTTGTTCAGCTTACCATTCCGGCTGTATTGTAGTATCCTAAGTATAACCCAAGATGTTCTCGAGATACTATATCATGAAGAATTATATTACCAATCAATACTATCCCGCCACCTCCAAGACCCGAAATTGCTCGTGCAATAACCACTTGTTCAAACGAATTTGCATATCTATTAAGGATGTTTCAAGCTTTTTAGCGATAGTCTACGTTTTTTAATTGGTGCTGTGTCTTACCCACACCAAAAGGATCCAATCAAGAATAACATGTTGAGTGTAATCAATACCGGTTTTCGTCCAAATGCATTTGATATCCCGCCCGCTACAGATGATTGAAAGTCGTTAGTTCGGTGTAGTACGTCACTACAATATTGTGCCTCGTTTTATACAAAGTCTTCGGTACCTGCTGGCATTGTGATGAGAGTGCAGAGTGTATAGGAGCCGTGTAACCAACTTGCCGATTGCGCACTAATTAAAAACTTAAAAGATCAATCACCTTATTTCCGAATAGCCAGATATTGGAATGCTAAGCCAAACAAAAAACACTGTTGTGAGAGGACAATTCGCGTTTATCATACCTTTGAAATTCACTTCCAATTTTGGTCATTGTCGTGATTATGATGGAAGTATCCATGCTTGTGAATGCTGCACCGATGCAAAGGCTTAAAAAGATGAGAGAGCCATTTGTAATCGTATTAACAAGTAAGTGGGCTTTTTTTAATATAATTTACATGACAATTTGATGCAGCTTATATACTATCCGTGGAACCCGCCATTACCACTACTATAAGTTACTGCTACTCACCATATTGTTAATACCGTCAAATCGAGATTTGTTGATTGTTTTTGGAAGTCTTCTCGATCTGTGTCGCTTTTCTTTAATCTGGACGGTTCAGCAGCATCATCACAATCATCATTGTCATAATGATATATATCAATCGTGTCGTATCCTTTTTGAAAATCTGACAGTAATAGAGATTTTTGCGAGGAAGAAATCGAAGGTTCGTCGTCCTCGATATCAATGGTTTCTAGGTGACTACTTGTTTGACCGGTACGATTATGCGTATTAGATGCCATATAAAACCAGCTTAAGTTTGATTATTAAAAAAGTTTTGGAAAACGGAAGAAGATGAAGGGAGAGGGAGGAGGCTGCCAAAGTCGTTGCAGGACCAGTATTCTGATTTCCTGCAGGTCGATGTTTGCCGTTCATCGCGTTAGAGCATCAGCGCATGACGCTAGACCAAATTTAGCTCATTACTTTTCTTCATGTGCCTTTTTTTAACGCCTAACACCGTCTTCCAGGATTGAAGCGCACAAGGTACTGTTCGCTTTCCCGTAGGTCGGTATAACCTTTTACATTACCAAAACGCAGTATAGCAACTCTTACCTTTGCCTTTTAACATAAGGTTGATTCAGATTGATTGTGTAATGTACCCATTGCCCCTTTTCTGTACTAGATTGCTACATACCTACATTATGCAGCTTACGTCGTGCAAATATGATACAGCAAGTCACCAGAAATTACCAGCATTCTTATGACGACGCACAATCACCGATATGATAGCCAATCCAATTACAGAAAATCCTTAGCAAAAGACTGATAATGTATAACATATTTAAAGGCTTCTGTGTTAGATATTGCTACCATGTACAACCGCTGTCATAGAAATGACAGACCTATCTAACCGTAATAGAATCTTTGCCACGGCTACTCCACTCACTAAAAGAAGAAAATGCTATAATGTACTCGCCTTTTCCACAGATAAGATTGGCGTGGTACAGTAATAAATGTACTTGAAACAGAATTTGTAATGAGTACTCAATCCTGTAAAACACCATTTTTTAACTTCTTCTCAACGCATCGAATGCGTTTTCAAGTCGATTCGTTGGCGTCCCACCTTTGAAAATGGCCTACGATGATAAACAGTGGTGGTCGACCCTCTTGGGCATCACTATCCGCCCATTGTGATAGCAATTTTGGATGGGAATCCAGGCAGGCACGATCCACATTGCGTTAACGCAGAAGCTCATGTCCGTTGACAGAGTACTGTTTCCATCTGTGTGGTGCTCCTACAATGATGCTATATCTGATACATGTTTAAAACCAATTGCACTTCAAAGATACAAGCACACATCGGGATTCATGATGCCAGTATATTGACATGGGACTCGTTTTGGTATACGACAGTTTGCGTCCGTCTATAAATATTAAATACTTATGCACCTTTCAATCACAGCTGCCACAATGTCCTTAACGCTTTCCCGTAGATCCAAAATGCGCTTGTTCAATTGAAGGAAGTCGTAGAATCCAGTAGGCAAAAAACTTTTGGTATATCATATAGCTTATTATTGTAGAACTCACTTCCATTTTCGTAGAGAGTGCTGCCTGACGAAAGGAATCGTCACCAAAGAAGTCCGTTCCTTGTAGCTTTCGGGCCTCTGTTTTCAAAACTCCTTCCGGTCATAAGGGATTTGCAGATCCAACAGATAGTACTGTATAGCTGTTTTAGCTCGACCAATCTCGTTTTGCCAAGCTGCAAGTTGCATACTCTGCTGCGTTCCCTTTGTTATTTATTTTTCTGGACCTTGGCATTCCTGGCAAGTTTTCGTTAGCCTACATACGGGTCTTCTTTGTTTGCGATACTTCGTAAGCACGCTACAAAGCTTCTTGAATATGCAGTTCCTTTGAGTTTAACTCCACCTAGAGAATGTCATCAAAAGCGGGTTTTTTTTATTTAGATTTCAATACAAAGTGCACAGCATTTGCGCTTGCACCGAGCGTAGTTTGACCGAGAAAAGAACTCATAATATCGAATGCCTCCTCAAGACCACAACTTCGTAAGCCTTGGCATCCGCAAGAAAACCTGCGTTGTTGTTAATGCCAAAGTCAAGCATGCAGTAGTACTTGCAATGGAAAGCACGGAGAAGAAAGGGCAAAAAGCTACTCAAACGAGCTGTGTTTTATGACAGTGTCCCCAACATAATTCTCGTAGGCCCATTCGCATGCCTGGTTACTTTTAAGGTACTCAAACACACACCCAACACCTAAAACACACCCACACACGCGTGCGTAAAAGCAGAAAAGACGATGACGTATATCATACATTGTTCATGATTGGGGTTTCTTTCATCGCATTTTTGGCAAGTTTATATTATCTAAATATTAGCCTAAAGAAAGACTAAACAAATGTAAAGAATCTGACAATTAGGTTAAATCCTACGGTGCATTAATAGAGCTTTCTAGTATACTGTAACTTACATAGCATCTATGCTATAACTCTATACGTCTTTGCTACAGCAGCTGTTTGTACAGTACTTGATAAAGAATGTAATGCGAATCATCTAGAAAACCCTTTGCCACTGAGTAGTCGATGATGGGTGCGGCGTTGCATGTACTTATAAGTGATAAATAATAATACCTGGTCTAGCTCAGAACATGCTCACGAGACTTTTTATTTACATAGTGTAAGCGAGCCAATTTTGGTATAGTGAGTATGTGGCGTTGTTGTTGTAACGCGATTAACTAATTTGTCGTACCGAAGATGGTCTCCTTTTTTAATTTCGCACTCTTTTTGAAACCATCCTCGGTCGACTATCTTTATTGCTATTTTACTATGGTTTATAGCGGGTATAAGCATATCGATGATCGGACGACCAATAATGTAAAGACTGCAATTATCGAAGACGACAACGTATCTTTGAGCTCTTCGTCTCAAAATTCGCTATTGCTAGCTGGGTCTCCCAAGAGAAAATATGAGTCCATTGATATATACGCAGATGACGACGATGTAAATGATTATGAAGATTGCAAGCGACGAGAAACCGGAGATGACAAGCACGCCAAAATAGGCGAGTCATCTACGACACTCAAAAGCCTTGGACAGGAGCAAAAAAGGCATGATGACAGTGACCGACTTGGAAATCTCAGTTTGACGGTGCTGACAGCATGGTGAGCTCCGTAGTAGTAATACAAATACGATAGCTGGATTATTGTACTTATATATCGTAAACTTGTTTCTCTCAAGTTTGGGCATAGGAGCAGCCCTACCCGGTTTGGATACTTCTATTATATTTACAACAATGACAAAAATCGGAAGCGAATTTCAAAGGTAAGTAGCATCAACTATATACCTGATTATGTTTCGAAAAAAGATGGTGACCAGTAGACTGGCCTTTGTTTACAGTGCACAAATGTCAACATGGTTGCACAGCGCATACGCACTCTGTACTCTTATCACGATGCCGGCAGGTATGATATTAATGATTACTATGCACATGCAATTTCAAATCACCAAGACGTATAAAAAGCTCTAAACAACAAGCAACCAAATTATAATATATATGTAGCGAGTGCGCTGTCAAACGCGTTTGGACGAAAGCCAGTATTGATTACACTCAACATGTTGTTTCTGATTGGGTCATTGGGATGTGGGTAAGTTGTGACAGGTTCATTTCACTGTGTATAGGAAACTTTGCCATAGCAATTAAAATTTCACTACTGGTAGCTTTGCACGATCGTTTGAGCACGTTGTTGTAGCCCGAGCAATCGCAGGCTTCGGAGGAGGTGGGATCGCCCTGATGGGTAACATCATTCTCCATGATATTGTATCTCGAGATCAACTGGGATCCTATCTAGCCTACCTCAGCATGTGTTCAATGGTAAGTTGTGTTTTCTCTGTATATATCAAGCACCTCTGAAGTACGATTATCATTGGTTTATCGTGACAAAAAAATCTATATACTATATTGTTTTAGCTCGGGTTCGGCCTTGGTGCACCCATCGGCGGATTTATTACCGACTACTTTGGATGGCGTTATTGCTTTAAGATCAACATTCTACCAATGACGCTCATCCTTTGCATATACACTTTTCGATTGAGAAACTACAGCGTATCTCAAAATCAAAAGGCTGTTTTGACGACAAGGGAAAAGCTGAAAACTGTTGATTTCGGTGGAATATTATTGCTTTCCGGAGCGAACACATCCTTGACCTGCGCACTTTGGTTTGGTGGAACCTCTTACAGTTGGTGTAGCCCTCAAATTATCCTGGCACTAGTTTCAACACTGATTGGGTATATACTGTTCTTGATCCATGAGCGGCGATGGGCAGTGTATCCTTTGTTGTCACGCGTGGCATCACGCGACCGCAATTTCACAACATCGTGCGTCTGTATCTTCTTACCGGCAGCATGCGAAGGAGCAGCCCTTACTGTTCTACCGCAATTTCTCATGGCAAGTATACCTGTATATTTCATTTGCTTTTATTAAAAGAGGTTAATATGCGCCTTTAATACATAGATGTACTGCTACTCTTTAAAAATTATAGGGTGTGCTACATTTCAAAACCTCCAAAGCTGGTTTGTGGGTTATGATGAACGCAGCATCTGTTCCCGTTGGGACATTTATAGCCGGACGCTACATGCACTATACTGGCAGGTTCAAGCGCTTTGTAAGTGTGGCCATGACATCTTATATTATAGCGGTTGCCATATTCTATAATTGGGCCGGCGGTAATGTTTCCAAAAACCTGGGTACCATGGGGATCGTTTTGGAAGGCGCTTCGTATGGATGTATCAGTGTTTGCATTATCGTCGCCTGTACGAGCACTTTATCCAAAGAGTGTAAGTACGCATGAGCTATCATTCAAATGTTTACATCGATATTATATTTACAAACCAGATATATGAATCGATAACTGAACTTTCGTCATCGTTTACGTTTTTCAACAATTTTTGATGATAGTGGCTGCTACATCTTTGTCAATTTGCACACTAGTACGTTTCGTGGGGTATCTAATAGGCGCGGCGGTCGTATCTTCAATTGTTCAATATACTTTAATAACAGAGCTGCCAACCCGAATTGAAGGTGAAGATGCAGAGAAGGTATACCTACAGATGACGACGGATCTTAACGTAGAAAGCTAAATGCCAAGCACTTTCATCCAAGGCTTGGAAAGAGAACGTTAACTAATGCACTACGCTCTTTCGAATTTTATAGCTGATTGAATTTATCATTACATCGATCCAAAATGTTGATACACTGGCTCCAGAGATCCAACAAATCGTGACAGAAGTATTGGCTCTTGGAGTGCAGCGTGTAGCGCTATTCCTAATTACGGGGGGCTCACTTACATTTTTGGTAGGAACAACAAGGTTCCAAAATGTAAGCCTGAAAAAAGAGAATCGGCCGTCTGCAACTGCCACTGAGAACGACCGACAATAATGACAAAGTCATTTACTTTCTTTGTACGAGATTGTTCTAGTTAAGCACGACTATTTACTTGTTTAGCTTCATATATCCCCTATCTCATATAACGACCATGTGTTACTGAGTACGAAATAGAAGGCTGCATAGGTGTAATATGTATACCGTATCAAGACGAAAAAAAAAACGTAACAAGAACAACTTTAAGACTGAAGTGTATGAAAGAATAGGGCTCAGCTGTGAGGCTTATTTGTTTTAATGTGCGTAATGGAGTACGCAGATACACAAATACGTCGCGCAGATCTTTATTGATGCCGACCACTGCAATAACTCGTTCTTGTTTCTTCATTACCAAACTTTCTTTTTTCCTATATGATATAGAATACGGTGGGATGATTTTAAGCCATATTGACCATAGTACTGGTGGAAAAACTCTTAGCTGTGAAGTGAATGACACTATTGCCAATGGCGATGGTCGATTTTCGACAGTCTCATCACAAAGCTCCTCGCTATTGCTGGCGCATGAACAAAATCAATCATATCAAACAGTGATGACCAAGAGAGGAAAAGCAGGTAGCAATTGTTGTATTATAGACGAATTGACGAGTCCTCGGCGACGACAATCAACGCTCCCACTCCGACAGTGCTGAAGACAAGCTTGGAAACTTAAATCTATCTTTATTGCCCTTGTGGTGAGCGGTGAGCGTAGCTGTCATCAGAGAAAGAAAAACAGAAGAGTGGTGCGGGATTTTCATTGCTAAATAAGGGTAGCTCTCCTAACTCTTGATGTCTCAATTGTATTTAACATCATGCTGAAGATTCGAAGCGATTTGAAGAGGTAAGCGTTATATGCTAGATACGATACGTCTTTGTGTGTCCTCATTCAAATTGTACTATAATTATTTCTCTATTGCTGCGTACTTACTATCTATAGCCGGCAAAATGCCAAATGCATCTGGACGTAAGTCGGTATGGTTGCCTTCAACGCACTTTTCTTGGTCGGCTTTAGAGGGTGCTCAAGGAGTCAAAGTTTATACAATATTTAATAACTCACGGGAAGTTCAAGGTTTTGGAGGTGATGGGATTATCTTGAGAGGAAACGTCATAATCCACGATACATGGCCTACGAAGAACCAGCATCTTAGCTCTCGTAAACAAATACAGCAAAGACAGCAAGTTGTATTAGTTACTCTGATAGTTTCCAAACCAAAGTACTATACCTCACAATAAAAGAAGTCTATAGCTTTACTCTTGGTGCGCCTGTGAGTGGTTTCATTACAGTAGGGACATTTTCGGATGGCGCTGTTGATTCAAAAGCAACATTCTCCGTATATGTTTCATCTTATAAGCTACAGTGTTGCTATTAAGGGCCTGCTAGCAGCATCTATAAAAATTGGATTTGTCCATAATAAATAACCTTAGTACTGGTTTTTTTTTTATGGCCTGGAGGCAAAATTCATTTCCAATATAGTGTCCAGAGGAGTGACTGACTATTGGGTGTGAATACATGTATGAGAAAATGAGGAACAGAGAAGTGACGGAAAAGAGAAAACTATTTATATGTGCGATGATAGATGGCAGTGGCATGAGCAGCTACTGCCTGCGGAATGAAAGGATGGTCGTCGAATTTGAAAGACCAATGTGCTGACCAGATCGCTTGAACAACCTTAGTACTGTTGATTTTGCAGGATCAGTGTTGCTCTCTACTCGAAATCGGTCTTTTGCATGATTGCTTAATCAGACCTCAAAATATTAGTGCGCTTGTCACAATGCTAGTTGCTTGCATATTATTTTTCTTCTACGAGAAACAGTGGACAGGTTATACGCTTCGTTCAGAAGCACTATCAAGCGATATTCATGACTTTACCACATCGTGCACCATCTCCCTGCCAGGCTGCAGATGTGTAACTGGTGTGAGCTCATTTTCACTACAATTTTTTAAGGTAATCTACTGTATGATTGAGAAATGACAAGCTTAGATGTGCTGTATAACCTGAAAATCGTATGACTGACGTGCGCTTCTATTCTATTGATAGGGGCATCTGAGACTCATGTTTGTAACTTAATGCTTTTTGAATCTTCAGATGCTCTGGAAAAGCCTTAAGGCTTTTGAAGGCTTCAATTCAGCACATCGAAAGCTGGTTTATGGCTCATGATCGAAGCGCTCCCAGTTGCTTTTGAATACTTCGTAGTAGGTCGCTATAATCATTATACTAGCCAATCTCGACGATTCTTACTCATCGCCATTGCCCTGTATAGCAAATCAAAGTATAAATGTTATCCTTTTGGCAGAAGGTTATGTATCATTTGTTATTGGAATTACATATAAACCCTGTCCTATTGCGCACCAACTATGGAAGTTATCCAAAAGTTTATAGTAGCTTAAAGCTCGAAAGAATGACAATGGCCTTCACATTATAGGGACTGCCACGGCGTAATCAATGCATGTTTTACCCCGTTTCGTGAAATATCTAACCAGCGCGGCAGCTTGCTCCGCAATAGTTATATAAACGCTGAAGATAACGCTGAAGATAACGCTGAAAAAATGTTTTGAAGGTGGACGAATGCTGCCAAGATAAATTCTATCCTTCCTGATAACGTTAAGTTGAGTGACTTCTTGTACTTTTTTACCATCTTCATTGACTATGTCTTTTGCTTATGTAGTTGACCCGATGCATCATCACAGCTATACACAAAATCAATACATTGTCTCCGGACATGCAGCAAATCGTAGCCAAAATTTGAAGCTCGGCTGTACAAAGAGTTGCTTGCGGCTTCATTGATTATGGCTGTTGTAGTGCTGAGCTGCAGAAATGTCAGAATGAAAAGGGTATGTCGAGTTAGGATGACGAGTCAGCGTTGATTAAAGAAGGATATCTACATTCTTTGCCTTCTATTATATCTCGTACCCTGTTGCTGTCATGTATTGCCATTATATGCGTAAGAGATGACCAATATTTGTTCCGCGAGTTCTGCCGATTTCAAAACAAACTCAGTGTCAAACCAAGTATCACTGAATTCATACCACATGAGTGGCTATCTTGTTGCAATAATTCTCACGATCTCCACAATTAGATAAAGTGTGTATATAGCATTGATGCTTATTGATAACGACCTTTTGTTATGTAGCAAAGCATTTGATATAGCATACTAATCACGTCGGCTTAATTCAATAATGACACATATGTTCAAATTAATGTCCTTACGTATAGAACGATGAAGCTTCTTGCGTGAAAATGGAAAGGGAACATGGACGAGTACTGAACGTGAATCACTCGGTATATGAGCTAAACACTATAACTGTAAGAGCCAAGAGACATCTTTTTTCGGCATTTTAAGAACAGTATTGCATGTACGGAAGTCAAGGGCCAAGATAAAAGCATTTTTTCCTGTCTATGTTATTGCCGCTCCCGAAGATGACGATTGTGCCTACCTGTCAATATGACCTCCGCTATTTCCCACCTTATCCAACCAAAGATTTCCCAGGAACTCCCGAGAAATTCTTAGACGCCAGTTTTATGGATTTGCAATGCGCCAAAAGGATGAAATGTATCACTGTTACTGATTGCTAATGGCTGTTGATCACATAAATCTGATTTGATATGCGTTTATTTGATTGGCACACAAACAGTGGTGGGAAATAATGACTGGTGCTATGGGAAGAAGGGACTCTTTTTGCTATATATCTAGACACGATTCCCACTGATACATGTTCAGGAGATGAATTGCTGTATGGTGGGAATAATCTTAATAAGGGTATTTTATATAATAATTTTATGATGGTTAGAGCAGTATACATAAAATATGCAGTCATGGTAGCCTTTCTAGTGTTGCAGGTACTGTAAAATAAGTCTACTGAACGATCAATACAGAGGGTAGGTTTTTCAAGAGTTGTAAAGCTCATCCTGTCTCTCATTTCATCAGTCCGATTACTTCGCAGCTAAGACGCATAGGCACTGTATTTTTCCCCGCATTTTTTTATACAGCTTCAGCGTGTGACAAAGATTACGCAGGGTAATGCCTTTGAGAATCTATCCCCATTTTGGGAAAGAGCGGTTGTACGAGTTTTGACCGCATAGATTATATAAAGCTTGTTGTTCACATCATCCCCACACAAATCGCAAATTTGTTTTTCAAGAAAGCTCCGGAAAAACAGCACTCCGTAGCCAACTTTAACAGCTTAAAAGAACATACAACAGTGTATACAACTCTATAGCAACAACAAAAGCTCTTTTAAAATGGCCCTGCATGATAGACGTTACAAATTCACGAATGTGGTGGATATGATGCTCAGCAACCCCATGGGTCGTCCGGAATCAAAGCCGTTGCAAATCGACGCCCGAACGGGAGAAACCATAACCCTGAACCATCTGCGGCATTTGGTGGGCGCCATCCATGCAGGTCTGCGTCGCTTCGGTTTGAATAAGGGCGACACTGTTTGTCTTTACTCTCCAAACAATGTAAGCATATTATCTAGGGGGCGAAGAGGCAATACTGCAGGAATGTGGTGATAAATAATACTAATTGCAAACCGCGTAATAGATTAACATGGCTCCAATTTATATGGGAACTATGGCTGCTGGTAACTTAAATTTTGTTTTCATGAAGAATGATAGATAGCCGAGTCATGATATTAACAGTATATCTTACTCTATTATAGGCATGACGATCAGCCCAGCAAATACATCGTACGTGTCGGCCGAGCTACAAAGACAACTGACCGTGGGTGAAGCAAAGATTCTTATTGCTCATCCTGTTAACTTGGAAACCGCGCTGGACGCTGCAGCTGCCGTTGGCATGCCTCGATCACATGTTTTCTCCATCGTCCCTGATCCTAAACAACGTGTCCGATACTACCGAGATGTACTTGTGGATCATTTACAACCTGAGCTCCCGCCCATTAAGATGACGCACGAGGAGAGTATAAACACTGTTGCGTACCTGTGTTTCTCCAGTGGTACCACTGGAAGAAGCAAGGGCGTTATGACAAGGTACGAGAAACTTATCTTTTAAAATACAAAAGCGCTGTGAAATAGCAGCTATGGCAGAGCCAGTAGAAAGAATTAGTGGCTCTAAACACCGTCAAATTATATATAACAAATGTATAGCCATTACAATGTCATTGCCATGGTGTTGGAAACCAACAATTATGCGGGTATTTTTGCGGATCCGACAGTCAGCTCTACATCGCTTGCAGTTATTCCGTTGTATCACTTCAGTGGCATTAGCTCCTTCTTCAATATGGGCATCCCAGCTGGCAGCACCACTGTAATTCTCGAGAAATACAGCGTCAGAGCCATGTGTGAAGCAATCCAGACGTTCAAGGTTACTAGTTTGCCCGTCGCTCCACCCATTGTGATTCATCTTGTCAACCGTCCCGAAGTGAAGGAGTATGATTTGTCCAGTTTGGAGCGTGTTGGTACCGGATCAGCACCTATTGCAGCAAGCGTAGTTACGCGATGCCAGGAAAAGTTCAAGGTCTACGTCGGACAGGGTTATGGGTATGTCGAAAGAAAGGCAGCTACTGGCCTTGTAATAGATGTCGCTGGCAAACATCTAATGAGTATCTTAACAATATCTGTTTCACTACATTGCTGCTTTAGTATGACCGAGGTCTCACCTGTCATCACATACCAAATGCCAGAGTGGGCCAAACCCGATTCGATTGGTCGTGTTATTCCCATCATGAACAGTAAGATTATAGATTCCGAAGGCCGAGGTATGATCTAATCATAGTCAATTATATATGAAAAATACTGGCGCTAACGATACTATCACAATTTATAACAGAGGTGGGTCTCGGTGAGCCAGGTGAGCTGTGCGTCCAAGGGCCAAACGTTATGCTTGGATACAAGGGCGATCCTGAAGCCACAGCCAATGCTATTGATAAAGACAACTGGCTGCACACCGGTGATATTGTGAAGAAGGATGCCGATGGCAACCTGTATATCGTGGATCGTATCAAGGAATTAATCAAGTACAAGGGTTTCCAAGTGGCTCCCGTCGAGTTAGAATCCGTTTTGCTACAATGCCCCTATGTCTCAGACGCAGGCGTTATTGGTATCGACGATGAGTCCCAAGGCACTGAAGTTCCAATGGCATTCGTGACGCTTCCAGAGAAACTAAAGGGACAGGGCAACAGTGGTGTGTTGGCAAAGAAGATCGAAGAGTGGGTGGATGAGCGCGTAGCAAACCACAAGCGACTTCGAGGAGGTGTCCGTATTATTGACGAAATTCCCAAGAGCGAAGCTGGAAAGATCTTGAGAAAGGATATGAAGGATATTTATAAAAAGCAGCAGCAACAGCTCGGAGAGCGCGCATCCAGATTGTAATTTAAGAAAACACTCCGTGTAAATCCCCCTCTACACTTGGTAGTATATGTACTGTAATAGTGTGTAAACACTGTATTATATTAAAATATAAGATGGTATTCAATACCAATAAAATATAATAAGTTTGTTATGTATTAGATGCTATGAGCTGAAATCCTTTTATGAAACACCATCAGCATTCAGTAGTAACCTAAGAAAGATTTGTTTAAAAGATGATTTTCGATGAATTGTGTCACATACACATAGAATCGATGGTTTCATTCACTGTGATAACACAAAAACTCCCTGCAATATGTATTTAGAAATGAGATAAGAAAACCGTCTTTCACACACGAGACATAACCAAAAACCTCAGTTTCTCCACGTTATGTAAAAAGTTGATGAATCTTTCCCATGCCTGCGTTGTCCACCTGGAGTCTAAATATTTACGCCTTAAACGGTAAAAGCTTGAACCGCCATTGAAGGATTTATTAATCTTTACAGCAGTTGTGAAAAAGAAATATTGCGTACAGAGCACAGTCGCTGTGGGGGGAATTTATGAGTACACATATCACTTACTATTGACCAAGTTTGTTGCGCTGGTCATTCGATCCTATGTGGAAGACGATGATGCTCGGATTAAAAGAAACCTCCCCCAGGGAGGAAATAAATGATCGTATTGACATGTTATGAAAACCTTGTTCTTTTTTCATTACAGCCAACAGACACAAGAAAAGGCTGCTCTACAAGTGCGCCTCCACCTTTCATAGCAAATAAATGTTGGTGGGAATTTATTAATAATACGAGCGATAGTACGAAGGCGTAAAAGTTATCAGGATGGTAACGATTTTTTTTACATGCTACTTTATTACAGCACATTTAATTTAACTATGAATAAAAGCTAGATCGTATTTGATTAGGAGAGTGTTGAATGTACGGGTGGTGACATGATGGCTTCAGAATATTAATTAACATAGACTTGTGCAGTATGGGGAAGCAGAGCCACGCTATGGAATTTCTTTTTCCAGGAAGGGTAGAAATTGACAAGCACCCGCTTGTTACGCACTACTAAGAAGGTCCTTGCCTGGGAAATTTGCTACCTAGTTTGGTAAGTGTGACCAAACCAAAATTCTCCAGGAATACATAGCAAGTGTGTACACATAATGTGTGGGAGAGAAAAAAAGCAAATCAATCAAGAAAAGTGTCATCGCGTTCATCTCTTTTCTCTTCTTCTCTTTTTATTCTGCACACACGTTCATCTATTCTGATCGATTTTTCTCTCAATATCCACACACGTATACGAACAAAATGAGCATGTATTCAAAGCAATATCCATTTACCAACATCGCTGATATGATGCTTAGTAACCCAATGGGTCGATCTGAGTATCATCCACTGTTCATTGACGCACGTTCGGGCGAATCGATCACGTTATATCATCTCCGTCGGTTGGTGGGCTGTCTTCATGCAGGTCTGAAGCGATTTGGCTTGAAGAAGGGTGATACCGTCTGCTTTTACTCTCCCAATAATGTAATGAATCATCATACTATATTTTATGGTCTGTGGTTTGTATTCTTTCCTAGAGCATATGCTAACAAGTAAATGCTCTTTTTTTTGGGTACCAAAATAGATCAACATGGCACCTATCTATACCGGAGTGATGTCTGCAGGTAAAAGAAGAATTAATTGTCCTCACTATATATTTGTTTAATGAAGGGAGATATCATATTCTTTTAAAGAGTTATTTTGGTTATTAAACTTTCAAATCTAGGCATGACAATCAGCCCTGCCAACACATCATATGTTGCAGGCGAATTGCAGCGGCAGTTGGAGATTGGCGAAGCCAAGATGCTCATTGCCCATCCAAGTAACTTGGATATTGCCCTTGAAGCTGCCGCTGCGGCAGGATTGCCACAATCCAATATCTTTTCTGTCATGCCTGATCCGCAAGGAAGAGTTCCCCTGTGGTCTGACGTTCTCATTGACTTGAATCAGCCTCCGCTTCCTCCGGTCAAAATATCACATGAAGAAAGTGTTAACACGGTCGCATACTTGTGCTTTTCAAGCGGTACTACAGGCAAGAGCAAAGGTGTCATGACAAGGTATGCGTGCTTCTATTGACTGTATACATGTGTGAGAAATCAAAAAGTACTAAAATCCTGATATAACACGACGCTGTAAAATTATACAGCCACTACAACTGCATTGCTATGGTGCAGGAATCCAATAGCTATGCGGGTATTTTTGCCGACCCATCGGTTCAAAAGGTCATTCTCGGTCTTATCCCGTAAGTTCTTCGCTTTCCCTTCTTCTCTCTTTACTCCAAAATAAGAAAATGCCAACGCCACGTCGCTAAATATCAACACAAATGCGAATTTATAGCTTGTACCACTTTAGTGGCATCCATCGCGTGTTCAATGTCGGTATTCCCCAAGGAGCAACTGTCGTTATTGTTGAAAAATATTCGATCCCAGTCATGTGTGAGGCCATTCAACGATTCAAGGTCACTGATTTCCCGACTGCACCTCCCATCATTATCCACTTGGTGAACAATCCTCAAGTTGACAAGTACGATTTGTCCAGTCTCAAGTCATTGACGGTAGGCTCGGCACCCATTGCTCCAAGCGTCGTGGCTCGGTTCCAGGAAAAATTTGGGGCACCATTAATGCAGGGATACGGTATGGAATAAAAGTGTAACATCAGACAAGGAACCGTATTCTCACTATTCTACTTGCTGTATATTTTAGGTATGACCGAGGTATCTCCTGTCATCACGTATCAATTGCCCTCCTTTGCTAAACCTGAATCTATTGGTCGCCTAGCACCCATGATGAAGGCCAAAATTGTCGATCTGGACGGCAACGGTAACTATAGAAATGCTATTATTATATAGAAGTGAAAAGGGAACTCGAATTGTATGGGAGAAGTGTATCGATATAATACTTAATGATATGTCGTTTTCTGTAATAGCTCTTGGCATCAATGAACCTGGTGAATTATGCGTCAAGGGTCCCAATGTCATGCTTGGATACAAGGGAAATGCTGAAGCAACAGCCAACGCTATCGATGAAGACGGATGGCTACACACCGGCGACGTGGTTCGCGTGGATGAACAAGGCGATTATTATATTGTGGACCGCATCAAGGAATTGATCAAATACAAAGGTTTTCAGGTGGCCCCCGTTGAATTGGAATCTGTTCTTATGCAATGCCCATACGTTGTAGATGCAGGTGTGGTGGGTATCTACGACGAAACACAAGGTACTGAAATCCCTTTGGCCTATGTGAAATTACCCGACAATCTCAAGAGTCAAGCCAATGTTTTGGCATCAAAGATACGAGATTGGGTCAATGAACGCGTAGCAAATCATAAACGACTTCGTGGCGGTGTTCGCGTCATTGATGAAATCCCAAAAAACCCATCCGGAAAAATCCTACGCCGGGAGATGAAGGCAATCTACAACAAGCAACAAGCAGCTGCTGCTGCTGCTTCTGCTGCTAATGTGGAACGCTCTGCCAAGCTGTAAGAGATCATAGGGTATTAAATGTAGTAGACTGTTTTTGTTTCGATATGCATTATCATCTTTAAAGAAAAAGAATTTTACACCTATAAACATGAACAAATAAAGCATTGTTATGTGTACCTTAACTGTACATAGTATACGTATTTTTGTATGATATTTTAGACGGGTATACTTGTAGTTTATTGATATAGAAAAATCAAAAAGAAAGAAACTGCAATATAATGTACATTGGTTTTGTCAAAAATAAAAGAGGGAGATTATATGGATTCTGAGCTAGATAAAACTTGTCTGTGTAAGATAGAAGAAATATGAGAAAGAGAAAGAGAGAGAGAGAGAGTGTGTGTGTGTGTGTGTGTGTTTTTTGGGAAGATATTAATGCTAATACAGCTACTATTCAGTAGTAATGCGTAGGATGATGATTAACGAGGGAAAAGAAGAGTAAAAATTTTAAAATTGCGGAGAGCTCCATGCTTTCGGCCAATCGACCGAAATTTCAGGAACGCCTGTGGGACTTGTTTGAGCAGATGTCTTCTTCAATATCGAAGCTGAGCTCAAGGACATCCTACGAGTTGCTGCGGAGGATGCTGCTGCAGTTGCTGATGAGGATGGTAAACTGCTGTTCATAATCAAATCCATTTCTGCAACTGCCTTGGCTGCATACGTGTGTGCAGTAGGAGCATATCGCCAGCCATTTGCTGCTGATACGTTCTCAGGTATAGAGGCCATCATAGCTGCCGCTGACATCATCATCCACGACGACGAAGAGGACGACTTTCTACCACTGTAAAAGATGGATGGCAATCCAGTGGGTGTTGTTCGGCCACTTGCGTATGCAGAATCCTCGCATGTGCTACTGTCGGTGCTGCTACTGCTACCGCTAGTGCTACCACCACTTTCTTGATGATCCAAAGTATTGAAATAACCTTGATTATTGCTACTAGCAGTGTTGACGTTCTCGTCTCCAATCGTAGTTTGCGGCTGGTGGTGATTAATTGAAGAGGCTGTCTTGCTTTGACGCCGACACATGTAAGTAGAAGGAACAGTATAGTATTGTTTTGGGGAGGATGACTTATTGGTGTTCACCCTCACTTCGGATAAGGTAGGTGCGCTAGCAAATGCAGTTGTGGTACTATGACGACGTGGTGGCGTGGAAGAGCAGGATTCGCTGCTGTCGTCGTCGTCATCATCATATATGTTGATATCTGTTTTAAGGAATGTACGAGACAATCGACGTGTTGCTACCTTTAAGTTGTTACTAAAAACTCGTGAGCGGCGTCTATGTTCTTGTTGCTGTTGTGAGGATGGTGATTGCAAATATGGTGTACCGTGTGGTGGAGGTGTTGGTGGTAATGTTGTGTAAGGACTAGTGGTGGCGGTGCTGGTAGTGGTGATGGAAGCGATGCTTCTCTTTTTCGGTGGAGGCGGCGGTGACGGCAAAGTGAGCTGTGATGTGAATGAAGGAAGGAAAAGGATCGGAGTTACTGTATTGGTCTGTAGTCTAGATATGGCGGCATGGCGATCTCGACGGTCGCCTATATCTTTTAACAGCAAGTCAAGTCGGGTATATTGCTGCAAGAATGATGCTAACAGTGTTTCAAGTGTTATATGTATCTCACTAAATAAAAAAGGATAAAAATAACACAATTAGCTATTTTGCAACTAAAAATAAAACAGCAACAACATAATGGAATAAACACAAACAAAAAATATTGCTTACAGAGTACACTTTCTATGTTCAGTGATTGAATCACTGCCAGTTGTTGTTGTTTGACGGTATTGGTAACCTGACATGGATGAGTCTAATGATGCATACCATAATAAGGTTATTGAGGGATTTATATTTTAGATGAGATCTCTGAGTTAGCGTGTAGTATCATACACTTGCCAGTACATGATTTTCATGCAGCAGAACAAGAGAAGAAAGAAAAAAAGCTACTTACCATCTTCATCAATAGAATTCATATTGTGTTCCTCGTGCCATGCGCTCCAACACCGCGATCCATCACAAGCACTGGTCTTGAGCGCAGTGTCCCTAAAGCCCCATTGAACTGTGGAGGATGACCAAAGCGGGCGGATCCTCCAAAACAGGCATTGCAAGAAGAATATGCGCACACCACTATTCCAGTGCACGATAAACCGTTCAAAAAGATAGGGGTGAAGCAAAATTCGGTTACACAACATATCGAGTAACTCTGCGCGTTGTGTCAAGAATCCAAAGTTTGTAAAAACAAAGGCCAGTGTGCGCATATGGACGATCGTATTGTCGGCTTGTGCTAATAGGAGGTGGATTGTATGAAGAATAAAGGGGATATCGACGAGTAGGGATCCGCTATCATGAGTGTGATGTTTCCTATACTCGTGGTAAGACAAGAATCGGAAAATAAAATTGTTAGTTCGGCTGTATCAGTCTTTTTTTCGTCAAAGGAGATGGTATTCGGAAAACGCAGAACAAGTAGCAAGTCCTGGCTTCTTTTTTTAAACATACTTTTTCAGTTCGGTGATCACACTTTCCAGGAAATCGATGAGACCTTGTAGGAGGTAGATAAAGGTTTTTAAATAGCATGAGTATCGTATACACACATAAGAATGTTATGCTGATTCGATAAGTTCACTACTACTTACAAAAAACACTTTCGGGTGAAGTCCAACTAATGCTTTTAGTGATTGCTCTAAGCCAAACATTGATCATATCATGATAAACAGTGATATCAGATCTACTGCTGTTTTGGTGTTGATGATGACTTGCACTACGGCTATCGTTCGAAGGGCTGGTTCCCGCAGGGTCAATTGCACAAGATGTTAAACAGTATGCATATCGGCGCGTCGCCGATTCAAGCGTTCTGGGTTTTCCTGCATATCCTGGATCTGTAGCCATGGTGCTAACAGCGACAACATTGATCGCAGGCACAGCTGTTGAGACGGATGAAGTGGGGCGTGATTCAGTAAGCGATGATGATGGAGGCGATTTGTTACTGGAAACATCGGAAGGTGCCACTACTTTTGCTGCTGTCGGGGCTGGTGTTACCATCGGAGCAACAGCTGGAGAATCCGGTCGAGGAAGCGCAGCAATGGTCTTGGCAGATGAAGGCGTTTGTTGTTGCGTTGATGTTGCACTGGTGGCTGCAGTTGCAGTATACTCGTTACACCATGACATTTCTTCCATTACAGACGATCGTAAAAGAGAACTGACTTTCTCCGTCATATAAGCTGCAAAATGCACATAACCTGGCGATACGGCCAAGTACGCGTTTCTTGTCTGCACAGATGGCAAGTGGTGGTGGCTTTTTGCCTGCGTACCACTATCTCCTTGCATTGCAGCATGGATATATGCGCTCAAATGTATATGATATCGTTGATAAAACATAATGAACAGGGACCGGTCGCTTGTCTTCCATCTGTATTAGTGCATTACCCAATTTATTTTTAGCGTATATCCACAACATTGTTATTAGGCAGTGTGTATAATGTAATATGTATATATTAAGAGAAAGAGAGGAAAATAAATAAAGAGCTAAAATGAATTGTATAAATCAAAACGCACCTTGAGATCCAATGCCCTTTGGATTTGAGTGGAACACGTAGTAAATGGCGATCGTCGCTGCGGCTTGTCAGGTGGGCAGGCATGGTTTTGCATAACTGAGCTCGACTGATATAAAGGAAAGATACGATTGTGTAACAATCAACGCCGCCACCATTACATTGCCAAACAACAACATACAAAAAAGTTTAGTACATGCGTATCTTCTTTTAAGTTCTTGTTTCACAATAAAAAGAGAATATCTTAATATGTGATATATAAATATAGAAAACAGAAATGTCTCAATACGAACTAGGAAGTTTCTTTGGGGAAAACGTCATCGTCTTCGTGGCCTACAAGTTCTCTCCTTATGCTCGAAATAGTATCTTGTTGCACAGGTAATGTTTGCAGCAAAGCAGATGCGAGGCCTGGTACTTTAAAGAAACATTGTGCTATATATTATATGCATGTATAGAAATAGTGTAAAATAAACGTTAATGCTGTTGTAAATGGTATCAAATGTTTTCAAGTTCCTTTGCAAGTACTTACCAAGAATATGGGCGCAAAAGATGATGGTACCGGGATGAACAGCAGAGACATCTGCAGTGTCGATAGCATAGCTTAATGTTTTGTTCAACAATTCGTGATATTCGGACAAATACGCCCATTCAGAGCCAGATTTGACATCATGATGTCTCCCTAGTATTGCTACTACGGGTGCTTGATCTGTTTTTTTTTTAAAAAAAAAGAGAAATTGGGGGATAGGGATGCGCCAAAAAAAAGGCAGGGATGAGCGGAAATCCCGTAGTGTATATAGGCGTAGATATACACACACACACACACGCATCCAGAGGTGGTCCCGCATGGTTAGTTTCCAGCTTATCAATTGGCTTAAAATCCTTCACCCTTACCATAGTAAAGAAACTCGTTCCTGTTATTTTCGAATACATAAAAAGAAACAAAGTAGACAGTCAGTTAAAATAGGAATAGCTTATTACGGATGTGGCTTAATCGAGTAGGCGGATTTGCTGCTGTGCAATGATCACAAATGCTACTATTCTCTATTTTGACATTACCGAGATACGATTTCAACAAGAGATTCAAAGTAAGATGTTCTTTCGGTATGTTGAAGGAATTGTACACTCTCGACCAGTGCTTTCCACCTGTGATTGAGATATCAGTACGACCATGAGTGTATCGAACAAAAATAAGAGTGCCAAGACTATTTTACCATTGAAGCAATATCAGGATCATTGGAGATGCTGCCGCTGCTGCTGCTGAAGCTGATGTATTATCTCCTGTCTGATGTTGAAGCTGCTGCTGCTGCTGCTGTTGCTGTTGAGGATGGTGTGACACAGACTTCTTGGAGCCGCTGCGTAGACCCAGGATCCCCTTAAGGGTTTTCTTCTTTTTAAACGACTCGGCGGCAGTGCTTCTATCATGACTATTCTGTTTGACAGGGTGCCGAGCTGTTGTGATGCTCCGGATACTCTCGCTTTTGCTCGTTTTCGGTGTTTGTCGTTTGGTGTCATCTTGATGATGATTGGAGCTGTTGTCACGAAGCCAGGGCAGTAAAGTTTGCTCGACTATTTGGGATCGTCGTCGCTGGTTTTTCCTGAATCTATTACGGTTGTTATGTACGCATGAATTTTCGACTCTTGCTTTTTATTTATTTCGTGGAAATACGGCGTGTTTTTATGTGATGGGATAGGTTCGTCATTTACTTTTCTAGCGTTTTCGTCAGGAACCGAATATCCTCTTCTGTGCTGCTCATCACTTGGTTATTAGAGGGCAATGGAAGAAAAAGTGTCAAAGGAAGATGAGGATAGAGTGAGGAAGAAAAGTAGCTATTAGAAAAGAGAAAAAAGAACACACGATTTCACGATATGCAGGAAACAAAAAAAGAAGAGAAAAAAAAAAGAGACCAGGCACAGGCTCACAAGAGGACACATCTAGCCTCAGCTAATAAATAACAAAATTTATATTTACCGCCGCTTTTGGGACAGCTCCATCCCAAATGCCCCGAATGCATGTTTGCGATCGACGGGATAGATAACGAAACCATGAGCAGCCGGAGTTGATGATCATACAAGGCGATTGGCACAGGCACAGGGACATTTATTTTCCCTTGTTACATACGTTAGCTCTCTTTTGGGGGTGTGTGGGAGGGGGGTGGAGGAGCATCTCTTTCACTTTCACTACTACTCACTGCTATACTTCTTGTGCCTCGAAACGCGTTGTTTTTTTCTGTTCTGTGCAACGTAACAACCACATGGTGCGTGCGATAGTAATATTCTTTTAGCGCCGTATTGTTCTCTCTCTCTCTCTCTCTTCACTCTGTCCAATCGTGTTCTTTTTTACCGATCCAATTTTCTCTTCTCTCTCGGACCTTGACGTCGTACCTTGTTTTCTATTTCTTTTGTAGGAAATAGTGTGGATGCTTGAACGTGGCCGCGGGGGAGAGCATACTGTCTTTAGTTTCTTTTAAGAAGGACCAGAAGTAAGCACGACTTTATGCATTTTGTCGTCATGACATTGCCATGACGACTGACCATGTCCACCATGGCAATGAAGAAATGGGACTTTCGTACGTGCTCTTTCTTTATTTGACAACAGATCCTTCTTCGATGCCTCATTTTAAACATGTGGTCACGGGTGCGTACGGAATTGATAACGCAAAAGTGGATATGTGCCTTATATTGATTGAATTATTTATGATGACGCCAAATCACCGATTAGGCTTGTTTCTCTGTGTCTAGATGTGTGCTAAGGTTACCTATTATTATGGCGAGTAAAGTATAATAAAAATCGCACAGCGCCCCAAAACTAGTAGGAAAGCGACGGAGCGATTTCGGCCTAAGACCAGCAACATGTATTGATACTTTTAAATCCTTCTCAAAACACTGCGCCACGACGTTTGAGATGGCGAATGGATAGGCTTTGCTTTGGTCGTTCTCGGGAACCTTAACAGTACTCTATTACCTTTCTGTTACGCAAAAGTCGTACTTTTAGAGGTAAAAAGTTATTTTATTCCTTCATTTTTTTTACTGGTCATATCGGTACTAGTTTTTGCTTGTGTTCCTGTTCCTGTGTATACACGATACGCATAAACAAACAGCGATAAGGAAGCAAACAATGTCTATGTATCATCATCCAGCCGCGATACTCGCATTTATCTTAGTTCGACCTGTTATTAACGCATGCTGGTAATTAATTTGGATTTTTTACTGCATTACCGTAGATGAGAATGGATTCTATGACAACGTTAACAAAATGCCTACCTTATTTGTAATGAGATACTTAGCTTGGCTTTGTTACGTCACGGTAAACAAAACACAAGCCTATCACTATCCAAATATCATTCTGCGCTACCCGCATATATTTAAGGAGGGAGGATTAGTATTTCGCCTCTTCTATATATTTTTTTCTTGTGCTGATAGGGGCAAGTAGGGTGATAAACAACCTTCTCGATCCCGATGTCGTACTTTTTTGTCCTGGAAAATCGATTTTGATATGCTCGTATATGCTGAAAACCGACTGAAAGACTTCTTTGGCAGCAAGACAAATAAAAATGAAACCGTCAAGCTAGTCCACAAATGATATGGGGATCAGCGGCTTTGTATATGTCATTTTATTTCGGAATCAAGCCGAGTTTATAAATAAGAAGCCAAAATTATTATGTGTCCTACATGAGTAGGAATGGATAACACAAGGAGATCGTCGCTTCCGCGCTCTGCTTGGACTGACTGTGTATACCATGCGTATGCGGCGCTTTTTATTTTCATGTTTTCCTGAGCTTCAGCGGTTCACTTGATCGCGAAATCATCACAACGCCTTCCTTGTCGCTGTTTTAGTAGCATCTGCTGACGATAAAAGAGGCGAAGCATCTAATTTTTCTTTTATCGCCCTCTTTAATAACAGCTACCAAATCTGACATTCTTCCTACCAAGTTGCCAATTCTAGAGTACTGTGCAAAAATGGGTCTAATGCCAGCTTTCTTATCAAGATTTACACAGAAGAACATTGCACTGCAACATATATTCTAATCGTTCTTTATCGTAAACATTCTGTTAAGGATGATGGCTATCTTAATTTTCATATTACACATCAGTTGACACACAAGCAAGAAGAAAATAATGCTACATCATCCTCATTCTGCGGCACCAACAGTAGCATTTACGGTTCCGATTGCATCATTTCGTTAATAGCTAGTAGGAAAGAAAGCTGCTGCCAGCTTTAGCGAAATGGTGCCACAAAGTATTTTGGCTAGCTGATATATGTCATGGTGGCGACGGCGGCGATAAGCTTAGAAGCAGGGGAAGGTTGCTCATGGAAAAGCAGGGATTTGCCACCATATACAGCACCAATGCACAGCACCACTCGACCTTTGTCCCGTTGTTCCTTTAGCACTGTCCGGATTAATGGATTAATAATTACCGAAGCAGAGGATGGTTGTAACAAGTACCACCTAACAATGAGCTAGTTAGTACGGCTATGAATTGCACCCATGACTAAGCTATATGTATTATTAATGTAAAGTACCCATCGAAATGGAATTGAATGAATTTATCTTTATAATAAATGCTCACACTAGGGCCGCCACATGATGCTGTGATAGATCAGTGTGACTAATAGGCATATGTCAATAACAACAGTATCTATTATGCAGTAAGCCCCTATTACATACACAGAGAGAGTATTTGATGCCAACGATGATGCGATGATTTGATAAATTGATACCTTGATAAATCACTGTATGCTCACTTTTGCTTCGAGTAAAAAAATGCCAGGGTAGTATAGCTGAATCGCAATTTTCTGGTTAGACAGAGAGATATGAAAACGAAGCTTGTGCTAAGCTATTTCTGCAGTGAGACTTCCACTGATGAGCTTTTTGTTTTTACTGGACCCTTTGTTTTCTCAACCTAATGTAAACGTTGATTGTTTTAAATATTAATCAAAATGGAAGATATATACTAAATCGAAATCCAGCATAATTGCGTCCCTCGAGGCCTAAGTACAGGTGCCTTTTTTAACCAGTATGATACCTTTTTGACAGTATCTATCGACCCATTTTTTTTTGGGGGGGGGGGGAATGTAGATATGAACCGTAAATCGAAAAGAAGCAAAGATTTAGAAAAGAGCATACAAATAAAGTGTTGTATAATGTATATAATGATCATCGACTGATCAGTAGCGTATATGCATTTGCATATAGAAAGCTCTCAAAGAAGATGACGCGCATGATACTAAAACAATATATGTGCTTTCGCTTTTCTTTTCGTAATGATGCATTCGTTGCCGGCAGCTATACGAGTTTTCTTTTTTTTTTCTATCCAGTAGCAGCAACGAGAGCAGATATATCTACTCAAGCCAAAAAGATTAGTTTATAGACAAGGCTTATATCTTGAGATGTTTAGTTTCCCCATAAAAAAGCAAAAACAAGGGGTTTGGAATTTAGCGGGCATTTTGTATTTGACGACATTGCAATTTACGCGTTTTCTGTTCGACTCACTTTGCGAAACCAAGAATAACGAACATGCCACTTTCCGAATACGAAAAGAAACGATTAGAAAACATTGAGTAATTGAGTACCTTTTGGTCTCCTCTATCTAGGGCTTTGCTTGAAAATTTGTCATTTTCCTCTCCGTTACCTCTTGTTAACACACGAAAAAACCACAACATATAACGTTAATATATATAGACGCAACAATGAACTGTTGAGACAACTTGATCTTCCTCGATTAAGCTCTGATCGCAAACGATCAGCCTCACCGTCGACCACCGCCATCAAAAAACACGTACCGAAAAAACAACACAAGGAACCACAAGTGCCTACGCGTGTCTCTGCACGACTTCGTGGCATTGCTGCGGAAAATGCACCCCATCGCACCGATTCAGAGCCTCTGAGCGAAGCCGATGCAAAGAAAAAGGAAGAATCCAAACGCGTCGATAAACTCGAGGATGCAAAGCAAAAAGAATTCATGCAAATACTCGACGACATGCGTCGGTTTCCCAACTTGGAGCCTCAAGATAAAAAGCCGGTCAAGAAAGAGGATCAGGATGCACAAGAACGGTTGCGTGACCAGGTTGGAAAGTTGGAGGTTAAGCATACATGGGCTACCGTCAAGGTCACGCCTGAACGGATCAATGGTTGTTTGTAAGTCTATAAAAACAAACTCCCCTTTCTCTCTCTCTCTCTCTCTTTATGTGAATATGTTGCGGGATGTTTAAATTGAAAAAAAATGATCTCACGCTCAATTTTATAGATTTCATCCATCCAGTGGCAAGATTTTGGCGTGTGCAGCAGACGTTTCTGGTTCGCTTGGTTTCTGGGATGTGAACAGTAGCAAAAAGGATGAGGATGATGAAGACGAGGAACCGGTTGTGTATACGTATCGTCCCCACACGCGTGGTATCACCAATATGTTATTCAATCCAACGGATAGCAACAAGCTGTACACATCCTCGTATGACGGTACATTGCGGTATTTTGATATGAAAAGCGCTAGTTTTGGACTTGTGAATATGGGTGGCGAGAAAATCCCTTTCACAAGTTTCGATATGACTCAAGATGGCCACAATGTAAGGAAACCGAGAGAGGGAGTGGTGGCTATCACTCAAAACTGATACTCATTTTGTTATTACATTAGGTCTGGTATTCTACATCTGAAGGTCAAGTTGCATTCCGCGATCTCAGAGCCAAGGATGGCCCAACAGACTTGGATTTTCATCAATTACGCGACAAAAAGGTTGGCTGCGTTCACCTGAACCCTGAAATCCAGAACCTGTTGGCTGTTGCAAGCAATGATCGCACCATGACCGTGTGGGACATCCGGTCGCTCTCCGAACCCATGCATGAATTTGGACACGGTTATTCAGTAACAAGCGCATTCTGGTCTCCACGTGGTGATAAACTGGTCACTGCATCCTACGATGACTATATCCGAGTGTTCGACTTTGATACTAAAAAGAGTGACATGAAGTTACAATCGGCTATACGGCACAACAACCATACTGGAAGGTACAACTTTTTTTTGTCGTCACTGAAACCACAACAAACAAACGAATGGACAACGACAGACTTATTCTTGGCACACGCACACTTTAGATGGGTGACCAACTTTCGAGCCCGATGGAATCAAGGAGCAAAGGAACATCAACATTTCTTGATCGGCAACATGAAGCATCCGGTCGATATCTTTTCGGGCGAGACCGGTGGTGAAATTGGCGAACTGTATGACGCTGATCGAATTACGGCTATCCAGGCTGTAGCTCAATTCCATCCCACAGCCGAGAATATGACTGTTGTGACAGGAAATGGTAGTGGAAGAATGGTGTGCTACTCTTGATTGCTATTCAAACGAGAGCGAACAAACCAAATCTAGAGCTATTCCATATCTATGTGCATACAAACAACCTTCATTTGCCTTAACTGTTGTTGGGTTGCATAATAATAACAATAATACCGCCACCCTCGACTACCGGTATCCAGCAACAACAACAAGGAGTATCATGACAATTTAATTTAATATACTGCATTACAACATTATATCATTCAATACCTGCTTTAACACACGAATTGGTGTGCATACAACAATGGTCTTGAATGTGGGTCAAAGCAAAAAGAATGTCAAAAGTGAGGGATATGTACATATGCTTAATGCCCGTGTATGGCACAGAAAGCTTGTTTTCCCTTGCTGATCTGTGTATGTAATCCATTAACGACTATGTAGTGGTCACACCAACACTGCATACATACAGGCCCTGCCATCATCGAGACATCCAGCAACGACGGATACTTGGTAGCATGGACTGATGACGCCATGCACGACCTATTCCAATATCATGGTTGCTGGCTCATCCACGAATAAGAGAGGCTGATTCTTATATAAGACCTTCATGTCATGTTGGTGCATTTGCTCTGAGCTAGAATAGGACTTTCTTACTGCACTAGACAGGACAGTTTTGGCTTCAAAAAGCGCAAAGGCATGTCTGATGGGGAAGAACAAAGTAGGCAGGTACCATCGTCACTCCCCCTCCCCCCAACAACCCGAACAGTCATTGTATGGTGGCATTGATTACATAATGTCCGTCCAAGAAGGACCTTGGGGGAATAGGGAATCCCTGGGGGTGGGTGTTTTGCCACAACAGAGTTACAGAAAGCCAAAAAGTGAAGAGGTTGAAGAACCCCAAAGAGCAAGCTTATGTTTTGTGGAACCACAGGGCTACGTCATCGAAACGAGACTTGACCAATCACGTTGCATGAGGTAAAGTTTTTTTTTCACTCTGGTCGCTTCAGGCAGAACCGTTGGTAGCCCGCACCCCCAAGTTTTTTTTTTTTTTTTTTACTTTCATACCGCTCTCTACTTTCTCTACTCCTTTCGAGATCTTGCAATAGGGGCAAAGCAAAAGTGATAATAATATCGATTTCCTCTTTCTTTCTATCACCCTCCCCATCCCACAGAATCCATCGTTCTTCCAATGTCTCATGGCGGTCGTGCGTTTCAGACGCATGGGTACTCGGCCATTTCGCCCGATGCTATGCGGGCCCATCGCCAATCCATGCTTAATCAACAACATCAGCAGTTTGTTCAACAGCAGCAACAAGCCGTCATGACAAGTGTGTCCACCCCCAGCAGCACGTACGCATATAGCAGCAACCATCCTCATGCTGCCGCTGCCGCTGTGGCTGCTGCTGCCGCCGCCAGTGGAGGTCCTAGTGGTCCTGGTGGTCCTCCCAGTCACCATCACTCTACCAGCACATCAAGCAACCATCACCACCATATCACAAGTCCTGCGAACTCTCACCAGCAGTTGCAGCAGCAACAACATCAACAAGCACAACAACAACAGCAGCAACAGCAACAGCAACAACGGCAACGACAGGTACCACCGCCGCCTCCGTTGGAGTCAATGTATTGCGATTCTTGCCAAGTGTTTCGCCACGCAACGTATTTCACAGACGAACGTGGTATAAAGTACAACGTGTGTATCCTGTGTCGAGCGCCAACGCAACAGCTGCAGAAACGCAAGCAAATGAACGAAGAGCAAGAGCGGGCATTTAAACACGCACGCTATTCGCATCAACAACAACAACAACAATATCAGCAACACCAACAGCAGCAACAGTCCCAGCAGCAACAGTCCCAACAACAACAACAACAACAACAACAACAGCAGCAGCTGTCGTCCAGGTTCTTGCACACACCACCCACTGCTGGCTCACCGTCGATACAAGTCAAGTCTTCCCCGCCCAACTTCTCGGCATCGCCCCTGCGTACCCAGTCTCAATTGCAATCTCACGTGCAAGCTCAAGTAATGCAGCCTTCGTTGCCGTCGTTGCCGATGCCTTCACACCATCAACAACAGCAGCAGCAACAACAACAACAACCTCAGCATCTTCATTTACCGCCTTATCAATCCACACCCCCGCAACAACATCAACAGCCTCCGCCGCCACAACAGCCACAGCAGCAGCAGGCGCCACCATTACCACCTCCGCAGTCTGTAACCCATCGTCCGTCGCAATCACCCATACCACCGCCGTCCATACCTCCAGGTGCAACGACCATTGCTCCTGTCTCTTCCAGCGTGGCATCAAGTATGGCAGCAGCCGCCGCCGCCGCTGCTGCTGCTGCTGCAGTTTCGCAAAGTCTTCCTGCCCTACCGCCAACATTGGCACAATCACCCCACACTACGGCGGCCACGGCCATGTTGAATGGAAACGGCATCCCTACTACTAGCTCGGCTCATAGTTCGGCTCCTACAAGTGTGACAGCTACAAGTCAGGCTACGACCACGCCTCCTGTTGCTGCTGTTGCTGGTAGTACAACTACGACGACGACGACGACAACCACTGCTCCCAACGGACGGGTATCTCCAAAACAACAGCAACAAGCCAAACAAGAGGTGCTGACATTGGAAGAATTTGTGCATGCGTTGCAGCAAGAGACAGAATTCGACCGGAAACATTACAATGTGGAGATCACGCCGTTGATATTACGGATGGGTGAAGGCGCTGGGTTCTCGCAATTGGGCCGTGGGGTGTGCGAACGTGTGCTGTCAGGAACCAAGTTCAACTTTAGGTAATGTGTGTCCTTGTTATTCTCTCGTTTCTGCTGCTTTTTTTTTGGCTAGTGCTTATGAAAATACCAACCTGTCGCGTGATTTTCCAGCTTAAAAGATCAACGACGGTCCATCAAGACCCCTGATACCTTATCGACCCTACGATACTATTGCTCCCAGCGAGCAGATACAGCCAAACCAAGAAAAGCCAGTGATCATCCCAAAGCTACGAACCGATACGACTGCGCAGGCGCATTGACGATTATCATCGACTTGACGAAAAAGACAGCACATGTGACGTTAATACACAAGCATTCCCATCCACCGTTTGTTCCACATCATCACCATCATTATCACAACAACAACAACAACAACAACTCTTCATCATCTCAACAAGCATCCTCATCACAAACTGCTCAGCAACAGCAAGCACAGGCTGCCGCTGCAGCCGCTCAGCAAGCGGCTCAACAGCAACACCAGAAACGATTAGCGCAACAACGGAAGGCTGCCAAACAAATTGACCAACAATTCGAGACACTCAAACAGAAGGTGGCAGGGTTTGGCAGGTTACTGGAATCGCAGCAGCCATTCAAGAACAAGGATTTTGTCCAAACGGCTGGTGAGGCTTTTGCGGGTGCAGAAGAAATGCTGGCGGCTTGTCTAGCGGCAGATCAGGCTGCTGCGGCTGGCATCATGGTGCCGCAACAACAGCACACGAATGCCACCACCGCCGAATCCAAGTATACCATGCATTACAATAAGAAAGGAAACGTGTAATCAATCCCCTCTATTCTTTTTCTCTAGGTTGTGTGTATATATTAAAAAAACAATGGGAAACTCTTTTTTTTCTCTCTCTCTCTCTTTTAAAAACATTCATCCAACAAACATTGCTGAAAGGAGATACTTTGTTGCTGTGGGTTGTCAATGCGTGATACACTGTTACAAGTGCCATCCCAAACACATTTACTGGGTGTAGCACCAAATCAAATGATTGCATAAGCTAATCAATTTTACTATTTTGGGCAAATTATAAGTTGGGTCCGCACGGTCATTGATAATGATCCTTCCCCACCCCCCATTGTTGTTAATGATCTGAAACAATGGCTACGCATGGTCCGAATATCGCGATGACGAACGACGATGCTTTCCATGACAACTGTACACAACGTGCTCGTCACTACATATAATTCTGTAACATAGAAAGTCTTCTCCGGTCTATTAGTGAGATATTTTTCACGCTATCGATAGTTGGGTTAGTTGTAAATTTGGGGAACTTGTGCACCTGATAAGTAAGTAATTTCTAAAGTTGGGCGTAATGCAAACGAAAAACATGAGTACTCCTCGATATGTCTTGGTCGCAACGATTTGTTCAGCATCGTTACCCACTCTCGTTTTTTTTTTTTGTTCTGTGTACGTATATGTGCCCGCCCAAGAGAAAGGACTCTGCCAGTAGCCTGGGTTAGAGTGCTGCTGAATATGTATATGCACTCTGTACTGCTTAGAACCTAATACTCGTCAAGTTGTGTCGACTATCACCATGTCATGCAGCTGTGAAGCTGAAATTATCCATCGACGCAACCGAATGCTTCCCAAATCGGTGCATTTCATTGATCGTGTTTGTTTGCGAGGACATGGTCTCCCTACAGCTAGTCCAATCAATGTCGAGGTGAGGTATGTAACTGGTTCGTTAGCTGTAAATTTCTGTGACACGTTCCCTCTAACTGGATCATGCTTCCCATTTTCCAATTGAACGGCCAAGCCGCCGTTACACCCTGTTGTTACATGTCTATTATTATGAGAGCAGATGTAATGTGAATTTGAGGGACTACATTTTATTGCTAGAGTAGCTCTAATTCAGTGATAGCTGGTGCTCACTCTACTTTGATAGCAAACTTACCAAGATGTTTTCAAGTGTCAGAGGCTTATCTCTAGCTAAATAAGGGTTTGCATGATCTACTGTCATATAGTATCACTGAGCAGGTTGTTGACGCTATACACCGTGCCAAGAACGTTTCCCTTGCCTTGAGCACGGGGTGGTCCTATTTAAGGACCTCTTGATGGAAAGCAAACATGCCTCTGTCACCTCCATTTGATCTGTATATAATTCTGTCGATGATCGATGAAAGGTTGCCGATAGTGTCGGTATAGTAAATGTCGCATCATTAATCCAGTTGCAAAAAAGCTCGAATAGAACCCTCAATGGGGCTCTGGCGAGAGTTTTGATATTGTAGAATTGCGTCGTTGAGAGGGAGCATCGGCAATATTGTTGAGGGGCATAAAGTTGGAGCTGAAAAAAACCCCCCTTACCCTTGCCGGACGGTCCTGTCAAGGAATAGCTTGGGAAACAAGACACCAAGCGATGATGAAAGTATCATCTGAACGTATGTGTAGCAGTAAGTGCGACTTTTGCCGTTGACGGTGACACCAGTTCCAAAGTAAATTCCTGCTTTGCGCAGTTTCTCTGTGACACTGTGTTTTGCAAATATAAAGCTATAACGATGCTGGCGTCGCCAACTGTACCTGCTTTCACAATCATGATGAGTGATCAACTGTTATTCTATTAACATAGCCAACAATAATAATGAATGCGTGTTGGCTCTATTCTGATAGGCAGCAATAGATCAAGATGTAAGATGTACATTGCATCAGTTTTTCAAGAGCTCGAGCGCTTGTTCGAGCAACGGTAATAGTAGCCACTTTAGATATTATGCCATCAGCAAAACGAGTTGAATTTTGATTGTATCAACCATGCATGCAGAATGCGTGATTTGGAAGGGCACCGCAAGAAAAAACGCGTGCACGAACGGGAAATCAACTTCCGCAGAAAGTGAAACTGCTTGCTGGTCCGCGTTTTCTTTTTCCTTTCTTTGTCTGTCTCTTTATATATGGAAGAATGAGCGAATATAACTATGTGTCAACTACGCAGCCACCAACCGCGATCCATGGTACAGCAAGAGGCAATTTCCTCGTTCCCAATGAAGAATGTTTGATTGTCAGGTACGCTTACCTTGCTTTGATCGGAACATTTTGCGTTTTATATTTTCACTCTCACTGACACGGTCCAAAAAACAAGCAAGAGCACACGAATAGAATTCTATAAAATTACCAGTACTGGATTATCACTCGAACTTGAATTTGGAGTCTTTGGTCGCGTTGAATCCCTTGCTGTTTGCAATGCCTCTGTAAATGAACGCCTATTCAACATGAAAAAAAAGGAGGAGGTGGGGAAACCAAGTTTTATGCGTCTCCTTCTTTCCCGCTAACTCCTTCTGTCATACATTTTTATAGTCTCGAGAACGTTGCTCATTATTCATTCTTACGGATCAAGATCAATATTGTGTCTTGAGCTATGACCCAGTGAATTCGTCTGTGGTCACTGACAGTTCCGGAAAACTCGAACCCGAGATCACACGGCCGGTGGAAGACCCTATCATCATTACAGCGAGACCAAGGAAAGATGTGGTGATTGCCAGTATTCACGGTGGATTCCTTCATGTGTTTCCTATCCAATCACCCAAATCGTCAAAAGGAAAAGGCAAGGCTGTGGGGAATAGCCAGCCGTTCTCAGTGAGGTAATTCAGATCAAAAGTGTAAATCTTATAGGTAGTGTGCTGTTGGATAAGGGGGGGGGGGCGGTCATGTTGTCTAAACTAAAAAAGAACGGCCGTATGATACACAGGGTAACGGAAAGCCATATTTTGTCAATGGTGGTGTTGGAGAATCCAGAGCGGCCTGTGGTTGCGGTACTCTATGTGGATGAAAGGGAAGTGCGACGCATAAAGACATACGAAATCAACCTGCAAGGGCGAGATCTGTTTGATCGACGAAGCAATGGTATTGTAGCAGAAATCGAGGTGGATTCGAGTGATCACTTTTTGGCCGCTGTTCCTGCACCTCATGGTGGATTGCTCGTCATTGGAGAGCTCATGATTACTTATCATAATATGCGTGAGGATACACGCAACACAAGCAAATCAACCAGTATCAACTCAATGGTACCCACAGCGTATGTATACTATGAGATATGTATACTATGAAAAGGAAAAAAATGAGCGATATCTAATACATCATTCTTGTAATTCGATTCAGGTACGAGTTCCTTGGGCCGAATACTACAGAATGCTTAATAGGCGATTCTTTTGGCAATCTGCTTCATTTGAACCTTACCATGAATTACAGCAACAATATATCTGACTTGACAGTAAACTTATTGGGAAAGGTAAATAAGAGAAATTAGGGGGAGCGTGCTATGTAGGATGGTTTTTGGCTTTCTAAAACCCGCATCTCTCATTAGACTTCTGTCGCCTCTTCCATCACCTATCTCGGCGACGACATGGTATTCATCGGATCTGCGTTGGGTGATTCATCCATGATCCAACTAAAAGAGAGGGTGGGCGATACTACTTTATTGGATGTGATATACGAAATGCCAAGTTTATCCCCAATTGTGGATTTTTGTGTCTTTGACCTTGACAAGCGTGGACGCGTAAGTGTTATCCCATTCAGTGAAGCCAAATTGGATCTAGCACATCTAACAACACCATCATTTCCCGCTGGTTTTTTTTTGGCTCCTCGTACTATTAGCAAACCTTGGTATGCTGTTCAGGAGGACCGAATAATGGATCACTACGTGTTGTACAAGAAGGCGTCGGGTTTATCGAACAAGCTGCACTTCCAATCCCGGGGATCAAGAAATTATGGTCACTGAAGTCAAAGTAAGCTTTTCTCTCGATCATTTTTTTTTCTCTCTCATTGTAAATGATGTGTGTGTTTTTTTAACTGAAAAATATATGTAGGGATGTGGACGACGTTTTGATTATATCAACTGTTCACGAAACACGTGTGCTGTACATACCGCCTGGCGAAAAGATGATGGAAGAGATGGAGCTATTTTCGGCAATGCGAATGAACGAGACGACCTTAGCAGTTGGATCGGTTTCGGAAGGAAAGTTTCTCCAGATAACGCCATCCAGTGTCCGTTTGATCAAAAGCAATGTTGCTGGCGAGCTAGTGAGCGAATGGCAGCCACCGTCCGGCGAAGTTATCACTGTTGCAGCAGCCAACGCAACCCAGTGTGTCGTATCGCACGGAAATGGTACCCTGGTATACATCCAAGTTGCTGGCGATGGTTTATCAGAAAAAAGGTATAGCCATATGGATTAATTAGGAGAGCGATGACACATTCTGTTTCAGAAAAAAAAACTAATCAAATCGTACGTGTGTGTTTACAATCTATAGCTCAAAGAAATTCGAGAGCGAAATTTCGTGTCTGGATATAAGCCCAGTGGATGATGGCTCACTTCCGGCTGCTTACGTCGCCATTGGTCTATGGGGTGGCGAAAATTTGCAATTGGCACGGCTACCGGAATTACAAGTAGTTGCAAAAGATGTGCTTCCTGACAAGTTGGTGCCACGGTCCGTGTTACTCGTGGGCTTAGAAAAGATTGATTATCTTATGGTGACATTAGGTAATTTTCCTCTCTTTTCTTTTTCCTCTCTTTTCTTTTTCCCGTTTGCCGATGCATGTGCCAGAATTCTGTATTCACATAGTGTGACTGATCTGTATATAGGCGATGGTCAAATGATTTCATATACACTTGATGAGGGGTCGTTCACGAATCGACAGGAAATTACACTTGGCACGCATTCTGTCAGTCTTCACGTCATATCCCAAGATGCCAAGAAGAGCGTGTTTGCTGCATCAGATCATCCCACTATGATCACAAGTGAGCATGGACAATTGATATATTCTGCTGTCGATCTCAAGGTATGTACATACAGATAGATTTACGAGGATTTTAGACTATCTTTTTCTTGTATGCAAGAGTTTCGATGGCAGGCAAAGGAGTCAAGATGAGATTAATTTACCAATTCCTCAACTTGTACAAATAAGGATGCCCGAGCATGTACGACATTCAATAGTACAATTATGCGAAAATGTCTCTTGCTTAGCACGGGTGATAAGCTTGTGTTTGGAACGGTAGACCCTATGAGAAAGTTACATTACACCAAAGTTCCATTGGATGATCAGATGGGCCAACGTCTGGCATACCACGATCATTCGAAAACAATTGCAGTGGGTACTTCACGAACCGTTCGAAATCAAGACAATGGCTCAGAATACTCAAAAGGATGGTTACGTATATTTGATGCAAGAACTTTTCAAGGTAAAATGAAATGATGCAAACGCACTCTCATTTATTGCTGTTACAATATGCTCCCGAAGAAGGAAAAATTTGCTATTGTGAATATAGATGACGACATTTAACAATATATATATATAGTGCTGGACTCCCATGCTCTTCTCGAGCAAGAGCTGGTCGAAAGCATAACTACCGCATACATTGACGATCTTGAACAGGAATTTGTGTTTGTGGGAACGGCTATTACACACAACGAGGAAGAAACACAACTTACGGGTAGAATCCTTGCTTACCAAGTCGCACCTACGGGCGAATACAAGCTAGTGGATGCATTTAATGTACCTGGCGTAGTATACTGTATAAAACCATTCATGGGCTCCATAATTGCTGCAGTAGAAGGCTCCGTGAGTTTTTCTTCTTTTCTTTGGCTTTCATCAGTATCACCTTACATGCTAACATAATATATGTATATGCAGCTATATTACCTTGAAAAACTCAAACTTGACGAAGAATCCGGCAGCAGATTGAGCCTCGATATGAAGCTGCATGCCAATGTCGAAGCATTGAGCATTGACACTCGAGGCGAATTTATTCTTGTGGGTGATATGATCCGCTCCATGTCATTAGTCAAACTACAAGACCCCTCCAATGCTACTTTCCAAAAGGTCGCTGCTGATTATAGTCCATGTTGGATGACGTGCGTCAAAATATTACAAGATGATATCTTCCTTGGTGCAGAGACATATTACAACCTCTTCACGGCAAAGCGAACAGCGGAAATTGACAGTGAAGATGATTCTGCGCATTCGATGCATTTAGATATAGTAGGCGAATATCATCTTGGTGATCAAGTCAACTGCTTCCGTGAAGGTAAATCTATGTCTTTACCAAACCGAAAAGATTTTTAATTTATCAAAAGAGAGAGAAAAAGTGTGATTGATTTCATTCTGGGCCATGTAGGATCATTATCACAATGGGCGACAAAAGCAGGGGCTGAGCGTCGGCCGCCTGTAACCAACGTGCTATACGCGACTGCCAATGGTGCCATTGGTGCAATTCGATCACTTACCGAGGAGGAGTACAAGTTCTTGTCTCTGGTGCAAACAAACCTCTTATCAGTGGTGCAGAGTATTGGCAACTTTGATCATCACAGCTGGCGCATGTTCAAAAATTCAACAAAGACAAGTGAGATGCGCAACTTTATTGACGGTGATCTGATTGAAAACTATCTCAAGCTGACGCCAGAGGAAAAGCAAAAAGTTATTCAAGGAGAAGGTCGCGGAGAACCTCTTTCATGTACTGCCCGAGAGCTTGACGTGACGATAAGCAATATGAATCGTGGCGTCTAACTAGGATCAAGTTATGTGTTTCTCCCTTTCGCTTCTCCTCCTTCATCTCTTGATATTATTATGACGGTTGTTTTCACCGTCTCAGTTCCTCATCGTGTCGTGGTGTGTTCCTCCAATGTAAATACTCTTTATACCGTCATTCTTTAAACCAAAAAAAAGTGTCTCTGGAATAAAAAGAAATTCCCATTCTTACCAGATATACAATGCTGTTGCGCAGGCAGTTCCGCTCCCTTCCGCGAACAATCAATCACATTTATACCTGTCACCACGATGATTTTGATGTTGTTGTTTTTTGTCGATTTTGGCAAGTTTGGATTATATGCTTATGATTGACAACGATCACGCTTGAATTTATGTTACATAGCGGCCAGCAATAAGATGTCTATCGTTGCTTTTCTGGGAAAACCAGTCAATAATATATACAAATGATCGACACCTCAGTTAATAATGCATATATTCTAAGGTGTCACACTTACCGAAACTATAAAGTGTGCTACGTCGATGGCATAATAGATATCCACTTTTGTGACAACGAATATCACAAGTAATTTATCATCATGAATAGTTTTACTACTTTAATTTAAATGGCTTTTATGAGCATGAATGACCGTCGTTGAATAGCGACAAGAATTGGTCGATCAGGTGGGTTAAATGAAGATTGGGAGACCTCAAATGTATGCTGTTATTTCCTTAACAAATCATTGTTGTTCAATTTCCGGATTTGTTAAATTGTTACTGCTCCAACAAGTGAATTTGTAACCAGGGCAACTGCCCACTTTTTGTTTTAACTAGGTGACCGATAAGTAGGCAACATGAAATGATAAAATTCAAGTTGGGGGAGGGGCAGCAGAACAGCAGTGGGGGTGCAATCAATCGCGTGGTGACCATACACAGAGAGAGAGAGAGGGTGTGTGTGTGTGTGACAGAATAGCATTGGATGTCAAATGGTAATAATAAAATTACATCCGCATGGTTCAAAGTCTGTGTCACACTATTGAGCACTTGGACCTATCCCTAAAAAGTCACAGCAAATGAAATGAATTTTAGATACACACAGTGCAGGTGCAGCCAGCAGTAATATAATAATATTTGTCCGCAGGCACCAAATCAGTCCCACACAGCATCTTAAACACGCAGCTTTCTCTCTTGCTCTTTTTTTTTTCTTACTCTTTCCGTTTTTTTTCTTCCAACAACCACCTTGTTTTATTTTTGCGAGGAGACTCATTAACAACCACCTTCAGCAACAACGACTGCAGCTTATTCAAACCTCCTTCGCTCGTCGTCGTTCTTCTCGCCGTCGTCGTCTTACTCCTCCTCCTCCTCCGGAAACGAATTCAATGGAGTGCCTTCATGCCAAAATTGACAAACTTAATTACCTTTGGACATCCCTCGGATCCCCTCTTGATTCCACGACAGTGTCTCTAAAGCTACAGGTAAGCAAGTCTATACACACAGACGCTCTCCTTTTTCTTTTTTACGCCTTTGAGACTACTGCCCAGCAACGGAAACAACAACACTGATTTGTAACATATTTTCAGTACGTCTATTATGAGCTGGATCGATTGATTGAATATGAAGAACTTCAACGACGGCTACTTGGTGCAGATATTGAGGACATAATGGTAATAATTTATCTATTACTGTCTAGGAAGGGGAATTGTGCTATAGTACTAGGTAGTGAGATACACACACAGAGAGAGAGAAAGAGAGTAGAGGGGCTGTGTATACCCTCACGGTTGGGATGCATAACAAAGATACCATAGTTCCAAGCCTCCACTATATTAGACTATGCTAACGATAAATATCTCTGTATCTACGATATTAACACGAACTTTATCATATCATGTACTACTACTACTACTACAACAACATTAACCATTAGGCAAACATCGAATACTCTTGCAGCATTTTAGGAGTGTCCATTGAAAATATCTTGACATCCGACTTGTGCAAAGAGGGATTATTCGACGATGTCATGATACCAATGTCCTCTTTGTCACACCCGACGTTTGCCCGGCAAAAAACATTACTCGAATTAGACTCCAGACTGACTCATGTATGCATAAGAGATGATAATCTTTCCGTTTGGAATGTTCACAAAGAAAAACAAAAAGCACTTGTTTCTTCTCTCTTACAGTACACGCAACTTCATATAGGAGATTTACAGACGACGTTCACATGTAAAAGGCTGGCTGGAACGAATTGTTGTGTTATCAGCCCAACTGGAAGCACATAATCCTTTCAAACCATATCAGGTAACCCATTCGTTCCAGCTTCTTCACTTTATGCTTTTGCATAAAAATAAGAAAGAAGCCCACTGACTTTTGATGTTTGTGCCATCTTTTATATTTTGCAGGAATACGAAGAAGAACTAAGTTGGGGAACAGTGCAATCGGTATGTTAGCAGATAGCAACAGCAACAAAAAAGAGCTTGGTGTTCTAGTGGGGTATGACGATAGATGTGTGAGTGTGTGTATGTGTACAAAGTCCTAATCCTTACATCTTATGCTCCCTCAACTCCTTGTCTTTCCCCTTATTTTTTTTTAAACCTGAAACTCCTAAAATATTCGGGGGAAAAACGATATTGCAGATCAGTTGCGCCTTGCGTGATTTACTTCAAAAACAAGTAACGTGCTATTTACGATTTCTCAGTACACGTACACAAAACAAAAACAAAAACTCAAACTACTTCTTTCTATCAGGCCACGCGTCGATACGATTTCGAAGAATCCGCACGAAAAATTCATTATTATTGGACTGTGCTAGACATCACTCCAGATACAAACGATCTTATCGATCATGGTTTAGAACATCTGTTTTCAACTGTTCCTGTGGACACAGATATCTTTCAAATCGACGAGGTACCCATCCTCGCCGACCTCATTAACTCCCACAAGAAGACATCCGGCCAAAGAGGAGAAGGGGATCGACAAATAGTAGAAGCAGTAGATGATGGCAATGACGATGGTTATTGCTGGATCTACTACAATCATGTCAAAGATGACAATAATCATTTACGGTCGGCAGAATCAATTGAGGTGCTCAAAGCGAAAGTCATCGAACTTCATGACATTTATAAGCTTCGACTAGAACGATACAACAGATATGTAAAAAGTATCAATACGATTTATGACGAAATCAAAACGCCAACCAACAAACGATTGATCCTACGCCCATCCCTGAGCGGCGCGTATTTGCAAGAGGTAAACAATAACAATGATAATTATAGTAACAAACAAAACACTCTTCGACATCTTTACGTCTTCATACTGTACACATGTATGCAATTGGTACTAACTGTTGTGACTAGTTACGTGGTGAATTCGATGAGCTCAAAGATGTAGTACGCAAAATGGCAGAAGAATATATTGACAAGGTAAAACTCCATTACTTGCCCAATTTTTCTTTTTCACTCTCCTTTACTATTCGAGCTACTGATGATGTACTAAAACCTGCCCCCTTTCTATCTTCCTGTTCCGATTTTCAGTTCAGGGAGAAGCTCGAGGATCTGTGGGATAAAGCGCTATTAACGCAAAAAGAACGTGTTGAATTTATCGCCAAGTTGCATGAAAAAGGTAAAGCTCGTGGGGCACATTTTACGATGAAAGAAAGTGACATATTGTCTGCGGTCTTCTAACAATGTTTCGTACATGTACATGATGTTAGCCGACACGATGGATGAGGTTCACTTACTGGTTGACGAACACATCAAATATCTACAACGTGTACAGCCCAAAGCAATAACCGTAGCACGGTTAATGAAGCAACGAAGAGAACTTATACAGGTAAAAAGGAATAGCTGCGACACAATTAGCATATCTGCTTACACAAACACATGCTGGGGGTGTTCCATTCCCCCTGGTTTCTTTTCTTAGAAAATGATCGATTTTGAAAAGACAGCCTCAGACCCAAAAAGATTGTTCCAATCATCGTTCCAGCTCGTTGAAGAGGAGCGATGGAGGAAAACATGTTTCCCTACACTTCTGATGCTCGATGATGCCCTCCTAAAAGCCGTACAAGAGTTTGAGCGTGTCTCTGGAAAGCCATTTATTTACGATCACTGTAGATACTTGGATACTCTCGTAAGTAATAGCAATCATAGAAACGAGTTTGAAAAAAACAAATCAAAAGAAGCGAGTCTTCTGTAGATATTTTCACGGTTAATTTTCTCACCATCCTTTATATCTAACCCATACAAATTAGCGTGACGAAATTGCCGATCGTACTGCCAACCAAACCTTCTTTGGCTTTTTAAATACGGATCCAAAACCATCTTCATCCGCTATCACGCGAAAAGATTCTCGATCAAAACTACGCGCTGCAACTCTCAACGTAGCACCAAACTCACCCATAAAAAATAACATGAGTAGCAATGCATCCAGTAGAACTAATAGCACCGGAAACTACAGCAACAACAAATGTCCTCCTTCGCCCACGTCAATACCTCCTCCTCCCGCTAAACGTAGATCACTTATTCGCCACTCGAGCAAAAGCGAACTGGCAACACCCCGTAGCTCTAAATCAACGTTTACTCAGTTACTATCTAATGCAAAATATATGCCACCCACGCCACCCGCTGAGCCAGCTTCAAAGCACGAGTATGTGAACAACAACAAAAGAAGTCGTATACCGTGTCCAGTAAAAGCAAACAACATGGAACATGGTACCACTGCTTCTACTACTACTACTACTACTACTACTACTACTACTACAGCTGGCCTTAACAATGTAGCTAGCAATCAACAACAGCATTCATCACCAAGCAACAGTCAATGGAGTAATATTGGTAGTTCGGATCAAGGCAACAGTGATGGCGAAGAATTGGAATCATCCATGGCATCTCACATAGAAGCATCATCCATATCTGCCGTATCAACGTGCTGAAAACAAAAAACATTCTCCCTTTTTATTCTTTTTCTTTATACCCTAGCGCACATACTCGCACTTGCACTCACACTTACTCACGCACCTACAATTTCTCACTCACCTATCAAAACCTTCCAACAACTTGTCTTTTTTTTTTTGCATCTGTCATACTCATGTATAAAATAAAGCGCAGCAAATTCAAATGTAAAATTGATATGGGCACGTGGCAACCTAGCTGAATTCTGAGAGATATGAAGCTCAGCGAATGAATGCAAGGTACCATCACCTCGAACACTTTCTGTCGTCTTTATTTAAACAATTAATATAGAATGGATTTAGTGAAGGCTGTCCAGCATTATGTGGACAAAATGGTCAATGAAGTCCCCGGCATGAAGGCATTATTACTTGATACAGACACGGTAAATATATTTCCTCTCCTTTCTTCCCTTGCGAGTACGATTATGCAAAAATAAAAAAAAAGCTCAATGATTACACGCTTACTCTGTTTCGCTACAAATAGACGCCAGTTGTATCACTCGCTACAACACAATCTACATTGCTTACAAAAGAATGTTATCTTATTGATCGCATCGACAACCGTAATCGCGACAAGATGCGACATCTCAAGTGTATATGCTTTTTACGTCCAACACCCGAATCGTTACGATATTTGATTGACGAACTACGCGAACCAGCTTATGGCGACTATTATATCTGTATGCTTTTTAAACATCACATACGTTTTATGTGTATCTAACGAAGAAGGGTACATAGATTTTAGCAATACTTTAAATAAATCGGATATCGAACGGCTGGCCGAGATTGATGAGCATGAAGTAGTACGAGAAGTTCAGGTAAAAGGACAGGGTTTTGATTATGCGCGTGTGTAGAAGCGCGTATTTTGTAAATGATGGATGTATACTTTACTACGGATATTAACTTTTGGTTGTGCAGGAATACTTTGGCGACTACCTCGCCATTAATTCCGACCTATTTTCTTTGGGCATGGACGGACGTAACCTTTTTGGCGAATCTATAACTACTTGGAGCACAGACGCATTCCAGCAATCCGTACGCGGCATATGCTCTGTATTATTGAGCTTGAAAAAGAAACCAGTTATCCGCTACGAAACTGCTAGCCCGATGGCCAGACAGCTTGCGCAGGAAGTCCAGAAAAACATTCAGCGCGAGGGCCAGTTATTCGATTTTAGAAGACCCGATACCCCACCTGTTTTACTTATCCTCGACCGTCGCAATGATCCTGTTACTCCCCTCTTGTCTCAATGGACCTACCAAGCCATGGTACACGACTTGATTGGCATTCACCATGGTCGAGTGGATCTTTCGGACGTTCCTGATGTCCGAAACGAGCTAAAGGTACTTGATCAGGATATTTCTGGTAGAAAAAAAAAAGTCATTCAAGAAAGTTGAGATGAATACACTTACACATGTTGGATATCAGGAAATTGTTTTGTCCGCCGATCAAGATCCATTCTTTAAGAAATCCATGTACCTCAACCTCGGCGACTTGGGTGCCAACATCAAGCAATACGTAGATGAATACCAATCCAAGACGAAATCCAATATGAACATTGAATCGATTGCGGATATGAAACGATTCGTCGAAGAATATCCAGAGTTTCGTAAGCTATCCGGCAATGTATCCAAGCACGTTGCTCTCGTCAGTGAGTTGAGTAGACGAGTCTCTCAAGAACATCTGCTGGAGATTAGTGAACTGGAACAAGGCTTGGCATGTAACGAGAATCATAATAGCGATCTCAAGGTAAAAGAAAAAAATATTGGGGGAACGTCTGCTTTGCTTTATTTCCAACAGAGAATAGCTACTGATCATGTTCATTACAAACAGAACGTACAAAAGATGTTGGAGAGTGATCAGATAGCGGAGGATGCAAAGGTGCGGTTGGTGTTACTTTATGCTTTACGCTACGAACGGACGCCAAACAATGCGATCAAATCGCTAATCGATTTGCTGGATCGAGTTGGCGTGAGCGAAAAGAAGAGTGCAGTAAGTTGTTGTTGTTACCTCTGGATATCAAAATAACGACGCAAGAAGGGAGATAGAGAGAGGCTTAAGAACTGTTTATAGCTGGTCGCATCTGTACTGATGTACGCCGGTTCAGAGCAACGTCAAGATGATCTGTTTTCGAATCAAACTTTCCTATCTCGTGGACGAAACGTGTTGAAAGGATTAAAGGGTGTTGAAAATGTGTACACGCAGCATACTCCATTGTTAGGAGAGACATTGGATATGTTGATTAATGCACGTTTGAAGGAAACCAGCTATCCGTTTGTGAGTGGGCAATCACAGGCAATTCGTGAAAGGTATAAACTATACTGTTTTTTTTCAAATGTGGTACAAACACCAGGTAATCCAAACAATAATATTCTAATTTCTTTTCCTTCTAGAGCACAAGACATCTTTGTGTTCATTGTTGGAGGTGCGACATTTGAAGAAGCGCGCTATGTGGCACAATTAAATGCAGCAACGCCAGGTGTTCGAGTTGTGCTAGGAGGAACGTGCATTCATAATTCATCAAGGTAAGGTTGGATGCTATTTAAAAGCTTGCGATAAGGTAACAGCACAACTAACTAAAAACATCTCTTTCCAAATCAGTTTTATGCAACAGTTAGATGCTGTTGGTCAAAAGGGCATGAGTTTATCTTCAGCTGCACGGCGACTAGGCCATTCTTGAGATAAAAAAAAATGTATTTGCTTGACAAAAAAAATCATTGTGAAATGATCTAGTGTATGATACAGAGGAGAAGAAAAAGACAAAGAGAGTAAAACACAGAAGACAAATTACGAAATGCGTGTGGGTTTGTTTTTTTGTAGTTGGAGTGTGGGTAGTGTTCGTATGTATGGTGTGTGCGTGTGCGTTGTTGAGTTCGAGGTGGTTTGCGTGTGAAAAAGCTAGGATGGCGATAAATGTGTAATAACAATTATTAAATCAAAGAGGCAAGTATAAAACATTTATGAGTACGTATCGACCAAGGTATCGCGGAGTTCGTTCACAATAGCAGTAGGCTGAGCGTCCTGCAACTTGAAGATGCTTTCCATGACGCTGAGCTCGGTCGAGGTTGTATCCATGCCAGTAAAGGCAGACCAATCGTTGACGACACAGCCAGCACCAATCACATCCGAACCACGGTTGACGGTACCAGCGACCAAGGGGATCTGGAGCAAAGAAGACAATTCGTCTTGATCCTGGATAGAAGTGCGAGGATGCACCAAACCGCCCTGGTTGCTCAAGGCACAGTAAGATCCGACCAAAACGTTGTCGGCAACGGTCTGGCGGAACACTTCGACTTGCAGGGTGTCTGCAATAATTTCTTCTGTTTCTCGATCAATGTCTGGGTGGCAGAGAGCGACATAGTCGTTGCAGGCAATCACGTTGCCAAGGGCCGAAAGACGTTCTTCCACGCGCTGTACGGCGACCTTTTCGGGCAGCGAGTTGCGCAAGTGTTGCAGTTCCTGGTCAGTGGTCGTGCTGGGCACCAACAAGCCGTTCTTGTTACCAGCGGTAAGACGTCCGACAATTCGTGTACCAGCAATCGATGTATGAACAACAGGAATAACATCACCCAACTCTCCTTCAAATACACTATATAGAGAGAGGAGGAAAGATCGTCGTAGATTAGTACGTTATTCCACGATAGATTGTTATTTTTACCACAATTATTATCACAATTTATACCTGTAAAAATTTTCTGATCCTCCTAAAGCGACAAGGCAGTAAGAGTTGGTAAGGCGAGAGAATACGCCAATTTCGTTGCTGTTTTCGAATTGTGCACCTGAAAAGCAATCATGCTGTTAAAATCACAATACAAAATGTAGGATATACGTGTGTGTGGTTTATTATGGGTGAGATTACTTACGGACTGCCATTGAGATAAAAGTAGCTTTGAAGTGAGGAAAAAAATGTCGCTGAGACTTTTCGCCGAGTTTATAAATGATTTTTTTTTTTCCAATGTTCCGCAGCCACAGCCGGCCTTAATAAGTGCTGCGGTCAAGCGGAGGTTGTGGGAACCCACATTGCTTGTTAGTGTAAATTGATACGTTTCTGTTGCTGCGAAACAAATTTCGGGCGGGCTTGTTGCCCCAAATTCAATCATATCAGCTGCTGCGACACATCTTTAGGGGGCACTTATTGCTAACTCACTTGCGACATGCTACATACTAAAAAAAACAATAATCGGAAGATCAACATCTTCCCACTTTTCTGTATGGATTCTCGGTGCTGCATACCCTGTGTAGCTCGGTGGACTTTTATTTTATGGATAAAATGGTATCAGGAAACAACGAATATATACGAAGCTTCTTGGAATCTTTCACACTAAAGTGACTAAAAGGTAGAGAGGTGAAATGATGCAATTATTGAACATTTTAATAATAATAAGAATGAAAGGACCAGCGCGTAATGTAATATATTTCGCAAGGGAAAAGAGAGATAGAGAGCAAAAAGTTGTAGTTGAGAGAAAGGTGTTGTTGTGTAGGGAGAGGTGGAGTATGATAGTAGCGATAGTAAAGACACTCTTCAATGGTCGACTAAATGCATAAAAAAGTATATAAAGAAAGGAAGGAAAGTGATATCGTGTGTGAGTGTGTGGAAGGGGTGTTTGAAGATGGCAAAATGATGTGTGGGGGGGCAATTTCCATTTCACGTATTTTACAAGCCAGATTCCTTTAATCGTCGTGCGATTGTGTCTTCTCCACGTTCACTATTCGAGTGGTCCAACGTAAGTTAAAAAAAGCATCGTTGATAGCAGAGTTACAACAGAGATATGGTTAACAACTGAAAGAGAGTGACGTCTTCCATAATACTTACCGAGGTTCTAATGTTAAGCTCAGGTTGTACAGCGTTTCTTCATCTCTACTTGATTGTAAATGCGTCTTGATGAATTCTTGTATGTCAGGAACAGCCTGTAAAAGATACGGTGTCGACTGATATTGCTGTAGTTCACGAATGACTTCAGCCGTCTTCATTCGTTTTCCAAAATTGATCAAATGATTGGACTTTTTCAAATAGTTGCTGTTGCCGTCTTCAATAAATGTAAGATCTTGGAGGTAAATGCCGAGGAAAGGGATACAAGGTGGATTAACCTTGTGGATTATATCTCGATATTCGTTAAAGTTTTTGTTGGCACCCATCAATCGTCGGATACCGGTGAGTGTTTGTGTAGTACGTGCATTCATGAGCTAAATTATAGGGATTTGTGAGTTACAGGTTTCTGGAATGACTAGCTAGTTTTCTTGTCACAAAAGAACTCTTAATTACCTCCCAAGTCCGCTTCATTCGACCGATGGAGCTGTTGTCAAATGCAGAAAGGATGGCCATGCAAGTATTGTAGTTGTTGAGTAACCGACATTTCTAGGTTATGTCCATGTACCAATGAAAACGAGTTAGGAGGACTGATCTCTCAAGGATAAAACTCATAAATGCTTTGAAGTGATCTGAAAGGCATAAAATGCTAGTCTTTACCTCAGCAACGGTAATCCAATGCTTCACCACAGCAGCTCTCTTTTTCACTTCATCTTTGCTTAAAATTGAGTCGGTAACCCAAGCAGTCACTTGATTTGAATATTCAATGGATGCCTTGACATTGGCAGCAACATTATCAGCGTCGCCTTTACCCCAATTCTTGTCCAAACATTCGACGGGCTTGATACGACTGTAGAGCTTGGAGTCCATGATCGTCAGTTGTCGCGCTAATTCAAGCGGATCGATATCCAAGAACCGTAATCGCTTCATGTTTTTTGGAAGGATGGGTTGTGGCATATCCGAAGCACGCACGTTCAATGTCATTTTCTTGATTTGGCCCGCATCATCTGTATCCATACGCTTTCGGATAAGTTTGATGAGCTGTTCGGCGCCGAATTGCATTGATTCGCGAACAATGTTGTCGTTGAATTCGTATAGCAATGGTAGCATGGGTCTATCTTCCTCTTCGTTGTAATAGTGTTCTAGCCATGATTTAAGCACGTTGAACACCCTAGTGAAATTCCAGCAATAACAAGAAGATAATATGTTTTAGTTGAGTCCGATAACTCTGCTTTAATCGAAAAGATTTTTTCCTGCTGATAACAAAGAACTTACCGGAGTCGAACAAGCTTAAGCTTTTTCTCTTGCCAATTTTCAAGTTCTTCTTGTGTCAAATCCATCGGTGGTGGTAGAGTATATCGTTTAAAAAGCGCATCAAATAGTTCTGGGGTGGTACAAAACGAGCGGTAGGTGAGAAGGAAAGTAGTAATAAATTTAGAATCTATATAGTAGATGCAATGGCGAAAAAGCGTTAGTCATATTGCTGTTACGGAATTACCGAGTAAAGAAGAAAGTTCTTTACCAAGCTGGTCGTGTTGAGTAAGTCTTTGGACAAGTGCAGTAACTGTGCCACCTTTGACATTGCCTTCCATGTTAAATATGATTTCATTTGGATTATATTCCGAGCCGAGATAATCCGATCGCTCAGAAGGCGGCATGTAGGCGCTCGTTGATGTGGATGGCAAACTCCCAGGACTGGATATGCCTGGTGTGCTGATGATTGTATCTCGGCGACGTGATGCGGCAAGGGTATCTTCCCCAAAAAATTTGGCGAGTTTGTCCTTTGGTTGTTGGCGTGATTCTACAAAATCGTCGATTGCTGAATCATTGCGATCAAATGTGGTTTCTGCAGTCGTTGGGTTTCCACCAGCCGTGTTGGCCAATCGTCGTTCTTCATCAATACCGTCCAAGCGACTGATCCTGCTGGGAGGACCAGCAGCAATGTTATTACCGGTAATAAAATTGGGGCGTGTTGCATAGTCATGGGATGGCCGACGGCCAGCGCCGGGTTGTTCCATGGTAAGTGATGTTGGGGGTGATGGCACTGGTCCTGTTGCTTTGGTTGAAGCTTCCATAGCAGCTTGATGACTGACACTGCAAATATCTTGAACGCTCGCTTCAATCGTTTTGACGCTCGTTTCTATTCGATCAAAAATGACCAGAATTTTTTCAGCAGCAATGTCTTGATTAGTGATGCTTTGAGATGCAATAAATAAGGACCCCATGGCATTATGAATGGACTGTTTGGAGGCGTTGAATCGTGACGTGCGGCCTGCCAGATGGCCATTGCTGATATCTTCGACCGAATTTAAGAACTGGCTCGTTGTATTGCTGAGGTTACGGAATTGTGCGACTAACAGCGGTGTGGATGACTGGATTTTGGCCAAAACAGTAGCGTCATCTGCGACCGTGAATGCTTCTCGAGCACTGTCCATAAATGACGCTATCGCACCGTGAACATTGTCGGCAAGTACAAGGAGCGTCGTCATGGCATCGGGTTTGTTGCCATTCATACCAGACGTCGTTCGCCATCGCGAGGTTGACGTTCCTTCTCGTAAAAGCTTAGGTTTGCTGTCATGTACTTCAATCCGCATTTCCTGTGCTATCGTCAAAAAGTTGCGCACGGCCATCAGTACTTCGTCGGCATCTAGCTGCAGTTTTCCAATCGCTTCAGACGGTGGCCAAGCACCTGAGGCTACTCTGGCGGACAGAACAAGTTTGGCGAGTGCTGCGAGTAGTGCTCGGTGGTAGGTTTTCAATTGCTTGTTAATTTTGAGATACGGTGAGCTTTCCTTATCCACCGAGTTGGAGACATAGAGGAGGAGTCGGATATGTTGGACTACGAGTAATGCGTCTTCGCGGAAAAGGCCGATCTGGCCTTGTTTGACTGAGCCTTTTAAATTACGGATAGCGTGAGCGATCAATGCAGACAGCTGACCCCATGACTGGGGTAACTCGGCCCTATTGCCATGACCGCCCATTGTTGCTAAACTAAGTCGCATATCGTCTGCGCTCCGTGTTTGAGGTGAAGCAGGCGTAAGCTAGCGATGTATGTCATGCCTAATGAGTCTTTTGTTTGGATTGCTAAAGTGTTGCCCTTCTCCACTTTTCAGCCCAGTCGATAATACTTACCAGGGTACCGGATTGAGGATCAACATGATCTAGAGTCCAGGTTGTTTCATCGGTAATTAGGTTACAATAGTATTCTCGACCCTTGGGAGTTGATTTTCGTACCCAATTCGGTGGGAGCTGTAGTTATACGAGTTTCCAATTATTAATTACTGAGGAAAAAGGGGTGGGTGATAGGCCAAAGTTCTTTTCTTTCGTCGAGGATATAATAATATTAATAACCAATAAGAGAAATTTGGGTAAATGCTTGCCTGGTCATCATTGCCCGACCGGTTAGTACGGACACTTGGCAATGAATTAGAGCTCGATGTTGTTGTGCCCGCACTAATAAAGCTCTGACTATCAAAGGTCGTATTGGTAATACCACGCAAAGATCGCATCGGCCGCGTCTCGTCAAACTCGTCGTGATCACTGTTGAAGTCCCCACCAATACCACTGCCATAGTCGATCGATCGATAATTCTCGGATGCTGGAGGAGACATGGTAGGATCGTAACCATTAGTCGCTGTTGTCGGTGGTAGTTTGTACGTGGGATCATCTGTAGGAACAGAGTACCGCATTTCCTTGGTCACTACATTGTAGTAGTAGACTTCGGAGCCATCTTCTGTCGTTTGCAATATCCAATCGGATCGTTCCACTGGAAGTGGTTGCGGTATTTGCTGACTCTGATCAGTAGCGGGTGTCAGGACATCAGATGTTGCCAGGCTTAGCCTTAGATGGCGTTGTTGTTGTTGTTGTTGTTCGGTTTCAAGTGGTTGCTGTCTGCTTTGACGATGCGCACGTTTCTGTGTCCATTGGTCTTGTGTATGTGTTTGATGATGATGCTGATGATGATGTTGTGGTGGTGGTGCTTGTTGAAGGTTATTGTTGTTCCAAAATTGTGCGTCCTAGGATGACAATAGTTGGGAGACGAGGAGTAATAATGTGAATATTGCATTCAAGGAGTCAATGTTGTTGTTAATTGATTTGTTACTGTTGCCCGGGTCCATGTTATCAACTCAAAACAAGATCTTCCTTTACCTTGATATTTGATGCGTCGTCAGTTATGTCGTTGTTACTGTGGAGCGACTCGATGTTGCTGGTGTCTTCTGGGATAACTTGAACATAATTGCTTGGAAACCAGCCACGCTTCCCGTTGCACCTAATAAAACAGTTGTCTCCAAAATTAAATTGCACAACTCCAGCTAAAATAAACCCGAACAAAGCATATTCCACACACGAAAAGAAGGCTTCTTTCCTTCTATGGCTTCTGTGCTGTACTCGGGGCAGTAGTTACAGAGACAAAATATTATATTTACCAGCCGTCCCACCAGCCAGAGTCGAGTTGTGCCAGAACATCAATGACTGCTCCTTGTTCAAATGACAAAGACGAAGCGTCGGTCGAAACATATGGGTACAGTGCGCATACTCGGCAAATCACGTCGTTTGAACTCATGTTGCGTTTTCATATATTGGCAAATATTTAAAAAAAAGGACGACGTCTTTCTCTTGTTTCTTTTCAAAAAGTATCTTTTGTTCTTTGCCTCACGCAAAAAACAAAAAGAAGAAAAAGAAAAAGAAGCTGTACGTGTGTATGTATGTTTTGTGTGGTAGCTAGTGTAATGAAGAAAAGAAATGGCGGAAAAGAGGTTTTAGAAAACGAGAAGGGCCGTCTCTCTCTCGTTCAATTGCAAATGTCGGTAAACACGTTAGAATGGAAAGGTCGATCGGAGTAAACGAGGGGTGGGTGTGAGGTTTTGTTGGGAAGGTAAGTCCTTGTATTCCACGGTTGGAAAACAGAGAGAAGAGGGAGTAGAGGTTTTGCACAGAGAGAGAGAGAGAGAGAAAGGCGAGCGGTCAGGAGAAAAAAAGGCACAGGAGGTCGAGAAAGAAAGAAGAGGAAAAAGAGAGCAGCCCGGCTCAAGAGAAGAGCGCGATTACCCAACATGACGAGAGAAGTGCACACACATTGGGAACATATGGAGCCTCACGTAAAATGGCGATGGTTGCACAATGCAATTGTGTTCTTTCCTTTTTTGACATTTTTGTGCAAAGAATTCGATTAAACTGTGTGCAGATAAATATATATAGTGGGAAGCGCTCCAATGCTAATGGTATGCGGGGATGGTGAGGGGGGAAGAGATATATGTCGTGTGGATGTAGACAATGTGTGTGTTTGGAGACGGAAGAGAAAGAGGGAAAACACAAGCAATAACCAATGAAATAGGAACTACTAACTACTACTGCTAATAAATATGATCAATAAGTAAACTACCGAGAGAGCCACTAACGCGACCGGCGTGTCAGTTTTTTGTCAAAGGAAAAAAAAGCTTAATTTGCTGCTGTGAGAATTGCACTTGCTCCGCACTTTTCGAGAACCGTCGAATCCAGTACGCCCTGATTGACAAAGAACGTCAACAGCCTCTCCAGCAGTTCGAGTTGGTCGTTCAAGGAGAGGTTCCCAACGACCAAGGCCAGAATCTGCCCCACGGATTGATTGTACGTCTATCGTGAAACATTAAGTACATCTTGTTCCACAAACTGCTACATTACGCTATCCCTCCTGTTCATCGCCCATCTTTTCATACCTTGATAAAGCTCTGATAGTAGATCGATGCAAATAAGCCCATAAGGAACTGACAATCCATGCGATCCGTCATGCCTCCGTGTCCAGGGATGCTCTGACCAAAGTCCTTGATATGGAATGCTCGCTTAAGACCACTTGCAAAAAAGCCACCGAATGGAGCAATCAATGAAGCAAAGCAAGCCATGATCAAAGCGTGGATTTGTATAGGTGCAATCCAAATTTCTGACAAATGCTATTGAGGAAAAAGAGTCAGTTGCCTCCCCATATTGTAAATTTTGTACAAGGATCCTCTACCCCAAGTAAGTATCCCGCTCCCCTTCCTCTTCCGTACCGCATATTCCGTAATTGGGACCAGCGCTTCTGGAATTGCCCAAGGCTTAGCTGTGAACACTGGGTTCTTTGGGTTGCATTGTTCTGCCGCCCAAGCAGATGTTGCCAGATCCTGCAAGTCAACGAAACAGAATTAAGAGTGTGAGATATTCAGGGCGGGGAGGGGCAAATGATTCCCATGTTAATTTTTGTAGAGGAAGGCACACTACCTTGGCTGGACAAACCATGTAGTCAAACTGCATAAGCAAGGTGGCCCACTGCATTTATAACTTTACAATTAGCTTATCTTTTCAAATTCATCCCAGATCATGCCACATATAAGCCTTACCAAAAATCCAAAGACCAATGTACAGAGCCATGCGCCCAAGAATCCTTCAACGGTCTTCTTAGGACTGAGCTTAATAAGCTGTGTTCGGCCCCAAAAGAATCCGCAAACATATGCAAAAATATCGTTGCAGATCACCAAAGAGACTGGCAGCACAAACCTTCCAAATTTGTCTCTCTTTTGTTAGCATATACGCACTTGGACATTCACTAAATTATAGCTCTCTATCCAGCCCATCATCATATACACAACTTACCAGATTAATCCTTCAAGGATATTGTTCACGATAAAATGACTTTGGACAACAATCAGAATGAGTGCCATATGGGTCCAGCCAAACTGTGCAAATTGGCGCTTGTAAAGCCCTTTGCGTAAGTTGGCTACAAAGAATACGAAACCTAATGACAACACAGCCAATTTATCCCTTAACAACCCGTTGCATCCATAGTAATTGTTGCCTAGCAAGTACGACCTTTTTTATTTCCAATAGCAACCCAACAAACAACCGTAACTTACCAATAACGTAAAGTACAAAGCTAATGAATCTGTGATGGGTGGCGAATGGCAACAGAAAAGCGTCGACGAGAATTATTTCTTGGAAATAGTAGATGATCGACTCTCCATAAAAGAAATACATTGCTGTCACGAAAAAGTACCTGTACAGACAAAAAGCATTAGTGACCTTATTCTTCCTCCCACCTATTTGTTTACTCTAATGCCTTCTCCTTCAACTGTTTTTGTGGTTGTATAAACTACCAACCAAGAGCTGTTACGTTACCATGAAAGCGTCTTGTACCAACGCACTTGGCTTTCCTTAGCTGGGGCTTGTGCAATCTGGACAACTTCACCATATACTATAGTTTGAATGGCTGTAACCATCAAGACGATCCACATGTGGCCCGAGGCCAGAATGGTAAAGAAGGAACCAATCATCATGAACGTGGTAATAGTTCGTAGCCACCAGTTTTTCCATTTCTTTGCAGAAGATTCGGCAGCCAACATTACGGGTTCCTTTTCCTGTTCAAGATCGCCACCATGGTGCAAAGCGGCATCGTTATTCTTTTTACTGTTGCTGTTGCTGTTGCTGCTACTACCACCTAAAAAGACAGCTCGTCGTTTACCGCCACGCATAATAAATATTAATAATTAAAAAAGGAAGAAAACAAAAAAAGGTGTGTTGTTGTCTGTTCGCATTTTTTTTTTAACTTCTACTTTTTTTTCTTTGGGGGAGACGGTACGTTACACAGCTTTGCACGTGAAACGCTGTTTTTTAGTATTTCAGTTTTGGCACTCATGCGATGTTTGGGGGATGGGGGGAAGCGTGCAACAGAGATGTCCAGCGGAAGCCATAGAAGCAACAGCGCTCATGTCTAAAGATAATATTATGGATGTTGCGGAAAGTCAGGTAAAGATGTAAAATGCGATGGTGTTTGGCTGGTAGCGTTGAAGTGGGGAAGAGGTGACTTGGTATAGGAGAGAATTATTGGGTAACAGCAACGCGTACCGCAGGGCAATCGGAGAGTACTTTAGCTGTCTTGGTTTTACCGTCACGTGTAGCTCTGGTGGCCGTCGGCATAACCGATGGGCAAAAACAGCAAAACCATCCTGCAATACCATTGGATTAGAGAAGCTATATTCATTGCGCTTCTCGCAGACGTTGAGTCGAGATCGTTTATAGATTATAGCCTCCTCCTGTACCGGCTAGACCAACAGGCATAACAGTGCGCAGGTATTCGGATTCGATTTGTAGATTTTTGTATGTAATGCTTTTGACGTATTGGTAGTCCTTTCCCGCAAGCTCCGTATAGAGACGACTTGTTGCAACTTTACGGTCACGGCGTTCATTGAGGGCAGCGCTCGAATAATAAAACTTGCGTAGGCCGTCCGAATGTCGTTGCCTGACTTTTGCCTCTTCATAGTTTCTACAGGATCACAGATGCTAACGAAGCTGTTTTGCTGTAGGTCGTGGAGGGTATTCCGTACTTCTTCATCCTCAGGCTGTATATTCATGTAGTTCATAAACATTGTAGTAAGTACAGTTGTATACGTAAAGTGTCAAATGTGTATAGAATAATTTTGCATGAGCATACCTTTTCAACCTGTTTTCCTGTAATATTTGGATTTGATCTTTACGATTTATCGCGATGGATCATGTTGTCAACTAGACCCAGTGCAGTGTAGTGCTCCGTTTTTAGAGATCTCCTGTCGCTGATATCATGGAGAAGTTGTTACATCGCTGATCAACCACTGCCGTTTCAAAAGTGGTTGCTTCCACATGTAAAACCCTGTCGCTTGGGGTTGCTGTGCGCTGGTGGGTTTAATATACCACTTCCGGTCAACGTCGACGGTTCCTGGCGCTTCGCTGGAGTGGGTTGTTCTAATCCCACGCCCCCTCTCGCGTCGTATCTGATGGTGTGACATCCTTACGCGTGATTCGAAGCAGGTGAAGAGACGCTGAATCTCAGATCGGCTATTCATGGCTGTTGGCGATTGATTTGCTGTGTGTTGTAGAGTGTATCATCATCGATAATTGTGACTGTAACATCGTATCATAGATTTAATGATACGTCATAAGTGTTGTTGTCATCGCCGTCTCTTCATCTTCAGTGGTGCTGGCTGACCAGCAGCTTGATGCTATAATCGCCAAATGCTATAGAACACGAACTTTCTCTTTGTATTTGTAGTAACATTGTGCAGCAATACCTGCTCATTCGTGTTTGCTCGTCCTCGGAGCCTAAGATCTGAGAGCTTTTGCTGATACTACGGAAGTCGATGCTGCAGCAGCAACCTTTGCTGATCATGGATCCGTTCGTTGTTTGGCTTCTTCAGCATGTTTGGCGCTCGATCCAGCTAACACCTTGGAAAATGACAGCATTGCTGTAAATTAACTTTTCTATTAGCCAATATCTGTTACTTTCGAGAAATATTATCCAGCTTTCATTGACCTTGGCTCGTAGATAAAAGCTAAAGAAGGAAGAGAAAGAAAAAAGAGTAAAATGTAAAAGGAACGGGCATGTGAACACATAAAAAGAGATGGCGCTTTATTGTACAACACACAAACCAGCCCAGCAAGCTGGTGTAATTAGATAAATTCAGGTACTCCATTGGCTAATTACTAATTTTGATTCGCTAAAATACGACCCCAAAGACTGATTTTTTCCTTCACTTTGAAGGTTATCCTCCGTTTTGTTTTCTTCATGTATAATACATTTTATATGGCAGAGATCTATTCGTCGTCATCCTCGGGCTGGTGGGTCACATCGTATCGTTTGCCACGAATACCCCAGATACCCCAGTTGGCATTGATGGTCTGGCGGATGTCCGTAAGGTTCACATCGCGCTTGAGACTGCCAAAGTGGTTTTCTGTTGGCTTGAGAACCCAGTCAAATTCGCCCTGGTAATCTTGTTCAACTGCCTCAACGTCATTGGCAACATCGGCCTTGTCGTAACCGGTAATAAAGATCGGACATTTGGTCTCCAGCGCCTTTTCAATCGATGTCTTCCAACCTTCGCGTGCGGCAGCATGGCCGATGCCGGGAGAGAACAGGAAAAAGAGGTCGGTGTAAGGGTCAAACTTGTCGATTGTTTCGTGGTAGTCATGGTAGAGTCTATTGTCGTAGGTGAACACCAGACGTTCATTTAATGACGTCGTGTGAGGCTCTTTGCCAGGCGGTAATGTATCGGGTCCAACAAAGTGAATGTGGAAGGGCGTGTGGGGGAAAAGATACGCAAGCTGCAGCCAGATGTATTGCGGTAATGATGCTTCGGCACGAGCACCGACCACATATAAATTAATCGTTTCGGAGCGGATTAGTGTCGCGCCATCTTTTGCAACCTCATTTCGTGGATAGAGAACCGTTCGTAGTGCTATTCCATAGACGTGTGTACTCTTTCTTAGTAAAAATCCCCTTTTCCCCCATTGTCTGTTCCCTGCTTGCAAAATCAACCAGACTTACCAGAGATGGAGCGCATGCCTTCCGGTGTAACCTCCTTTCCAAGCTTGTATGGACACGATTCATGGAGAATAGATGCGACCGTGATCGGATATGTTAAGAGCTTCGATACATGTCGCATTGACCGGTCCGAGTCCATGGAGGGAAAGCTGCGGGTATAGAAGAACACATCCCAGTTTGCCATGTTCACCGCTTCATCAAATCCCTGTGAACCTAATATACATGTGTCATTTAGCCTCTTCTTCTTTTCTCTCATCCCTCGACTTTGACATGACTATATAGCTTCATGCTGAAAAGTAAACAAACAACTTACTTGGGAATTCAAACTCGGTCATTGGTCTACCCGAACGAAGATCGTGATCATCCTCGTTTTGCTCTCGCAAAATATGACATATCTCTTGATGTGCCTGTTTTCCTTCATGATAGTGCTCCTCGCTACAATGTGTTGGATAACCACAGTCAGGGCATTCATAGACGGGTGTTCGTTTATGGTCGTGGTCTTCATGAGTGTCACAGACGGCACATACACCGTATTTGTTAATTATGGCTGCACGATCGCGAAGTTCTGGGAGTGGCGAATGGCTCAGTTTATGAAACAAATTGTCAGGTGCGAGCTTGACTTTGGTGCTGTCAGTTAAATCGGTGGCAGTGGATTGTTGTGCATTGTTTCTCGACGACGGTGAGAACAAGCCTTTCCACGAAATAGAGCGCGTTGCCATAACTGCGTGACCAGTATATGCTGTGTATGCTGATTTCACGCCCTTGTGTGAGGCAAGGCCGGAGACATGGTAGTTTCCACCACGAAGCGAGGTTAATGATCGAGCGATCGTTCGTGACGCTGGTTTCCACCCGTGCATGTCGTGTATGTGTGTTGGTAAGTCAGTTGGTCGTGAAAAGTGGAGAAAATACAAAATATTTTTAGTGCCGCCACCCTGGTGAACAAGCACCCCAGACCCAAATTATTTGCCCATATTCGGACGCCGTACGGGCCTCTACAAGCTCTACGGAACATACCCTGTGGCCTCTGCGGTGTCACGCCGTGCACACCGTAGAAATTATAGTATGCTCAGCCTACCATAGCACCAGCTTTCTCCCTTCTTTTTCTCAGAATAATTCTCACTACATTGCGTCCTCCATTTCGACAATAAGCAACCAGGAACCCCAACCAGAGCAGTCAAATGCTTCCAGCAACAAATATTACCGCCCTAAGGGAACCAAAAAGTGGTCCACTTGGAACGCGTTAACTCACTTCCTTTCTCAAAATAGCACTGACGAAGAGCGAGAAGGTTTGCTATTTTGTATATAGGTAAAATGAGAATTTTTACTTATCTAGTATATAGAATGGGAAGATATTATCAGACAGTATAACGATGGAGAGTTGACAACGACAACTGCTCAACTGGCTGCGATCTGTGCTCGCATGAACGAGGAGCACCAGAAAAAGCTTGAAGAGAAGGTCAAGCGCATGAACCATATGATGGAGCAACCGGCTCCTATGGATCTAGATGTTCGTCAGCAGCTTGGGAGAGCTTTCAGACGCGAGATCATGTCGGTTAACCACCGTGCTAGCGTGGCCATGGGATGGAATGTCGGCACGCTCATGTCTCCCCAGTTTGAGACCGATTGGATGCTTACTACACCTATAGTCTCATCTAGTATGTAAAGTAGTAAATATGTTTTTAGAAATGCTCATATTCAAGGTTCTAATACCAACTATTAAGAGAAAGCTCAGAACGCATTGAATAAGATTGGAGGGCGTCCAAACTTCCATCGACATTGTCAAGGTTAATACTACACTGTGATAGTAACATCTGATTGAGAAAAAGGATTATTTATTTATTGACTTTTTCTTAACAACAATCTGTCACTATAGGAACAACAGGCGGTAACTATCGCTAACACATCATAGCATTGTTAAAAGGAGCTACTAATGTATATTATTCGTTTTCGCCAGGCCCTCGTTTGACCAGAAAGCCTACCAAAAAGAAAAGCACGGTTAAGGACCTCATGATTGAACTCTGTAGTATGTTACAAGCAGTGCCTGCATTGCAGTTATCAATGTATTAATACTTGTAAATGAATGTATGTAGACAACGAAGTCGACAAAGTTTCCGTGGAAAAGTTTCAAGAGGGTGTCAAACGGTGGGATAATTCGCTACAGAAATGAAACATTGGGGTGCGAATTCACGGGTTTTGATTGTGGCGAAAAGGCAGATACTGCTTTGTGCCCGAGTGACATGCCGTATAAGAGATGGTCAGAGCTGTATGATGCCCTTATCAATGGCCAAATTAGTTTTGAAAAGCTTTAAATTAAATGGTTTAGCACATTTTAAAAAGTTGCTATTGATAAAAGCGACATATTAGCATCCAATAGGTATATTAGTTCATTTATTAAATTACAGATCTTGATTTTACTGTGGAAGACAGAGTGATCTGCGCTAGGGGACATGTGGTCGTTCCTTGACATGGACAAGGATACTATACATATACAAAGAATATGAGGCCATAACTGAATAAAAACCGCATAGAACAAAAAGAGTTAGACGGTGTGGTGGTAGATGGGTAGAGGTGGAGCGAGAATGATGAAATTATTAGGAGGATTCTTCATGCAATTTGGAAATGACCACAGTAATACTCTTAGAAAGCAAGGAAATTTGAAACAGTTCCTAGCATCCGAGCATTTTTACCCTATTACATAACGTACTTCTGTGTACAAAATAAATTGTGGATTAGGGGATCGTCATAAAAAATTACAGGAAAAGAAGCTTTCCTCAAGCGCGTGGTACTTTTTTGTCAAGTTGCACGTTTACTGAGCAATAAACAGAAGTGATCAACTTAATATGTGTTGCAATATAAATATAGAGAACTGAAATGAAAAATTATCTTTTGAAGGTTCTTAGCTACAACGTAACAAACAACAGACCGCACCATCTTATTAGCACTAGATCATGAGTTTTAACGATCGGTTCAACGAAGACGACGCCATGGACCTAGTGGAATCCACGATGTTGAGCGATGGGAGAACGAGAACGAAAAGCCGCAAAGTGTATGCTGGTGACGATGCAGTTGTAGCTTCTGCTCCCACTATAGGAGATACGCGTCAAAATTCACAGCATGATCAATTAGGTAACTGATTCGCATATAAGCACACTAAATCTTTGCTTATTATAACATATACTTTGTAACGCGAAGATCACGGAGAAACCGATGATCTCGACTATGGTGACGGTCCTGGTAGCGCTTTTAATGAAGGCTTGACAGTGTTTCGTCTGAATGACCATGACATCGAAAAACATAAAAGGAGATTGGAAGCTCTTGATGAAAACTGGTCCGAGGTCTTTAAGGTGCTACCGAAAGACTATGTAAAGTGCAGGGGAAGTAGCGACTATAGTCTGGCCGATACGACTCCGTTTTTCGACGCGCGCTGCACTACATGCGATAAAACAAAGGAACGGGAGATCCTTTGCGTTTTCATTACCGGTAACGCATTACGTTGCATTAATAATTACCAAACATACTGTGATATGGACAACTGCTAAAACATTCCTATAAATGCCGTCCAAAACATACGAAACAGGCATTAAAAGTTATAAATTACCATTCTGTGAATGTAAATCAGACGCCTCAACCCTGCTTTACCATCACTTGTTTCCGTCATCTCCCGCCTCGCCGAGGACAGCATTTCATCTCCCATTGCTTGATTTCTATTCTGCGCTTTTGGCTGAAGGTCATTTAGCAGCACAAGCCTTTGGAAATGCTTGCTCTTATGTGCACAAGTTTGAGGTACTGTTACTGCTAATAGAATAATCAGATGATAACACAATGGAGCGAAATCACTTATCATAACAGTTATTCTAATGTATTATATATACATTTGAATTTTATGGAATAAAGAATCCTGATAGAATTCGAAAGACTTTAGGAAATGCACATACAGCATACATGGAGCTGAAAGAAAATGTGACGGATGAAATGGTTAACGAGTTCAGCAATATTACTCCAATGGAGCGAGATGCGTGTCCGGCTTGTCCCAAGGTCTCCTTCTCGTTTTATAATTCAGTGCTGTCATGATATTTTGATGAGCTAATGACTCAATATACAATTTACACAGGAAGGAAAACTGTTCGTCGCAGTCGATGGCAACATGCAATTGCGACGACGCAAAGCACATGCAAATGACACAAAAAAAGCTGAAGCAGCGACGTTTTTCTCGGCTGATAACATGCATGACGTTTACGAAAAGCATGAAGTCACCAATGCCGTCAATAAGCGTTGCGAGAGTGAGCTCAAAGCTGTTACGTCCGTTTCTGCTGCTGTCGAGAAGTTCTATGAAAGTGGAATAGTAGGCTGTGTATGCGGCAGACACAATGTTCCACTTCAGTTTACGAATATCTTTGCTTCTGGTGAAAAGTAATTTTAATGCTTTTTACATGCATGCAGTCTATAATCCCTAGCGTATAATATGCACTTACATGTTGAGCTTTGTATAGGTACAAATATGCTCTATCTGTGCTTGCTGTTGCCACTAAGGGATACAAAGATGTCAATATTTTGTATGATCTTGGTTGTCGCTTTGAACCATCATTTAAGGTATTTTGCCGTGTCTAAGAATATCATCGCATCCGGTAAACAAATTGATCTTTAATTACTTATGCACCATTAGCAAGCATTTCCCAATTTTGCTCAAGCTGGATCACAGATGGCCGTCTCCGTTTTCCATGCATACGCCCATTCAATGTCTTGCCAGGTCGATTATCATCCACGATTCATAAGCGGCTTTGGACTGACAGATGGAGAAGGACTTGAGCGTCTTTGGTCCTACCTTGGAGGATTTGTCTCAATGACTAGACAAATGAGCGCCAAGAGACGTCTGTTCGTTTTACAGCATGCGATTGGTCATTCGAAAGCCAAGACTATAATCAATATGTGTATGCATGATTTTAAATGAAGTTATAAATGATTGCGTGATACTCATAATAGTACCGATAGGTTACGCGCTTAAAAAACGGACGAAAAGGGCAAAGGCAATCATCGAACAAGCGTCTGCATACTTGCGACACAGAGCTACCCTTGTAGCTTCCGGCGGTACGCCATGCTGGTGGTGAAACGAGGACGGGAAGATAGATGAGCTCAGATTCGAAGAAGAATGGAAGACGTACAAAGATACCGTCCATAAAAAATCGAAAGATCGTACTATATTCACTGGTGTCAAACCTCTATCAGTAAAAATACAGTATTATGAAGAACTAGAGCATTTTTACGCGGTTGAGTGAGTTTACAAAGTGTTTTTGTAGAGTACTGTAAAATACTTAGACAACTAATCCATTCGGAAAACATCATTAGAGCGGAGCGCATTACTTTATCGAGGGAGCTTGAAGATCCAGATAAATGTGCCAATATGACTATGGCGGAAGCAGGTATGTATAACGATTTCTACTCCCTTTCGTTTATGCGTATTAAGCTATTGTTATCATCAATAGATGAGAAATTTGGATTGCTTCGAAAGCTCTCAAGAAAGCTCGAGATCGCTGAAGACAATGTTACCAGAATTGAAAGGGTGCTAAAGCCTGAACGAAGATGGCAGATAAATAGCACAGAATACGCAAGCGCAAAAGAAGCAAAAGCAAAGCGAGAAAAGGAAGATAGCCTGTATAAACTAAAATCACATATAATCTCGCGTAAGATGATGTATGATCAGCTGCGTAATCGAGAGGGCAAAATAGGTATTGTATATCTGTTTTTTGAAGTGTAAAAATGAGAAAGCGCTGCTGATGGATATAATTAATTAATTATGAAACAGGCGAAAGAGTAAGCACGAAAGTTAGAAGCGCAATCAAGAAACAAAGCACTGCAGCTGAAAAGCAATTGAAGCTATACAATGCTGCTTGCCATCTGTTGTTGGAGCCTGAAGTCCAGTGGGAGGATGTCTGTCATCTGGAGACACGATTTTGGGAACAGCACCATATAGCAGAAAGCAACGACGTCGACGTTCTCAGAGAGATTATGAACATTAAGCGCGCCGAGGAAGAGCTGATAATGATCGAGGTTAGTGCTATGGTACTTCATTGAAACTCCATACTGTGATCTCAACTTTCCACTTAGGACGAAGAAAAGAATCTGGAAGCATACGCTGCAGCACGTTATAGCGCCATTCAAGATGCCATAGAGGCGACGCATGACGATGGGTGGCAAGCTATTCTTGGTGATCTTTTGGAACAAGCTGAACGTCTCCAATGTAATATCAGAAGCAGCAAACCGCGTACTGTTGGTGAAATTTCACAGATCGACAACGACGAACAATACGGTGACGATGCGGACGATGAATATGACGAAGACGTTTACTTTGTCCATGCTGAGACATATGAGGATATTGAGAAGGAACATGACGAGCTGATGTATGAGTATATGCCGCCAGTAGATTATACTATGCCTGACGAAGATATTTCTCTGCCAGATGCAGTACTTTCAGAAGAAACACTATAGAGCCAGCAATGTATATACGCCGTTGTAAATCAAGAGCTCTTTTATAATCCTTATTATGCTTACTTATACATTGTATGTTATTAGACCTTTTATGCGGATATGATTTTTTATTATGTGTAATAAGCACCTATTCTGTTACTTATTTTCTCAATACTGCGTTGAGCGTTAATCCTCATAATTTAAATCAGATACATATATATAATACTGTATGCTACCGGAAAAAGATGCTCTGGTTGGGGTTCCTGGTTGCTTATTGTCGAAATGGAGGACGCAATGTAGTGAGAATTATTCTGAGAAAAAGAAGGGAGAAAGCTGGTGCTATGGTAGGCTGAGCATACTATAATTTCTACGGTGTGCACGGCGTGACACCGCAGAGGCCACAGGGTATGTTCCGTAGAGCTTGTAGAGGCCCGTACGGCGTCCGAATATGGGCAAATAATTTGGGTCTGGGGTGTGAACAAGAATAACACTTTCTGGGCGCCATTGGTTGGTTGAATCGCGGGTTGGGCCTACCGCATAGGAGCTTTGAAATTCTGACAGTTATTTCCCCTACAAGACGCGTACTATCGCTCTCTCCCCTTTTCCCCATAATTTCAATTATAATATGCCATGCAAACGCGCACCAGGTTTTGGGCAAACTCTCAAAGGTATCTTCGTCAGCTACAGCAAAAATAACGGGAAAAAGAATACTAAAACTACGCAACCTTTGTTTCTTAGATGCACGTCAAAAGTCTCACCGGTGAAATAAACCATCGTCCCAATTATCTATCACGACCGACAAGAAGACCATTACTGAAAGCAAATACTATGAGGAGGTAACCGATTTTGGAAACTGGCCAAGTGTTTTCTTACATCATACATACGCACGGTATGGTTGAAGCACACGGGCCTTAATGTTTGACACCTGTTAGCCTTGCATTGAGACGAAACAAAGGAAAGAAAGGAGAGGCTAGGACTGTTGCATAACAAGTGCGGTAGGTATACAAAAATTAGCTCTTGTCCTAAATAGAGACATAAATTCACTTGATAAAGTTAACATATGCTTTAGACATCCGTGTTTTCAGAAAATAATTGAGACGCCATCATACGGATCCAACATTCGCTTTGTGTATTTGCTAAATTAGAAAAATATGTGTATATTAGTGTCATTACGCCAAAATATTCACTCTAAGTAAATATGAATTTACTACAATCTACTAACCCGTACCATCGACTCTGCGTGCTGTACATAATCAGCACCATACAGTATTCCCTCAAACATGGATCACAATCGAGAATAGCTCAGAACCAGCCATTGTATGCGCATTGTTCTATTCTCGTAGTTAGTCGACACTTCTTCTCGATCCACATATTTGAGCTGACCAAGTAGTCGTCTGTTAAAGAGCGTTGATTAGACTGCATCAAGAAACCCACTGATGAAGGCAAAGATAACTCTTTACACTCGGAAGACAACACCCACCATCATGGCATCCAAGTTCCACCTCCTTCCTCATCTTGAAAAGATTCAATATCTGGCATGTTCACGAGTCGTCCATCAAATCATCCAAACGAAAGTCTAGACAGTATCTCAAACAGTATATAAAGGGTTGAGAATTCTTTCAATTAATATTTGACTCTCATTGTATTTCATATTGCCTTATTTTCTCTCTGATTTGATCTTTTGAACTGATGTCCTTCTCCTGAGTCCAACTAGGTAAGATTACTTCCCAATCCACAATGTAGAATGATAATAAAATATCTAGCGGAAAAAACAAAAAATAAATGAAGTTGTCATTAAATAGACCTCGACCTCTGCTGTTATCATTCTTCAATATCGCCGTGATCATACAGTAACAAGATTTTCCTACATCAACATCATTAACTAATCTCACTTCTTAATGCCCAACTTTCTGTTCATTTACATCATGAAGTTCCATAGTGTAAGATATATACATGTATATGAGACATAGTCTTGATTTTTATTTCTTCCCTCATCATCTGGTCTCCTTTATTCCGGTTTCCTTCTTGTCTCGTGCTGTTCTTGCTGGAAAGTTTTTAATATTTTTGACCGGTCTTTCTGTCATTGTCTTGTCCTGATCTCGTGTCCTTTCACTGTCTTGCCTTGCCTCGTTCTTAAAAGTACCTTACAGCAGTCTAGCTACAATTTTAGGGTTCTGACATTGCTACTATATAAACTTTTGCTCCTGTGACCTTTTACTATTTCTCATGAACTAAATTACGAAACACATATTTCCGTTTTGCTCTGGATCTTTATTCAGCAACATGATCCTTCTGTATAACAGTAGAAGCATGACACCCACTTTTTCAGATGCCGAAAAATGTTAACTTTAGAAAGACGTGGAGAAACCAGAAAAGTGTGAAGGGGAGAAGGACAAATTGAATCAATGGAGATTTCTGAGAACCGCAAAGTAATCGACTTTAAAATTATAGCTGTACTTAGAGGCATTTTGCAAATTGATGATTCAGCAGGTCAGTTTTTATTCATCATTAGAAGCTTCATACGGTGCACTCTTAGCTCCATCCTTGATCACTATCGTTGCGTGCTTACGCTCACTCATCTTTTTGATGGTTGGGTCTACTACAGTTTTTAGCGACATCACTTGTTGGTTCTTTCGAACATTTTTGAGGTTTTCCTTGTGTGACTTTTCGAATTGGTCCAGGGCAAAAATAGTATCTGTCAATAATGACTTACAAGGAACGTGGAAGCGGTGACTGATCAAAAATTAGTATCAGTCTTTCTAGATCTTTTTGGCCAGCCTGTCACGGCAACAGAAGTAACCAAAAACCAGATATAGCGTTTCGATACGGTGTAAATGTTGTACTTACTACTAGCTTCCACGGGCCCTCCATGAACTTCTCCATTTGATCAGCTTTTTTGTTAAAATCTTGGGGCGAAGGCATTTTGATCTCTTTGATCATTATATATACACCGGGTTCAGTGGTGCTTAACGACCAGATTCTGATGATATCGCCTAAAATTTAATAAGTTAATACTGTTGCAGACGTAATATACAGAATACTTTGTATAAATATACATATGTGCATATGTGTGTATCTTTATTTTATACTTACTGTGAGTATGGATGAACAGAAACTTGATCTTTTTGAGCCAGTCACATGTTGCATACTGAAATTTATGCGCCGTGTTCTTGAGCATGGCAAGAAGGGCGAACATCGCTTTGTGCTGGTCGAAACTAACTTTTGCCCGTCCCGCCTTGTTGTATGCACTCGAGGTTTCAAGTAGGCATATTTCTGCGTTATTGAGATTTTAAAGACGGAGAATTCCGTCTGTAAGGTGTTGCTGTGGTTGCCACTCCAATGTTGGCCATTGCTTGCAGCGGTGCTTCTCCTGGTACGAACGTGATAGTTCGACCATTCGCCAAACGGATGTAGCGAGCACATGCTTGCATCATCGGGAACAAGACCCCCACGTTCCACGACGATTGTGATTCACCAACATCCGTCACATCTGTAAAAACAGCTTTGGTGCTGCATCAAATCGACAGCATAAGCATAGCATGTCCTATGTAAACAGCCGTCATACAACCAGGTACCATTACTTACAGCGGTGAAAAAAGGTCTTTAATGAAATACGCTTTGTAGCGCAATTCCGGAGCCATATTCGTAACTGGAAAAGCTTCTACTGCCATTTCAGTGTCTTCGATCGAATCCTTTTAGGAGAGCGAAAGAGGTCTGTTAGAATCAAAAAGCTGGAATCCTTAAATTAAATACATACAGCATCGAGAACAGCATCGATTGCTTCTTAAAAATCGTTATAAATTCGAGATGACCACTTGTTCCTGGATGCCCTGATAGAGATCAAGTGGCATGTCTTCCCGTTTTTCGAAACCCTGTCCACACCAGCAAACCCCGTATAGTTCAGGCCTAGTTATATAACACGTTAGTTAACTTTCAAACAATATGCTATTATTAAAGCAGATATTACTTGTAGACGTTGCGTAAATCGTCATTTTTGTCGCCAGCTACAAACTCTTGCCACGCTTGCCACAACGACACCACTGAAAGGTTTAAAAATGAGCTAATGTTAGATTTTTATAAATGTTCTTAATTTATATTCTATGATGCCCACCTTTCACGGTTTCTTCTTCTACTGCTGTCGAGATTTTTTGGTGCTTCCACCTGCTACGTCATGGGTTTCTGGCTGCTCTCTCTTTTATAGCTTAGATAATTAAGATAGTTAGTGTCATTCTTGCAATGCGTCGGTATTGAATATACCTTATTCGATGTCGTCGCTTCTTGGGTAACATTGCTAAATCGAAAATAGCTCAGTTATTTCACAACAGAATCAAGCACTCATAAATGTGAATATGATATACTTTTAGGAAAACTCGTACCCATAATAAT